AACCTAAGGGCGAATGGCTGTGAACACCCTTGATGGAATGCATGAACCTGTTGCCTTGATTTCGAGTGACGGCCCCTTCCACGGGCAGCACACTAAGAAGGCGTTGCTTCAGGTCGCCCACCCTCCTCTCCCTAATCCTTCTGCAGGCCCTACGCCAAACCCTGAAGAAGTGAAAAGGTTAAAATATTTTGGCTCAAGCAACAGATGGCGGCGCCACAAAACTTTCCAGGTCCTTACCATTATCACATCTGTTGTGTTTTTCATATGGACAATGTATTTGTGTCGGCTGAAAGGTAGGACCGAATACAAGGTAGCGGCAGTAGATCGCAGGCTGGCTAGTGGCGAAGCAGGAGGTGGGGATGAGGGAGCAGGGCCGAGCTCAGATCCAAAATTGTGCGAAGGGGCAGAGGCAGTACTGGGCACGGAGCCAGAAGCTGAGGCAGCAGGGGAGCCAAGTGCAGTATTTGATCCAGCAGTGGCAACAACGTCTGGAACCAGCACAGGAGAACAGCGGCCGAGAAAGAGGAAGAAGAAGTTGAAGCACCTGAAAGAGTCAGAAAAGGAAGCAGATTCATCCGCCAAGAAAGCCAAACACGGTGAGCCTTCGATAGACCCACTAGAAGATTTTGAGGCATTGTTACAGGCCGAGATAAACCTTGGGCCAGGAACGCCTTCCAGCATCGAACTCAGTCCTTTCAGCCTGGGACAGTATTTGTTTCCTGACTCCCCTGTCAGCCAAGAAGAGGTGCCTGGGTTCCTAATTGGCCACGGCGAGCAGGGTGTTGAGGAGGCGTCTGGGCACATGACATCACCATATAGTAGTCCAGCAATACCTGAGGATGAACCCTTCCCTGACATCCTTGGAGAATTCTTGGAAGCAGAAGGATTGCAAGAAGAAAAGTGGCTTCAGCTTTTCGATGAGAATCTGCTTGGTGGTTCCGATTCTGCACCGCAAGTCGAGGACCAGGCAGGAGCACCGTCGACAGTCAAGCAGCCCCTCACTACGCAAATAGGTGAAGGCACCTCTTCCCTATCGCAGGAGGTATGTGCCTTGTCTTTTCGGTAATTGTAGCATTGCAATTAGTGAGTTTCTTAAGGTTGACCCCTTTGTCCACATAATAGCGAGATGCATGTATGGCGTGCTGGCGTGGCACTCTGCTGTTTTCGTCTTGCCCATATTATTTTTGACCAGGCCCAAGCTGTGAGTGAATTTGTGGCTCAACACAGTTCCTCAGGGTTGGATCCCAGTTAAGCATAACCTTTTGTGTGCCGCAATGTTTGTGTCTTTAGGCTAGTTCCTATTCCTCCGATATCAGTCCTGCTGCAGGCAGCAGTTTGATATCTATTTTCCCGGGTTCCTCGCCTGATCTGGCCCGGCACCCATATTATCGTGTGCCGGTTGGAGACCCAGGAGCGACGCTGCCGCCGTTTGACCCACAGAATATCCCGGGAAAACAGGGAGTACCCCTTTCAGAAATTCTCGGTGACATTCGACAGCTGCTTCTCAAGTCACACTTATCAGAGCTCGATATGAGAACACTTCAGGTGGATGCATATCGTCTGGTTCAATATGCAAATTGGGTTTTATCACAGCCGGTACAGGGAAAGCGCGCGGCTATAGCGGTGTATTTCCTCGCTCGTCGGTTTCTAGTGGCGGATGCCATGTGGTGTATTAACCAAGTCCTGGGTCCCCCAATGAATATGCATCTGTGGTGGGATGCATTTATGGAGCCATTGGCGGAGCACGTGAGTGTGCCCCCTGAATCCAAGTCGCGTACAGGTGCGGATTGGACCCTAATGGCGGAGCGCCTTATGGTTGCGCTATATCAGTACAAGTTGGGTCAGCGCCCTGCTGCTCAGGAAGTGGTTGAACTAAAACGCCAAATATTCCGTTGGCCCTGCATCTGCCGCGACTTTAAATCAAACGCATGGGACCCTTGGCGAGACGATGACACGGGCAATGACGGACATTCATAATGCCGGAAGTCCAGAAAGTACATGTGGGCATGGAAAGCCTACAGAAAGCCCAGTCAAAATCGGTCCAAATGCATATGAATGTGTGATTCTTTTTACTTTCTTCTCAACCAGGTTACTCACGTGAACTAGCTTATGAATGATTGACAAAATGCCCCGCTGCATACCCGCGTGAACCTTGTCCTGCTGCTTGTATAATAGTAAAATATTTGGCGGAGGCATATATTTGCAATCGTTTTATTCGTGGAAAAGGCGGCAACTCTCTTTATGTAGAGTGGCAAGGCACTCTGCCTCGTGTTCAGATCCAGTTTCCTTGCCAATTCGTTGATAAGATCGAGTTGTGAAGCATACTACTGTTTTGGAGGTTACTTTCCTGGCAACGATACATGAAACAATGTGTAAACATGATGAAAACTGGAGAGCAAGAAGAGAGGCAAATGTGACGTTAGCCATATTGTGTTGTCTGCAAGGTCTTGTAAACATTAACATAATCATAGGAAGTAGCTTCATAGTAGTATAGCTTGGTTCGGGGAAACCACTGAATTCATGAGGACATTAGATCATACTGGACATAATATCGGATCGTCGAGCGAGCACAATAGCTCCAAAGACGTCTCGCCTTTACTCGGCAAAGTAGCTGGTGAGACAAATTAATTTTGTCAAGCAGTGCCAACTGGAGAACAGAAGAAATGCGTAGTCGAAGGCAAGAACAATTTTTCAATTTCAGGTTGTCCGCATGGGGCGCAGCCCAAGGCGCCTGGACAACACGTTGCTGTTCAGTTTCAAATGCGAAATGTAAATCTCTGGTGTAGAGCAGTACACCTCACTCAAGAACACTTTCGATTACAATGCTTATGATAAATAGGCGTTAGCAAAGGTTTGTTCAATTGGTGTCTACACTCATTGCAGAGTAGAGTTTGCTTTGATGTGAACACAGTCGTTCCACAGCTGGTGGAAAGGCATCAATGGTCAGCCGATTTAAAAGGCTAAGAAATGCCTCGACGATGCTCTCATGACCCGATAAGCATGATAGGCAGCGATCCCGGCAGGTTGAAGATCTCCGTGGTAGAATCCCAACCGGTCTATACTTTGTGGCCCATTCACACCGCCGCAGCCCTTGTGGGGGCCCTCCATTTCACATCCATTCCCGTTGCTTTCCAAGCAGCCTTATTCTACAGGTCGGAGTTCCATTGTTCACCATCACTTGAATTTTCCTTCCGCTGGAAGCTCTGGATTCTATCTGCCACTTTCCTTCAAGACAAGAAGGTGCGTTGGTGTGGTGCTGTTCGGGGTTGCTTCGAAGCACTGGTTTAGCTGTTTTCCTCTTGTACACCGTCGACTTTTAATTAGAATTGTTGATACAACCCCAGCATTCATAGGTTTTAAATACTACGTTGCTCTTCGCTGTCAGCCAAAGACTCAGGTGTTGTGCTCACATGTTCATGGAACCTCACCTAGTCAATGAGTTGTAGAAGCTCTACTGGCTGGTTGTTTATTGGCTGCCCACCCTGCTACCTGCAGACGTGAAGGCTTCGGTATGTCCGAGATGGGCCCCTGATACAGCAGCTGCGTGTATACTTTGTGGATTTTGCAAACCGAAGCTTTATATTCTCGTATATTCTTTTGACGGTATATTCTTTTGCTTCAGCTTCCGCAGTTCTCCTAAACTTGTTGCTGAGCGGATCTTATCAACAGCCGATGAATTCGTTTATAATGGCCAATTATAGTGAACTTGCATACTCCCTAGTTTCTCTTCATGGATCGAGCCACCATTGAAGTGCTTCTCCTTCCAAAAAGTGTGTTACAAGAGCCGCCATTTTAATCCTCAGGGATATCTCGACTGCGCTACCTGTACTGGCGCTTTTTGTATGCCCCGATTGTTCTAGAATGCAAGGAGGCAGTGCTCGACTACACTGATACTTGATTCCTTTAACACGTTTCTGTCTTTTGTTCTCCCGTTGTAGGCACTGCAAACATTTCGGCCTCCCGACAACAGCGAAATAGTGCATCCCCGTGATGATGTTGGCTGTTGCCTCGCTCGAAGTTGGCTAGTGTGTGCGCCTTGCTTTGCATTACTATTATTAAGCGGCAACAATGGCCTTCTCACCCGCAGTGTTCTACGCGTTTCTGTCTGCCTGGAAGTGGTACATAGGCAGGTACCCTTCTGCTACCTGCATGCTACTGGTCTCGACTGACAAAAACGGAACACGCGAGAGTTTTGAATTGAGGGGAAGAGCTCTGCATGTGAGTTGCTCTGGTAATTAGTTGAGAATGCACAGAGTGCTCAGCGGGTGGAGCAAAGTGCACCCTCGTGGTCCCTATGCCATCATTTCGAAGAGTGCGAGGGGAGAAAGCACTCGTGACTAAGTATCTTCCAGCAGAAGCAGATGGCGCCACATTCATGCACCTGGTGTACATGTACCCCACATTGGTTTTTAGTTTTCTGAGCTCGCGTTACTCTGAAATTTAAATTATATACGAACATTCGAAGCCAAAAGCGATTTTAAAAGTAGTCCTCAACCTACGTAACTGTTGTAATATTTAATTTCCAAGTGTAACCCACTGCACCACCAGTCGAGTAGGAGAGCCCCATGCACTTTGTCCGCCCTTTTTAGAAATAAAAAAGGTAGCGCTAAAATGAAGCACCCTGCGCAAACAGGACTAGAGATAAATTGCAGAAAGATATTCGTGGCTTAAGCAACTGCCGTCGGAAAATATCGCTGCGGCTGTCCTGGTGCTTTGTAGACCACTTCCACTTTTTGCATAGTGGCTTTTGCAACACTGGCTAATCAATTGATTGCATTAAAGCAAACTCTATACAATCAAAGACAACTTTTTCGGTTTTATTTAATTTCCTCTCGGCAGAAAACACCATGACGCGCTAGGATGCTTGCACATATCGCCGGGAAAGTCAGCCCCAGCATATTTGTTGTAATTTGCTTGTTCTACTTCAAGTCTATTTAATCCTGAATCGGTGAAATTCTTTTTGCTTTGACAAATGCTGAGGGTTTCGCCTTTCTCTCTCGATGCAGCTTCGGCCGTCTGCTAAGCCTTTATCTGCGTCTAGGGGAAAAGAGAACGAGGGTAAGAGTAGATTTGCATGCCCTCGTCACTACTGTTTTTTAGAATTCCTTCACCATTTTGCCTGTGCTTAACTCACGCGTAGGCAAGATATCAGTAGAGCGCGGCCTTCAGTATTGCTTCTTTTTATCTTCTGTCTCTCTGTCTTCTTCAGGCCCAGGGCCGTTTTCCAACTCGCGCAGTAAAAGGACAAGGACGGAAGGGACTGCTGTACGCTTATCGGCATACGGCAGCTGCGGGAGAGCATGTAGCTGCTCAAACCTCAACAATGGCATGAGCTTATATAGCTGCAACGACCCGTGAAGCCACGTCAGCATAGTAGCGGGAGCACCAGCACCAGCACCAGCACCAGCACGTCGTCACAAATAGATGTAATATTGCCCAAGATGACATATTTTTTGCTTGCCCATCTTCTATCTGCTCCCCCTTGATCAGAACCGTGGCACCATGATACCCCGCATGGTAGATTGCTTCGCAACCAAAGGGAGCATTGTCAAATGTGGATAGAGGTCACAGCTTACACCAAAGCCAATAGAAGTCCCAGCACCAACAGCAGGTCCAGCAGGCGTTCGAGTTGTACGTACGAGATCGGCTTTCCCCCAAGTTCATATCTTCCTCAGCCCAATCCTTCGTGTAAGCAGATCACTCCGTGACGCCTGCGAACAACTCGAGGGCCTGCATGAGGCCATTCAAAGGGGACAGAAGAGGACACCGAAGGCATTCCCCAGTACAACACCAATCTTCTCCAGCACAGCTCCGGACTGTCTTGCGTACAGTAGAAATCTACAGGGACCCCAGGGGACTGCACAGATGGTCTACAGACTGAAACAGAGTTCCCCATCGTGGGCCACCAACGTAGACTGTGCGCCCCCAGAGCTGGACGCTGGGCCTCCTGCAGTGGCACCAGCTTGTGCTCGGGGCCCTGCTGTTGCATCAAGAACGGCAGCAACAAGTGGATCACAGGGATCGGGATTTTTGCAACGTCGAGTTTCCCAGCGGTGGCGGCTAGTAGGCAACCGAGGAGGTCGGCATACACACCAGCACCAAAGCCAGCAAGATCAGGCTGCGAAATTCAGTGAATCGTCGTGTGTTCTGCAGCAGAAAGAGTACCTGGTGACTTCCTCCGTGTGCCCCGTGAACGCTTCTCCGATTGATGGCATTGAAGGTGTTGACACAACAAAAGAGCCCTCCAGAGAGCCGCTCCATTCACGGCAACCAGCTACACTCAAGCTGCACCGGTCTGGGGGAGCCGGCGTCGATAGTTCAACTGCTGGAAATGGGCCTATGCAGGGCGAAAGCGTCAACACAGCTCTGCAACCAGCAGCAAAATGGAAGGCAGGACCTCCGTGGGATGTAGGAACACCGCAAGTGGTAGATTTGGAGGGGGCTGCAGGCTCTTGTGGCGGCGATGTTGGAGCCAATAGTAGAATAGCCCCCAGGGCTGACTGTGTTAACCCGAATAGCACTCGCAGCATTAGTAGCATCTGTCGTAGGACTCGGTGGAAATCACTACCTTTGGGCCTGCCTTGCGTCCTACCAGGCCAGCCACCACTAGACGGCTCCCGCAGCGCTTCCGAACCCGTCAAGCTGTGTGCATCAGCATCATCTGTACGTTCTGGTGCTCGACGTCAAACGGATCGAAGTGTTGATGCAAGATGCTGGCCCCAGTTGCTTTCACGACATGCCACTAGACGTTCATGTCTCTCAAGTGACAGCAGCAGCAGCAGCAGCAGCAGCAGCAGCCGCAGCAGGAGCACAAGTGTCTGGACGAACAGTCTCAGGGCTTTCTCAAGGACCACCCCAGGGCATGCAGGAGCTCGTGGGCAGTCGTGCACCTCTGATAGGGGCCAGGGAGGAGCTTACAAGAACAAGCAGTCACAAGGTGTCCCTACCTCGGAGGTTTACTCCCAGCAGGAGCGGCCGAAGTCACGCTGGCGGCAGCAGCGGCAGCAGCAGCAAATACTGCGTCATTCGAGAACACACGAGCACTTTAGAGCTTCGTCGCCTTCGCAGCGGCAGCACTTACAGCCACAGGAGCTGCAGCAAGAGCATCGGAGGCAGCAAAAGCAGCAGCAAATACCGCGCCTTCGAGCAGCTGCACCTGATCATGTGGAACCACCCACTTGTGCGCCGCAGCAACAGCAGATACAGCAGCTGCAACAGAGGTCTCGGGAGCTGGTTCGTCGGCTTGCCATGGGCTTGCTGATGGGCCAGCGGAGGAGGGCGAAGGGCTGCAGGGCGTGGCTTAACCGTAGCAGCAGCATATCCAGCAATGGGAGGTGCAGCATTTGCAGAGAGAGCCAGCATCATCAGCAGCAGCGTGAGGAAAGCGACCATGCAGACTGGGATGAGTGCTCTATGTCGCAGCCAGCAGACGAGCAGAACGATGTTGCAACTTCCTGTAGCCACAGCAGCAGCACCGAAATTAGCCTGCGGAAGGGACGAAGGGTCGCCAGTAGGCTGCAGCGAATGGCATCATCCATGGGCTGTTTCGGGGAAGCAGCGTTGCGGCGGATAGAACCTCAGCGAGGAGGATCTCCCGTCGTAACCTCGGCTGAACACAAAGCCTGGAGAAAGCAGCTAGAGTCGTTTGCAGGTAAACGTAGGCTTAGCGGCGTCTAAGGTGTGGCAAGAATACTGGGTGAATTCTTGCCTCGCCCTCATCCCCTGAGAACGCTAGGCATAACGCTTCCGTTTACCATTCATCCTAGCCTCAAGAGCTTGCGATTTGTGCTTCCAGAAGATGGTTCCTTCTTCCCGCGAGGCCTGACCAACCTGAAGAACACATGTTTTCTCAACGCAGCTCTCCAGGCCCTTGCGGGGATCCCCTCTTTTGTATCCACCCTCCAGGAGGGGCTTCCACCTGAGCCAGGTTATAGTGGAGCCTTTTGGGGGCCACAGAGACTCATCAACGAGGAGTTTGACGGAGTACATGAAGAGACGAGTGCTGTCGCAGCTGCGGGATGCAGCAGCACCACAGCAACTCCACCCAACGAAGACGCAACAGGCCAGCAGCAACAGCAGGAACTGCAACGGAGGCAGATACTGCGTCAGCTGAGGCTGCAGCAGCAGAGGAGAAGGCAGCAACCCCAGAACCTCACCACCCTTGACGAAAATCAACGGCGGCTCCTGCTGAGGGAGTTCTTCACTCTTCTGTGCAGACTAACGTCAGACTCGGGCTCCAGCTTTGGCGATGATTGTATGGGGCACATAACGTTCAGAGTAGTAATTTCACGCATCAGCATTTCGTGTTTGTGTGTATCTACAGGTGTTGTCCCAACGTTCGTCCTGTGGATCGGGGTGTGGATCCGCATGAAGGGCTTGCAGCTCGAAGGCCCCGCCACTCCAACTCCCAAGCCACATGCAGGACCGAAGCATCACCACACCAACAGCAGCAGACAGCTGCGACACAGCCAGGTAGTATCAGGCCAGAACGTTTGAGAAGGGCCCTGGTCGCACCATTAGAAGGTCTGCTGTTGAAAGACTGCAGCTTGCAGCAGCAGCAGGACTGCCATGAATTCCTTAGAGGACTCATTGATATTGTTCACGAGATACTCAAAACATGCAGATGGGTGAGTCACTCAATGGGTGCTGTTGTTTTTGTGTGATTGCTGCTGTTATGCCGGGGTGGCAACGAGTTGCGACACAAGTAGCAGTAACAGCTAGACCTCGTGCCATGCAGCAGCAGATGCTGATGCTTTGCTTTGCCTATTTTTGCGACTGTAGGAGCGAGAAGAAGCGGCAGCAGAACAGCTGCTGCAGCTTCAGGCGGAAGTGTCCTTCTCTGCTTTACGATCATGTAGCCCCTCTGTATCCGATTCTCCACTGGCACCTTTTGAAGACAAAGATAACCAGCAGCAAGAGCAACTCCCCCCAACAGGATCATCAGTCAGTGCAACAGCAGCTTCCTCTCTATCAAGCCTCATATGTCCTTTGCAGAGCAGCCTGTCAGGGCCTCCAGTTGTGCAGGCACTAAAGGGGCTGCCTTCTGTGGGCTCACAGTTAGAAACCTCCGGTGATAAGGGGACAGGCGAGCTGGCTGAAAGGAGTAATAACGACGAAGGGGGTCTCGACCTAGCTGAGAAGAAGTGGAAGGAATATCTGGAAGACCAGGCATCCCCCATGTCAGATTTCTTTGCTGGACAGGTTGGTACTTATTACTTGGGAGCTAAATCACAGCCAAGGCTACAGAGTTTGACGTTCAGAACTGCAGCATTGGAATTTACCAGTTTTCACCTGCGAGTACCTCACTTCAGTGTAGCGTAGGTGGTCTAGAGAGAACGCTTTGAAGCTTCAGCCTTTTCTAGAATTCTGGTGCGATGGGCTGTGTGTATGTGTGTGTGCATGTGTGTATACTTCAGTTATGCAGTGAAATCCGATGTAGTTGTGGACGATCGCTTTCAGTGTATGAGCCAGCCTGGGATCTCTCTCTGCCTCTTCCCGCCATCGCCAGCAAGGTGTCCCTCTCGACACTACTCGATTCATTCTTCGGGGCGGAGGAGCTTGAATTCCGCTGCAGCAACTGCAGAAACCCCGCTTGTACTGCCATCAGGACCTTACGCTACACACACCCCCCGCGGGTGCTGCTGCTCCAGATCAAACGCTTTTCAGCTGTGGGTCAGAAAAGGAGAAGCAAAGTGGAATTTCCCCTCGAGAACTTGTCCATCCAACTTAGCCGGTACAAAGCAAAACACATTAGAGTTTATAGGAATACGTGCGCTAATAATGAAAAGGCTTGCGGAACTCGTTTGTTCAGCACGGACATTGGCAGGGGTGCACAGCACCTGGTGGTTAAACACCGGCCGCAGATGAATTCATATCTCTTTTCCTCACGACTTTTGTTCATGATTTACTATCTCTTTCCCATTCACTCTTTCCTGCGTTGGTGTCTCTTCCCTTTCGGCCCTCCATCTGCGTCTTCTTGCCATCTGCCCGATCTGTTTGCATATGGCACGTCGTCTTCAAACGGTCATGGTTGCGTGTGCATTATGTGCTGTATTTTACCTGCTGCAGCGGCTCAGCGTCATTTCGTTTAATAGCTGTCATAGAGCACAAGGGCAGCAGTTGCCACACTGGGCACTACGTGGCATATGTCCGCCGCAAACGGTTCCAGTTTCCCCAGTCAACGCCAAGCAAAATGCACTCACAAGCCTTAGGGGCCCAGGGGGCTTCCCCACGGGGGCTTTGGGCTTCTGGAGGTTCTAGTCTCCGTCCAGACACTCCTAGGAATTCTGCTTGCTCCCCTTCTGAGCTGCTAAAGCGCATTGGTTTGTTCAGCAGGTCCAATTCAAGCCTTCAGTCTCCCATTGTCAGTCAGCCAAATAGCCCATCTACAAGCACACCTTCCGCTTGTGGGTCTCCTTACCATAGCGGAGCCCAGAGACCCCATGGGGTTTCCACACAGGAAACATTACCGCCTACAAGGCTGCACAGATATGGAGGTGTGAACCAGGGATCGATAGATGATGCCTCGGAAGTAAGTATGTGTGTTTGTGTGAATGAGAGAAGTTGGATCGACGAAGGGGGGCGGTACTCGTGTTTATCATGCATGACAATAGCCAGCCCCTCTGTGTTGACCTCTGTTTCGTTTCTTCCTCTGGTGCACTACAAAGTTTGAGTTTCTCTTTCCTGGTTTAATTTACGGTTTTTAACTAGTTTCCATGTTAGTTTAACAAATCGCTACTTTATTTTCCTCTGTCTGCCACCTTCTCAGTGGTTTCGGTTTGATGATGGACTGGTTTTGCCCGTCTCGGAGTTGGAGGTGCTGGCGGCGGAAGCATATTGCCTCTTTTACTACAAGACGGATCTCGCGGCGAGCCCACAGCTCAGAATTTAGGCTTGGGGTCAGGATATTACTACCATTGGTTTTAACTGAAATTCGGGCATCAGATTTATTGTCGCACGGCTGGGAAGAGTTTCACGGATTGTAACTCGTGCTTCACTAAATCACGCCATGTAGCTCTTCGTGTTGCTTAGTATTTGAGTTGATTTTAGACTCAGACACGTGCGGCATTGTTACATCAGCTACATCAATTGCGAACACGAATGAAATGATGAATGCAAAGGAGTATCTAGGGGGTATGTGTAGCCACCCAACTGCGGTGCTCGTAGACCGCAGTATTGTCGGATTGAACAAACCACGCAGCTGTATATTATTTGTTTAGTCCTGTCACTTTCTTGGAGGAAAAAGTCTTTTTGTTCTAGATTTATTCCCGTTTTAGTCAACGATGTGGTTCATTCAGGATCAGCGCACTAGACGAGACCGTGTGTACCAAAGCTGAGGTTCCCATGCAAAGCAGATTAAGAAAAAGAGCCAACAATCCAAGATTTGAACTATCTCAATAGCAAAAGTGGCAAGAGCGCTGTGCTGCTGGGGACTTAAAAATGCAACGCTTTACATTAGGCCCTTAATGTTGTCTTCATTTACATTGGTGGTGATCCACTTCCTCTAAATCCCCTGCTGAAAAAGGTAATTTCAAGTAAAGACAGATTCCTCCAAGAGTACGCATGGAGACTAAATAGTACAAGAGAAACTGGAGGAATTGATCCTGATGATATAGGACACCGCTCCTCCTTCCGTGAGGGCAAATTGTCAGATTCAGTGGTGCAGGTATGATATCTTCCTCTACAGAATCTTCTGTCATTGTTTTCATTAAAGATTATTTAATGATCGAAACAGTAGCATCGAATGCGCGGCGGCCTTGTTTGAAGAAAAAAGGGCTATGAGAAAGATTGAGTCCGGCGAAATATCATGGATACTTATTTCTTACGTTTGGCCGTACATACAGTGTGATTTAAAGTTATTAGAACGGTAAGATCAAAGCAACGAGACACTCCGTAAAAAGAAGATAAATTACCTGCACGGGAGCAGGCCCCGGCCCCACAGTCCTTCACTCGCACAACCTAGTGGAGAAGACGAGTCATACTTTGTTTGCTTTTTGTTTATTCTGTATTTAACAGCCCTACAATGTGTATATGGGCTTACAATATAGTAAAACTCTTGCTATCATGATATCGGGGCAAATATCTGCAGCGGTTTTTCAAAAGCTGCCGTAGCGTCTTTGCATTCCAGCGATTACAAACCCCTTCTCTCCACGGGAATAACTGCTCAAAACTTCGCAGCAGTTTCTAGGCCTTTTCATCCTGCTCGTCAGAAGCCTCAAATTCTCTTCTCAGAATTTATAGGTTCCTCAAGAGGGACCCAGCTGGAAGTTCTCCACTAGCCTCCCCCTTCACAGTGCCTCGTTTTGGCTAGCCGAGCTGAAGCATTCGTGTTAAATCCACGCGTTCTCCTTCCGCTTAATTAAGTGTCTTTGGTGTATCCTTTGTTGAGGACAATGGATGACCTGGCATCCGAACAGCCAGCAACCGCTGCTGCTATAACCGCTGCTCCTGTAGCTACTACTTCTTCTTCTGCTTCTTCTTGCCATAATATCTCACTTGCAAGTGCAAACATTGTGTGTAGTCGTCCTTCTGCAACATCTGCTCCGTCTTCGTCCTCCCCTACTGCTCCTGCAGCAGAAGCTCGGCATGCGGAGGCAACAGCCGCCGAGTACATAATGCAAGCAGCAGCCACTAAAGAGGCGTCATCTTTGTCGGATTCAGAGTCTCTTCTGGACTGGTTCCCCGCAACACGTCCAGAATTCACTTCTCGCTGTGGCGATGTAAAACGTTTGGCTAGAGAAGACCTGGAGGACCCCCACCGGAGGCGGCATTTGGAATCCTTTCGTCAAAGCATGAAAGAGTGGGCTGCTTACGACTCTTCCACGAGAAATGTACTGGAGGATGAAACAGCAGACTCCTTCCTTGCCGACCTGGTCAAATTAAAACCAAAAACAAACAAAGAATTCAAGCAGGCTTTGCAGGCGCTCAGGAAAAAACACAAAGTTGCTCCAGCGAAATCGCAGCTGGTTGCAGCGTACAACCGTTTGCTCGCCGCTGAAAGATGTGCAGAGGATTTGCAAGAAGGCTCCTCTGCACAAGCCTCTGATGGGGGGATGGACACGCAGAACGGTGCAGATTGTAGTGCACGCAATCCGATGTTGGAAAGCTTGATGAGAAGAAAGGCGGTGCGCACAAACAGTGGCGTTGTTGTTATTACAGTTTTAACTGCTCCAGGTCGTTTCTCGTGCCCCCAGGACTGCCATTACTGCCCTAACGAACCGGGGCAACCACGATCTTACCTCTCGACTGAACCCGCAGTCCTCAGGGCAAACCAAAATGGGTGGAGCCCCCTAAAACAGTTTCAAGACAGAGCAGGAACGCTTAAAAGAAACGGACACGTTGTTGACAAGATCGAAGTCCTCGTATTGGGTGGCACGTGGAGCGGGTAAGCAAGGACAAAAAGCTGGATTTCGGTACTGCGTCTTAGGGTCTATGCGTCTGGATATGAATTTTATGCAGCCGAGTAACGGGCAGGTAATGGTTTGTCACGTATACTCTGATTGCGAGCCGTTCCTTTTAGCATCTTCTACTGTTGCTCCTCCTGCTGCATTTACTTCATTGCATGGGCTGATATGCGCTATATCTTTTCATGTGTATGAAGATATCCCCAGGACTATCAAGAAGAATTCATCAGAGACATTTACTTTGCCGCGAATGTCTTCGACAAGGCCGAGCCGACCCGCAGCCCGTAGGAACATTCGCAGATATCTAACGTGTCATCCGTTATTTCGGCCAAGAATTACCTTTTGTAACCATTTTACGTACTATCGATAATAATGTAGTAACTGGCTGCTTTCCTTTCTCCCTTTGTGATGGTGTTTGCAGCTTGACCCTCGAAGAGGAGCAGCACGAAAATGAAACTGCAGCATGCCGCATTGTTGGCCTGACACTTGTCGGTCTTCAGAACGCCTGTTACGAGCAACAACGGCATATGCTTAGCCCTTAAACTGAGGTTTCTAAACAGCTTTCGGAAGACCATTCATATTCAGTTTTATCAGTTTCTGTGGATGCCTAAGCGGTGCTTTTTGTTGCTCTCGGTAGCCTCACGGGCTTTGCTTTCTCCTGAATAGGAACTGAAAATATGAATATGTCTTTGTTGTTGTTTGTTTCTGTTTGATAGGAAACGCGTCCAGACTTCATTACGCGTTATGAACTCCGCCGTCTGCGTCGTTTCGGCTGCACTCGGGTGCAGATCGGGGTGCAGCATGTAGATGACAATGTGCTTCAGTTCATCAATAGGGGATGTGCAAGACGGGACGCCATCCGCGCAATTCGCATGCTGAAAGATGCTGGATTCAAAGTCTGTCCCGTTTTCCCATTCTATCTGCTGATAAATAAGCTGTGTATTGTTATGTATTCGTGTGCATACGGTGGAAACAAAGAGTGATGGGAAGGATGATTGACCGTTTTTAGTTGAAATGCTAGAATTCCGAAAATGCTAAATTCAGTAAGCAACGCTTACATTTTGCGGGCTTCTGTTTCAGGTTGATATACACCTGATGCCTGATCTGCCTTCTAGCAGTCCTGCAGCTGATTATCAGATGTTTTACTACGTTCTTTCATCCCCTGACCTCCAGGCCGACCAGTGGAAAATTTATCCATGCGAAGTAACACCCTTTTCAGCAATAGAGGTACAAATAGGCAAAATAAGATATTTCATAGTGTGAAAGAATTGCTCGAGCAACATGGCAGTGGCACTCTGCTAAATCCCGTATACTTACCACATGGATGCGCAGGCTGCATACTTAGTGGAGTACATAACGTCGAAGCATATGTTTCGTTGTGATGTGCTGTGTCAAGTCATCGCCTTGTTATGCAACATGTATCTAGACGCATTATTTGTGTACATGCTAAATCAAAAGTGTACAACCTAAAGCTACGCCGTTGTTTTGTTTGCCGCAGCAATGGTACAAAGAGGGAAAATATATACCGTATGCAGACAGTGATGGAGAGACCCTACTATCCCTTATTTGCTCGGTCAAGGCGGCAGTTCATCCATGGATTCGGCTGAATCGCGTCGTACGAGACATCCCAAACCAATCCATCATAGGAGGTAACAGCGTCACAAACCTACGGTAGGCTAGCCGCCCATGCTTATAAAGAATCCGCAAAGTGCACGCATTCAGAGCGCGTGTTAGTAAAGGTTTCATGTATTTGGATACATCTTTTTATATGCCTGAACGTGCACATCCGGATGCAAATGTATTGCGCATTTCTGGGGGCACATCTCTAGCAGCCTTTTGCCGATTCTGCGGTGGCATGTTCTGTCGAGTATATTATCCCATTGAGTGTGTCCTTTCGCGCTATGGCTTTACTGTCCTTGTCTGTGTTGCTCATCTTCATTTTTCTGTTTTTAGCCAGGAACTCGCGAGAGAGTTAGAGAGCAGACATTTGCGATGTAAATGCATTCGATGCCGCGAAGTGAAGGATGCCGAGTTCGACTTAGCGTGAGCTTGCACGCCCTTTTGGTTTAACAGAACCGAACACTAATTTTGTGTGCAACGGGCAATAAGGGGTGAAGAGAACGATGTGTTGAAAAGTAGTAATAGTGAGGGGAGGCCACACAGACAGGAACGCACGTTGGGGTAACGAAGGGATACAGAGTCTTAGTAGGTGGGAGTGCATGATGCTAATAGCATAGGAGGGCAGCACAGAGCCGTTTGTTAAGATATATTTTTCCTGTGGCCTCCGGCCCTTCCTCCCTGTACATGCAAACGCCAACGTGCGTCCATCCTACTTCATTTCTCCGTCCTTTTTCTGTTTCCACAGTTTGGCGGAGCTCTGTGTCCGTTGCTATGAAACAAACGGCGGCGTGGAATATTTTCTTTCGTTTGAGACGCGCGACAGAAAAACCATTTTCGGGTTTCTTCGAATGAGACTTCGTAGCAAACGACACATACGGGACTGCCCTTTCAGCGTCCTGAATGGGGCGGCGCTATTGCGAGAGCTTCATGTTTACGGTACGATTCTTTAGGGCTAGCTGTGCGGAAATGTGAGCGGGCATTTTGGGGTTTGACAGTTTGCGTCCATTTACACTTTGCTCTCGTCGTGTTGGTGCTTTTGAATGCACTCCTGGCGCGGTCCACAGCTTTTCGTTTATGTCCGCTTATATGCGTCTTCATCCGCGGCTCGCCTCCTGCCCTCAGAGAAGCTTTTAATCACTTTTGCGCCTTTTGCATGTTTTCTGTGCTTAGGGCGTCTGGTAGCCCACGGTGAAGCGAAGAATAGTGACGACATGCGGCCACAGCATGCTGGATTCGGCCGACGGCTAATTCAAGCTGCCGAGATTGTGGCCCTTGCAAAAGGTACTGATCATCACATTCTGTGGCTTACTGCCCGTAGATACTGCTTTTCTATCTTCCGTACTGACGTGTCTGTCTTTTGGTAGCACACTAATTTACTGCAGCGGTGCTTCAGCGTAAATAAGTACGGCCATTCTTCATTCTCTTCAATGTTTATACTGACATACACATAGGTTATGTCACAGCTACACAGCCAGCATCTGAAACACTTACCAGTCTCACTTTTGAGACACAGCTGCTACCTTTTATTTTTACACCTTTCCACATCCTTCTTCCAGGGAAAATTTTGGTCTACAGGAGGGACGACAGCCGATAAAACGAATCGTTATTTCAGCGATCGCAGCTCTCCTGAATGGCTAATAATCACATTATTGTAATGAGCCTCCTCCTTTTTCTTTTTCCGTCGTGTCTTTCTTAACTGTATGACACCTATTCGTCCTCATTTGTGTTGTTTGCACTTCAGGGTACCGCCGGATGGCTGTAATTGCGGGAATCGGCACGCGGGAGTACTATAGGGGTAGCGGCTACCATTTAGAAGATTCTTACATGGTGAAGGAGTTGACAGTCGTGGGACTACATGCAGGACGGGCGGAGTTGCTTGCTGACCAGCCAACGCAGTTGTTAGTTGAACGCCAAGACCTACAGCGTGCCGCTGCTTCTCTGCTGCTGCCGCTGCCGCCCAAGGTCCCTCGGAAGAAGACGAAAGTATCGCACAAGAGTAGCAACAAGCAAAAGGAGAGGACAAGGGAGGCAGAGGACTTCGGGGGATTGGGGGTAACTGCAGCGAATGCAGTTGCCGTTCAGGAAGCAGAGGAAAAGGCTAAAGCATTTCTTACTGAATATGCATATGGCGTGGAGGAGATTGATGTGCCTTTCCTTATACGCAGATTGAGGGACAGTGAAACAACTGAAACACAGGAACAACCCGGATTGTTCTGTGATAATGACACTTTCGCAGAGTATTGCAGTTTGTACACAGCGTTGCAACAAAAGCAGCAGTGTAACGTGATATGCACATCGTGTCAGTCATCTTTCGCTTCCCGCTTGGCTGCTTGGCTTCTTGGCGAAGCTGCGAACACATGTGAGAAGCATCAGATTCTGCTGGCTGTATCAGCAGCAACAGCAGCCGCTACATGTGCCACCTTGGGACTTTTGTGGTTTGCGGCCAGGCGGCGGTATTAGACCTAAACATAACGAAGATGCCTCATATCAGCTGTTCATTGCTACGCTGGCCAGCAATCAATGGGTTAAGGAGCGGAGTACGTGTAGTCTATTGTGCATCGTACTATCAAAATCCGCTAGCACACAACCGCATGCACTGCAGAGCATGAGACCTATTAGTCGTGCATATACTGGAGCAGATGTGCATAAGCAAAAGAAATACGATGGATGAGGGGCGCAGTATTGCTCTAACATGAGGAATCCCTGCTTGGTGCACCAAACATTGCTTTTCAACACCCTAGGTTTTCGCGCTGTCATGCCCATAATTGTTTTGCTTTTGGTATACTGATACCGGCAGCAGCAAGAGCCTGTATAGAACTGCAGTAACACGCCTTTGTATCCGTAAGTATGTTAGATCCGTCTATATCAATCAACTCTATAGAAACGTGTTTTCCATCAGGCATAGTGCTCACGTCCACCAACAAAACTGCTTGCTTTGCGGATAAGGAAACGGGCGGCCAGAAACACCCTTATGATTATAGCCCCCCATATTCGTCGCCACAAAGCCTTTGGATAAAAGTATTGCAGGATCACCACATGCGAATCTGCCAGGAAGAAAAAGTTTGCAAACGAGCGCTACTTCATTAGCCGCTAATGCCCCTCGACAAGGGCATCAGTAGGGTCATTTTTACGAATCAGTCAAGTGACTAGTCAAGCTGTTCGTGCAAATGCAGCCATTGTTGGCTTATGCGGTCCTTTTATCTCCCGTATTCTCATTTCTACGGCGCATGGAAGGGAAAAGGATAACCTCCTTGATCGTGATTTGATCCGAGAGGAACATCGTCAGTCGATCGATGCCGAGACCCCAGCCAGATGTGGGAGGCAGGCCGTATTCCAGGGCCAGTATGTAATTCTCGTCAATTGGGCATGCTTCGTCGTCACCCTGGTCCCTTGCCTTCTCACACGCAAAAATTCAGAAAACTGCTGATACTTGCCTGTGCATTGTCGTGCACCTAGGTTCAGGATTTACAAAAATCCACTTGAGAAACCTTGTGGGAGCCTACTGGCCCTCATTGTCAGCACCCTTAAAAAGTGCGGGAAACTGCTAGGAGGGTAGGTGACAAAACAGCAGCAAACTATCGGGAGGCATTTACCTTTGCTTGGTCCATGAAACATTCCCGTTGCTTCTTCGGGTCGTTAAGTTCAGTATATGCGTTGCACAATTCCTTGCCCATTAGGAAGAGCTCAAACCTTTCTGTCAACTCCGGTTTAGATCTGTGCCACTTAGCAAGGGGAGACATCACCTGCGGATGTTCTATAATGAAAGTTGGCTTCGTTGTACATTGAGTTTCTACAAAACGGCCACCCAGACTGTCTAAGGCTTTAGCGGGGGTGAATGGGTTAGGCAGCTCAATCCCATGCTTCTTGATAAGGGATTTCATAAACTCCAAGCACTCAGGGCCGTCCAGCGGCCGCGGCAACGTGACACCGGCCTGTTTCTCTATCTCCTCAACTAGACAAAGGCGCCGGAATGGAGGAGTGAAGTCGAGCTCCACTACTGGTCCGTTGGGGCCATCAGGATGGAAGGGTATCTTGTGGCTTCCGTGAATAGATAACACCATTGCTGAACACAAAGGCTCGTACATTTGGCTATTCCAAAAGTGAATAGCCCAGAATATGTGAAGTACAGATCTACATTGACACCAGTAAAATGCCTCTCACAACGCAAAGGAGCAAACTGGCAAAAGGAGACAAGCAAGTTATCGACACATCCATGAGTCTCAATGCTTGCTCTTCAGTAGTAAGCTTATAATCTTAAACTGTGGGACACACTTCCAGAAATTCAAATACGCCGGGTATAACAAATGTGCAAGCACGACAAAACGCGTTGAAGTAAATATCAACAATTGAAAGGGCTAGTCTTACCGGAAAGCATTTCTTCAGTCAGTTTCATTGTATCGTTGTAATCAGCGTAGGCCCAATAGAATTCACACGCTGTGAATTCCGGGTTATGCGTCATGTCGATTCCTTCATTTCTAAAGTTTTTCCCTATTTCATACACCTTTTCCATGCCCCCAACTGTAAGCATCTTGAGGTATAGCTCTGGAGCAACACGCATATACAAGTCTGTCTTCAGGTCGTTGTGGTGCGTAATGAAGGGCTTCGCGTTGGCGCCCCCAAAGATTGGGTGCATCATTGGCGTCTCAACCTCTACGAATCCGTTATCCTCAAGAAAGTCGCGCATAAAACGAATAACCTTCGACCTGAGGCAAGACGGCTCGAAGAATCGAAGAAAGGGAGCTGACTGGCAAATTGTGTACAACACGGGGAAACGGGAGAAGCCCTGCAAGATAGAGCAAATTAGCAACGTAAGTACTCAGGGTGCTCCTACATCTTTCTCGGCAGTGATACGAACGCTAATAGAGAAACAAAGGGTTGTCCGTTACGTAGATCGGAAACCTTGGAAATAAACTGCAAGCTGAACAAACTCTCCATTCCTTTTTCTGCCTAAGGATTATATGTTTGCCAGAAAATAGCTACACCGCCTGTGCAGATATGTGAATCACCTGATGGAGAAGATTTTGTGTGGCTGGTCATTAACGATTAGATCGATAAACCGATGGCGGAATCTAGTGTCTAAATCCTTCAGTGTATTTCTTTCCGGGAGCATTCGAAGACAGGGTGTCAGCAGCCTCATTTCACGAGGAAAAATAGACAACTCCCCGCGTTTCGACTTGCCAGGGTAACCACGGATGCCTGCAGGGCATGAAAGTCATATCGAACACCGCCTTTCTTGGAACACCACTGTTCTATAATCCAACGTATACAGAAAGGCAGATCGAGTTTATAGGCTTCCGTACCCACGATATCGCCTCTCCGAAACGCATTGTGAATCTCAAAGAAGTCTCCAGTCGACGGATCATGATCCCCCAAATTCGCCATTACTTGGAGGCGGAGGTTGCAACTGCGAATGTCGTAAAAACGGAGCTTTTGGCCACTTGCTGCCACGCGTGTCAGGCGCCCTACAGGAATAGAACAAATATAGGCAACGCTGTATACTTCATTATTCCACGCTCTGAAGCCTCTCGCATAAAAGTCAAAATCACCTGTGACGAGATCTTCAGCTCACTGCTCAGGTCAGCTACAGTCGTTGGGGGAAAGTTAACAAAGATTAGACAAATCTTCAGCTAAAAAGCTATAATACGAACCAGCGAGGCAAACTTCTTCCTCAGGGAGGTGCATGCCGTCGGCCAGACTTCCGTACTTTTTCTGATACTCCTCCATCGTTATTGTGACCTGAATAATGGCGGTAGTATACCTTTCAACAGTGGTGTATTTAGAAAACTCCACAGCTCATGCAAATATGTACTTATAGGGGTAGACGCCAATTCCCAATCATCACAAAAATGCATGGTCCGATAGAGAAAGCACCCTCAAACAGTCTGCGGGTGACCTGGAGAACAAGATTCATAGGAACCAGCTGCCTTATTCACGCCTGTATTTCACTTACGTTAAACTTATGAGGGTACGCAGCATTTTTGCTCCGGAGCTGTTCAACAAATTTGCACCGACTTTCGTAGAATTCCCTCGGGTCGACCTCATTTCCATTCTTGCCTTCGCCTCTTGTTTTCTGAGCATCCACCTTACGGAGCTTTTGCGGCTCTCTAAATAGCATAAAGCAGGACAAGCTAAACGAAAAGAACTTCAGCATCCCATTGGGGTTTTCAAGAGGGAAAGACTAACTAGAGCGGACGCAACTGTACCCGCTGCACTCATGGGTTATCACCAATAGGCTGTATCTTCTCCCCTATAGAGGTGCGCTAGTCTCACTTATCTGCGAGCGTAGGTTCTTGGTCAGTGGGTTGCGCAGGGGGGGCCATCACACTCATTGTATCTTCAATGCAACCACGTGAAGCGCTCACGCTGAGATAACGTGCTAACTGTAAGGAGGAAGTAGTTTGACTGTTATATGGCTTGAAGAAAATACGCCCTGTAGGATATGCTGCTGAGAAATTAGTTGAAAGGAAGGAAGATACAGGATCGAGCAGTCTAATGGCCGGAGGAGATCGAAGTGGGCGCAGCCAAGGCCCCACCGCCCCACGGCGAAGAGGAATGACAACTGAAAAAATGGTACCGAAAGTTTTCCTTACGGCCATTTATACTTTAGTACACTAGGAAAAAATCGCCTAAGCCATGTTCCAACACACGTGTTGCCCTCTCATTTAATCAGACATGCTAGCAGGTGTCGTAAGCCATTGGGTTGCTGTGTACGAGAGCAAAACAGCATGCATTGATTACTTTGTCATGCATGACCCCCCCTATCTGCATCGGTTAAGTTATACCACGGATGAACACTGTTTATAACGACTCTCTTCCCCTACTTTTTCAACATCTCGTTTGGCCATGCATAAGTTCTTGCTCAAATAGAGGTGTTTTTGTGATAATCGTGGGCACTGAGCATCCAACGCTACATGCAACGGGCCGATGTACTCCCACGACGTTTACCCTTATCGCCATCTCATTTACAATCATTATCGTTTTCCCTGAATTATAGACTTCAATCTATCTGTGCAAACGTGGTAGCTTATACAGCAATGTACAGTCAAGCACGCCTTCATGCATGACAGACATGGGCAACATAACTGCTTTTGTCTGTTTATCGATAGAAGATTATGCAAATAGTCTTTTGACAATATGTCTTACAGAGTTTTACTCAAGCCTAACTGTTGAGATGGTCGAAGCTTTGTGAGCGTCCCCGTAGTGCGCCTGTCCAGCACAGCGCACCTCTAGCGCTGCATCTAAGATCTCTATTGGGAAACCCTTGACTCAAGAGTCGATAAAAACTACTGAAATGTCTCTGAGTACTCCTTATAAGGGCTCTTCTGCATACCTGCCAGTTTCCTCAAAGTTCCTGACATGAGGAGGGAGAGAGATAGCTTTGTTGCACGTTGCTTAGCAGCTTGCATTGGACACCTTCTGATACATCTATTATGCTTAGAAATAATTATTTACAATTCATGCCCCCGTTCTTGGCATATTAGTGCTAGCTCGATACATTAAATCGCAATGTTGTATGCTTATGTGTTGGAACACTCACGTACAACTGCCCGTGAATGTTCGCAGTGCCCGGGGTTGCAGCTGCGTTCGCTCTAAGTATCCCTTTCCTCAAATGTTGGGAACGAGGCGGGCCGCAGGAGGAATACGCAGCTATCAAAGAAAAGCCTTCCAGTAACCTTTTAATTAAATTTTAGTTGACTGGAGTTCAACACCTCCCTACGGACACCTTCGATGGGACATCACACTTAGTAGTACAGCATAGTTCAATGCAACTGTTCCCCGCTCATTTACTAGCTCTATAGATCAAAGCATGCACAAACTCCTTTACAACTTGTTTGGCTTGAATTGTGTCCAGTAATCAAATGATCCGACGTTATTGGGTCGCATTCTTAATTTAAAAATAGAACTACCTGTTGCGGAAAGCCCTTTGGGGCTCCCGAGGCACGCCTAGACAGCTGACAAAATAACACTATTTTATTAGCCGATTAACTATTTATGAATGCTTCAATGATTTTATGGCAACCAGAAAAGTATTATAGCCAAAAGTACGAGCAAGTACTCAATTTTTCCATCAGCTGTATGGTGATGAGCTTCACTTGGTATTCCGCAGATACATAAAACGAGTGCTCCTTACAGCATGTTTATGGGGAGGATACTACGTCTAGTGTGGCTCACTCCCCCCAGAGTTAGTTGTCTGCCTGCAGGAATCACTACAGTTGAGACTCAAAAAAGACACTCTGCTTCATTGATTTAGGCCCAAATCAGCTCAACAAGCTTTGAAGCAAGCAAAAGCGTGGGGTAATGTAAAGGCATCAATGGATTGCTACACAGAAAAACGCGAGGTGGTGTTGCGTGGCTCGCAGAAGCCAAAATGTACAAGAATATGTGCTCTATCGGTGATGCGTATCAGGTCAACGTGGAATGTTTCGTCAAGTGGTTGCATGGTGGGAAGCAGCTCACCTATTAACAGTTAAGTGCAAAGCCTCCGCAAATGAAGGCTTGATAGAGATTTTAGAGGCAAATGAGCAGAACTAGTGCTTTGGTTTGGTAAAATGGAAGAGCCTATTCGGGTTACAGAACCTATGGTCACCCCGGCTGCTTCGACCAACCTTCCAGTACAGCCGGAACTAGACGAGAAAATAAAGCCTGAGAAAACCCGTGCTTTCAACCAGCCTCTGAGCCCTCCAGAGCACCTGGTTCTATTCGTGGAAGATTCAATCACGCACTCTGGACCTGTAATCGCATGCAAAATTCAATGTAACGTAAAGAATGAGACTGAGCTCAGCCGGCGTAGACTACCTGGCAGCCAATAAAGCGTTTCAGGGAAGTCAAAAGCATCCAACTCAGGCTGCGGCGTAGCGAAGGGGGCTACAGACAATGAGTTCACACTTAGGGACTCATCAGGGGTCAGTTCTGTGCTGATCGAAGATTACATTAATGGCCAAGAATTGCTAACATCACCTGACACTGGCTATGAACTCGTTTTGTCACCCGAAGAGCTGAACCAGAACTACGACCTGCATAAACACTCGTTACCGCAGTCCCTGAGAGTCGGGTTTGCTGGCAGGCAGCTGAACGCAATGCCTAGCACGGCCACCTCAGCTAAATGCATTTTTAAATTGAGCTTTGGTCATCTTAGTATGATCCAAAATTCTGCGTTGGACCATCCACCGTTTTTACTAGTAGGCATGCCATGGGACACCCAATCAAAGGAGCTCATGGGGCCACACATGCTCGCTGTGGAGGTTAACGTGCGAGGAAGCCCTACGAAGAAGCAACGACTAAACTCTCCAGCAAGGCTTATTTCGTCTATGGGGAGTACGGCATTATCGGCCCGTCAACAAGGCGAGGCATAATATTCATGTGGATGGCGGAGGGAGGCAGTAAGAGAAGGCGCTTCTAAGCATGCATGCAGTCTTATTGGCTCTGCACATGAATTTGCGTTGTAAATTTGATTAAATGTCTAGACTAAGTACAGTATGAACGAGTAAATGTCAAATGGGGGCTCGCGGATGCCCTAGATCATGAAGAGCTGCCAGCGCGCTCGCCACGTGCTGGTCGTCCAGCGACCCGTATTGAGCTGGCCCCCGGATGACTTTCAAGTTGTGTTTCGCGGCATAAGAAGCTCTTTTACTATGGAAGACCGGGGGTCAGCTTGATGGCTTGTTGGAAATGGAAAAGTGCAGGAATTGCTCGGCACCTGTGGGCATAACCACTTGTTAATGCGAAAAGAAGGATGAATTGTAGCGCACGCGCATTTGTTTTAAGCCCCTAAACAAGATAATTGTGAAGCAAACGCATCCGGGGTCTCGTATTCGCAAAGGACTTGAACAAATACACGAAGTTGCATTCTTTTCCATTATTGTTTTCCCAGACACGTTCCAACAAATCCTCACTCAGCCTGGCGACAGGCATAAAACGGCATTTCGCGCTTACACTGGCAAACTTGAGCATATTTCATGCTGCTTGTATTAATTAGCGCCTGCGCTGGACTGCAGGGGTGACTTAACGTCGATGTTTAACTGCCAAGCAAGGAGGGGTGGATGACGATGTACATGGAGAGGGTCTAATTTTTCAACCGAAAAGCTTACGCGTACCTACGGCATGTGAACTAGCTGTTTCGGGGTAAAAACATGAAGTTAAAGGCATCCATATGTTCACGTGCCATGATAACAAGTGTGTGCCTTGTAGTCCACACTTTTCCTGCAGGCATTGTACCAAATCCGCTACAATCGACATGATCAAGGCGTGGCCTTCAAGTTTACACACTCTCGAGCTCTTAAAATACATGGAATCGAATCCGATTTTCCAGCATGACTGCTTGCTCATCTATTATACTCTGGAAAGCGTGCTCTGTCATCTGACTAGAGAAGACTGATGTTCCACCAACGACGTCTATACCCCGCCTTTCCATTTCTTCGCTGCTCATACGATGACCGTCATGTCTCTTCAAGAACCACCGCGAGTTACGTAGCGGCAGGCTCTATTCTTTTTCAACACCCTACAGGGTCTTCGAACTACCAAAAAACTGTTAATTACTCCAGTTCTTCACTGAAGCTGAGCAGCGGTGTGCAGTGCGAGAACAGAGCTCTTATGAGGATTGGTGGGGCGTTGACAATGCCAGCACTATTCATGAGCGTGATTCTGCTGTCTACACAAATCGTCAGTCTATTTTGAATTTACCTGTTTTTCAAGACTTTTGATAATCCTAGGCTTTATTTGCGCGCCTTCTGCGGTATGACTTGACAGTCAAGTAAGTTAGAGGCATCATCAACTTCGCTGCCGACGCGCTCTCGCGATGCCCCAGCAATTTACTATTGTGCAGCGCAGGTGCTCTTGGGTGCCATAGTTTACGATGTCTATCGAATTTGCGTATGTTGCCTGCTTTAGGCATCCTTGTAATCCAGAAGGGTATATGAAGGACTATTTTGTCGAGGAAGGCCTGCCACGGTTTAAAACGAAGCGAGCACTCAATAAAGTTACATCCAGACGTTGCTCCACGCTGCAAGTTGGCGTGATGCACATGATTATTTGGGTTTTTTGGTTTTGGGTGGGAGACACCTTACAAGGGAAAAGCCTTCGCGGTCCTTCTGGTGGGCTGGGATGCTTTATAGGGTAGAGTAGTATGCACTGTAAAGCCCAAACTGCCCGTAGCCAAAGCGGTGTAATCCCCCTGGACCAGGGCATTTCGCAAGGCTTTCTGAATCCTCGAACAATGTGTGCTGACCTTACTATACGTGTTTGGTCCTGTTGGACTGCCGAAGGTCGCGGGTCAGGATAACATCTACGTCGTTGTCTACGCATTTGGCAAAGATGCCCATCTCATTCCTTGCTTGACTTTATCAAGGCTCAGAAAGTCGCTCAATTATCCTTATTTCAAGTCCACAACTTTCAAGGATTCACCAGGAGTGTATGTGCGGACAGGGAGCCGAGGTTCATCATTGCGCTCCGGCATGCCTTTATGATCCGTCGGCACAAATGGCCATAATATGAGCACTGCGAATCATCCTGGGGCACATGGGCACAACGCACCACCGGCGCTCTTTTGCAGCATTGGCGTTACTGTGCTCACGAAAAACTGTCTGCTTGACTGTATAGTCTTTATTGTGCGAAGCGCTCTCATGAGACACGATTTGTTTTGTTACAATGGTCTGCCTTGTACCCCTACACCCTTGCTATAGACTGAGAAGCGCCACCTTGCTCCAGGCCTGGATCATGCAAATCGGATTAAGCAGCGATCTAGAGCAGAGCAGATATTCACAGAGCAGCTGGCTAATGCGCCAGTAATCATAATCGCGTGTTTTTAGATGGAGTTTTGCGGATATATTAGCGTGGTTGGCAGGTTGTGTCGAGCCTTGAGATTTGATCCTGGAGGATTCGCACGCTTTACGAGGTGCAGGTGACGGGACGAAAAAGTTTACGCCCACGTGGCTAGGACTACTTGCACTTCTCAAGTCAGTGTGCTGCTGTCTTTTAATTTCCCTAAAAGTTGGTAATGCTACGGAGTTATCAATGTTGGATTCCTAGGGGAGTTTTTTGAAGCATTAAGAACTGGTCACGGACTTTGCTGTGCAGGCACCTGACCCCTGTAGAGGCAGCAGTAGAAGTGCAGGATTCTCCGATTATCGAGCGCAAAGGACCCACTAGGTGGGAGAGTGGGTGACATTATCTGGGGAGTGCAAGTCTTCAGTGAGTAATGGAGGAGCAGTGGGGTTCGTTGCTGCAGGCTCTATCTGGGTCAGTGCATTGTGCAGCAGTGAAGTATTCCGTACGTTTCATCGCAGTTATCCCTACGTAGTGCATGCTCTGTCTGAAATAGCTACCTTTGTCCATGGAACTCCCTTGAAACCTTATCGGGATCTGCTATCAAGGTGATGCCTACAATCATATTTTTATGAGCAGGCACTGACAGGCAGAATTTCTCTACGTTCTCTCTCATGCCTCTTCTGAGGCTTGGAATTCAACTGTGCAAATGTTCTTGCTGTATTTGCACACCAACATTGCTTCACGAGGTGCGGAGACATTGCTGGACCACTGGGAATTCTAATCCCGTTTGCACATTCCACCTGTTTTCTGTTTTCTCGTTGTAGGCCCACTCAATCCAGCTCTAAGCGAGACGTTGCCCCGCCGCGATCGGTTGGGATTGGACCCTTGTTGGTAGTGGGCTAGTGTGTGCCTTTTTCATCCCGTCCTTTCCTTGTCAGCGATAGGTGCACACATTTGCATTTCACATTTGTACTGTTGTCGCTCTTTTGTTTTCCTGGGTAGTGCGGAAAGGGCGGGAATCCTTCCGCAGTCCTGCAAACAGCTGGTCTCGATGTACCGGTATGAAACACGAAAGCATGTACTTTGAAGCGGGACAGAAATGGTATAAAGTATCGCTGGCTAAACTACACAAACATACTTCCTCTTGCATGTTTTTGCGTAATTAATAAGTGCTACAGAATGAGAGAAACGGAGTTTTTTGTTCATATATGATAATAGTTGCAAAGCGCAGTTCGCTGGATACAATACGGCACCAATTTCAAATGCCGCTGCTTTAGAAGCTTGTGCGCTCTCGGTGAATGCTGATTTGCTGACCGGGTGCGGCAAGATGCACCCCATATTCCCCACTCGCATGTCGGGGGGCTCTGCAAGGCGCGGCGAGGGAGACGGGGACTTCTTTTGAGGAAGGGCTACTGGCTTCCTAGTAATTCTTCATTGTGTCTCGATTCAATTAAGTATCTTTCTACTAAGATCTTTTACATGGAACGTTACATTTGACTTTTTCGTCCGCAGAAAGTTCCGGGCTTGCTCTCCAAAAGAGGTTGCTGTTCCATTCTTGCTCAAAGAGCACGCAGGCAGAATGAGACCCAACAGGGGAATTCGCAACACGGGTGTTGCTAGCTAAACATCTTCGCATTCTTCTTTTTGCACTTTCTCGTCACAAGCCTTGTGCTTGTGCACACGGGGTACGCTCAAAGGTGGAATGTAAGGGCATCCGAGCTGCCCCGGAAGATATATTACCATTAAGCCCATGTATTCAACTCACAACAATCGTGAACTGCACCAAATTTATCGCAAATTAACAGCCGAAGACCATCGAATCCCCAGCGCACATGTAGCCGCCAACATGGACCTAGTGCGGTTACTTCGCTGCGCCTAAAGTGAAATTTTTTTACTCCTGGTAGTTAAAATATATATGAGTTAGGACCATGCCGGTTTCTCACGCAGTGGAGCACTTGCATCGCAGCTGGGGGACATGCAGACACCAGCTTATTTGGTTACGCGGTAGCAATTAGCTTTCTTTATCTCCGCAGGTACAGTTTCTTCTAGCCCCCATCCACATTATACAGTGGCAGGGAGAATTTGGGGAGGGGCAGTGTATTTAGATCGCAGAACAGTGAGCTTCTCCAGAGCTGTAAGAATGCTGTAGCAGCCGCCGAAGGGCAGGTGCTCTGCTGTTCCGTAGTCTTGTGGATTATGTTGTTTCTTCGTCCTACGATATTAAATGAGCTTTGTTACGTTTCTTTTATTTTCTAAATCTATCTTTCAACCGTCTTCTTCCGTTAACATTCAGCAGACTCCCAGCTGCTCATTGGCGCATAAGCTCCGTGGGTCGCCCCCAGGACTGTGTCCAACAACTGCACTTTCTCTTCTCGTGTCGCTCTCCTTCTTGATGCAACAGTTGCTAGCGTTTGTCTCTTTACTCACTTCTCTTGCTCCCGGCCTTCTCCCCAGAGTTACAACTGTACGTACAATACTGGCCCCCACAGCTTTGTGCCACACCAGTTCCTTCCTATCTCCTCTTAATAACTGCTTCTCCCCCTTCTCCCAACTCCGTGGTGCACGGGCTTTTTCGCTGCATCAATCCAGCTCTTTTCCCCGTTGCCCAGGTGCCACCACTCTTCTCCAACGTGATCGAACAGCTGCAGCTGTAGGAACAGCAACCGGATACGGCAGCACCAACAGAATAAATCAGCAGCAGAGACATCCAAAAATGACGACGACGCCAAGCTCCACCAGCATAACCACCGGTGGTGCTGTGCAGACTATGGAAGAGCTGCAAGCCATGGCTGAGAAAGCGCGGGCGGAGGGTTGGCCTTCCTCGGCGGTTCGTGAGGTTTACATTTCGTTCTTCGAGTTGATGCAGCACAAGAGATACGCGTCATCTCCTGTCGTTCCCCATGGAGATAATACACTTCTGTTTATTAATGCCGGTAATCAAGCTTCTCCGGTTGCTGCCATACTGCAGGCTCAGCACCAGAGTCTAGGGCATAGGAAGGGCAGCGGTGTTGGCATCTGGGGGCATGCATCTATAGCCACGGAGAGGATGGACTGCTTCTTATGGGAGCAGCTGGTAGTACAGTGGCCCCCATGTGCCTGTGGATAAATATAGACGAGAACTGCTTCATTGTGCTATCTCCTGTTGCACACGAAGTGCTGCACTCGTAATTGCACGTCAGTGCATTCGCGTGACTGATAAAACGCACCTTTTGCTCGTTTTGTGTTTATTTACAGCTTCCGGCCATCTAAATATGACTTTACTTTGTTCTCGATGTCTGCATCTGTTTTTCCAGACGTGGTCTCTGCCTTCCTCTGCACCCTTTTGCTATGTCTCCATCTCTTCTTCCGTACATTTGTCTTAGTACATTTCTTCTCTCACCAGTATTTAGAGCTTCGCGAGCGCTTGAGCTTGTGGTCCTGAATGCATATTTGGTTTTTGCTTGCAGGTATGAATCAGTTCAAACCTGTCTTTTTGGGCCAGGTGGACAAGAATTCCCCTTTGGGTATGGTTCTATTCCGCGGGCTGTCTTGCCTGTCCCTCCCTATTTCTATCGAGCTTCCTCATGCAGCTTCTTTTCAGTGCTTGCTCGTTTTCTGCCTGCTTTTAATACTGCCGTTTGATCGGTCTCCTTTGTTTCAGGCCGCTTACGTCGTGTGGTTGACACACAAAAGTGCATCCGGGCTGGAGGCAAGCACAATGACCTGGAAGATGTGGGGAAGGACGAGTACCATCACACGTTCTTTGAAATGCTGGGAAACTGGAGCTTCGGGGACTATTTCAAAGATGAAGCCATTGAATGGGCGTGGACGCTTCTAACCGAGGTGTACAAACTGCCCAAGGACAGGTCAGAAGTGCAAGAGATAGGCCACCGCCTCGCGTTTGGGTCGTCCAGCAGTTGGCACGCTTTTCTGAGTATTTATTTGTATTTGAACACCACAAGGGATTTACTAGCGATGCGTGGCTGCACGGAGTTTGACGTATGCGAAGTAGCGGCGGGGGCGTGTTTGTGGTGCTTCCTACCTCTCGAATGAGGCTTTCTCGGCGCCTCTGCTGACTATTTTTTATTTCTTTCTATCACGTGCCATGGTAATCGCATTATCGCATAGCGTTATGGGCCAGAAAGCGCTTTCACAGGAGGTCCTACAAGGAGCCTTCTCTCCGTATGGCCGCACTGCATCGCTTGCTCTTTGTGTTTCCTGGTGTGTGGATGCTTAAGGTTGTACGCAACGTACTTTGGTGGAGATCCGAAGTTCCCGAGCTGTCCTCCGGACGAGAAAGCGAAGGCTATTTGGCTTAAATACCTACCTGCAGAAAGGTTTGTAAGGGGATTGGCATATTTAGCACTGAGGGGTTTTTGGCCAACTTGAGGAGTAGTATGCCATGTGACGCGCTATGTTCGTTTCGTTCGCGTCTGTCTTTGCTGACAGGCTCCTTTTTTGCCTTGCTATTTTGGTTATTTTCATCAATCAGCCTTGTTTACTTGATCCTCCTTCACGTATGTCTACCGATGTCGGCATTCAGGGTTCTCCCGTTCGGAGCGAAGGAAAACTTTTGGGAGATGGCGGATGTAGGACCCTGCGGTCCATGCACGGAGATTCACTTTGATCGAATAGGTGCCTATACACCCTAGTCCCCGTACTTAAAACCCTAAGAGGAGGTCATCCTGCCGTAGTAGCACGTTTTGTGCTTTGCGGAACCACTGCTGCATCTTAATGCTGCCTTTTGGTGAAGGCACCCAGCTAGGTTCTAGTTGCTGGCATTCAAAGCCTTACTATGAACTCTGCTGACCATTGCTTGAACTGGAGGTTTTCTTAAATGGATAGTTCCAAGGGGTAACACACTCCATAGTGTCATCTCCTCTTGCACATCTTTCAGGTGGCCGCGACGCTGCGAGCTTGGTGAATGAGGACGATCCCTCGGTCCTCGAGATCTGGAATTTGGTATTTATGCAGTTCAACAGGGAAAACAGCCAAACTCTCACACCCCTACCTGCACCCTGCGTCGATACAGGTAGGAGTTGGTGTTGGTAAGGGAGCACACTGTTTGCTCTCAGGGGATAGGTTTCTGTAGGGAATGGGGGTGTGGGCCGCGTGTGTTTCTTGGCTACATGGTTTGTGGTTCATTTTGCCTGCCTTTGTACCACCGCTTGTGGGGATGCCTTTGCAATGCGCAGTGTTTGCTGGTGTGTGTTTCTGTTGCGGGGGAGATCAGGGATGACATTTGTTCTGTGGTTTCGGCGTACTTTTCCGCAGGTATGGGCTTGGAGCGCCTGGTTTCAGTGTTGCAGCAGAAGAAGTCAAACTACGACACGGATCTATTTTTGCCCCTTTTTGAGCGAATTCACTCTTTCAACCCGAAGCTGCCACCGTACCAGGGGAAGGTGATTGCAAAACCCTGGTAGCATAAGCCCTAAAAAGTCGAGTTTTTAGTCCGTAGCGTGTGCAGATTACTTGACCATTGATTGGTGAACACTGGCCACCGCCGTTTTCTTCAAGTGCCTGCACACAACCGTGACGGCTCTTAATGCCTAGCGCTCCACTGTATGACGTATCTGCCCCCTCTCGATCCTTTCAATGTTCTACTTTAGGTAGGGGCAGCGGACAAAGACAAGATAGACATGGCTTACCGTGTCTTGGCGGACCACATTCGGTGCTTATCCGTGGCCATCACTGACGGAGCCGAACCTTCGAACGAGGGACGGGGTTATGTCTTGAGAAGAATTCTCAGAAGAGCTATTCGTTTTGCGAAACAAACACTCCAGCTACCTGGTACGCCGACGCTTTCCAGGAAGGCTAATACCTGTGGAAAAGAGGAAATTGAATATTCCTGCGTAGATCTTGGACCCCCTTTCCTACCGGTCTACCTCTTGGTGTTTCTTTGTGTCTGGGCTTTTGCCTTCTTCGCTTTCCTTCTCTTTTTTGTTGGAGTTGCTGTATCGGGCAAACGTAACTACGTATGAATGAGTGTGTGACTGCACCGTGGTCCTTTCCTTTTTCCCTTTAAGTGTGGCTCTGTCCTGCGCATTGCATGCATACTGGCAAATATACCTTGAACGGTGGGAGTCACTCTCCGGTTCGCTTCTTTCGCATTGTCGTGCTCCGAGCTTGCCTCCTTGTAAGACCCCGTCTTTTTATCTGTCCCTGTTCAGACAAAAGCTTTCCACAGTTGGTGTCTTGCGTTTGCTCGTCCCTCGGTGCTGTTTTCCCGGAGCTTATCCGCCGTCAAGAGAAGGTCGAACAGATTCTTTCGAGGGAAGAACAACAATTTGCTAAGACTCTGGATAAGGCAAGTCCCGAACCACGCCCCGCCAACCTCGTAGTGCCAAGCTTCAGGCAGTCTGAAAATTCTGGCACTTGCAGCAACCTGTGCCTTCACATTCGTCTCTGTTTATGGTAGTTCTCATCTCGTATATTGCCTGTAGATCGGAGTCCCTGCTAGCGCCATGCATCTCTTGTGCTTCTTCCTTTCGCCCCCCTCCGCGTGTGTTCTTGCATTCGCGTATCAAATAGCACACTGTCCCCCTTTTGAGTGCCACTATATCTACCTCCGCCTCTTGCATTGGCACCTTCTGCCGGTGCTCTGCTGCTTGCTTTAGGGTGTTGAGCGCTTCAAGAAGGTTGTCGCATCGCTCTCTCCTGGGAGCAAGTTCCCCGGTGCTGAGGCGTTCACGCTCTACACCACCTACGGCTTCCCTTTGGACCTCACAGAGCTGATGGCAGAGGAGGAAGGCAGGGCAGTTGATGTTGAGGAGTTCAAAAAGAGGTAAGGAGGAGGGTGTATCTTTTGGGCCAAGGGCAAGAAAGTAGAGTAGGGACAGCTCAGGTGCACGATACGGGCACGCACACGTGGACGCAGAGAACACGCACACACGCTAACCTCCGGGTTTCCTTTATTCTCTGCATGTCTTTACCTCTTTGTTCACATGCATGCGTGCTACAATTCATATCAAATATTTTGTTCTCCGAAGTCTTGAGAAGCCATGATTGTGTTTACTCTTCACTCCCTTACCACCGCATCGTGTTGTCCTTGTCTTTCTTAGTTTCGCACCCACTGCAAATTATTGGGTTTGTGTGCAAAGGTTTGAGGAACATCGTGCGGCATCAGAAAACGCGAACTTCAAGGCCTTAGGTGGAGCCTCCGTCTGCCGTCTACCACCCGACCAGCACCACAAACTGGAGCTCGAAGGCGTGCCGCCAACGAATGATTCATTCAAATATAAGTGGAACATCGCACAGAAGTTTTATGATGCCGTAAGCAGAGGAACATTCCGGGAAAGCGACAGGAGAAACGGCAGACAGAGACAACAGTATAATGAGGCAGAAACAGTTTGCAGAGTGTCTAGGGGTATAAGTCCCGCATGGAGGTATATAAGAGCAGTTTACTCGACGAGAGGGATGCGGGAGTGGCGAGAAGAGGCAAGCAAAGCTAAAGGATGTGGAGAAGAAGCGGCTTCTTATGACTGCAACCATGCCGTGTATATTTTTGGATTTATATTTGTATACTTTTCGAAGCACTTTGTATTTTTGCTTGAATGTGCATTCACCTGAGGTGCGCGTTGAATCCAGATATCACAGGCTGCTCGAGTCCCTTGTGATCTCTGATTTTTTACCCCAGGCGACAGAAACATTTCCCCCGTGCACCTGTAAGGTCTACGCCATATGGAATGGATCCAACTTCATGGTGAGGGTTCGCCCTTTGAGTTTTTTTTCGCGCATCTGCAGCACAGCCTCTTGCTTTTCGTGTGTCCAGCTAGTGCGCCTAAATGGGCCTTTCGTCTAAGGGATGAATTTGTGGGATCATGCGTCGGGTGTACTACGTGTGCATGTGTATATGTGCGTTGCTTGCTGTTCACTTTGTTGTAGGACTCCGCCTTTGAGGATGGTACAGTGGTGGGCCTAGTGCTTGACCGTACTCCCTTCTATGCGGAGCAGGGAGGCCAGCTGGGTGACGAAGGGATTTTGCAGTCTGGGACTGTGCGCTTCAAAGTCAGAGACACGCAAAAGAGTGGCAGCTATGTCCTACATATAGGTTCAATATTCGGATCGGGGACACTCAAGGTGAGAAAAAGGGTGCAATCAGCAGATTAGAAGGAAGTGTGGTTAGGGCAGCTGGCTAAGGTACAAGTATCTTGCAACGTTTGTGAAATTTTGAAAATTTAGGGTATGGGGTTTTGTAGGTACGTGGGACGTGTGTGTTTCACTTTGCATTGTTGTGCTCATATGTGCGTGTTCGTAAATTTTGGTTAAGAATTCAGAAGCTTCCATCAGGTGTGCTAAGTATATATATATATATATGTATGTGTTCGCTTTAGGTTGGCGAGGAGCTCGTTCCCCGGGTGAACTACGGACGCCGTTTTGGGCTTGCACAGCACCACACAGCAACGCACTTGTTGGGAGTCGCTTTAAAGCAGGTTCTGCTGCAGGACGGAGAGGGCAAGAAGGAGCCTGGAAAGCCTTGCAAGGCGAACGACAAGATTGTTAATGGAGAAGCTAATGCAGACAAGAGAACTATAAAGCAAAAAGGATCTTTGGTCGAGGAGAAGCGACTTCGGTTTGACTTTGACTGGGATGCACCTCTGACAAATCAGCAGCTGGAAGCGATTGAGCTCCATGTTCAGAGAGCAGTATGCCACAAAGCCCCAAATTTGATATTAGAGTCCATAACGACATAATCTGCGTCTTGGGCTACGTGGGAAAAGTGTGTAATGTGGAGAGATGTGGAATCTTCTATGTCCGAGCTGCTTGTTGCGTCGCCTTAGTTTTCCACAGCCTCTGAGAACGGTTATTCTGTTTCTTTGACCCTTTAGTTTCTGGTTTCAATATGCTCTCCCTTCTGCTGCGTGTGCCCTACCATCGCAAGCCCCTAAGTATATCCTCTCAGCATGCTCCCGCCTCGTCTACTTCATAGTTCGCTCTCTGCCAGCCTGGCCGTTATTTGTCTTGCAGCTAGCTGGATCCCTGCCAGTTTCAACTGCTGTGCTTCCCCTAAAATCGGCACTCACTCTGCCTTCCCTCTGCGCGGTCTTCGGCGAGGTGTATCCAGACCCAGTGAGAGTCGTAACGATCGGTCCAGACACCGAAGAAATTCTGAAAATCAGAGAGACACAGGGAGAAGACAAAGTGAACACCAGTGTGGAACTGTGCGGAGGCACACATCTTAGCAGCGCGGCACAGCTGGAGGTATAAATTGCACGACACATTGGAGACTGGGCAATCGCTTTCTAGAGATTACGGCTTCAGGGTTCACATTTAGCTAGGTGCTTATATTGGAATGATTTCTGGCGGCAATGCTTTTATGAGGACTTCTGTACATCGAAACTATGCCTAAAGATCCTCATAGCCGCTCGGACGTTTATTGATGCCTGAAGTAGTGTTCATTGCCTTCTTCAAATACACATGACTTTCTGTGCTTATATTTACATGTATGTATTGCACGAATTCTGGATGTGCCTATGTGGATGCTCTTTAAAATTATTGTTCAAGTAGGAAAGTATTGACTGCTGAGCTTGTCATGGACTGCTCTGGTCTCTGGTTTCAATATATTAGTCTGCGTGCCATATAGTCAGCCTGTGTCTCTTTGTGCATGTTCTTCTCGTTTTGTGTATGCTCTTTTGCCGCTTAGGACTTTGTGATAATATCGGAGGAGAGCATTGCCAAGGGCGTTAGGCGAATTGTGGCGGTGGCTGGAGAGGCAGCAGTTAATGCCAGAAATGAACTCAGAGACGTCTGTGTAAGGTTTGACAGTCCGGTGTACAGTCGTTGGGATGTAGGATATAGAGTTTCCTGCCTTTCAGAAATGAAATTTAGGGTTAGGAGCTGTGGTGCCCTTTCGTTCTCTGTGCCGACATGTTCCTTTTGCGTGTTTTTTGTTGGGCGAGCTTGATGGTAGATCACGGGTTTAGGTCTGTAGGGTGTATGCGGCGATTGTTTGTTTAGCTGAGCCTGGCCAATTTGGAATGTGCATCCCCGGCTTCTTCGCTTTTCGAAAAGGAGGTGCAGCAAGCGAAGTCCTTCGTAGAAGCCAACAAGACACTTCCGCTCCTGGGCAGGCGGAGACTCCTGGCTGAGTTGGATCACAAACAGAAACTAGGGGTAAAACTGATTCTCCAAGGGAAATACACAGCCTTAGCGCTTCATACAAATCACAGACCCAAGATAGAAGTCGCACGCGCTGCGGTGGAAGATCATTGTTAAAGATGACACGGCCCACCTGGAAACCTGCTAGCCGTTGTTGCGGCTCATGAGATGTCTTCAATTCTTTCTGCTTACGGTGTCTTTTGTATGACGCATGACAGTTGGTGTGCGCAGATGCTCAGATGCTTCCGGTTCTGTTTTTTGCAGCTGGAACTAGGCAAGTTCCGTGCGAAGGAGTTGCTGCGTGTGGCGAAGTCCCTCGGACAGGGTGCAGCAGAGGCGGCCAAAGCTAAGAAATTTGTCGTCATCAATATGACACAACTCCAGGGTGACGGGAAAGCCCTTGATGAAGCTGCAAAGGCAAGCTTTACATTCGAAGTATTGGCTTTGCTCCATTGCTCACGATGTACAGTATGCGGAGATCAAGCTCACTTCTGCTTAATTCCACGAACACGCGATTTATTTGCATTTCCACTTTATCTTTTGCGCACACTATATGTTCATGTCTGCACCCTTCATGTGTACGTAGTACCTGTTATCCTTCAATTCTGCAATGCAAAACTGTCCACAGGCGCTTCAAGCTGCTGCTCCAACAACTCCATTTCTGCTTCTAACGGGTCTGGAGAGTCGTGGGACGTCTTGTATTTGCTTCAGTCCCAAGGAAAGTCCGTTGGTGTCGTCCCAGTGGCTCAATGCTGCCCTTAAGGAGCTTGGGGGGAAGGGAGGGGGGAAGGAAAGGTCTGTGGGTGCCGCCAAAGACGGTACTGAAAAAGGACTGGAGAAGGCCACAAGAGCGGCTGTACTATTCGCAGAGGCTGCGCTGGAGTAACCTTGAGTGAAACTGTAGAGCGCAGCCTGAATCCCAAGCCTACTTCTGTGCGTAACGGACAAGCCCAGCGTTCCTTAGGCCAAGCCGCCATACAGCTAAGCGTTTCCAGTGTGGGCAGCAGATACTAGAGCATTTTTGAATTGATGTAGTTGTTTTCTCTCGTCTGCCTTTGCTTCCGAGTAGCCCTTGAACGCTGCATCAACAAAAATGCCATATCTAGATGTCTTCGCTGGACAAAATTTTATCTATAGCGGCCTCCTGCCAAGGAGAAATAGCTCTTTGTCAATGCATGCGGTTGATTCTAAAGCTGCAGCGCCCAGTGCACTTTGGACTGTGCGCCTCGAGCTGGCTTTAGGGTGCTGCTTCTCAGAGAGAATGCTTATGCATCTAGCACGAGGCTCCATGGAAACCGCATCATTTGTGCTGCAACAAGTAGATTTTGTACCGTTTCTGTTTTGTCTGTCCCCTTTAAGGTCTTACCCGAAGGGACGTACAGAGGGAACCGGCAATCGGTGTAATGGTACCACCGTGAGCACCAGGTTGATGCACACAGCGAGTGATTGTATAATCTGGAAGCTACAGTATATAGCCCCACATTCATGGTTGCCCATACCAGTATGCAGTGACGGTACAGCTAGGGTATCGCTACTCGTGTGCATACCAGCATCCCAACGCTCGAGGTCAGGGAATGTGCGACACTTTCTCCATTATTTGTTTCTCCGAGGGGTGTCTTGCCCCTCCCGCACAGCTCCCCTTTCCCAAATTTTATCTCTACTACCTATCGACTATGCCCGAAGAGAGCCTATACATTTTTATCGCCTCCTGATGAAAGAACGGCTGTCACGATTTGAGGGATCTCCTCCCCGGCTGTCACAGGCACTCTATACCATTACTCGATGATAGTTTTAACACCGAACCGTTACTCATCCGCGCATGAGCAATTTCCCCATAGAAGATCCTCGAATATGACGGGGCACACTATGTGGAGGCATCCCTTAAACTGCAGAATTCCCGTGCGGCTCAGGTTTCTGCTTTTGCAGCCTAGAAGCCTAAATTCTCCAGATGCCTGCAATACTAAAGCAGGTGCAACTGCTACGTGAAGAATCGCTGCACCTATTCAGCGCCCAAGCGTTTGTTTGGAAGGGAAGCGGCAGAGAAAGGCACAGTCCACGAGAACGTCCTTAGAGGAAGCAAACCGCTGACGTTTTAACGGAAGATATTCTAAGGCCCCCATACAGACACAGCCGCAACATCAACAACACAGGAGTTCATTATACTGCAACTGCCGTCCCCTTTACTCCTGTTGTTGCTATTGCTTGTGCTGCTGCTATTGGTACTGTTCCCACTGCAGCAACAGCAGCTGCGCGGGTGGGCATCATAGCGATCTCCCCCACCTCACTCCGTGCTGTTTCTAAACCAAAAAGAGTCCCTAACCCCCACCTCCCCCTCACACACAAATATACCCACAAATATATGTTAAGGCAGATCCCGCTGTGCATGCAGATACAGCACCAGGGTGTATGCGGTCTACAAACACCACAAGACGCATATGCTGGATAGATACGCACAGTCCGGTGTGAATCTTTATACACACATTTGTGTACAAAGATCCACACCCCAGGAGACAATACCGATATACAAATGCATAGGAGTATACATTTATATATAGCTGCCGCACTCCTCGTTCTGTTTTATACTGAATGTCCTGAGCGGGGTGCCTGTATATTCCCCTCTTGGGGTGTACCAGAGGCGTTCTCTATGCACCCGATGCCGCGTAAGTTTACAACTCAGTAGGGAGCGCCTCTTGCTGAACGGGAGGCTCCACCGTGCCCCTCATCTCCTGTGACCTCAACACAGCAAAAAAAAAGAAGCACTTGCACAATACTTCGTCGCAAACCTCACCACTCGGCCGACTATACAAAGGAAGCGCCAAGGCAAGAAAGGGCGATGGACTAGGCAGAAAAGGCTCAGGGCGCACAGGCAATCAGCAACGGGTGCAGCAGCAGCAACAGCAACAGCAGCACCACCAGCTAGAACAAAACCAAGAGACGCTACAACAAGAGCTTTAGCAGCAGTGAAAACATCCTTTCTAACCTCTCCTAATGGCTCCATAGCCCCCTTCGGCCGTGCCATACGCATCTCCATACGCTGTCCCGCCATAGTAGCCTCCGTATCCCGCATAGGCTCCATATGGGTTGGGGGCGTACATTGGAGAGTAGGCAGCAGCCGCTGCAGCATGGTACCCGTAAGGCCCTGCTGCTGCCCCTCCATACCCATACCCGTAATAACCCTGTTCGTAATACGGAGAAGTAGAGTAGCGGCCAGCAGGCAAGCGACGAGCGCCGCGATCCTGCGCCGGCTGGGCGTCGACCTGCCATGCAATACACAGTAAGGGATGCGAAAACACACAGGGGATACACACAGGTTAAACTGGAAAAATTCTATCCCGCCGCAAAAGACAGGTGAATAAACACGCGCATCACGGAATCAGGAGCCCAGACAGTGCACGGAGGATTCGAGACAGGTGAACGCTGAAAAAAAAGAAGACATGCCCACTTTGTTCTCAGAATCGAGCTGGTGGGGAGAGGCCCCAACCGCAAGAGCCACGGAGTCCACAGAGGTGAACTGCACAAAGCCGAATCCGCGGCTCTTCCCACTGCCGTCACGAATTATTGTGGCCTGCAAATATGCACATACAACGAATGGATAGCACGGGGTGATGATACATACACATGCAGAAGCATCGAAAAAGACGCGATCCAATATATATATATATATATATATATGCATAGCTTTACCCACAATCCAAACAGGAACCCATGACGCCGCACTACGCGTTCAGGGCATGTCGGGAGCAAACCGACAAAGGTATGCAGCTCCGCAACTGGCAGCCCAAAATAGCGAGACGTATGCAGAAAAGGGGAACAAACAAACAGTAGGCAGGCGCGTCGATATCCTAACGCGAGAAAACGCAAAGGGATGCATGGCGGATGGCGATGGATGGAAAGCAGTGATCCAGTTGTGCAGTCTCGGACCTTCTCGATAGAACCAAACTGCTCAAAATGGTGCTGTAACGTCTCTGATTACAAGACCACACGCACACGCATCGACGGAGGACACATACTTCACGGATCCATTGCTAGTGGCTTTGGCGGCGGGGGGGGGGGAAGGGTCTCGTTGAAAGGGGCGAGTCGGGCTTTGTAGATTTCGCACCTTCCGTTACGGACGAAGTAATTCCACCAATAAATATCTTGTGGCGATTTGCGCTGCTGCTACTCATGCGTCGCTCCGGCGGCCTCTCTGCCTGTCTCTCCGGTGCGGGTTTGCTCCCAAGTTCCCTGAGCCATAAATCATAAATCCTAGCTCACAGGCCAAAACAAGTAGTCCACATCGAGTCGAGAGGATAGGGACATGAAAATATGTCCAGATACGCGAGAACAAAGTGACGGCCATACAATACATGGCCCTACACCCTTACCCTAAACCCTCAATCCTCGATGCCACGCCACGTACCGGATATCCACTTGCTTATCTCTAAGGATGTGTTTCGTGTTCAAAAATGCATCGGCGTTGAAAGGCGGCCGAACGGATATAAATGCATAGCCCCTGTTCCTCCCTAATCACACCACATAGACACTAATATACGCCCCTGTTCCTGCGTGAAGGCGCCAGTGTAATAGCGATTTCTAGGCCACAAGACCTGGGGCAAGAGGAGAGAAACGACCTCGAAGCTAGAACAATTTTTCCACAACTCTAATCCCAAGCACTAGCCACCCAAAACCCCCTAACTATAATTGGACCTTAACGCCATGTATACCTGTTGAAACGTCCATCTTTATGTCGATCTCCTCGACAGGCACAAATCCCGAGAGATACTCCTGCAGCTCCCCACGTGTGATCTCCGGATGTAAACCCCCAACAAAGTAACTCCTGTGCAAATAGCACGCACACCCTAAGCCCTGAAGCCTAAGCAAATCCTAAGATGCCTAGCCAGACAGACATATATCACACTGTGCACTACGAAGCGAAGAGAGACGCGGGACGCTACCGCTGAGGATTCTAGACTTGCGTACACTCGATCGCCCTTTTCCTCTGCGCTGCCGTTCCTTTGATTATCAGCCTGCGCCTGTCTACCGCCGCCCTCTGTCAGTACAGACACTCCCGCCTTCTGCATTGCTGCGCCTGACGGGGATCCAGCGGTCCCTGCGTCTGCCGGGGGATCCGCTGGTTCTGTGGCTCCATCAGGTGTCCACACACTTCGTTCTGGAGCCTCCTCAGAAGAGGCACCTTGAGGCCCCCCTTGATTATCCACCGGAGGAGCAGCCTGAGGATCCACAGGGGGACCTCCCTGGTGATGGCCGCCGTCCCCAGCCCCCTGAGGGGAATCCGAACCCCCATACATGGTCGGAAAGGTTGGCTTTAAACCCCAACACCAAATCCCAGAACAGAAGCCCTGGGATTAGCTCTCCACGCAGCAGTTGCAGGTTGCTAAACCCTAATCCTAGAGCTAAGAACCTAAACTCGGAAGCTTAGGACTGGGTTTTGCTGGCTAGAGGGGCAGCGCAGCGGGGCCCCTCTGAAGCTGCTGGGTACCGAAAGCCTAGAGGTTACTTCAGGCGTCGGGGTATATTTCTTATTAGAAGAGGGGTAGAAAATGGCAAGAAAAAGAGGAAACCAAGGAAGAGATATGCAAGAACAGACACCCCGCACCTCCTGGGGCGGACCGGTGTACGCGCACTTCAGTTGCAGGCACTGTTCCGGCTAAGCCCTTAACCCTAAACCTTCTGTCCTAAACCCTAAAGAACAAATTAAACAGAACAAAGATACCGTCCTTGTTTCTGTGAACTCTAAACCCCACCGGGGGGCCCGGCTCTGCATGCTGTGCGTTGTTTGTGTGGGTTCTCATGTGGCTGCGGCTGTGCCTGCAGAAGCAGCTGCCTCCTATTTTCTCTTCTCAGCTAGAACAATTGATTAATTTAAGTTGGATGGTTAGGTTAATTGAAGTTCCTTGCCGCTAAAATCAATCGGGCTCTTGCTATTGGTAGAAAGCCTCACTCTGGGATCCTGGGCGTTTGCCCAGCCGCTCACCAGCCAAGGGGTATTGGGGGGAGGGAAGTGGAAGACGCCAACAGGAGACATAAAAGTAGCGAGTCACACTATGAGAAATTTCAAATTGCAAGTGAAACATGAGGCTGCGTCTGCCACACAACAACGAGGTACACACGCAAGATCTACTTGCAATACGCCAAGGAACTTGGCAGTTTCTGGGTGATGCGGCAAGTGTCAGCAATGCGGAGGCAAAGAGGGCTCCCAGTGCTCGTCATCCCACGTAATTGACACAAATTATTCAATCTCCCTCTTCTGTGCAGCGAGACCATGGTGCTGTGCAGCCACGCGGAAACGCAACAGCGCAAAGCAAGAAGACGAACGTTCACTCTTCTTTGCGGGGATGAAGATCCATACTCCTCTTCTTATGAAAATAATCTCAAGGGACATAGCACTCATTTCTCGCTTGGTTTTGTCGGTTTGGGAGAGGCGGCCCCTGGGTGCTAGCGTTCTGAAGCCGAGTGAGCCGCAAATTCTCATGCAGGCAAGGTCCAAAACTGCTCCTCAGCCGGTCACTAAAGGCTTTAGTTTTCTTCCACACTTCACTAAAATATCCCATCTAGTGTGCCCTTGGGCATCAGTAGCCGTAGAATCCAGCACCACTGCGGCCGTCCGTGAAACCTCCACCTCAGCAAGGTCACTTGCCTGGACGGCAAAGTCCGGCAATCAATTTGGGGAGCTATAAATGTTATACAGGATGTCAGTTTCGACAGTTCCGGAGCACTTCCAACTTTAAGGCAAATCGATCGTGCACGAAAGAATTTTCCGGCCAGATGGCTTAGCTATTTTGCGATCCTCTCACTGTATGGTCACCAGCTGTTGAACCTCGTAAAGCCCGCCGATCCGCCGGGACCAAACCTTTAGGCTCAAGCACACAGCCAGTTGCCGCCTTTCATTTTTTCGGTACTTGCCTCTGATGAGTTTTTAGCATGGACTCGCATGCGCTGTCCAGCTGTCCTTCCGCTGTTATGGGTATTTGCTAACCCCGGACCACCCGCTCCAGGCCTATAGTCGATAGAGACTTCTTGATGTAGATCAGGGATTCAGGACAGCAACAAGTAGGTGGATATACTGTTGTATTGTATGCCTACTCAGCATAGGCAAGAAAAATAGTCAAGCCAACCAATTCGGCGTTTGTGAGCAGCGAGACAAGTACTGCAAGAGACTGTGGCAGGTACAGTTGTTCTGCCCAGCTGCCTCACAGTTGTTTGTAGTATCCATTATGATCAATGCTCAGGCAGGTTGGGTCATAAAGGCTCGTCCGAACGTACCAGTGACCTTCAGATGCAATTCCATAAGCTTTCTTATGGTAAACCTCTGCAGCTATTAGACGTGAATTAGGAATAGTTAAAGGACTTGCTGAAACATTATACAGGTGAGGAAAGGGATAAAAGAACATACATGCTGATTCTGTCACCAGTGACGTAGATGGTCGCCTGTTTCCTGACCTCTAGGAGCTCAACAAGAAAGCTTCCATGCAGAGCAGTCTAAGTCTATTCGGGAACTAAAGAGCCTTGTGAAAGGCCTGATATAAGAGGCATGCGAGGCTATAGCTGCTGATAGTTTGGAAATGACAGTATATACTCATGTGCCGCAGGGTTCATCCCAAGTCACCGGAAGGGCCGTGAGAGCTTTTCCACTGCGGATTGAGCAGTACTGTGGCCTAAAGAACATTGAACATTGTCATGTACTTTGTGCAATCAAGCCCTACACAGGGAAGTCGAGATGTACAACAGAGTCCTCACTTTATTCGAACCATAGCAGGTCATCTTCAACGCGGTACTGCTGCACTCTTTGCCATTCTGGATCACGGAAATGGAAGTCAAAGGATGGCTGTCAAGATCATGAGTCTCATGCTATTTATATAGAACCTTAGAATCATCACCGACAGAAGCGATTGTGCTACACAGTAGTCAACTGCTGGAGAGTCCGGAGCGCATCGGCAATTATGTTGATGGTGCCGTCCATCTACTTCACAATAAAGTAGCAAAGCACAAGGAGCCCAAGCCGGAGAATACCTCATTGTTTTCGAAGCTTTGAACAGTGTCTGGAGAGTACACTAAAGACTGATGGCCGATCGGGACAGTACAGTGACGCTTAACTGCACAGTGCCGGCATTCTTTTTGTCATCGCACCTCAGGGATTTCTATTTCCCGCATTGGCTACCACTGCCCGATTTCTGCTGGGACATGAGTATTTAAACCAATAATTTGCTTTTTGAGAGAGTAGTTAGGGTGCTAGGGGAGAACATTTTGCACTGCTAGGTCAGTAGAGTCGGTTGGAGGGAATAAATGGCGCTCAGCGCAAGTGCCGGAGGAGTTGTAGGACGGCCGATGGGGAGTCAGTATCCTGTTGTGTTGATAAAATGCGCGTTCCTAAGTACGGCAGTCACAGGAGCAGCAATCCGAACAATCCTAGGGATGGAATTTCGCTAATAAGATGCAAGACTATAAACTTCACAGCGTCATTGCAAGTGCGTGAGGGTGAGGTCCATTCGTTCATTGTTCCGATTTAGCGGATCTGGCTCGTATTCGCTACCTGGAATACGGAATACCGGAAACACAATTCTTTTCATGCAAGGCGAACACTTGCAAGACTATACATACAACTGCTTGTCCCACAGCAGCTGAAACGCATGCCGTAGTCGCTGTGAATGCTTCTGAGCGTGTCAGTCAAATAATTTGATGTCGTCGATGTAGGCTCCACTTTGCCCTGCTTGATACTGAGGTCGTAGGAACGCACTAGAAGTATTCATGAAGTTAGACGTCGAGTAGACTGTTGCTTTGTGTACGCCGTCAGGTAATTATGCGATATGATGCATGGAGAAATTCTCTTTTGCGCTGACCCTGTTCAAAGCCTTCATTTTGACGCACCTCATCCGCATGTCGCTCAATATCCTGTTTGTACTGTGGGGGCTTCCGATATCGCGGAACCCAGCCTGGAGGTAATTCTTGGATTTGCTCAATACAGAGCGCTGAACGACCAGGAGCTGGCCAGCCTGCTGACAGCTCGTCATTATCAAGCACATACTTGAGCAGTCCTTTGATAATTGCACAAACCTGCGGTCTTGGGCTGAAAGATCAATGGATCATTTCGATCAAAACAAGCTGCACAGCCACTGTGACAGCTTACATGCTCAGAAGCGTTTTCTTGGAATGCTCCACTGAGCCGGCCACATCAAGACCATGCCGCACCTTGTTGAGGCAACGACTTTCACCCGCTTACCAACTGTAAAGCTATTCCACTCACAACAGCTTGACGGCCGGCCCTATGGCCCTACCAAGCACTACCCTACCGTTAACCTCTATCGCCCAAGGGCTTTGTTCTCGGCCTGCTGCAAAAGAAAATCAAATGGTTAACTTATCGAATAGAGTGTCCAATAATAGAAAGCTCGTAGGAGGCCGTGGCATTCCGCTACACTCGCAGCTAGTGATTGCGCGGGTAGCAGCTGCATCGACCCACGCGGAGCTACCAAGTAAAAGGACACACCACAGTCTCTGTAGAGAGGCAATCAACTCCGTGCTAAATACAAACCCTATAGAAAAGTATCAAGTGTCTTCCCAAACAATTTCTTCCTTCTCCCGCACGCGTCCCTCAGAGGTCCCAACACGAGGGAGGAGTACAGCTAGGATGTGGTCGGCTATACCCTCCATACACTTTGCGCCTTCCGAGCTAGTTGCAAACAGTATTTGTGGACAAGTACACAGCACTGCTTCTGTTCGGATTGAGCTGGCAGTATTCTGCAGTAAGCAAGGTATGTGAACAGGCAAAGCAGTTAGTCAATTTCTTACTAATAGTGAAGTATGTATTTAACTTAATAGAAAGTGATTTAGTGTAGCTTAGCCCGGTGCAGGCAAATTCTGGAGGCACACGTGTGCTTGTGGGCTAAGTGCTTCTACGAACTGATGTTCCCGTTGCACTAAGAATCCCCTACCATGGTGTTTATGAGGACGCAGTGACAGTCAAGTGCAATGATTAACCCCACACCACAAAGCATCGAAAAGAACGAAACCACCAAGTCAGCTACAGATCAACTAGTTTCTCTGAGAATTATATCTCTTCGGTTCGTGCATGGATGCCTCTAAGACACGTCAGATGTCCCGTGGGCATGGACCTGAGGTTTATTGTCACTGACTAGGTTTCCGTGCAAACTAAGCCATAAATACCAAGCATCCTGCTTATGACCTGTAGTGCTGAATTAGAAGAGTTCCACACATGAGCTATCGGTGGGCTGCAGCGTGCTTTTTCGATATCTACTACAGCGCTAGTTGTTCCTTGTGCTGCTGCTGGCGGTTGCATTGATGCCCTCCAAAAAATCTGTTGTTCGAAAACCCAGGGACCCTCGATTTCGCATTGCCATTTTGTCCGTTGGGAGCTTTCCTTTAAAGGCTGTTGGTGCTGCTGCTGACCCTTTGCTGCAGCAGCTGATGTTGCCATCTGATGCAAGAGTACTGCATCTCCAGCAAGATGCAGTAGTACCTGCAAGGCGTTTAAGACTACAATCTCAGCCGAGGCCTCATCGCTGGCATTGTGATCTTGTAAGTTCTTCTGCTGTTGTTTCATCACGTACTGCCGCAGCAGCATCGCCGCGTTTTCCGCTGCCGCGTGTAGCGCATCTTCAAGCGTTCTACAATCTGCATTAGGCTCCACTGCTTCCTCTATTGCTACACCTGATACAGTTGGTGCTGCTCCACTTCTTGGTGCCGCAGCCATTGTGCCCCAGAAATCATCCGGAAGGGGCTCTCGTGTATAGCTGCCCAGCATGCTGTCGACTAGCCGAGCGACAGAGGGGTGGAAAGGGAGCCTCACAGCAGCAAAACAGCCCTCTCCCTCTGTCTCAAGCAGTTTCCCCAGGTTCATGCACGTCTTCCTCTCGCTTGTTTGCCCTTGCTGCTTTAGCGCGGCAAGGGGACTTTTCAGAGTGGCGGGAAGCAGCTTTAGAGTTACTGGGTCGTCCTCGGTGTTGAGATCTACAGGCAGCTGCAGCACAAGGGGCCCCCATGGTCCTCCATCCATGCAGCAGGGGAGGCAAGCACCTAAGAATACAAGTCGGCGTGCCAGCAGTGAGAAGGAACAGGCAGCAGCAGCAGTTGGAAGCAGCAACAAATCATCTCGCTCCAGGCATCCGGTAGATACGACCTCGCCGGTAGTAGATAGCGTAAAGTGTTGCTGCTGTAGCTGATGCATTTGTCTGAGTTGCTGCTGCTCTACAGGATCAAAATCAGATATGAATTTTCTCCAGTCTGTGTGCGCCAGCCAGAGGTGTATGGACACCTCGTTCAGCTGCTGCTGCCGCCGCTGCTGCTGCTGTTGCGCGCATGCAGAATACAAAGAAACTAGTTGCCGGCCCATTTCACCCGTCAGGAGCTCCTCCTGAAGCTTCGGCTTGTCCTGTGATTCCTGCTGTAAGCATTTGAGCGGTGTATCACCCGTTTGTGGAGCCGATTCATTCGTTGCCCTCCTTGCCTTACTGTTGCACTGTTCTCGTTCTGCAACCACTTGTCCTTTTCCTGCATCTTCCCTTCTGTTTGCGTCTCTCACCAGTCCCGTGACATGCGGATCTGCCTTGTTTATCTCGGCCTCTGCTGTCAGAGATATGAGCCTAGCCAGCAGCAAGACAACTGACGGCACACACAGCTGCCAGTGTGGGCCCCAAGCCGCATGGAGCGACTGCTCATGTTCCTGGATTGTCTGACTGCTCCGTTCTAAAATCCGAACTGCAGAGACACCGCGAAGGCGAAGGCATTGGCAGAATCCGAGGGATGCACCCACATCCCACACGAATTCCAGTATCCGCGACAGGAAGCAGACAGAAGCGCATTGTTGGTGCAGCTTCTCCTCAGCCTTCAGAGAAGCGCATGCGGTGAGGCCCCAACAGTCTTCGAATGGCCCCCAATTGCTGGTGGTGTGGCTAATGCGAATAGACCGAAAACGAGAATACAGGAATTCAGAAGGTTGACTTAGGAGGGAGGTTACGTCGGCCGTCTCTGCTGGTGTTGTAGTTTCAGAGCTCAAAAATAATACAAAGGCCCTCAGTGCCTCTAGGGCCCTATGAAAGCTCTCCTTCTCATCGAAAGCTCTGCAGCAGCATCCTGACACAGCCCGTGTTGCACTTTTTCTTGGTGAGTCTGCTGTCCTCGCTGCCTCTGCATTTTTTGCTGCAGCTGCAGTTTGGCAGGTAAGACGTGAGCAAGCGAAATGCACATGCTTCTTTCTACCGCCACTGGGATGAGAAAAGCAGCAGGCGTGCAGCCGTAGTAGCAAGCGAAGGAATGAAGAAACACTTAACTGCATAGAAGGGCCCTCCGTAGCAGGTGCATCGTTCGGTGTGGCAACAAACATCGTGCTGCAGTTGATGATGTACACAAGCAGAGGAATCTCCGCAGCGAGTGAGAACGACCGCCGAAGGGACTGGGCCAGATGGAACGCCTGAGTTTCTGGTACTGTTGCCTCTCCTGCTGGTACTGCAGCCGGAGCAAACGCCACTCTTGTTGAGCCTGTTGAATCGGGTGCAACTGTCGCGTTTGCATCTAGGGGGCCCGCTGTTGCCCCTTGTGCATCCCGTTCGTGCAACAGCAGAGCAGCCGCTGCTGCCTGGTCGCATGTGCTGCAGTAATTGTTGGGCCTTTTGAAATCGCGGCGGCAGTCACTCCTCGCACAGTTGCTGTCGCTGCAGCAACCGCGTGACCTGAGGATCTGTGAAAAGGTGTGCATCCTGTCAAGCTGGTGTCCACCAAATTCCAGGAGGTGCAGCAGAACGTATCTGCTGTCTTTTACTCTCTGCCATAAGCCCTGATTCTTTTCTTTGAGGCCAAATTCTAAGCAAAAGAAGTCAAAGTCTTCAGCATCAAAAAGCGTGGCAGTGCGCGCCACATCTGTGTCGAGGAAGGGCAGCTCATCTCGAGATAAAGACACCAACGCCTCCACTGCTGCGACTGGGGCTGCAGGTTCTGCAGCAGGTAGCTGCTCGCCTGCTCCTGACCGTGCTGCTGCATAGTTTGCTGCGTCTGAGGGTGTTTCTGCGGGTTGCAGCTGTGATCCGTCGTGAGCCGAAGAGGTCGCGGCACCTGTTTGCCCAAGTTCTGCAGATGCTGCTGCCAGTGTTGCCCTTGGTGCAGCAGCATCAGCACCGCTGCCATCACCACGAGTAGGATGAGATGCATCAGTGAGTATTTCCCTCCTGTTAGAGAACTCCGCCTGGATAATTGGGAGGAGGCTTGATAGGGCGGTGTACCGAGGATCTGTTGCGGCAATTAGCGAATAGAGCAACGCCGTCTTCCCAGCATTCTGATCCCCTACCAGCAGAACAGTGATGCAGCAACAATCTCGCCTGCCGGTGATACTGCTCCCACTGTTGCTGCACAGAGGGAGGAGCTGCTCATAGTACTCGTCATGTCTATCCTGGAGTACATACAGCCCGCGTTGCTCCAAGCCGAAAGGCGTCAGCCGTAGGGAAAGACCCATCGTTGCAGCCTTCGTGATTTTTGGCTGTCGCTCTCTGGTAATCTCGCTTCACTCGCTGATTTGCCGCCGCAAAGGCCATTGGAAGTAACGGAACTTCGAAAGAGCCTAGGGATAGCCGAAATCACAGATCATCAAGTAAGGCGCTCCGCTTTTGCCATTGCTGTTGGTTGTGATGCTGTCTTTGCTCGTATAGCTGTTTTAGCTGTTTGCGTTGGTACTACTGCTCATCAAGGCACTGTAATCCTTGGCTTGCCGGACGAACGTCGGCCCTGTGTGTGTTCAATTGGGCAAAAGCTGACGATGGGAGCGATAAGAGTGAAGGAGCCCCCATATTGAGCCGCGGTGTGCGTCTAACTTGTATGTGCGTCTAACTCGTTGCTGAAGCAGAGGTCGACGGTTGCATTCTGACTGGGATGCGGATCTGAGGGGTGTCTGTGGTGCTCCGAGTTGCTGCAGCTTCAGAGCCAACAACAGCAGCATAGATGGCGATTCTTGAAATTACGTTTATTGAATTAGATGAGCCTTTACAGAAGGAACCGTACACCCTAAACCATAAAACGAAAAGACGCTTGCGTTGGAAGGCGCTGCCGACAAACCAATGCCAAACTAAAAGGCGTCATGAAAGCAAATCTCTGATTCTACGGTGATGATCAAATATTTTGTATGATTAGTTCATTTTTTTGCTTGTTTTTAACGGATCGGTGTGCGTGGCCGGCTGTTCGGCGCTCCAACAGATGGATGGCCGTACAGTTGGGCCCCACACACGAATTCTTACAGACCCGAAAAGGCACAACAAGTGCTTCTCTGCCCCCTCACGGCAGGCCCTGAAGCCTACATAATTATTCCTATACCTTTTCCTTAGATAGTAGACTCTTACTGCAAACCCATAATGCTCCTCGCTTGACCCTAACGATTCATGCTTTTCTTTTGAACTTCACTCCTGATGGATTGCTTTAATCTACTAGAAGAAACAGTTGCTGTGCCCTGTTCTGAGGCACTGCGCCACGGCATTTGTATTTTCTCGCCACTTGTCTCTCCATAGAAATACACAACGCATTGCACTTCAGATTCATTGCACCCTACTAGCCACGCAGCATCGAGGTACAGTTATACTTGGTTTAGGCGCTATGATGTGTTATACTTTGGCCATGTCGTGTGGGCAACTCTAATGCATACATTATAATTATTCTGTACGTGGTCATGGGTTTTTTTTGTGTGAGCATGTGGGTGACAGTGCAGGGTACTGTTGGCTCGAAACACGAAGACGCAATGATGTATGCTTGTGCAGTAGATGCTGTGCGCCACTAGCTAGGAGGAAGGTGAAGCTACTCGCACTTTAGCTCTCCTTTCTCCACACATGATCTTACCTTGCTGGGAATGTCAAGGGCAAGAAGGAACTCTCTGGAAGGAGCAGGTACCTTTTTTTATGTTCCAGATGCTGTTCCAGGGCTTAAGCTTTCCTCTAAAAGATCATAGCAGAAGTGCTGTAGAGGGAGAAGCACCACTTTTCGGCGCTTTCTCCTATGCTACTTATATTTAATTTAAAATAAGTAAAGAACTGCTTGAGTGTCTTGTCTGCTTGAGTATTTGCATTATTGCAGAGTACCGTTAGCTTGAAACAAGATGTGTAGACTCTATATTTCAAACTGCATCCAAGTTTTCCGTAGGGAGGCACTGAAATCCCACAGTACCCCACACTTTTCTAGGCACCAAACAGTGCGTGATTCCCAGTTGTACTGGGCGATTCGTGCATTTTGCTGCCCCTCAACAAATTATCCGCCTGCCACTCAATAAGCTGTTTCTGCGGAAGGGGCTAGGGGCTAACCTCTGGATTTGCTCAATACAGTACGCTGAACGGTTAGGAGCTGGCCAGCCTGCTGGCAACTCGTCATTATCAAGCACATACGTGTAAGTCTGACATGTAGCTCTGTGTTAATGAAGCAGTGCGGATGGGGCAGTGCAAGTGGAAATATGACGTGCGGCGGACAACGCCAGAGGGTCAGTCCACTTGACCGTGAGGGTTCGGAGTTCGAATATATACTGTTCTAAGAAAATAAATGCTCCGTTGCTAGAACAGATGTGGTTTAGTCGTGTAGTTATCTCCAGACAACGGTGGCTTGGCGTAGAGTCTTGCACACCGCAAAATGTGCGTTACAATAACTGCTGACATACCTGAGACCAAGGCATGGTGCACGGGTCCACCAAAAGCGTTACGGAATATGTACGTGAACCAACTTATGCTTTGAAAAACACTTAACTGCACTAGCCTTGCCGCTTCTCCAGTGATGCCACCCGTCAGCAAACCTGAGTCTTCAGAACTGCGCCTATGAGTGATTTGGCAGGCTGCACCTCTGCGCCGCCTCTTCAGATAACTGATCCAAGTCACATCAAATGTCAGGTAACGCTATTAACTCTTGAACACCGAGGTGAGCTTCTGTCAGTGCATATTTGTCTTGAGGCGGGTGTCCAAGTGCGGCTCCTTAATCCGTAGCCCACTTCACTCAGCCTCAGCCTGCGTGAGATTTTACCGCTTTCCTAATGGAACTTCTTTGCTCGCCAAGCAATCTGTTTCCCCTGGGCTCAGTCCCGTTGGTTAAGTTCTTGGGCGTTCTGCACGCGCTTGCCGTTCCACGCTATTTGGCCCTCTATCTGCGTGTGAAAACAGGTCCGTTGTTGGAGGGGCCGTCTGAGGCTGCTTACGATTGCAGGCTAGCTGGGGTTTCTCGTTCACCTTCGACTGTCGGGTGTGGCACCTTGACACAGGCCCGTTGTCAAAAGCTTCTAGATCCCTACTTGTCTCTTCGCTCTCAAACAAAGACTCAAAAGCTGCGCTCATTTGCCCCTGGAATCACGGGCAGTTCATCATATATGACAGCCTCACGGGGCCGTTGTTTGATCGCTGAGTCGCTGCCTGACCTGCGGCCACCTGACACCACTTTGAGTACGGCGGAGGTAAACCACCAATAAACCAGCTATGATGTGACTTTTACTTGCGAATCCTGTTTCTATATTTCTCATATGATCAATCTATTGCTAAATTGTTCTGCTGGGGCTATCTTAGTTGTCCCAAGGCTCGCTGTTGAGTTGTTCTCGGCAAAAACCAATGGGCTGGGGCTTGTATGAAGGCTTAAACGGCAGTAATTCCTGCAGGATGACGACTGCCTCCGCACAAATACAGCCACCATCGTAGCGATTTTGCATTCAATGAAGATGTCGCCAGAAGCAAGCGTTGCTCTGCAGCTACAGGGCACCAACCCAGGTATATCTTTTTCGGCAACGAAATCTCCGAGTACTTGACCATCCTTGTGGCCCTCACACTTTTCTGGTATGCATAAACGTATCGACGCGTCCACGAGCAATTTTATTGGCTAAAACTCATGCCTTTTTGCCAGTTGTGAAGCTACTCCGATTACATCAGCTTGCAGGCTAGCCTTTTATTGTCTCAGCCTGCTGCAAAAGAAAATCAAATGGTTAACTTATCGAATAGAGTGTCCAATAATAGAAAGCTCGTAGGAGGCCGTGGCATCCGGCTACACTTGCAGCTAGTGATTGCGCGGGTAACAGCTGCATCGACCCACGCGGAGCTACCAAGTAAAAGGACACACCACAGTCTCTGTAGAGAGGCAATCAACTCCGTGCTAAATACAAACCCTATAGAAAAGTATCAAGTGTCTTCCCAAACAATTTCTTCCTTCTCCCGCACGCGTCCCTCAGAGGTCCCAACACGAGGGAGGAGTACAGCTAGGATGTGGTCGGCTATACCCTCCATACACTTTGCGCCTTCCGAGCTAGTTGCAAACAGTATTTGTGGACAAGTACACAGCACTGCTTCTGTTCGGATTGAGCTGGCAGTATTCTGCAGTAAGCAAGGTATGTGAACAGGCAAAGCAGTTAGTCAATTTCTTACTAATAGTGAAGTATGTATTTAACTTAATAGAAAGTGATTTAGTGTAGCTTAGCCCGGTGCAGGCAAATTCTGGAGGCACACGTGTGCTTGTGGGCTAAGTGCTTCTACGAATTGATGTTCCCGTTGCACTAAGAATTGCCTTACCGGGTGCATATGTATTATGCAAGACGCAAGGGATGCAAACAGGAGCGCTAGTTAATCAATTCGCTATCAATTATTGGTGGGGCATAACAAGTGTAGTGAAAGGTAGTACAGTGTGGTGTCACTGCCTACGCAGTGCCTATGCCCGTGTTGTAGAAATATTTTACATCGACTGACGAATTAGTTGTGATTACGTGGATTTAATGTTTCATCTATGGCACACACAGGGAGATTCTTTGGAGCGGAATAAGGTTTTTATCATCAGTTTTTACCATAGTAGTTCTGTTTAAAAGTAGTAATGTATTGACTAGTTGGTGTAACTGTATGTACCTATTTATTCTCCATAGAAGAGAAAGCTCGGAGTTCAATACCAGGATGCAGTATTGTGTGCGTATGCCCTACATGCTTTGTGTACCTAACTCGGAATGCGCGCAGTGCATAGAGGGTGCAGCTACGCTCACCTTAGCTGTCCCTCTTCCCATGTCGACAGATCTGAGCAGCGCGTGCAGGGGAGACATGGGTTTATTCGGGAAAATTTCCAGCTGCTTTTGTAAGTTTTTGTCAACTCAGGAGTGTGGTGTATAACCCTCCATAGAAAGTTTCCTTCATGAAGCCTCCCCACTTAGTATAAACTTAGAAGTTATTGAGTGCCCCTCAACACAACCCCTCAATTCCGCTGCACGCGCCTCTTATGAATCTCAACATAAGAGGGGAAAACAGCTCAGGTGAGCATAGCTGCACCCTCTTAGCACTTCGCTCTACCATAGCTAGATGCACATAAGATCTGGGGGCCATACACACAAGATTGCACCCGATTGTATCGAACTAGCGATTCTCTGCAGTAAATGGGATATCAGATAAGCCAAATGAATTATTTAGCTCATTAGTGACTCCGATTTAATATTGCTAGCGTGGTACGAAGTGTTAACGCGTATCTTAGCACTATCGAGTCACTGCGATGTGTACATCAGTGCACTGTGTGAAGCGTAGTGGAACCATGTTTCTAGGAGACCTAAATATGTGGCAAATTCTTGTGTGCTAAGTAACTGCGAGCAACTCTCCGGGTTAAAATGACGTTGCAGCTAGCTGCAACAACGCTGTCCCTCCTTTGGTAAAGCTGGGGAACGTATGGCAATAAGGCTTTTGAAAAAACTGGCTGCACCTGATCCGATGAGTAGTCTTCATTAGATTCTAAACATCTTCTTGGCAAGATCTCCTCTATAGAGGCTCAAAGGTGATTGTTCCACAGTTGACGCATGTACACCATGCCATTCAACCCCGGGGAGAGACCGGTGGTGGCAGAATATTGAAGGAGGGCACAAAAACCTCTTTCAAGCTCCTGACACGGTCAGATCAAGTGTTACAAAATCTACTGCCTCTAAAAAATTAATTTTTACAGGAAATGATTGGTCATAAACAAACGAACAGCCGCAACATCTGACAAGTGCCATCCCCGGCATTGTGGCCAAGGAGCAAAGGGTCCTTCGCATTGAAAGGCGAGACCAGAAACATAAAGAGCAATGAGAACAGATAGGATTGACACTTAAATATCATTTCAGCTTATTTAGCGGTGCTGTGAAGGGTGGAAGCCTCCAAAACCTACGGCCCGCTATAGAAGCGTCGGCTGCTCCGCATCTGGGATGAAGAAGGGTTGCGGGAGGGAGGGCTACTCTTCGCTGTTCCTTTTCTCGCTAAGCACCGTGTCCTCTGCCGCTTCAATGAGTGTAAGCTTTAGCTGTGCCATCAGGGCATGCACAGGTATATTCTCGGTGGTCTGTTTGGCTGCACCTGGTGTGTGCTTTAAACGCGGGGGGTTCCTGAGGCAATAGAAGGCCCAACTAGAGCTTTTCCATATCCTTTCGCCCTAATATCTTCATTTAAACTATACAAGGCTTTTTCAAATTCATCAGCACCCGTTGGGCACACCGCTATCCAGGTCTAAGGCGCTGGTGGAGTTCGTGTGTGGTCCACGCATCTCCCTAGCCGCCATCATCGGAGTATCTAAGCCCCAGAACTCGTCCGTATGCAGTGCGAAGCTCTTTTAGCACGGGTCATCACTGAGGCTTGATACATGTGCCATACCATCGGGGAATTTCTCTACGAGGCCGCCTCGACCGGACCAACAGTTATTGCTGCAACACGTTAAAATGGCGGAAACTCAGCAAGAGTCAAAGTTTGCGTTGCCGATTTTAGAAGGCTCAGATGCTGACAGTTTCGTCGTAGAGTTTCCCGTTGAAGGAGGTCGCACACTGGTGTGCACAGTGCGCCGCCACCCAGAACCCATAGCAGCTGAGACGGAAACAGTGCAGGTGCTCCTGTCTTTTAAAGCTCCCTTTTTTATGCCTCATGAGGGCAATAAAGAGCTGTTCCTACACTGGTAAGCCGTGCAGTGGAAAGCCCTGTCCAGGAAAGCCGTCCCTCGTCCTCGCTGTGCATGGCGGAAAGGGGGCAGCGTAAGTGTCAATTGGACGAAGGAGCGTATTTTGCACCTTCGAGGGTGGAGCACTTGGCCAGTATACGCAGCGCCATGCTGACACTTACAGCTTCACACTGCATTATGAGGAGCAGTGTGAACCGGGGTTGCTCTAAATCCATGAGCGTGGTCTTTTGTTTCTTGAAGGCATTGTAACCTGGATCTGGCCTGCAAAAGCTTTAATGGCCCCTAACGCTTCTTGTGGGTATCTGCCGCTTCTAAGGATCCCCCCAAGCTGATTGTGGGTAGGAACCATGGCAGGCTGTGTGCTGCTTTACGTCCTTGTGTCAGGGGGGTAGCCAAGAACCCAGGCGAGTGGATGGCACCCGAAGGGGAGTTTCGTGAGTCGCTTCGTAGCTGTGGTCAGAGGGTGAAGTTTGGAGAGACGGCAACTGACATTGCATTTCCCTCGCCATCTTCTTCCCCACCACCGGTGCTGGACCTCACCTGCCCAGCACACGTAGCCCCTGAGTATTTGGTATTCGTACTACACTCTCCCCCGCACGAATGGTTCAAACAGCCAAACCCTGGCCGTCCTTCGACTAACTTCATGCTACCGCTCAGACAGGCTCTTAACCAGATGCTGTCCAAGGTTGCATTGCTCAATGCCATTTCGGCTTACAAGGAAACGCAGCCAATACGTCAAATCAAACCCAGCAGTGCACAGTGAGCCTTTGACCATGCTGTCTTGAAAAGTACTGACGTCTGAGCGTCTTGTCATTTGGCGCAAGGCAACCCTATTCATCAAGCCCTCCTCATACCTCGTGCTTTCATATCTCGCTTGTTAGTTGTCGCACCCGTGGTTCTTGACCTATATCAGCAATGCGAGCTCTGACCTAGCTTTCTGTTTCTTCTTGTGCTGCATCATGGTGTCGCTTGCCCTTTATGATGAAGTAGTTACCATCAGGGTAGCCCAGACACATGCCGCTACGCAAATGCTCCCATGCTAATCTGCTGCAGCCCTGTAACCTTACACATATATTTGCACGTTGTACCGCGTGCATGCGATTCGTGCATATATATATACATAGATATATATATATATATATATGATCACAGACCACGCACATTAGGTCTATGCATGTATGTACATCTACAAGAGTGCACACCGCCACATTCATGTAGTTATATATGCGTGAGTACTAAGTTTATTGATGACTATATGACGTATGCATATATACGTGGAGACATATATGAATATGTGGCTCACAAGTGTGCCAGTGTGAGCCTAGGCGCGAGTATGTATTTGTAGGATTTTTGCATGAACCAGCACAGGTCCCTTGGATGCTCTCCTCTACTCTTCTAAGCTCACAAATTATACTTTGATCGATGTAAGGTGTCTACGAATTGATTTTGCTGCAGCTACTGGAGGATCGAGGTAAATGATGGAGATATGCAGCTGCTGCTGCTGACATATGCGGACAGCGAGGCATGCGGGGTGGAAGTCTTTTGCAACTGGCCGGCCGCCCTGTTGTTGCACTGGGGGACGTGTGGGACAGCCAGTTGCCCTTGGAAGCGCATGGAACTTAATAAGATGCTCGTGCATGTAGGTGGCGACGAGCAGCAGCCACAGCAACAGGAGCAGCAAGATCAGCAGCGCGGGAAGCAATCGAAGCAGAGGAAAGGGCAGGAAGAGGGTCACAAGCAAGAAAAAAAAGAAACCGACAGGAATGGATGTGGACCCGATGCATCTTGCGCATCAGCCGATTCTGAACAACAGCAGCAAATGAGCGCAGAAGCCGCTCGTTTAGAGGTTGTTTACGGCACCTTCGCCCATTACCCAGTTGATGATAAAGCATCACAAACTGCCTTTGAGGTGAGCTTGTGTTGCGGCGTGCTTAGAATAAAGGCCTGGTTTGAGGTTCTTACTATGTATGCGTCCTACGCGGATTCGTGCACTTTCAAGTTGTGCTTTTTGTTTATTGGTCCCTGTACATTCGAATTCTCTGAAATATTTTTGGCGAGCGTTGACATGTCAAATCTGCAAGATATGCGTTTGTGTCCGTACTTTTTACCTGTTTCTCAGTTCTGTGAGACTTCGCGGAGCGTGGGCTTCCAGCGGGTGGCATTGTGCTTTAGAGGGGATGCTGTACCACCTGGTTTATCCTTTGTGTTGAAAGAGGCAAAGGCTGATCGCTGGTTCTCAGATCAGTCAGGGGACTTCTTCGTAAAACTCCCCATGCACCCCCACTGGGAGATCCTGAAGGCTAAGTACAAAAAGATTGCAGAAATGAGGGCTATTGAGGAGGCCAGGGAGCAAGAAGAGAGAAGACAGAAATGGAACGACGCAAAACAAGCATTCAATATATTTGTTCAGGAGCAGTGAGCCAAGCACTGACAGCCAGACAATGTGAAGGTGGCGGGGAACACCTCAGGATGCCCAACTGGCACATGACTAGTTCGTAGGCCATAGATAGTCAATATGGTCGTATGAAATTCTCTGCTGGTGTTGTAGGGTGCACTAGCCTTTTCATTTTCGCAGTCCTCGAGTTACGAATCATCTGAACCTGTCAGGACTAGTACAGCACATGTAGAGCCGCACCCATGTGCGGGCACAAGGAATCAATTCATTAGTTCAAATGAAAGCTGCGTTATGACGCGTCTAAACAATTTTGTATCCTCTGTTGATGCGTGATCGGGCTTGCCGCTTTGCCATATCTATCTATTTCTTTTCAAGTATTTGGAAGAAAGCAACCTGGGTACAGGCAATGACAGAGAGGACAGAGGATCACAAACTGGCTTTTTTTATTTCTGTTGAGCGCGTATCCTGCCTTCAGGAACCCCGAAACCGCGTTGGCGATGAGGCGCGTGCCCCTCTCAGATGACGTGGGAGAGATGTTGGTCCGGACAGAAGCAGACGCCACGAGAAACAGCATTCGCATATCTCTCACAGCCTGCCTTCGAACTCCCTGTATGCTGCGATGGGGCATGGTTGATATTATGGGGAGGCGGCAGACGGAGTTGCACTCGGAGAAACAAGCCAGTGAGGAGGCAGCCCGCGTAGCAGCAACGAGAAAGGGAGGAAGGTACCAGTGGATATGTCCTCCAGCTGAAGTTCGACCGCCGCATACCGTCGTTGCAGATCCACAGAGGTGCGTGTGTTTGCAGAGTGAGCGGAGGCTTCAAGCATATATGCAGTATGTAGCTTTGGTGTGGATGCTGCGGGAAGAAAACGGCAGTGTCAGCTGCTTCTAGTATTTGCATGTTTTGTATCCCTCACCTTCGGTGCTGTGATAGATAGATAGACACTTCATCTCAGAAATAAGTACGTAAGACGTGGGAGTGCGATATTTCGGGCACACACTAAATGTTTGAAACTGCATTTGCACATGCGCATCATCGTTGTCTCATGCACCTGCAGGGCTTGTGAGACTCCCTTTGAAGATTCTCCCGACGGATTGCTACAATGTCTAGAGATTCACGTCCCAGCAGCGAAGGCGCTTCCCCAGTTTGAAGGCGATCCCGGCATCCAGCCTCTCTTTGAAGGCTTTGCCTGCTGCCTTAGGGAAAGGTCTGCCGACAGGTGGTACAAGGCCATAGACAACAGAGACATCCAGGTAGGCTAGTTGGCATAGAGCTCAGCGAATGGACGTGCCCTCTTCTGTGGCAGGCCTCCTCCCTTCCTATTGGCCCCACCAAGGGGAGGCAAGGCTTGGAACTGGTCATTTGAATACCCAAGAGGCCTCGAGGTGCATTGTGTCTTCAGCAGCCGTGGTGTGTATGAACTGATCCGCGCGCCTGTTGCGGCTCCTCAGATCCGTCTCTTAGATGTTGAGAACATGCCATGCAAGGGTGAAAATCGAGATTATCTGGAGAAGGTTGTCGAAGCTGAGGTGGAGTGGCAACATATGACGCTGATGCACCGCTACAACTTGATGCGTCAATTCTATGAATCCTTCTCTCGTCGGTCCGAGGAACGGCTGCACTCCTCCCCCGACTATGGTACACGGGCGCAGAGAGTGGCAGAGCTCATTCGTGCGTGGCCTCGACGACAGTGGGAAGGAGACGAGGCGCCTTTACCCGAGGGCTTTGGGTGCTCTATGGGGAGGGCCAGAGCTGCACATGAGGCCGTGGCGTATAACGAGCTGGCGACTGCGGAGGCAGCAGAAGAGCAGGAGTTCTGGGAGCTCATGTTTACATGGGCACGTTTTGCATTCTTGGGGCTGCTGGATTGGCAGCGGAACTACAATACGAAGCCGAGAGAGCTCGCACATGCATGTGAATCCCTGACATTCTGCGCAGTCAGACTGTGGCGTTGCCATCCTTCTCACCGCACGCTGATCCGCAGCTGCCTTAGCACCATGGGGAGGGGGGGATCTCAGGGACAAGCCATCAGGGACAAAATCCTAGAGATTATGCACAAACACCACATCCCCGAGCACGGCTCCTTTTATGAGCAATGGCACCAGAAACTGCACAATAACACAACTCCAGATGACATCGGCATTTGCAGGGTAAGAAAGCACACCCAGGACTTCCGAACCCCTTCTTAGCGAAAATCGAGCGACTTCTATAATGCTCCCAGACCATGCCTATGATTAGACAGAGGCAATGCTTTGGGGCCATTACAGAGAGGGGTGTGTATTTTCCGGCTTTTGGAGCAGTACATGCAAGATTTGCACAAGTGCCGTTCACTTGTACAGTCGGTGTGTGGTGTTGACGCTGTACTGCCTAGGTTGTAGCAGCGGCATATGATGCGGCATCATGCGATATTGGGTTCTCTCCCAAGTATTAATATGGCTGCCTTTGTCGCTTCATTTTTCTGTCGCATGCAGGCAGTCATCGCCTTCCTGGAGTCCCGGGGAGACCTCTCTGCCTTTTGGCGCGTGTTGTCTGACCATGGCATTACGAAGGAGAGGCTTGCAAGCTACGAGAGGAAAATAACTATGGAGCCACATCTCGTGCAAACGAACATCAACGAATTGGTAAACGATTTCAAGGCCTATCTGAGCGTTATTCAAGACGTTCACGACGCAAGAGACGCCAGAGTGAGTTGCTTCCCGCCCCTTTCTTAGCAACCAGGTAGGCACGGATGCATAAGTTGGTCTGCCAGACCATGGGCCTTCATTTTACTTTACAGCAGAGAAAGTGTGAAGCTCGTTGCTCGCACTCTGAAGCATCTGCGGAGATGCGGCGAGGGCGGATTGTTGCGCATGTGTGCTGCCCGACTCAGAAAGCGTTCGATTATGCACGAGGATACCTGCAAGGAGACACAGTCCACATGGTAGAGACAGTGCTGACGGAGATGGGACAGCGGACAGATGGCATGAGTCCTGGAGAGGTACACAATCGTTTTGTACGGTTATCCGAAGCGCGGCGTCGCCTTTGTTTCCAGCTAAACGAGAACGGCTCTCTTTCGGCTTGTGATGATTCGAGGGTAGCAGAGACACGGGAGCTTCTAATGCTCGACTTTGTCTTGGAGCAGCAGCAGGGGCTACTGCTGCAGGCTACGGCGGCCTTTGATGTGCACCAGCTTGCAACGCATCTCAGAGAACTGCTCCTCTGTCTTTCCGCCCACGACCCCGCCAATGTTGAACTCGCGTGCGTTAAACTTTCCCGTTCCACATGCAGAATTTAGGCTGTTGCACGTAGGGCTATCCCTTCTGGTATCATACAAGCTGCAAAGCCTTATATCCAGATACTGCAAAGTTCCATTCTCCTCGAACTCCATGAATTTTTCCCCCCCCGTTCTCTCTCGCGGCGTATTATCCCTGCCTGATCTTTCCCCAGGCTTTTACACTGCAATACATGAGGCTCTGAGATGCCGCATGTGTGAACTGCTACGCTTAACAGCCACAGCATTTAGGAACGAGCAACAACCTAGGTCGACAGGAGTAGGATGGCCTCAGAGGGCTAAATGGCTTTGTGGTGTAAGTATTTTCTCACCGCAGGAACCTGTGCGCTGATTGGCAGCATCTCTCGGGTGACCTCGCTCTGGCTTGCGTCTCCGAGAACAGCTCAAGCAACGAATGTCGGGAGGCGGCATTACTTTTGAAGGCTCTGCTGGACCGTCTGTCTAGGTTTATAGGCAGACAAGTTGATGCAGTACAGGAGGGTTTAGGCCCTAAAGCACAATACTTGGGGGCCCAAGTGGGAGCTGACAAAAAAGCTCTGGACTTCTTCGTGGATGAGGTTCTAAGAGGGTCATCGCTGCTCAGTGTCGCCTTTTCCATCAAGCGACTCGAGCCCTTCCTTCGAAAGACAGCCTGCCTTCCTGCCTGGCAACTAATTTCCGTTGTTGAACGGGTCAGGGGAGAGCTTGTCACGATTGACCAACTCTCCGGCATTCAGGTGCGGGCTCTCTTTCCATGTAAATTATGAATTTTGCAATAGCCAATGACTTCTCTGGATATCGGAAAAATGCCCGAAATGAGGCTTCGGCTTGAGGCTGACGCTGCTGTGTTGGGGATAGTGGCCAAGAAAAGCCCGCAGGTTTACGCTTGCTGCACACGCTTGAAGAAAACCTGTTACTAGCGCTCCCCCCAATGGGTGCCTTACTGCGCTTCTTCGTTCTGCAGGACAAGGTTTATGAGTCGCCAACAGTGCTCTTGTGCAACGCCGTGAGTGGGGAAGAGGAGATACCCGAAGGCGTTCAGGCTGTTCTGGTCCGCTCAGCAGCTGTCTCCCCAGACATCCTCAGCCATGTATCGGTCCGCGCGAGAAACGCTCATGTTCTCCTCGCGGTTTGTTTTGACGAGGCTGAGAGTGGCAAGCTGGTGAGTGCACTAATAAGCTAGAATTCATTCATGCATCTTGATTCAGGCCGAAGCACGCATCGCGCCTGTGGAGGTGTCCTTAGCCGTGTGGTTTGAGTGCGGCATGTCATGACTCGCCACAAGGCTTTCCCACACCCCTGGTACGCCGCGGGTCATTGCTGAGATTGCCGCTTTTAATTGTCTCAGGAGGAGCTGGCAGGGGAGTGGGTGGAGGTTTTGTGCACACGAGACGGCAGCAGTTTGTCAGTTGCGGCTGCTCCTGACTTGAGACCGGACAAGGCCATTCAAAGGGCTTGTTCTGGTTTATTCAACCGCCAGGCATCTCAGCTCGCTCTCGAAGCGTACGAGGAAGAACGGACTCGCAAAGCCAAAAAGCATACAGACAGAAATGTGGCGCTTCTTGATGCCTCTGCAGATGCCCCCTGGGCTCTGACTCCAGACAGGTTCACAAAGTAAGGCGCCTTAAACGTTATTAAAGTGGTCTCTATTCTAGTAGTTGAATATCTTATCCCCAATGTATTGTACCGACAAGCTGCATAATTCATTCCATTTGTTTTGTCTGCACCAAATATTGCGAGGTGCTCAAGCAGTGCCTGGTCTGTCACACTTTGGGGATTCAGACTGAATGAGAGCAAGAAGGTGGTGCTGGAGTGCTGGTTCATAGTTAGAGCTTAGGACCTAGCATGTACCTTTTTGATGCTAATGATCTTGGGCTGTAACGATATGTCTGCTTCCCAGTTATGCTGGTTACTGATCGAGAAGTTGGGTGGGGCAACTGTAGACGTCTCCTGCTGCCTGTTGTGTCTTTGTGAAGGTCGGTGGTTGGTTCCAAGTCTCTAAACATAGGGAAGCTAAAGGCCTCTCTTCCTAAGGATGTGCTCACGCCTCAGTCTATTGCACTCCCATTCGGCAGTTTACAACGGACTTTGCATGCGCCCGACAACGCACAAGCACTCCAATCCTTAAGCTCTGCCTTACGGCGTCTGTCTAGCAGTCTCAAGAACGCCGAAGCTGAGGCCATCTTCGATATTTGCCGCAAAGCAATGCTCGGCGTCATTGTTCCCACAGAGCTCAGAAAGGCCCTCGAAGAGGCCCTTCAGAGCATCGATGGCCAGGGAACCAGCGACGAAGGTAGCAAGTGTCTCGGCAAGAGGCCTCGTCTGATGGATCTCTGGAGGAAGAACGGTGACACCAAATGCGCAGAGGCTCTAGTGGAAGTTTGGGCTTCGCTTTTTGGATTGAGACCCTGGGTTTCCCTGACGAAGGCGTCGCGCGATTATTGCGAGCTCAACATGGCGGTTCTCGTGCAAGTGAGCTCTTTGATACATAGTGGTGTCTGTCTGCCTGGAGTCCCTGAAATATTCAAACTTTGTACATAAATACTAGCGCAGCGTTTTTATACGGACCCATATTCCCCATATTCCGAGATGCGCTTTCTTGAGCATCGAGCGCCCTTGCCCCATGGTTTCGGTAAGCAAAGGGGACTCGCATTCTCGGATCTTTTGCGGCAGACATCTTTCATTGTCGCTATGATATAATGATTCATTGGCCATATCAAGTGTGTCTGCATGATAGGAACTGCTCCCAGTCCGGTATTCGTTCGTGCTACATACGAAAAATCCCTTCTCCCAGGACCCCAACGAGCTCTATGGAGAGATCGCTCCAGGTGATTCTCGGCATCCTTTGTGCAAAGAAGCTTCACGTATGGCGTATCACGATGCTAGACGCATACGTGAAGTTTGCCTCAGGAGGTCTACTCATTTGCCATTTGGCCTTGGAGCCTCGGACTTTATTCAACCCTGATGCAGCTCTGATCCTCAGATGAATGAGCATCAAACTCTTGCAAATGTGAATGCATGCATTTGACGCAGGACTCGGTGAAGCTATTGTGGGGAACTATGCCGGCCGTGCCCTGGGCTGGACACAGAAGCGCAACGGGGAACCAACAGTTATTGCATTCCTGAGCAAAAGTGTTGCATTGACCTGCGAACCTTGTTTGATCTTCCGGTAAGCCTCCTGCGCAACAATGCTGTAGCCATGGAATGGGTGAACAAAAAACTGCAGATGGTTGGAAAGGACACTGACGGGGAAGAAGCGAATACGACTAACCAATGAGTCTATCTGCTCCTTTTCTGCAAACCTCTTTTTCGCTTGCGTTTGCATGGCTTTTATCTTTTTCCTACTCTTGTGCTGGAAGAACGCTTATTGTATAATCGGTCTTTGCCCTTCACTTGTATTGATTAAATGCAACTGTCTATGCAATTCCGAATCGCTATGCTTGCGGTGCTGCTGCTGGTATAGTTCGGACTCGAATGGAGAAGACCTGGAAGGATTCGCAGGGGCCGGTCTCTTCGAGTCCATTACGGCGGAACGATCAGTTTGGCTACCTCTCTGTTACTGTAGGCAGCGCCTTGTAAACGACAGACCATATAGGCAAGCGTTACTTGACAAGATCAGCAAGGTGAGTTTCACTGCTTGGGCTTAACTCCAGGGCACTAATCTGTAGCTGGAGTTATCATACCTCAATGCCGTATTCCAGTGTATCCTCTGTAATGAACACAACGAAGCGGGAGTCTATCTATAAGCCTATTTTTTGCAGAGAAACACTCAAGCAGACGATATAAAATGCGGTCGATCACATTAAATATATAGGTTGACAGGCGCATGTGCTGTAGTGCAAATTGCAAGTGCATCTGCACGTGTGTTTCGCTTGCTGTGAAGATTGGAGTTCTCGTGGAAGAACTCTACGGAGAGCCGCAGGACATTGAGGGAGTTGTTATTGGTGAAGACACGATTGCCCTGGTGCAGACGCGTCCCCAGGTCTAAGAGAGAGCGAGTGTATGGAATGGATTACCGCCTTCCACCTAGGCTTCCGCAGAGAGGCCCGCGAAGAGGTCCTCCTATGCAACCCCATGAAATCACGTGAAATGTGTAAATGAACGATTAGCATTGCTGTATTCTACCTGTTGTGTGTACATGTAATTCAGGAAAACATACAGTATAGCAGCAGCTTTGCGTATGTGTTTGCATCTACACTCAAAAGTTCCTGTTACCTTTTCACCTGCTCCACGTTGTATCGCCAGGTTCACGATGTGAAGTTACTCTCAGTGAGGCACAGGATGTTACTCCAAAGTATTTCTTATTTGTGGAAACCCTTGTGCCACCCGTTGAAGTAACAGCGAGCTTTGCTCGAGTTCAGTTGCCCTTTAACCCACAACCCAAAACGTTAACTGAAACAACTGCAGGGGATGTCAACGTGGCGCAACCCTTGTGCAAACAGGCATGACGGGGCATTCTGGGAGCCTAGAAACGTTGAGCCTCAACACCAACGGCGGAAGTCTTCCCGCTTACGCGGAACATAGTTCTCCCTAGCTCAATTTTCAGAGTGTACGGTAGTATTTTGCGGTGATACTTCGGAAAATGTAGAGTAGGGTGAAGCCCGCGTGGTGCTCTTTATCCAGTGAAGCTTAGCTCTCTACCAAGTGTGGATCTAATCAGCATGCTACTAAGTTACACATAACAGTGAGTCCACAAGCAAGATTTTAACTACAGCTTCCACACTTCCTTGGGTCTCCTGCATTGTGCTGAGAGTTTTGCTTTTTCTTTAACGGGCTACGCTGACACACGCGCGAGGGTACACGAAGTAGTCAAGAATGCACTAGCTACAAACTGTCTGCCACAACTGCTTTAGCTTACTGGAGTGCTGCAAAGCTAAATGTTTGACTTACATAATTTGTATCGAAGTAAACAAAAACAAAGTTTAAAGAAAGAAACAAGGTGGATATAAATCAAGTAGGTGGCGTAAGAAACCAAACGCACGCGGTACAAGCATAAATTCGACGCAAATCATATCAGGTGAAAGTGAAATGCATAGCATGTTCACCTAAGCCCTCTATAATTCATCATTGCGAGTTCCTGCAAATGACAGGTATTTGGTTAGATCCTAGCCCCTTGAAAGGCGCTGTGGGCGGTGGCCCTTATAGCATGTTGTATTGGGGCTATGCAGCTTCTCTTTCGTCCAAGAGCAATGCACCAGCGACAAACTCATCTTCGAATACGTCACATATTTTTGCAAAGAACCCCCGGACGACTGCTGTCAGATCCAGCAGATGCATCTTGAAATGAAGCAAATCTGCAGGATCTCGGTCAATGTATTCCCGCGCTTCAAAAGTTTCCAACCTTTCCTGCAAAGTGTCCAGACTTCGTTCCAGTTGGCCTTGATGAAATTCGAAGAGGTGTTTCTGGCGGTTTTCTGGAAACTCCGCAAAAAATGCAAATGCATATGACCATTTCAGCATGCGTCTGCACTCTATCACCTGTAACCACCCTTTTTCCAGAAAATCCCAATCAAAGTCCTCCCCGAACCCGAGAGAACCGGTTGCTTCCCTGTTGCTCGTGGGAACCGTTCCAAGTCGCTCCCCCGGCTGCACTGAGCTTATGCTGGCTGAGACATAAGCAGGGCCAGCAGAGGGCTTGTTGCTCTCACTGCCCGCCATGGACTGCGCAGATGCGCATGCTGGTGTCTGCCGCAAGGCAATACACGCAGCAGCCGCAGCTACTTCTCGGCATTTCTTCAACTGGCTGGACTGCATGCCAGCAGCAACTTGCTGTCCGTGATTATGGGCCCTGTAGCGTTCAAAGAAATGCGCATAACGCTCCAGGGCATACTGGGCATCAGCCTTGTCTGATCCCTTGTTAGCATCACCACCTCGTCGCTCGTAAACATTGCACCGGTAAAAGCTCGTGGTTGCATGCTGTTTCCAGTCACCAAGACAAAGCCAACAAAACTCGTGCTGGCAGTAGCACCGCATGTGCATACACCCCATGTCCTTCTGTATGGGGCGGTGGCACTTGGGGCAAGGTTGCGTATTGCAGGAAATCCATGTTACGCTGTCGGCCTCCCGAACGTTCTTCCGCATCCACGCCGCTATAACCCGGCAAGAAATCGGACGGTGGGGTTCGTCGCCACACAGAACGCAAAAACGAGTGCCACACATGCAGGTGACGTCCGATACTGCTGCCACTTCCGCCGCAGACAGGGCGCATAATGAGGCGTCGGCCTCAGACCCCTCGCAACTCATTCCCGCTGGCACCAACTCCACCGCACGTTCGCACGTTGGAGAAGGGCACCACGCAAGTGCTAGTCGCTTCGCAACGAACTGCTCACGAGCGAACATCCGCAGGCGTCCAACTGCTGAGGGACCCCGGAAGAAACGCCACACGTCCATCGGTACAAGCTCCAGACACTCGGGAAAAGGACACCTACGTACAACACACGCGGTCCTCGCAATCATGAACGCACATTGACGAAAACCTGCACACGGCGATAAATGTATTTAGCAGACTCTATAGGAGCTAGTTGTGGTACACTACGGTAGGAAACTACCAGAGTTCAGAACAGGATTGCAGCAAAAAGTCGTCGGTCTAAGGGGCTGTGCCGTCGGAAGACTTCATGAGACCCCCGCGTCGCTAGACGTTCATGGACTACCAACGGAACAGCAGCCGTTTACTCAACACTCTACCGAGGCTACAACACATGTTTGGCAGGGTATACTTCCGTCAATTTGACATTCTTTTTCCGCGTGCTTATCAGCAAGCCTTTTTCCTCCATGCACCGGTGGCTTATCCCCACTCGCGCACACCAGTGCATGGCACCTCCAGGAGCTCAATTGCAGCGAAATATTCAAAAGCATGAGAGCCGGCATATGCACGCTTCCCGGTCCCCCAATACGCTGTTGGTTTGCCAGTAATCCCATCCGAGAACCCCCAACATGGAATCAAAAAATAACTGTGGGTCTATACCTTAGCGCAGCATTCATATTACTCTCACCGGGCATCAAGAGAGCGTTGCGGGCCTTCAGTTAAGAGTGAGTCTAAATATCCAACCCACCCGCTGCAGTAACATGCGACACCACAGCCAAACAGCCACAAAGATCCTTGTTTAGAATTGAACTTCAACGCAGGGGTACAAACCAAGCCAAGAATTGGGGGCTTTCAGCGCGCTCGTTGCTCACGCGTTAGAGTATCTGTGATTGCATTTGAGAGCGAATGTTTCAGTCATTGGGACAATGCATGCAGTAACGGGGCATTCAAACGTCTCGCCAGCCGGTTCATCTTTCTTGCTGATCCTCCCGGAACAGGCCAGAGGTTCTGAGGCACTGCTCGACGCGTCTGGCCCTCCAGGTAAAAGTGAGTTATTGTCGGTAGCATCAGGAACCCTACTGTGCTCCATACTTAGAACCTCAGGTGGCAGTCTGCCCTGCAAAAGCAGGCAGCATTTTCCACATAGGCTAGGTGTTGAAGTCGTTTACATACCCTGCAAAGGTACTTGACAGAAACACAAGAAATGCAACGCGAGCTGAGATGCAAATCGAAGTTAATCTTCCACTAAGAAGCCGATGAGTTTCTCAATGTTGGAAAGTCCAGTCTATGGCACGAAGCAAGATTTTTTGTACTCCCTCAATGCTACGAATGCGGTACCTTTCGTAGAACCGCAGTGCTGTCATTGAACCACTCTTGGACTAGTGCATCACTGCGAAAGTCAAACGCTCGTAGAAGGATCCTGCATGCGCCAAAATCGTCACACAGTCCCTATAGAATACATGATGAAAAGAAATCCATATTGAGGACAAGATGGCAGCACGCCCTCCTTCCGATGACGGAACTGTCAGATGACAACAAACCAGCTGCTAACCCCACGATTGCCTCATTCAAGCCCATGAGAGATGCAGTTTCGTGGACAAGCTCGTCGATACGTCTGTCTAAAGACTCTGGTGAATGGTATCTCGGAACCAAACCCTGGACACAACCGCAGCAATATTGTTGAGATTAATATTGCGCGCATTTTTTTGATAATCGGATCAACTAGTAGATACCAAGGAAAAAACTGATTGCTGTCAAAATAGTGGGCATTCAAGAAACCAAGGATGGCTTTGACAGCACATGGTGCTCATTCTCTAGATTTGGGCTAGGTAATGAGGTGGCTATGGATACCTTGGCTTTGGGAGGTGCCGCCATGTTGCCCAATAGGTCGTCTTCATCGAAGACAAACTCGTCCAGCTCACAATCTTCCGGGGAGGCATCATCGTCCGATTGGAGCTCCATCCTAGTTGCACGTTTCCAGTTTTGTTTTCCCTGCTTGCTTTTGTGTATTCGGCCGGTAGCTAGTGCGGAGGGGAAAACTCACGGTCAGCTGAGTTGCCACGAAAAGAAGAACATAAATTAATCTCAGATCTGCTAGAATTTACTTCCCGATACTATAAGCCTACAGGGGACGAACTTTGAAGTCAAGGTACACATGCACGCTCAAGTACTAATAAACGTATCCCCCCTCCGCATGTGCGCTGCCCAAACCCTAGCAAGTCAACGAGACAGGGCACCGCTTCAGCCCACTACAGCACAATACAAATATAAGCCAGAAACAGAAATATGTGGCGAAATTCTGGTCCAGGCCGGGCAAGTGCCGCTTTGCCCAACCCTTCGGTGAAATTAGTGGTCTGCAAGGCATATCTAACCCTGGACACGCGTTTCGAAAGTCAGGATTCGTAGTGTTATGGTCTCTTATGAAATAAAAGGCTACTAATGTCCAGTAGTCACCCGATAACTCGTGTTGCGTGTACACCCAACGCCACGAAGCCCCGTGTCGCCGCACCTGGCGTGGATCCGGCCTTCCATCGCAGTACGCAGCAAAATTAAGGCTTTTGCGCCTGTTTCCTTGTTGTTTCAACTGTGTCGTGCTCCAGCAAAACAGCTAATCAATGGGTTTCAGTGTCCCCTTGCAAAGGGCTCGTCAGTGTCTCACCACAGAGCATTCACAGTGGCCCACCTCATGCTCTATTGGAGGCAAGCTCGACAATTCTTGCTACGGCGTATGAGTACACTTAGATGCCATGCTCATCATCCCTTGAACCATGGTGCAGAGTGCGATCTTCCTTGAAGCCTTCCTTCGGGTCGCGCAACTCCAATGGGGGAACCGTGTCACACGTGTAGAAAGAAACGCTCCTTATTAGAGCCAAGATTGTTTTCACTTCAAAGTTCAATTGTTGCTTTCACATCGTGCTAGAGAGACAATTGGGAGGACGTAAACATATCAGTATATCATGCGCTGCACGCCGAGTTTCAAACAGCGAAAAGCTCGTTTCGAGCTGAAACAGAATGCGATCAAATTAGTTCGGCTGCTGCACTCGGTAGTGAGAATGTGGAAGCCTTCTTCTAATGTTCCCCTTCATGTAGTATATATCGACGAGGAAAACTAGAATATGAGAAGCCAGGCAATCAAAAATCAAGTTTCTCAATCTTCCTCGAAAGCCTATGCCCTGTTCCATTTATCGGCAGCAAAGATCCGTATGCAACAGTGTTATATGTCCTTCCAAATGATACAATACATATATATGGTCGGAGACGCACTGTTAGCCAAAAGGATTTGTTATTACATACTAGCTTGCCTGATGTAACGCTTTATTTGAGGTCTCGGTAGAAAGGAACTTGACTTTTAACCTAGTACAAAATTGGTTTAAGCTATTCAGTGTTCTTCCAAAACCATTCCCTCCTTGCCCGCGCACCTCAGAATTCCGACATGAGGGGTAAGTCACAGCGAGGTTGTGCTGCACCTCTAATGCAGTCCGACATTCACACCTGCTTGTAGATAGCATCCTGGGCTCACGTACATAAAAAGCAGTGTGTCTTAGTTGAGTGAGCTACTGCTAGCTTGCAATAGCTCATGTATACTTACAAACTAAGCAACGCGTGATCTTAATTAATTATTTTGATCCAGCCTAATGAAGGTAGTAGATAGTGCCACACTGTAGCTGGCCCCGCTACAGCTCAAAACAGACACCCTCGTGTTCCGTACTTGCACGTCGAGACTAGGTGAATGCGGAATAGCCGTAAAACTCCCGTCCGACCCCTACTTTCCAAGCAGGCATTGCCGCTGAAGTGCGTGGGGAAAAGGCAAATTGGGCATGAAGCGCTGAAGTGAAGTCAAACTGAAGACCTACACACACTGACCAACAAGTCCGAGGGACTAAACGAACACGATTGTGGTGGAGCTGTGGCTAGCCATCGTCGAGCGGAGGAAATGTGTGAGCCTCCCGCTGCAGCACAACACAAGACAATTAGAGCAAATGTAGAAACCCAAGATGCGCACTAGCTCAGCAGTGCCTTCACACCTCATAAAGCAATGTCGGCATGCAAATACAGCCAGCGTACCCGACATAGTACACTTGAAAGCCCCAATAGAAGCATTAGCGAGGATGTACAGACAGGATACCTACGAGTGCCAGCAAATAAACGTGAGCAGGACCATCAAGATAATAACAGTTTGGAGTGTTTCAAGGAGTGCACATAGATAAAGGCAGCCATATCAGGCACTGGAAAGGCAAAGAACTTCAATTATTAGTAGACATGTGTTGTATTATCCATGGTAACTAGCTTTTTTAGCCAAGCAGAGCAGCAACCTCTCCCGCAGGCGGCGACGCTTGCATCTGCTCCTCCATCAACCAGTAAGTCTGGCGGTCACCACATCACCTCACTAAAATGTCTTGTCTAACGTGTCCTCGGTGCTTTATTGTTGCATAATGCTGCGCTTCTACACTTGGGCGGCAAGGTCCACGAACAGATTGGGAGCCTTGATTCCACCTAGGAAGCCAATATTAGTAGTTCTGTGGGATCGATTAACGTAGCACAGAGCATTTCTTCGTGGCAAAATTGCAAAAGGTCCTAGCCGCCTGGACGCAAGCTTCCTCGTTTCGTCACCTTGTGGTTCACCTACTAAAGCCTAGTGATCCGCCAGAACCAAATCTTCAAGCTCGAAATACAGTACCAATCGCCGCGTATCAAAATTCAGTGCTTATCTCATTTAAAGGTTTGCTCATATATTTACATGTACCAGCGCCCCACTGTTTTCTGAGACCTTCTATTGCTAATGCTGACTGCTTGGTCCGCACCATCTTGTCCAGGCCCGGATCGGGGATGGGCTCGTCAGTGGACACCAGAGGTGCGCAAGAGCAACTGGCAGAACGATGTACTTTTCTATTAGGGGCATGCACAGCACAAGGGTGAAAACCAAGTCAAAAGTTGAATTTGGGTGAGCACGGAGTTTTGCAAGGACACAGCAGAGGAGTGCAGTTCATTGTTTCTGTCTGCGCATCTGCCTCAGGGTGGTTGGTAGGGGTCACAGGACACCCAATGTGTACCGGGTCGTAACAACACGCGAGTACGCCGTATTGAACGTCTGATCCCCATTCATAAGATAATCCCTGTGGAAAGTCCAAAGCTTTAAGGAATGAGGTAAGAATAGTTGAGCGATTTACTAAGCCGTGGCAGAGCTGGAGCAAGGCATTTGATGGGCATATTTGCTGAGTCTTTCGACAGCGACATCGATGCTAACCTGACCACCCAACTGAGGCAGTCCAAAGCAAAAGTCCATAGTCAGATCAGTACGAATCGTTCCAGCATCCAAGAGCCTTGCAAAAAAACTTGGGTAATGACAAATTTCACGGATTCAGCTGCTGACAATCTGGGCATGATAGTCCACGGTTTTCTGCTGCGGGACGCATCCTAGGCCTCCAGAAAGACCGTGAAAGCTGATTTCCTTAAGAATACAGATCTCGGCGGCCAGACTATTATGTACTGTGAGCAGAGCGGCACTGAGTTACGAAGCCCGGGTGTACGAGTACGGGAGTCATCACTTTTTCTTGAGCCAAGGCAGATCATGTTCAACGTGGTAGTGCTTCGCCCCTTAGTCGCTTTTGGATCTGGGTAGTATAAGCGGACACATAAGTAGCAATAATACACGCAATTTCTTTTAAATTTTTTCTCGTATAGCGGCTACGCGGCACAGTAGTCTAAGGTGAGGTGTCGCTAGAGCGCATTCAAGTTCGTGTTTCCCTCATAATACTTCACCGTAAAGTCGTCGTGCAGGAGGCGCCACGCCCAAGATAGACAATAATTTTAAGGCTATCAACGACGCTTAAAACGTGTTGAGAAGTACACTCAAGAATGATGGGTGATCTGGACAATAGGATGACGCCCGTATAAACAGTGCGAGCATTTGCTCCACGCCCCATCAACCTGCATGGAGGTCCTTTCTCCGCACCGGACATGCTGCTCGGTTTCGGTAAAACGATTCAAATAACAAACATTAAGTTAATGCTTGGAAACTCCTTTCAGAGAAAATAGCGCCCACCTATGCGCGTTTAGCATCGGATATGAGGAAGACATGACAACCATGAGGGGGCAACGCTGAGAATACGTAGGGAGTTGTGGGGCGGTCAATAAGCGTCCTTGCCGCGACATCCTTCTCCTCTGTCCAGATGATATAGACTGCGTTTTATTAAGTAGGCCAGTCAAAGGGGCAGTGATTCGAACAAGAACAGGGATGGACTCGCGGTAATGGGATGCAAGTCCTGAGCAACGTTCTTACGGATACGCCTACACTGCTTCCTCGCTTCAAATATGCCTGAGCTGACTCAATTCCTGCAGCCGAAATAGGGACTCCAAGGAGCGTAATCGCCATTCTGCGTACGAGCATGGGTATGCTTTGGCGTACCACTGCTTGTCTCGCAACAACTGGGTTCGCGCCGTGGGTGCTCTTCAAAGTTTCGGCTTTGAACCAAACCGTCGTCCATGCATACAGGCAGCCAGATATCCCTGAAAGGCTTATTCAAAATATCGATCTGCTTGTAATTACAGTCCAGATAAGGCACTAATCAGTTTAAAGGCGTACAGGTCCATTCACGATTGTGAATGCTAGTATGGAACGGCTTTTTGTGCCTGCATGAAGGTAAGTGGAATGCGTATGAACTCGTCTACGAAGTTAAATGTCAACTAGCCTGTTGCTTTGTGTACTCGGCCAAGCTTTTTGCCAACAGAAGGTATCGAAAACTTCTGCTTCATAGTGATCTCGGTACCGGAAAAGGAGAGGTGATGGTGCTGCTCTAACTAAATGCCCCTGTACAACATCATTTTCTGCCCAGAAGCGCTAGCCGATCCATGCAATTTGCTTTTTTTCAACGAATAATATACCTGTCACTCAACGCTTTTACTCTGTGAGGCTCCTGGATGTCGTGGAAGATGGTTGAGGGATCACGCAGGGAGTAGCACATTGAGGTGCGCTTGACAAACAGCAGGTGGCCAGCCTGTTGACAGCTTGCCAATTAGCACATCGGCAAACTCCTCGATTTTCGCACAATCTCGCCATTCATCGAGTAAATATTTATGTGAGGTGAGGCTTTTAAGTAGGCAACTCTTTGCATTGCTACTAAGACGGTACACCTGCTAAAAAGTGTCGTATCTGACTGCTCTGCTGCGATACGCCCATTAACACTCTACCTCACCTTTCGAGGCAGCAACTCTACCCTATTCGGCATCAATGATATGAGCGCTGTTAAGCAGACCATAATGTGCATATTCGTAGCGCTTTCCCAAACACCAGAAATCACAGCGCGAAGCTCTGGCCTCATGCGCACCTTTCATTGGATCACCCATGGCATACCACACCTACGGCATGGTTCACGGGTCCAAGTAGAAATCTTGGGGTTCGCTGGTACAACTCGATTCTAATTCATAGTAGCGTATACTTGTAACCTTGCCAACCATTGCTTTTAGTCGTTATCAACAAACCTGAGGCTAAGGGACTGCTGTAAGGAGTCAGGAGTGAACAGACAAATCGTGAATCCTGTGCCGTCTCCCCGCAAAGCTTGTCCTCTTCAAATCCAGTGTCAAGTAACACTATCAACTTTGAACCATCAATGTCGACTTGTCTTAGAGCATACTTGAATCATGGTAGGTTAGCTACTGCAGCTCGGTAGTCATCAGCCCCTTTCACTGCGCCACAGACTGGATGAAGAGCTCTCCGTTTCGCTGATACCCTTTCTTTGCTCACCAAGCTGCCTGTTGAGGCCTATTATTTTTGTTCAAGTGATTTAGCTTGTTGCATGCGATTGCGGCTGCGGGTTACCTAACCCCAGTTCCACAATAGAAGCAAGGGCGAGTTCAATAGGAGACTGTCCTGAAGCTGCTTCCGGGTGCAAGCTTTCTCTGGCTTTATTTTCTATGTCAGACTGTAGGCTCGGGTGCCTTCACATAGTCTCGAAATCCACATGTTCTAGGTTTCGACTTGGCGCTTCCTGCTCACTCAGAGCACACGGGTTGCCCCCAATTAGTCCTGGAATCTCAAATACGTCATCGTTTGTGGAAGCCTCAACAGCTGATTATTATATCGCTTAGTTACCGCCCATTCTGCGGCCTGACGTGACACTTTAGCTACGGCCGAAATAAGCCACTGATGAAGCAGCTATTCGCGCATGATATGGCTGTTGTCAAACAGAGTTTCAAACTATTCGAGATGCCGACGTATTGATAGCTTTCTCTGCTTAACTTGTAGTTGTTTTCTACATCCTTGCCATTGATCGAGACTGGGAATACACTGCTGACTTAGGGTCTGTGAAAAGGCTTGGAAGTGTAGCAACCTCTAAAGGCAAAAAATTGTTTACATGAGTACAGCGACGATCAAGGTGCTTCTTTATTCAAAATTATCTTGCAAAGAGCACGCGTATCTTACCTCGGGGGTAAATGCGTGGTATATCTGCTACCGGCAAACAAGAGATTCGAGTATTTGCCCATTCGTAAGAGTATCATACTCTTTTATTTGGCATAACCCCTTTGACGCATTTGTAAACACGTTATCGGCTGACAGATTATGTCTTTCTGCTAACTGCGGAGCTGCGGCGATCGAAGTAGACGGCGACGCAACGCCATAAGTATAACCGGCGTACTAGGAAGTGCCCAAGTGTAGCTTAGTCCACTATAACGTCTCGAACTGGAAAAAGGGATAGCCTGATTGGACAGGCGCGCCAGGGTAATGTAGGGTTTGTTCAGCCTAGCCTTCTCCCCGAAGAATTTCCTAGTGCCGGCTACTCGTATAAGTTCTGCATATGCTCAATCAGATCACCAAGATTTACCATTTAAATGCCAAATACAGGAAGCTTCCTTTGTCCTATAAGGGGAGGCACTTTTTTTGCTAGATGCAAAGAAAAGGAACCGAAACATTTTCTCTAGCCTACACCATTCGTACAGCAGCTAGAATGTCTCGCCTAGCCTTGCAATAAGGGGTTTCAATGGACAGTAAATAACGTATTGCTACCATAACTCCTTGAAGTTCCCCACTCAACGCAGTGAAGGAGGCATTCTTCTGACTAAAAGCGTGGATTTACGATGTTCTGGAAGAAACTAATACCACCTTTTGAATCGATATGTCGGCACGGCTTCATGCGTGCTTTACAGAAAAGGCCTGGCTATGTCTGTTAAATTGAGAATGAACATCCCCCCGGTTACCCAAGATACTAGCGAAACAGTCTATTGCTCCATTCCAAGAATCACCACTATTCTTGCTGGCTAGCAACGATGCATGTGCACTGACACAAATACCTGAAAGCAGATCAAGGGATTTGGTGCATTTTGAAGGGTATTTCAAAACAGTGATAGAATAGGCAGGACCCGACAGTGCCATTTAAAACCGCTAGGAGGCTAGTTCGAAATAGTGAATAGTTGCAGTCACTGGGTGAGGCCTGAACCGAACTTTCAGAACAGTATTCAAGCGCTCTTTCATCAGGATTAGGGTGCTACTCTGCAGAAACATGCTCTCAGGCACTCATCAAAGCAAAGCCTTCAAAACGTTTCGTCTCCAACCTCCCTGACAGCCAGCAGAAGGTATACCTCAAAAACAACAAAAGCCAGAGCAATCAGACCCCATAGAGAGCCACAGAGGCGGCTACTGCAATGGGTCAGCGAAGCGCACTTGTACGCATCACTGTCAGGTTCCTTCCTGCGTATTGTATCGTCCAAAATATCGAGGAGGCTGTATACGCTGTTCATGGATCCAATCGCCAGCATGGCAACCCTCAGTGGCCAAATAGTGTGGTATAGCTCGGTGAAAGCCCAGACAACTATTATTTCAAGAATAAAGATGACACAGACTATGCCTACTGTCCAGTTCCTTGCAAAAAACAGGAGGACCATTAGCAGCATGAAACACAGTAAGCCGGCACCTACTCGTAGGGTCCAGATATTGATACTTGCAAGAAGTGTAAACACCAATCCCCAAAAACAACTGCCCAGATATCCGGCAGGTAGAATAATCCATCGAATTCCTCCCACTGTATGCGTAACGCCTCCCTCGTTCGTGTACACCTCTGCACGGAAGGAAGCGCAAGCACATGGCCAATTGCATCTGTGTGGATGAAAGTGATAATCTACGCCTACGCAGCCTCTCTCTAATGATTTAGGGAGAACACAATGCTAAGCACGGTTTTCAGTAGGCGCTGTTTCACAGATGGTGCGATCCTTGGGCAGCGTGGGGACCAGACTACTGCAAAGTTCAACCTCATGAATGACTGGTTTGCAGCCTTGTCTCGTACGCAGACAGCATTACGTACCGATTCCCTTCACTTTCCCGCCTGTAATCCAAGCCGCAGAAGCATGGGAGAACTCGTGGAGGAATGTGGTAAGCAACTTGAACTGTAGCAAAATGTGGACGCCAAATATCCTGCAATGCCATAATACTATGGCGACAAGCGTCCAGCCTGCGATTATACCAAGGGTAATCCATTGGCCTCGACAGCAGCAATAATGCAAAGTCCAATCTACGGACGACATATTGAGGGAGATACCTGCAAAAAGACGGCTTCACGTTTTACCACCTCAGATACATCCCACTAACAACTCGGCCGGGTTGCCAGCAAAAAACGGCTGGCCGCTTCTGCGGAGATCATTATAAGCTTGGAATGAGATCACTTGAAGAAAAGCGTGCCTTTTGTTTGCTACAAAAGTGGATGCTACAACCCCCCAACTTAGCCAGCCACTGCTGCCGAGAAGTCACAAACTTCGAAGCAATGGAGTTTCCGAGTTCGCTATGATGGAGTAACGAGCCATAGAAAATAAGTGGGCGGAAGCATTTTGACTAGACCAACCACAAATTTTAATAAGAATGAAGCATCTCATTTGTTTTCTAGCTACTCATCTTTCTCTTATGTCCTTTTGAACGGGCGCACGACCCCGGCGACGCTTGACGGATCCTCCAGGAGAGCTTGCACTGGTGAGACTCGTTATTAGCACAGACAATGCTAAATGCCGAAGAATTAAGTAACACTGATGTTACTTTGTTGACGCCGCCAGTTTCTGCTCATTTTCCCGCTCGCTCTGCTTCCTAGAATGGACGAAATGCTTGTGGGTCCCACTGTGTGCCTGCTATGTCTTTCGGCTCTCAATAATGCAGTCACGACCGATTATTTAATGCCCCTCATGACATAACCTCCAACAGATTACTGCTTGCTTTCATGCATTAGTGTGCACTAGTAGTACATTCCGTCGCCTTTGTCCTGAATGACAGTCTCTACTTTTCCTATAAGTTTGGAGACCCCTAACCTCTTGCCGGCCCGCATCATTCTTAAATGATGCCGCTGCTGCGGTGGAATGAAAGGTGGCTTTCCGCCGCCTTGCTGCTCTTATCACTACTCCTGCCACCCCCACCAGCAGCGTCGTTTCAAGTCCCCAGCCGTCAGGGCCTCCAACGGGGTTCCCTATTTTTGCCTGGGAGAGTAGCACCATCACCCGCAGCGTGGCGTGTAGGTACAAGGCGGGCCCAGCAGTCAGCAGCTCCTTATTGGTCCTGTGCCTCCGGCGTGGTTCCCGCACTAAGGCCTCCTGTGTCACACTCGGCGTCGCGTATTTTGGCGACAGCATCGAGGGAGGAAGCTCTCGGTGGCGTTGACAGTCCCGCACATCCCCTGCCTTTTTGGGACAAGGTGTTTTCTCGAAAATTCTTGTTCAGTGAAGCGCTGCCGTCTGTGATCCCTCCCTTAGAGGCGGCTCTGTTTGCTAAAGCAAACCTAGCAGCTCGATTTTCCGGCAACTACAACAGGGGCTTTGGTGTTTTTGGCGCTGGCGGACTACCAGCTCTGTGCATAGCAGCGGTAGCTGCATCTGTTGCCGCCTTCGGTTCCTGGCGTCTCCTGAACTTGGCCTCGAGGTCCTTACGTAATGTAGCTACTCAGGTACGTTTTCTTTGTCCTCATCAATTATTGTGTGAGTTCACCCAGTGTACAGTGGCTTCAGACAACTGAATCGTTCTTTGACATCTGTTGCTTGATGCATTGACCGAGTGTCTGCAAACCTCCCTGGGCGCGAGAAACCGATGCAAATATTTTGGGAGGCACTGAGCAACGGGACGGTCATGTTCCCCTTACAATCTGCGTTGTATGGGGGCTTTTGCAGCACCGTCTTGCTGAGGCGAAGGCCTACGGACCCTTGCATTCGCTGGATGCAACGATTAAGCGGGTTCCAGAAGGGCAGGGAAGGGATATGGGCTCTCGCGAGTACAACAAGGGGACCAGCATAAAACGTAGCAGGAGCAATCCCAGTAAAAGCCTACCAAGCATCAAAAAGGATACCCTCCCACAGCGAACAACTGCGATTTTGCAGGAAAGCCCAACACGTGATCAGGATACATCTGAGGCCCCAATGAAGGCTGGCCGTCTGTCCAGCCCCAAGGCGACGAAAGTTCCCCGTGGCTCTAGTGCCACTAATTTGGATAACAGCGGCCCCCGAAAGCGTAGGGGTAGGAAAAGCGGCAAGGGAGTTGATGAGTCTTCCATTGCTCCGGCTGGTGATGTAGGGGGTGAACACCATGGACGAGAAGACCAGGACGGCAACGAACTCGTTCAAGCCCACACTGTTCTCGATACCACCTGAGCTTCCTTGAGAAGTCTCCTCCCAGGTATTACGCCTCTAGAAGCTACAGGGGCCTACAAACTCCCTTACTTCCCCAACAGAGCAAGGAGGCTGGTACAGTCTTGACAGTTCGGGGAAAGTTCGCAGTACGAAGGGGACGTTAGACATGCATTTGACAAAGACGACATATTCTGCGCCCTCTTGGCCGATACTGAGCAGAAGAGCGTACAATGGAAGGCTAGGTGTACTCCTAACTTCACTGGCAATATTGAACCATAAAAGAAGACTGTGCTAGCCCATGCATGGGTGCCTCACGTGGAAGGGCTTGTTGTGTACAGACTGTATCCTGCAGGGGGCAATATCATGGTAGCTTGCTCAAGTGACTCTGTGAGCTTTTGGAAGGTTCCAATTGCTGTGATACAGAATGACGCACGGACGCTTAGTGACTCCATCCCGGCAAGAGCACGCAAGCAGGCAGATAACCCCGTGCACCCAGTAGCTTGGGTGCTTTGCTGCCTTATGTTGAAACAGCGCACTTGTGCTGCGTAGAGTCCTCTAGAAACCACAAAGGCACCACCATAAGCATAGAATCGATTATTCGGGGGGATAGCACCTAGTGTGGACGACCCCTACAGATAGCTTATAAGCTGTGAATCCTAACTGGGTCTTCATGTAGACTGCATGGAAGCTAAGTAATATGCTTTCAGCGCTCTCCATATCAAAGGGGTGGTGTATGTGGGGCCTACTGCAGCTCAGATGCTGTCAGTTCTGATGCAGGACAACGCAAGATGACGCCAGTGATTCATGCGTGTGGCAATTTCTTTTCCAGTGTATCCTAAGTGCGATCAGCATGTACCCCAATTTGAAAATAACATCTCCCCAAAAAAATGCTTTTTTAGGCTGACTCGCCCCTTGAATGGCGCTGCTGTGGGACTACGTGAATCACGCTACTTCACTAGAAAACGTAAATGGCAGTCAGTACTGTTGGTGCGGCGCTGATCTAGGACATAATCCCCAAAGCAAGCATGTGTGTGGACCACTTGAAATTTCTTTTGAGGATGTACACAGTTGTTCTGAAGTCTGGTCTGCTCGTCTCTAGCAGATAAAATCACTGCAGTTTACCAGTCTGATAATCATATCATGTTACATATTACATTAGTTGACGCTGCCCAGTACACTGCTGCGCCAGCCACTACTCTTGCTGCTGGAATTCGGTATGCTGTTTGCAGTGCTCTGGCATTGTTGCTTCTGTCGGCTGTGGGTGAACCGCCACCGCTGCTGCAGTGTCTTAGCTTGTTCCTCATGCTGAACATCTTCCTGCCTCCTTTTCCTTATTGACAACAAAATCGAAAGCTCCCACTGCTCCAGCACAGGTTGCAAAAGAACAGCTGTTCGCTTCGTGCTGTGCTGCCTGGTGTATATTTTCACTCTGTGGCTACGTTCCCTCATGTTGGAGCACAAATCTGCCAAGCACAAAGGTGAATTTGCTGGCCATTCTATTCTGGGCTTCTGGTCCTGCCTGCACTGCACTTCTGCTACAGCAAAAAACCCGGATAAGCCATTGATGAGCTATTACAGTTTCTGCGGCAGCAAGAGCCCAACAACTGAGTAGCTGACTGTGTGATCTTGAGGCTGCTTTCACTGTCAGGGGCAGCACTGGGGAGTGTAATGATGGAGGAGCCCTGAGATAATGGAATATGGGCGATTTACGGAGAGCAGGGAGCCGATTGAGGTCTCTCTTCCAATGAAATCTTGCTAGATGCGTCTGCCTACCTCTGCAGGTATCGCGCAGCCGACACTTTGGTCAAAAAGCCGTTAGTAAGAAAAACACTTCTGGTGCAATCGCATTGAGGCATAGATTGATTGCTGCTTGGTGCAAGCGTCAGACAAGGAAAATGCGTCAGCAAAACACGACATTGAGATGGGGCTAGCAAGTGGCAATGCTCTACAGGTCAGTAAGATCGAACTGATAGATAGGCCTGCATAAAACATACCCAATTACTTTTGCATGTCTGCAAAGGGATAGTCTTTTAGAATAGCGCAATGAAGAAGGTGTACAGGTCAGAAGCTTTCAATGCAACCAAAAGTGTTCCAGATCGCATTCTCAGTGTTCCAGCGATGCCATGAAGCGTGGTTTGCATGTAGAGTGCACAATGCAAGTGCGAGCCAATAAAAGGCTCAGTGAATCTGCTGACCATTCATACTTCGTCGTCATTATTCTCGCCGAGATCGACAGATACTGGACTCTTCCGGCTACGGACAACTTTTTTACATTAGATGCCTCATTGGAATGCATACGCTGTCCTACTTAAAGGGCTTTCGGTAGTCCTACTGTAATAGGAAGCGTTGATTGGATTTTGCCTGTTCGATGCTATCCCAAATGTAGCCAAAGCATTCTTTACGAAGGACGGCACATGTACCCCAATGCAATTATGAAAATTCCCCTTAGCCACTTGCTAACGTTGGGGAGGCCGTCATGGATGTGCTGCTGCAAGAGAGACAGAAAAGCATGGGAGGTTACCGTAAGTAGCTGATCGAGTGTCAGTAAAACATCTCACCAGTGCCTTTTATTCTTAGCACATAAATACCGAATGGAGCTGCATATTCGTGTTCCGTCAAATTCGGCCTCACGGCAAGGTGGACACCCTTGAAGCACAGCAAAATGACTTAGGAAAAGACTGATGAACCGGAACCTTTGCGAGCTGAAAAACCCTTTGTTTTTCCAGCTCGATTCTCGGTTGCGGCGCCTGTAGACGTTTATTCCATTAGTGCCGCTTTTATCCGTTGCGCATGCAACGAACACTGAAAAAGTACGACTCGGCGCATCGTTACCAGTTGGCATTTCGATTTGTCCTCGAAATGCGCTCGTGCAGGGTGCTATCGTTGGCTACGCAAACAAGAGAGGTCCCAGCATCAGCAGTTTAGACATATGCGTCGAGTCCATAGAGACTCCGTGAATAATAATCCGTATCTTCGGGTGAGCGGGCTGCAAGACTCGGATGCGTCGAGTATACGTACTGCGGTGTTCTACCTAGTAAGCTCGCAAGCCACAGTACTTAAGTGACACAGCAGAACTGCCCCGAAGGAACGGAAAATTCGTCAGAATAATGTCGATAACATCAATACCTGTGTTGGTTCTGGGTTCGTTCAGGCGTCTGCCGAATCTTCGTGAAGTAGCTTCTGCACACAGGGGCACTGTCCGCAGGAAGGAAAAGCTGCAAGGAACAATGTGCGCTACTGTGTAGTAGATCTTTTGTCAGTTATTAAGTGCTTTACATATGCTCGATAGCTTGAAGATCCCTCGAGTAGCTTTCAAGCAGCCACTTTCAATTGATCGGTATGCCACAAAAAGAGTCGGTATGATGTCACAGCCTCGAGTTTTTGTGGCAACTTCCCTAGGTAGCCTGACAGGAGGTACAAATCGTCTCTTGTTATTACAAGGCCCACATTTAGGGGTTTATGAAGAAACCAGTGGTAAGGAAACAATAGAGCTCATGCAAAAGTATGGTAGGGCGTCGAAGAAGTGAGGGTGTCTTTCTTGCGTCGTTCAAGCGGGCGCTTTGTGGGTTCACAGGCACTTAGGGGAGGTCCGGAGGTTAGGAAAGCCTTCTGCCGTATTTTTGCGCACATTCATTCGTGCTTATCTTTGGTCACCGCCAAATAGGGTGCAATTTATCTCAAGAAGTCCCTTGTTGCCCCTCCAGTATTTCATGCTTCACGAGGTGACGCAAATTCTTTGTCAGAAACACTTCTTGCTGCTCCTCGTTCAGCTCAAGATCTACCAGACATCCCATATAAAGAGCCCTAGTTTACAATGACGCATTCGACTGTTGCTGCCCCTGTTACCACCATCTGCAGGCCGCAGGCTTACCGGGGAAGTAGAAGCAAGGACGGGGAGCTTTACATTTTTTGGATTTAGGCACACGTGTCTCTTGCAGCAAACAGCATTATTGGAGTGCCTATAAATATGGAGTCCGAATGTGAAGCTTCGCTTACAGGCTAAATGGTGATGTCTGTGCAATGAGGTTGAGTAAACTTCTGCGATCCCATTTGAATATGCAGATAGGAGTTATTGTGGCTCTTTGCCCGCAAGAGCCCACGAGAAAAGTCTGCCTGGAATTTAAGGAGAAAACGGCGAAAGGATTTCGGTGGGAACTGATGCCATAGCATGTGGGCTGCACGTCGGGGGGATGGAGGCTTTTGTCAGAGCGCACTTTCCCCTCACGGCAGTTGACGGCCTCCACAGGTGAAGCTGTAGCACCTGTCCTTAGCACAAGAGTACATGGCTGGTTTATATTTTTGATGCGTGGTGCCTCAAAGAAGGTCGCTTGAAGACAAAGCTTAGTAAGCAATCACGTTGAGTGTGGATATATAGGACTGGCAGGATTGGCCGGTTGGGCTCCAATTGGATTATATCATCCCTAGTTGCCAAGCGCAAAACAGCAGTTGCATTAGCCGTACGAGCATCACTGTCTACAGATGTTGCTATTGATGAAGTTGATGAATGTAAGCAAGCTGTAAAGCATCGGGTAGTAGGTCACTTGACAGCAATAGTTGGGCTGGCCTTAGTCGATTGCTTTTGCAGAATCGTAAAAGACTGGTACAGTACTCGAGTGCATTGGCGTGGTGGCCGTGGCCGCATGTTTTCTTGTAGGTCGAGGTATTCTGCAGTTTCGTTCGCACTTTAAGTTGGCCCCCACTGCCTTAGCATTGGAGCGTTACGGATCATTTCACCTGCACCCAGCCTCCACAGGCCCTCGTGTACGCTTGCTACTCGCTCACTTCCAGATAATGTAAATCTGCCAAAGCCGGTGTCTGATGCAAGACAAGAAGGCTGGAAGCCACGACGGTAGGCACTGAACTGGGTGTCAAACTACGTGAACCACTACTATCCTATCTAGCGATGACTTCGTAGGCTTTGCTTTTATTTCCATGTCAAGTCATGCATACGTATTCATATGCATGCAGTTTCAGAATGGTGACTTACAGTGATTTTACGTAATGTAGGGGCCTGTACTAACAAAGTAATGTATTGGCTCCACAAAATATCATAGATTTCCTGCTTCCAGTGTTTTGCAGACCTATGAAGCATCATTTTAGCACAAAGAAAGGGAATGAACACGCAAAAGTGCGCTGCGCCAAGGGTCTTTAGATTAATGCAAAGCTCAGAGTTGCCAGTGCAATCAAGGCGATTAGGGATCACGCGTAATAAGGTACCCTCGTGCGTGGCAAACATTATTCCTGGGTAGTGCCAGCTATACTGGACTTTGCAGTGCATCTCAAATTTCTGGAGCAGCTGCACTCACATCAACTTCATTGAGGGCGTCAAGCTGTAGTCTTAACATGAGGTCTAGTACTTAAATTTCTGTTTTCTCGCTCCCTTCCCTAGTTGTACCTTCATAATGGGAAGAATCATAGCCTGGGGTCATCTGACACAGTGCACACAAAGTAGCGAGAAACAGGCTAACTAGTGGAATGGCGCAGTAAATGCAATACCATTTAGACAACCGAACAGATTTCTATTGGGCTTCACATGATGTGGGCAATTCCTACTACGGCAAGGGCACGGGATTGAGAACAGCGTAAGAAAACCGCAAATATATACGAAATCTCGTAGTCAGACATCGCTCCAGTGCACCTGTGTAATATTTCAAAGGATTTGCATGGTGCAGTGCAGTGAACGCCCCCTAGTGGCGTGTGTTTTGTTCATGCTAATCGATGGACTTGCATGGCACTGGAGGACGGAACACGGCCGCAACAACTCTTTGCACATGCATTCATGGGTTAGCACGTTCATAAGGACTTGCTAGGAAGAATGGTGAGAGCATGTTGAAGCATTGGCGATATGCATTGTAGAGGGCGGCAGAATGGGGCACCGGTGATAGCTCAGTTGGTAGAGCGGCAGACTGTAGATGCTGCGGTTATCTGTTGGTCCCTGGTTCGATTCCGGGTCACCGGACTTTTGACCTTTTGAACAGTTTCGGGCTGTTTTTATTTGAGTCATTGAATTTTGGCAACCGAAGGCTTTTGCTTGGATGAATGGGCATACCAACTGTGGGGTGCGTGATACTGTGGAGGGCAGTTGGCGTTCCCTCCCTGCATACCACCTTCGTTTTAATTTCTGTTAGGCGGATCAAGACTCTCTTTTGGATGACGCTATTCGCTTTTATGTGCTTAGCTTCCTAGAAGCACATCCATCTGTGGACGTACGTTCAGCCTTGTACCGACAGAAGCTACTGCAACCGGCTGGGTTGCACCAATAGCATGGTCAAGAACACACTAAGTTTACTTACGATTAGTTTCTGTTGTGTTGTATTAAGCGTATTTTTCGCCGAAGTAGAAATCATATAGGCTGGGAACCACTGCGTAATGGTTTTATCCTGCTGAGCTGGACGAATGCATACTGCAGATTAGTCTTCAAGCTACAGAGAATCTTCTCAGTGCATCAACTTGGCAGAGACTATCATCCTGTCTGTTCAGCTTCTGACTGCCAAGCAACTGGTTTTGCATCGATGTAAGAGACGAACGGACATACAGGTGAACCCGTACCATGGTGATGGGCCAGTGACCGCATGCGGTGTTGCGTGTTCGAGACACTTCCTAGCGTGGGCCAACAATTATCGAAAGATCATTGTTAGGCGATTGGTTGAAATGGGTTTGCTGCCTCGATATTCCGGATTGAATTACATAATTCACTAGCTCATCGTTCTATTGGAGCTGATCAACGGAAAGGAACGCCAGCAGGACACAAGCAAATCAGGGTGCTCAACCGTGGCTACCCGCCATCAAGCTCAACATAGCAGAGCGATTTGGTAATTTTTCCTTGGTGAAGGTGATGCGCGTGGTGGCGATGCCTTCATTTTTTCCACTCCGATCCAAGTTGAGAGCCTGCGTACAAAGCTGCCAACCCGCAGCACACTGCTATCCTTGGGCATTACACAAGTATGCAAAACAGTACAGGTCTGCTGTCACAGGCACCACACCTTCCTGTGTTGGATGAATTCTTGCAGATCGGGCTGATATAAGAATTCGGACGACGCCTGATGTCAGGGTCGCCAGTCACGTCTTGAAACAATGGCTGTGCCGAAACTCAAATTTTAGCATGATACATCGCAAGTGAATGTCTGCAACCTTTCAAATTTGATGGCTCTTTATTCTAGCATGTCTTGCGTGGAGCAGTAGAGGCAGCATGTGTTGCCCACTGTGTGGTACTTTGCAGTGTCTCATTACAAGGCCACAGCTTGCGAAGGCCCGCTGACCCTCGGCAGCAAGAGGTTTTAAAGACTTTTAAAGCTTAATCTTTTCTGATATTGCACAATTTGGGCTACTACGTAAATGCAGTTTAACGGAACGCCGTTACGTTTATGTAGAGTCATCGCTCGTTTGGTCTTTAAGGATAATCCAAAGATCTATTAACTAGCAGGCTTTCACTGTCGTCTCAGCGGGAAGATATGCGACGGTATTTCTTAGTATGTCAACTTACCAAAAAGAGTTTTCCTGTGTCTGTCGTTCTCTCTACCTGCCCCATTTCGTCGGTATATACGTAATTTCTGTCAGTGGGCAGAGTGACTCTATTAAAACTTGGATAAAATTAAAAAATCAGAGGCAAGCACTCTGCTTACAGCCAAGTTTGTGCACAGTAGCCTTCGAGGCTGTGAAGGGCACCGAAGAACATTCAAAACGAAAAAGCAAGAGCGCAACGTTTCCGTTGAGTTCGCAAGCATAGCAGCCCCACCCTGTATCCGGCCCTTCACTCCATCACAAAGGCAGACGGGAAAACACATCGTAGCTCCTAGTAAACTGGATGGTCGTCGTCAAAAGGCTATGACTAAGGCGGCTACCGCTTGCGAGCCATGAGAAGTCCTCTCTGGTTTGCATCTTACAACAACGATTGATTCCCAGCTCTGCGTGATTGCAGTAGGGCGGCGGCTGCAGCCCACTCACTTTCGCCCTCGTCTAAGGAGCAAATTAGCTTCATGAAGGTTCCACTTTTCATGGAGATGGGTGTTGCACATGCGCGTGTAGTAAAGGTTATTTTCAGCAGTTTTTGCCAGTCCTCCTCACTAAGAGGGTCTCCAACAGTGGTCAAGAGATGACGCAATTCCTCAACATTGACAGCTCCCTTCTTCTCTCGATCCAGGAGGTTGAAGGCAGCAAGAACGTCAACGGGGTCCGCTCTCCTAGGAAAGCCCTTGTTGGCGATCCAAGAAAAAGTTCGACAGTTCACCGTAGTCACTTTTTGACGGCGCATCTCCATCTCAAATGCCCTGGCTTGCTCCACAAGCACCACAAACCCCAAGCTTCGAAGCATTGTGGCTACTTCAGTAACAAGAACTAGCCCGTCGCCGTCTGTGTCAAAGAAGCTGAAGCATTCCAAGACTTCGTCCTGCAAGGCACCGCTAACAGCGTCTCCAAGACGCCCTTCCCCAACATCAGCTACAGCAGCCTCCGCAGATGGAGAAGGATAAAGCGACCATTCCTTTTTTGGCTCGGGCTGCCTGGAGTAAAAGATAGTAGATGTTGGGGCTCTCTGAGCTAAGTCATGACTCACGGAGCGCGCGTTCCACCGCCTTCCTTGCTCGCTGCTTGCAGAATGACCAGCCGCCAGACCCCTCCCTGCGCGTGTTCGAGAATTCATAGTGTCTGCAAGTAAAATTTCACTTTCCCGAGTGAATACTTCTAATGCCTGTTGCCGGTCTACGAACACCGCAGATGTTCTCCGCAGGCGTTACGCTGGTGATATGAGTACACACCGAACTGTAGGCTGAGATAATATATTGAATGTATAGCCCATATTTAGAAACGATGAAAGTGTGCAGCTGTGGGGTGGGCTTCATGAGAAGTCGAAGCCTTCCCAGCAGTAGGGTTCGGGCTCAACGGTGGTCCCTCGGTGCCAGGCCCTATACACCAGCCCTAAACGGCTTGAAGAAGCCTTGCATGAATTCAGAGCAAGCAAAAAAAATTATGGTGCATCAAGGCACAGCAAATACATAAAACGGTAGGCGCAGCTTTACATGTATACTAATTCGGTGGCCCCAGCCCGCATGCATCCAACAAAGCTGGGAAAACAAACAAGCATCAATGATTTGTTAAGCAATCTGTTTTTAGCTGATAGCTCTGGGTTCTTCTTTGCTATGCAAACATACTGGGTAGCCATTTGAGTGCCACGTGGCCCGCCACGTGGCACTCACCAGCCCCTCTCTTTGACTGATGGTCAGGATCGTGGTCAGTGCCATGCACATGAGTTCATTGCTGACTAATTGGCAATCCGTCCCGATAAAACATATTTTTAAAATCACTATTAGTCTTTTAGGTGATGCGGGCGTGTGTTTTTCTTCTACAGCGCGTTATATTTAGGTTTGGACCTCGTCAGAGCAAAAGGATTCATCGGGAAAAAGTCCATTGAAATAATTTAGCTCTAGAATGAATACAAATTGATGAAAGGTTATCAGCCGTTTCTTTAAAGAGCTTCCTCTATCCCATGCGTCTCAGATTTTGGGCATGCGGAGAAAAAGGCAATGGAGGTAGCGTAGCTGCACCCTTCAAGCACTCCGAGCGTTCACAGCTACGTTCATTTAGCATTTAGCACACAATGCTCCGTCCGCTTGTGTTGATTTAACAATGCTAGGCGATGAAAGCGGCACACAAACAAACAGGCCAACGGCCAATTTTCGACTAATTCTTCATTTTATAATGCTATTGTAAAAAGTATTCGAGTGTGGCTTATACCACTATATTTTATCCTCTTCTGCATTTCAAAAAACACTCAATCATATTCCGTAATTGCAGATCGAGAGTAACTGGATGCAAAGCGGCGGAAGGGTTCCTCCCCTTTGCCCACTCCACAGACAGGCAAAAAAGGGAGAACAATGGAGTTGAGAAAGGCAGAGAGCGTAGATCTGAAGAAAAGAAACCGAGACCATGGAAACCACGCACACAATCCATGAAGTTCTACCAAAACAACTGCAGTGGATCTATCTCTCGCTACCGTCTTAGCACTGAAGCGCGTGAGCCTGTTGCCACGAGATCAGAATATACATTAGTTCACCTTTGCCTCTCCGCCTCGTACAGCAAAGTTTGCAGTCCAGCTAATTAAGAAGCACAGATTATTTCAAAACAACCCATGAGAAGACAGTGAGGAAGACACACTCGAGACTGCCTTCGTATAGATTCGAGTGTAGAGAACAATTGAATGATTCTAAAGGATTACCTTCTGAGCAATAATCAAGGGATATAGTAGCTTTTATCAAGCAGAACAACCTCTGGGGGAGGAATATGACAAAGGAATGCAAAAAACACGATCCATGGTAACTAGGGTTGTCACCCAACCACGCCCACGAATTCTGTCGCAGGCAGCGGCATTTGCAACTGTTTCTCATTCAGCCACTAAGGTTGACCGTCCCCACATCATTCCACGGAACATTCCCGCCTAGTGTCTCCAGATAATTCGAAATTCGTTGATTGTCTACTTCTACGGCTACCTGTGGATCATCCGCCTCCCCATGGGATACCTGCGTGCATGGTTGAGTTCGCGAATAGCTTGGAGAACTTTTGATAATCTCCCACTTTCGGGGAAACCGGCAAATAAAAGTGCATTAAATTATGAAAGAATCGCAGATGGTCCTAGCCACCTAGACTCAAAATTATTCGTCTTATCACTTTCTGGCGCACCTCTTGAAGCGTGTTAGTCCGTCGGAACCAAATCTTCAGCCTCAAAATACACAACCGACCCGTAATATCTGCATATTTGTTCTTCTTTAGCTTTACAAATACATCCACGTGCACTGGCCAGCTGTTCTTTAAATCGTTCCGCTGCCTAGGATTATGTTGCTGACCCCACACCACGTCCAGGCCTGGAGCGGAGAGAGGCTGGCTTGTGGAGACCTGAGGTGCAGTAGAGCAACCGGTAGACCAATGTATTGCTTTATAATAAAACCAATCAGCACGACGGAGATATACAAGCCGACCAATTGGATGTGTGTGAGCACCAAGCTGCGGATACTGCCGAAGAAGAGTGCGGTGAATGTGCTCAGTCTGTTCATCTGCCTCAGGGTGGTTGGTATAGGTCACAGTGCCAATGTGGAGGCGTGTCATTACAGCATGCCCAGAGGCACTAACGAACGTCAGCCACAAATTCCTAATGATGCTCCTGGTGTAACGCTGAATCATACAAGAATGAATTAAGAACAGTTTGCCGAGTTACTAAGCCTTGAGAGAGCTAGAGCAAGGCATGAGAAGGGCATGTTTCCGAGTCTGTCAACGACGACGTAGATGCTATTCTAACCCCTGACCTCCAGCAGTTCAACAATATATCCATGGTGACTGGATCAGTCAAAACTAGAGGGCCTTGTAAATGGCCTGATTCAGGAAAAATGCACGGCTTCAGCTGCTGATAATCTGGGCGGGACAGTGCACATTCCTTGGCTCTGTTGCGACCCGCATCCCAGGCCTACAGCAGGACATGCGAGCTATTCCTCTGCAGTGTAAATCCAAACACGGCTCGAACGAGCAAGATCATGTATTTTGCGAATACTGGTAGTGCGGAGCAAAGCTTGAGTGCACAGCCATCGGAGTCACCGTCTTTTCTTTTAAGCATAGCAGGCGATCTTCGACACAGCAGTGATTCACTAACGTTATAGTGCTTCTCAGTTTTGCCACTTTACTCTGACGTATTTCAAAGACATTAATGTGATCGCCGGAGCGTCCTCCCGACGTCCTAGCGGTTGGCTTCTGTGAAGCCGTATCGCTGTTGTCTGTGATGATCCACCGTTTTCTAGCAAACTTCGGAGCACCGCACGCTTTTGCTACCCATGCATCCGCCATTATTACCAGAATCCAAAGTCGTGCTGCAGGGCGCCTAATCCAGCGAACATCTCCAGTGTAACCGTAGTTCTGAAACATTGGTTAAGGTATGTTGAAGAGTGATGGCCTATCTGGACAGTACGATGACGCCCATATACACAACGCCGGTTAAATTTTACGCCCTGCTTATCTCGCAAACTTAATTATTCCCCAATAGGCACCACTGCTCGGTGTCGGTATAGCCAATCTATAAAAAGCAATAGATTGTTGTTCCGGAGGGCCAGTGGCATATTGAAGCGAATAGCACCAACCCATAGCTCACTAGCATTGGTGGTTAGGAAGACATGGCGTCACAATGGGTTAGGAAGACTACAAAGAGAGTTTTAAGGAGTCTACTAGGCCTCCTCCTTGCTGTGGCACTGGCCTTCTCTGTTCAGGTCACAAGCTGCGTGTCCTCAAGTAGACTAGTCATGAGAGCAGTGATCCGAGCAAATGCACCAATGAGATATCGGCAATTGAATGCAAGACCATAAAAACCCTCGGCATTCTTGCGATTACTAAATGGTTAAAGCCGCGTCTTCATTCCTTTTGATTTTCAAGGATCCATATAAAGTCCTGCATGCACTCATATACCACTGCCTTTCGATGACAGCTGAAACGGGAGCGGTGGGTGCTGCAGTTGCCCTTACAATTTTTGATTATATGCTAGGACATCTTCCATGATGACCGTCATCCACCTTTCGCTAAGGCTCTCTTAAACATCTCGCACCAGTTGAAGTGCAGATCAGCTGGGGCATTAGCATGTTATAACGTCATTCAGGTATACTCGCCTTTGCGATCGCGGGTGTGGGACGTCCTGTTGCCCCTTCCCTTAAGTTGGGCTGGAAGCTGTAAGAAAAGTTTTTGCGAACTCCGGTGTTCAGTAAAATGTTTATCTACTGTAGCTTTCGATTAATTTGCCAACAGCATGCATCAGGAACTTCTGCTTGACAGTGATCTTGCTCCTCGACGAACACCTTGATATCTGCACATTCCTACTGTTCCTTTCAATAAATTCCTATCAGAATTCTTAGTAAGGGGCCCTTTGTATGCCAACAAGACGGTATCCCTAAGCAGAAATGCCGCGCCTTACTACTTTGGTGAGCAACTCACATGAACAGTTATTTTTGAGGCACCGACTCTACCTGCTTATCATATGTGGAATGCGCGTTGCAACCAAGAGCTGGTATTCCTTCTTCCGAGAGCTTTCGGTTTGCCAGAATCCACAGCGCGAAGCTGTGGCAACATGCGTACCTTTCATTGGATCACCCAAGGTGTTCCTGGATCATGTCATAGTGGAGGGCTCCAACATACAATATAACAGTCCATGCAAATAGGACCCAGTAACGAGCCAAATCAGTATTTGACTGTCGTGATCCTGATAATCCGCCTTGTTGCATCCAGAATACCCGTTTTAAGGGCTGCCCTAACGATTGAGCATGCAAAGAGCTGTCCTCCTGCACGGTATCCCCGCATAAAAGGTCCACCTCATATCCAGTGTCAAGTAACACTATCAACTGTTAACCGTAAATGAAAACTTGTCGCAGAGCAGACATGACTCGTGGTAGGTTACCGACTGCCGCTCCGTAGCCTGCGGGCCCCTTTCCCCGCGCCGCAGCCTGGGAGAAAGAGACTTCCCGTTTCGCTGATGCCCTTACTTTGATCATCAAGCTGCCTGTGGGGGCCTAGTATCGTTGTTTAACTTATGTAGCTTGTTGCAAGCGCTTGCGGCTTCGGGTTACCTACCTCAGTTCCACAGTAGGAGCAAGGGCGAGTTCAGTAGGAGAGTGTCTGAAGCTGCTTCCGGGTGCAAGTTTTCTCTGGCTTTATTTTCTAGTTCACTTCAGACTGTTGGTTCGGGCTCCTTTACATAGCCCCGAAATCCACATGTCCTAGGTTTAGACTTGGCTCTTCTTTCTCATTCAAAAGCGCAAGCGCAGCACTCATTTACTCCTGGAATCTCGAGTACGTCATCGTTTGTGGAAGCCTCAGCAGCTGATTATTTTTTCGCTTAGTTGCTGCCCATTCTGCGACGACCTGACGTGATACTTTAGCTATATCTGAAGTAGGCCACCAATAAAGCAGCTATTCGTATATAATATGGCTGTTGTGAACGAGAGTGTCATACTATTCGAGATGCCGATGTATTGATAGCCTTCTCCGCTCAAGCTGTAGTAGTTTTCCAAATCCTTGCCATTTATTGAGACTGGGAATACAGTGCTGAGTCAGGGTCCGTGAAAAGGCTGAGAACCGCAGTAGCTCCTGATGGTAGAATTCGTTCTTTGCATGAGTAGAGCCCCCACACTCGTAAGCAGCCTCAGACAGCCCCCCCAACGAAACGGCCATGCTTCTATTGAGGGTAATTAGGTCGTGGTACCTGATTCTTCTCTCAATAAAGATGGTGCAATGAGCATTTTTTTTCTTCATCTGGATTTTTAAAACACTGTGTACATCTGCGCCCGGCATGTGAAATTTTCGAGCTCTTGTGTGTACATCTGCGCCCTGCATGTGAAATTTTCGAGCTCTTGCCCGCAATGAAGGCAATTATACTTTTGTATTCGACATAATGCCATCGACGAGTTGATAGACATTTTATCCACTTACAGCTCGTGACTTTTTATCAGCTGTGAAGAAATGGAGCTCGCCTGGGTTTGTAGGGTGGCCTCTACCGCCCTGACAGGCGGCGTGCCATTTTGTCGACTTCAAAACCAAAGTGCTTGTGTTTTTGCCTATTGAAAACAAAGGTAAATTACCGAGCTACCAATTGAAATGGCACATATCAGACATTGCTTAAGACACCTTCATATGCCACTTTATATACAGACAGTGGATAAGCGGGAAACACCTGCACCAAGCCATGCAATGCTCTTAACTTCAATGCTCTCCCATAGTGTAGCCGTAGATGTACGTAGATCCCGACTAAGTACAGACTTATTAAGAAGTTATAAAATGGTTTTCAAAAAAGCTTCCTCATTCGCCTCTAAGCGCCTCTCAGGATTTTTAACATGAGGGGAGAGGTAGACCCATAATGCGCCTAGATGCATGCTGTAAGTGCTACGTGCATTCACACGTAGTCGCACCTGACCTCCTGTGAGCAAGCATCCAACATTTCGCCTTGTTGTTTCAAGCTAAAGCTATTTTGCAATAAATAAGGCACGCGAACAGAACAATATTAGTTAGTTCCTTACTAATTCTTAATCTAGGAGGACTGTTGCAAAAAAAATCTTCCAAGTGTAACTTCGGGTGCTACAAAACACACAACCCAGGATTCTTTTCCCGCTCGTGTAAGAACACCGAAAAGTGCGGGCAGGGAACAAAGGAAGCCGTTTAAAAAGCGCTTAAAGCCTCTTTATGTAGCCTGGATTGAATTTTGGAGTTAGTGTGGCCCTACGGAAACCTCAAATTTAACATTGGATTTGCCGCCATATCCGGGCTCCCGTGGAGCCTCTACAAAGAGAGATGCTGGGAATGTCCCCACCGCATTGTCATACGGTCTATTGTTGACGAGATGAAGCAGAAGAGGAGCAATCAATGTGCAAATGGCTTCGCCCTGCGAATTGTTCAGAGTAGTTGACACAACCAATTACAAACATTGGCACGCACCTTGGATCCACATGATAAAGAGGCAGTCATACACATAAGCACTTTTCAATCGTATTCACTAACAGCAAATTTTAGGCTTCTGCCTTAAGACTTGTTTTCGTCAGCTGCGGTATCATTGTCTGCTACAGCCTCTCGAACGTGTCCGAGGATGCTGCTCGACTAGCTGACTGCTCAAGATCTTTGTCACCACCCCTTGGACAGTCGAGGCAGTAAGAAGGCTTTGAGTGGTAAATTACTTTACACTTTCGCCGTAAGCATACAACATGATTTTGTCTTTGGCTACAAGCTGTGACTGTGAGGAACGATGGTTTGGGGCTGGTGGGTGAGACCTCTGGTCGCTGTGATTGGAGGATCATCCCCGAGCAAAAGCGCATTTCCCTCTGCCTCATGATATTACAGGACGTCTCAGTGATGTTGAATATCTTTTCTGGCTTCTCGGGCGCCAGTCAACAGGTTCTATTTTAGACACCCAACGGCAGGGGTCCTTCCATGGCATGGTCCGGCCATTAAAGGCATTTTGACAAAACTCTGCCTTAAGCTTGCGAGAGCTTTGGCTCATGGAGAAAAAAGTGCCCAGATCGTGTCTGGACGTTGAACGCTTCTAAGAAACTTGGGCCCCCCGAATCTAAGTTTTCTACTAGCTTACGGCATGAGGCAAAAAGCAGAAGCTCTTCTGCGGCGAGCCGTTGCAGATGGCTCCATCTTGGTCGCCGATCTGCAGGGTAAGATGCCCTAGGTGTGTATCTCTTCGCCTCGGATTCTTCGGCCTTTGTCGTTAGCCTTCTGTCCACATGTACATGAGTACACTTCTTTTTTCAAGCGCTTTTCAACATTGCTCATCATCCTGCAGATGCGGATCCCCGCTCTCCACTATTCCTCATTACCATAGTCCAGGAATCCAGCCATTCTATACGGATCCCATGGTCTACATGTGATAAGATCGTTAGCACCTCTCCTTTTCTCCTGTGCGAATTTTCACAGGGTTTCGCCAAATGGATTATGCAGGAGTGGCGCGTATCCTGAAGCTGGACCCAAATCTTGGCGAGGCAGTGGTCGCCGTAAAACTGCAAGAAGTGCGTGTGCCGACCGATGCAGTTCCCTGTTCAAGTGTTTTCCCTACGTGTATCGAGCTTCCAGGTCGCCTTGAAAGTGCTTCTAATCCCAATTACGCATGGTTGCATTGCCGTAGTAGTTTCCAACTGGCGTGAATGTTGCAACGCATTCATTGTGCAGGTAGACGGGGGAACCCTCTTGGCCATGCAGCCTCAAAACTTTGCGTCAAGTCTGTCCCTGACCAAGCCGGAGCAGGGTAAACGTCTGGAAGCCTTCTTGACAGCTCTTAAAAAGGTATCAGAGGCTTCCAGCGAATCAGAACAGCTGCAAGAGCAGCGGTGTCAGGCAGCTAGTACAGCCACCGAAGCTTCAGCAGCAGCTGACCTTGCAACTAAGAAGAAACGCACCGAGAACGAGAAGGCAGAGGCGGCAGCTGCGCCCATCAAACCCAAGAAGGCATCCATTTCGAGAGGCCTTCAGGCCCCTCGAGTATCCGGGCTCAAGAGGCCTCATCATGTTGCCACTGCTGCTGATCCGTGCTTAGCAGCTGCACCAGCATCTCCCGCGGCTGCTGAGAGAGCTGCAGCGCTTACCTTGGCAGGAGTCCAGCACAACTCAGCAGAGCAAAATGCTCTGCAAGAGGAGCGCGCAGACATCCGAGCAGCTAAGAAGCAAAAGAAGCAGCGCAAGCATAAAGAAAATTGCAAGGTTGCTATCGTCAAAAACCAGACGCACGGAGTTCGCCAACCACGTCAGCGGTCAGACATGCCGCAGGAACGGCATCAGGAGGCTCCACACATTGCGGAGAAACCTCGCATGAGCATCAGGACAAGAGTGATGTCTTGGGCTTCCTCTGTTATTGCCCTTAAACGCCAATTCGATGAAAGTGTTGCGCGGCAACTTGCCAGGAAGAGCAAGCAGGTGAGCAGACCTTGCTGTGAAGACTGCACTTCATTAGTGCACTAAAACCACTGCAAAACAGCTGAAGTCCACTCACTTGCTTTGCCTTTAGCCTTCGATGCGCGCCGTGCTTCTTTGTGCACCGTCCAGCTGCTCATCTCCACGACTGGCTTCCCAGAAGGAGCAGGCGTCCAGGTCGAACTGCCGGCACTTGTACGACGACTTGGGCCCGTGGGATCGACCCCTACCACCTTCGAGTGGAGGCCACAAGCCCCTGAGAAGGTCACACATCTAATTTGTAGCAATGGACTAATGGTAAGGAGGGAAGGTTCGCACCGGTATATTCCATCGCGTTCCCAGAAACATGTCCGTGTCTTCGAATTATTTTGAGCTTTCTTACCGTGGTGCATGGCGGTGTTTCTTATAATTTTTCGAAATGCTCCCCTGCCTGCTTCCCAACCCTGAATTCTGGGAATGCTTTCTCACTGCTCATCATTTACTGCTACATGGTTCCTCTGTTGCGTCATAGCGGCCCACAGTGAAACTGTATTTCGCAATGGCGAGTAACTCGATGCTTCTGAAGGAAGACTTCTTGAAGGAAGCCAAGAGGCAGAAAGTGAGGGCGTCCATTCCCATGGTATCGTAAAATTGGCAAGTGCGGAGCAAGCTTTGTACTGCTTATTCCTCACTTTCCAGAAGGACTACCGCCACAGACACTCATCCCACTGCTACTGCTTCTACCACTGCTACGGCTCCAGCACCAAAACCTACGATGCTCGTCTGGCTGCTGCAGGCGTGGCCAGACCCCATGCACTACCAGCGGGATGATTTCCCTTCTGTTGAATTACGCGGCAAGTCTAATTGGCTCCTTAGGGGTGTCCGTATTTCCATTGAGGGCCCCTACAACGACGCCGGGCTATCGAAGCATCAGCTGCAGTCTCTGGTGGGTAATTCCGTGAGTGCCCCTACATGTGCAACTCACATCCTCCCCCTTTATTGTCACTTACCTCCCTCCTTTATACACCCCTTCTGTTGCGGGTTCACAAGAGTGGAAAAGGGAGTATTTGTTCGACTAGGCGTTTCTCAGGTTATCGCTGCTGGGGGTTCCCTGGCGGACGAGGCCTCTGCTGCAATCCGGCTACTGGCTGACGCGGAGACACTTCGCCGTCGGCATGCGCGCGGGCTCTGTGCTCCATCAAAAAACGGCCAAGGCCAGCTTAATGTGTTCTCTACACAGTGGCTACTTGATTGTATTGCAGCGTGGCGGTACTTGCCATTGGAAAAATATGCTCTCAGTCTGTCAGCCCCGCCGCAGCAAATCTGCTCTGGAGACGGGCCTTCTGACGCATTCGGAGGTGAGAAAGCGCCCAAGGGGCGAAGCATAGACACTGTGCCGCTAGACAAAGCGGAGAGAGTCGAGAAGGGAACGCCACAGCCACCGAGTTGCGCAGGAGCCACTCCCTCCCTGCACCAAGGTGAGCTCACAGAAGGACCGCAGAGAGCGACTGGCAAACGCCGCAATTACAAACGGCTGCCAACCGTGAGCCTTGAACAAGCATGCGCCGACGTGGAGGCCCCAAGTGCGAATGCATCTTGCGGTGTCACACATGGCCACGAAGAGGGAAGGCAGCAAGGTGAAGGGCAACTGCAGCTGCAGCCCCTGCAACAGCACCGGGAACAGGAGTGTATGTCGGTACCAGTTGAGTTAGTTGAGCAAACCGCTAAACAGAAAAAAGCCACTAAAAAGCAAAACACTAAAAAGCGCAAGCAAACTTTGGAGAAAGAGACTCACGAAAGAGATTCTCGCAAGCGTAAGAAGTCTGCCGCACATCTTATCAACGAAGTAGAGAAGCAGAGTGTAGTGCAACACCCGCTGGCTGCAGCAGTCATGAATACGGCTGAATCAGCTCTTGCTGGAGAAAATGGGAAAGATCATTTGATGGGATCACCAGCTTTCTCAAACAGTCCGTGCAGCATCCCGGGTACGGTACGAGCTGGTGTGAAGGGCAGCACCGGGAGCGAAGCTGTAGCTGAAGATGCATTGGGCCCCTCTCCCGCTATTTGTGACTACGAGGAATCAGAGGCCTTTCAAAGAAGAAGTGACACCCTTCCCTGCGACGCAGGGAGTGCTGCAGAAGGATTGCCTGCAACTGCATTGGCACCAGAGGCAGTCACTGACAGCGCAGGAGCCCCTAGAGGAGAATGCCCAGCTGACGTTCCCCAGGTTGGTGCTTGTGTGGACTCGTTGGAATCCCCTGGGGAGCAGCTGGAGGTAGCCGGCCTTTTCGAAGCTGAAGAAGACGGAGATGCTTCGGGTTATAATTTTGACCTTGACCAACCCTATAGCTCAGGACCGGATACGACTGGTGTAATAGGCACCAAAGGCGGACCAGGCCTTACGCAGCAAGAGCTTTCCGGAGGGTTCCACGTCAACGAAAACGTGCCTTGCAACAACAGTAGCCCGTGAGTGGACGGTGTGCGCCATATGGTGGCTGTGAAGATTGGGGACGCCACTTAGGGAGACGGATAAATGGGCAGCACCGAAAGCCAATCCAAAGGTGCTGGTATATCCAGTGGCTCTAACGTGCGTGCGGATAGTGCGCTTACAGGGCAGACAGTGGTACCCCTCCACCTTTCAGTATGAAAGTTTTTTACGCTTCACCATCCGTCGCTTTGGCCTTACTATCTGTTTATTGTGTTTTGTACCCATCTCTACATTTCATTTCGAGACCCCAAGCCATAGTGCCAATTAGTTCCCCTTCACTGCCACGGCAGGGTTCTTAGTGTGAAACGAGCGTTCTTCATCCGGTTTCACTACTTCACTTCCCGTGTTCTTCACCTGTGCTTCCCACCACGTGTATCTACGAGATTGGCGTGCAAAGACAAATCTCAGAGAATGGCGAAAATCCGTTGTATTGAAGAGCGTTTGCGGTAGGTTACAACGAATTCACTGTCCACGCTGCTACGCGCTCTCGAGGCCAGAATAGCAAAATAGTTGTTGCAATGGATCGGCTTCTGGGTTCTGCAGGGACAACCCTCCAGTGTAGCGTTTATTTCGCTTCAAGTCAGAGCGGCCGCAGTGGAACTAGTAGCAGTATCCAGAATCGGCCATGTATTGAAAGCATGCTAGTACGTTGCCAAGCACCGAAGAAATCCACTGAACACATTTCAACTCAAAGACTGACTAGCAGCTTTGCGAGAATGCACTGAGGCGGCAGCGACCGTACATTCGCAACCTGGAAAGCAAGTAACTCAGACGGCGGATACAAGGGCTGGCTTGGTTTGGTCAAGCCTAGAATTCTCTGTAGCGCCGTGTTCGGTCGTCTGTATTGAGAGCCACTGATTGTACACAGGCAAGCAATTCAATTCCTGATGGTTGACGCTACTCTTGCAACGGTGTAGTAGCAGATTAAGCGTATCGAGGGCTTCTCACTTGCGATCTAGGAATATGATTGGAAGCTCACTTTCATATTTGGCCATTTCTATACATATCACAAAGTTTAGCACTTCCAAGCGTAGGCGGCGAGACACAACGATCACCTCTATTGCACATATCCATTGGTCATTCTCTGACAATAAGGCGGAAGAACTTCTACGTTCTTCCAGCGGGGCACTAATAACGGCTCTCCGGGGCAAGGCAACCAAGTGACAGCGCCTTCTGTTGCGAGCAGAGGAGTACAAAGCAAAGATACCGTGTTCTGCCCGATTGGGCTTACGAAGAGAAAGCAGAGGTAGTATCGATCTGAGCAATACGAGGGATTACAGAGATGGTGCTGCAATACGCTCCATCTCATAATTACAGAATATCCGGTAAAAGGGTCTCAAATACCCCAAGTATTGAAGAGAAGTGTTTTGCTTACTTCGCTAAAACATTGCCTACAATACGCTATCTTAAAAACAGCACTTCAGGCTGGCACCGTGCACGTCACGATTTCCGTCAACGTTCACCAGCAAGGTCTTTTTCTCATTTCTCTTGCGCTAAGGTATTGCTGCTTTTCAAGGGGCAGATTCCATCAAATGCGGCAATATGCTGACCGCGTGCTCATCATGCGGTGTTCTCGCGTATTTTTGAAGCTGTAAAACGAATTAATACAGGAGATGGGGGATGTACAGGCATTGGTTATTCCACAGAATATAGTACTGGATTCTTCATAGAAAAATTCGAAGCATGTTGCAAAGAATAGCGAAATTGCATGAATTAATCGGCTGAATCAGCAAGGGAAATTGAAAGCGTACAGAAAACAAAAGAGTAAAAAGATATAATGAAGAGGAAACTTAAGTTAGGGCAAAGCTCTATAAGTGTTTAGTTAAACTAATTGCCCGAATTGTACTTCAGCACACAATTGAAGCTGTGGCTGAATGACGTAAAACTAATCCTATTCTCCATGAGAGACTGAAATTAACTAGCACACAGGCGACACCAGCCTAAGAATAAAGGTGGTACATGTCTTGTACCTACGTCTACTCCTTTTAGTCCCACAGCGTATGCAGACATACATTGCACAGTTACCGCAAGGATAATACAATATGTTTTTGCTACAAATTACTGAAGCCCCACTTAGCACAGTAACGCTAATTATTAGCTATTTTAAAAAACGTGATGTTTTTTGTTGCTCTATTATGTAGTATAAGAATTCAGCAAGTCCGGAAGCCAACATTGAGACACGACACAAAGTCCTCTCGGCTTCTTCAGTGAATGCATTCTTCCAAAAGTAGTTAGCTTGTTTAAATTGAACAAGTGTCCTTAATGCGAAAGCAACGCCACACAGCTTAATAGATTTGCTACAGTAAAAGAATTATTGGTGGCTCTGAGGCCTAATTTAACTAACCGTACGGTGGTATTACTGCTCAAGTGGTGTTGGATTTTAAACTTTTCCACGTGGTAAGAACAGGCAGCCAAAATGTGCACCCCTGTCTTTCTTCTGAAGGGCTTCAATTCAATCCATCTCCCTGGGTTTTTTTTACTAACAGGCACAAAGAAATCGAATTCAAATTATATAGAGAGTAGCTTTCACATTATCTGGTATTGACCATGGGCTAACTCATTGTTGTATTGGACCCGGAACAATTCATTATAGCTAAACAGCAAATGCTTGAGAAACAGGAGTCTTGTGAGCTAAGCGTGCAACTGCAAGTACTTTAACTTTCAAGGCAAGATATTGAAGGCCAGTTCAAGTGGAATGTTTGTTCTGAAGCTACTTTTGTCGGTACTTCTTTACCACATCCCTTGATTAGCCAGGTCAAGGGCGGCTAGCAATACCGTGGGAGCTGGTTCGCAACCTAAGCTTCATGCCTTATAGGTGGCTTATCAACGTTTCTTCTGACTAACCACTTTATCGACCCTGGCTTTTTATTGTGGGTATTCGACCTCAGCAACTCGCGCCTATATGTCAACGTAGCTATTGAACGTTGACCACGGAGCTCCAGAAGGGTACAGATGTCAACCAAATGCTTGGAGAAATGACTGTTTGCAGCAGTGGTTTCTATCGCTCCAGCGCGCTAGGGAGCACCTGCACACTCAAAAGAATATAAACACCGAGAAGATACGTGCTCTCAGTAAAAAGGTTGCGCTTTTAGGAAAAGAGCTTTCTTATAAGCCAAGTCACTGCTTCAAAATACGCTGAGCCTCGGTGTCTGTGACTACAAATGGATGGATCGCGAAAAGGATGAGTATGTGAGCCATTACACACGGAAGTGAGCCGTGCAGATGGATGCTGGGATGGGTCAATGATGTTTAGGAAACCCGTCATTTCCCTGAATTCGCATTTCCAAGAAGTTATAGATTGTCTCATTAATAAAAATCACCGCCTGCTATTGCCATATGGTGCGTTTCTCAGATTTGTGCGAGCAAGATGAGAGAAACTACGGATGCTCAGTTGCTAGCAGGAAATAAAACTGGTGAAAATTAACACAAAGCAGTCCGTACCCGTACTGTAGCTGGCTCAGCTACAATTGGGCATGTTCGACTACAGTACTCGCTGTTTTGTCTGCTAACATATATTTTATTGCATAGTGGTGGTTGCTCAATACAAAAACCACAATGCTGTGTTCGGGTGCTAGATGCTATTTGCATCCAGCACCCAATGTTAGGAGTGCATAAGGGGCGCAGCTACGTACACCTCAGCTTTCAGGGCGGAAAGTCTGGACACACGAGTAGTGGAAAGCAGGAGGCGAATTCGGAGAGACAAAAAATAGCGTTGTATCAAGTCCGTATCAAGTGTGCTCCAGTATTTCCCTATGGAGACTTGAGATGGGGCGTTACAGTTGTTTGCAACACATGTCTTTATGCAGCTGGTCACTGCTCGTCTAGTCGCTGTAAATGCAGTGGGGTATCGGAGATCCTTACAAAAGTTGGCTGTTTTAGGCAAGACGATATGGCATACAAATAATATGATTTTCGTTGGCAAAAAGCTGGGAAAAAGGCTCTCTGGCGATGGCAACAACGCGGTGGCCCTCGTCGGGCTGCAAAGGCTTGCTTATAAACCGACGTAGACTCAGTATCTCTACATCTTGCACAAAGATATAAGCGATCGGCTGACGAAATGATTTGGGGATGCGTCGATGAGCTTATGCCGTGCAGAAAAGTATGACGGCAGAAAGTACTTGAAGCTTTCATCTGCCAGTTGGAGATGCAGCTACCTTAGTATCCCTCAGATGAGAAAAAGCGAGTGCTTCTTGTGGCACGCTTGCAAAAGAGAATGCCCATGAATTGCTGGTCGTATTCTTGCCGAGCACACCGTCCACCTGCTGGGAGTGCTGCAGTGCAAGCCGTCATCCAGGACCTGAATCGTCGGATTGTGCCGAAATAATCTCAACAGCATGCGCTGGGCATATATCAGCACTTTTATATTTCAACGAACAGGAAATTTTGGTCGCCAACGCCTCAGCGTAGAGGGATATCTGCTTTACCAGTAATTAATCTCGGCTGTAGCCGAGGTGTCACGTCAGGTGTCACAGAGTGGCCAGCGACCAAGTGATTAAACAGTCGGCGGGTATGGCGTCCAGAAACAACAGAGTACCTGATATTATTAAGAAAAAGAGCGTAATATGAGTCTATTGCTTCTTTGAATGACTCTGTGAAGAAGCATCTACATCCCAACAATACAGCGTTCATCGCAAATTATTGTGTTTTCCGAAAATCGCCCGCATTTCCCTGTCGGTTCCCGTTAATTCTGAGATGTCAGTGAAGTAGTACAGGCAGGCTGCGTGTTGCTGCACCCTGCAAGCATTCCGAGCATTCACAGCTAGTTGCACATAGCATCTAGCGAACAAGTATACAGGATTGCGTTTCCTTGCATAAAGCTAACAGAACTCTGCAAAAGTAAGCAAATAGAGCCAATAATTAGTCAGTTCTCCAGTAATTGTTTCTAATCTAACAAAACTAGTAGTTTTGAAGCCACTAAAGTGCAGCTGGGCACGCAGCATCTTTGGGGTTGCAGCTCAGTATTAGTCCACTGGTGTGTGCTGTGCAGAAAAGTACCCACTAAATTGGTATATTTAAGATCAATCAGCCCCATAATGATTTCTTTATGGTTCTAACGCTGTTGGCCTTGGCCTGGAATAGATCTTGAGCACGGGAGTGTTACAATTCAAATATGAGCTGTTCCACGCGTGTATGCGAAGGGTGCAGCTTTAAGCTTACTAAACAATCTTTATGATAGCCATACCTAACAAATTAGATACAGTTTCGGGGTCAAATGTCATGCTGTCCCTTTGTCTGGTTTCAAACGGCATATCTATCGATGATCTTTTACAGCATTCGGAAGCAATTCTGACCAGTGTTACCTACATGTGTAGAGCAAAACACACAAATTATCACAGATTCTACTATGAAACTGGCATTGCTACAGATACGCAATGATTTCATCCAGCTGAAGCTGTACAGGAGTCCGGGTGAGCAGTTTAATAGTCACGCAGCCTGGTTCCGCAGATTTCAATTTGATGCACTGAAAATCTTCGCAGCGATATTTTCCCATGCATCGAAAAGAAAAATTTAGTGCATTCCAATGGTTTTAGGCCAGTAAATAATTTCAGCAATTACGAGGGTGCGGCGGTCTTGAGTCTGAGCACCTGCAACTGGTATTGTTCTGTCAGCGTTCCTTTCCGTAGATGTGCCTCAATAAAACAAAAAAGCGGTAAGACCGAACTATTTAACAGTGACACCGCTTTACTTGGCTGCTTGGATAATCCACCTGAAATTGCGGCGAGGCATTCTGGAGTGACTCAAACATATAAGGCTGCCCGTGTCACCAGTGCACGAGTACCTCTGATCATCCATCATGATCAGGAGCACAGAAGAATGCTTATCAACAGGGAAATAAGCATAGAATGTGATATTTTCTGCAAATACGATGCACTGAGAGGAAATTTCTTGGTAGTTTGAAGGTGAATCTGTAATGTGCACGATCGTCCAACTCAACAAGACAAAGTGTAGCGCAGTAGTTCCCAGCTTATATGAGCACTGATTCGGCGATAAATACGTATTATACAACACAGCAGAAACTCATTGTCAGTAAATTTAGTGTTTTCTTGCCCATGCTATTGGTGCAACCCAGCCGGTTACAGTAGCTTCAGTCGGTGCAAGGCTGAATGTACGTCCACAGATGGATGTGCTTCTAAGATGCAAAGCACGTAACAACGGATGATGTCATCCAAAATAGAGTCTGGATCTGCCCGACAGAAATTAAAACGAAGATGGTAAGAAGGAAGAGAACGCCAAGCGCCCTCCCTATCATCGCTCACCCCACAGTTGGTATGCCCCTTCATCCCAGCAAGAGCTTTTGGTCACCAAAATTCAATAACTCGAATGAAAACAGCCCGAAACTGTGCAAAAGGTCAAAAATCCGGTGACCCGGAATCGAACCAGGGACCAACAGATAACCGCAGCATCTACAGTCTGCCGCTCTACCAACTGAGCTATCACCGGTGCCCCACTTCGCCGCCCTCTGCAATACATATCGCGAACACTTCAAGATACTTTTACTGTTCTTCCTATCAAGTCCTTATGCACGTGCTAACCCATGAATGCATGTGCAAAGAGCTGGTGCGCCCGTGTTCCGTCCTCCAGTGCCATGCAAGTCCATTCGTTACCATGAACAAAACACACGCCGCTAGGGGGCTTTCGCTGCACTGCGCCACGCAAATTCCTTGAAATATTACACGAATGCACTGGAGCACTGCTTGACTGAGAGAGGCCCTACATGTTTGCGTTTCACAAGTATTTGTAGCGTCCTTTTGCTGTCCTGAAACCCATCCTCATGCTCGGTTATGAAGTGCCCACTCCACACGAAGACAAATTGAAACCTGCAAGATTTCTAAGAAATATTGCATTTACTGCGCCATTCCGCCCAATAGTCTGTTTATTTTACTTTGTGTGCACTGCGTCAGCTGGCCCCAGACTACTTTTTCCATTATGAAAATACAACTAGGGAAAGTGGTGAGAAAGAGAAAATCCAGCACTATAGGCCTCATGTTTAGACTACAGCTTGCCACCGTCAATGGAGGTGACGTGAGTGCAGCTGGTGAAAAAATTTCAAGTGTAGTGCAAAGTCCAGAATATCCTGCACTAGACAGGCAAGCACGCACGTGACTACTTCATTACATTTTTTTCCGAATCGTCCTGGTTGCAACAGCAACACCGGACTTTTTGCTCTTCTGAGGGCCCTTGGCTCCTTGGCGCCTTCCACTTTTGCGTGTTCGTTCCCTCTCCTTGTGCGAAACATGCTGTTCCCTAGGCCTGCAAAGCATTGGAAGCACGAGGCCTTTGAGATTTTGGGGAGTCAATACGTTATAGTTTGTTTATACAGGCCCGTAGCCTGCGTATCATCCCCATGAGCCACCCAGTCAAAACTGCGCACGTATGAATGCGTGTGCATGGAAATAAAAACAACGTAAGAAGTCTTGGCTAGACAGGATAATAGTGGTCCATGTAGTTTAATTGTGCCAGTATGGTGCCTACCGCGGGGGCTTCCAGCCTGCTCGTCTTGCCTTGGACACCGGCGTTGGCAGATTTACATTATCTATTAGTGAGCAGAGAACATGCAAACACAAGAGCCTGTGGAGGCTGGGTGTAGGCTAACTGTTCGGCAACATTCCCTTGTTGAGGGGGTGGGGGGCCGACTTAAATGATACTGCAGGGTACTCATGTAAACAGGACCACTACGCCAATGAACTCGAGTGCTGCATCAGTCTTGAAATAGAAGACCGCAAGAGCAGTCTACCGAGGGAGGCCACCCCAGTTACTGCGTTGAAGGGGCTTACTTCGCTGTCTACTCGACTTCTTATAGCTGGGCTTGCATTCATCAACTTCATCAATAGAAACGCCTGTCGATAGGGATGCTCGGACGGCTGATGCAACTGCTGCGTCGCGCTTAGCGACGAGGGAAAATACAAATCCATTGGAGCCCAGCCGGCCAGTCCTTCCAGCCCTATATATCCACACGCAACGTTATTGTCTGCTTACGAAGGTTTGTCTTCAAGCGACCTCCTTTGGAGCAACAAGCAGTAGCAGCACCGGCTGGCCATGTACTTTTGTGCCGAGTAAAAAAGCTGCGTGCGTGAGTACGTAGCTTTCTACCTCCGGGATAGCCGCTAGAGCGTCACCTGTGAAGGTACTCAACTGCCGTGAGGGGGAAGTCCGCATTCACAACAGCCTCCACTCCCCCGATGTGCAGCCCTCGTGCGACGGCATCCGTTGCCACCAAAATCCTTTGACCGCTTCCTCCTTGGAAGGCACGGAGACTCCTCTCGCGGATACTCGCGGGCAAAGAGCCGTCATAGCCCTGCAGTCCACACGCAAGAGGAACGATGGCGGAGAAAGCGCTTACCGCAGTGTGCAGCCTTCGCCGCTTCGCCTCCACGCGACACCCCACCCTCTGATGCCGTACAGACAGGCAGACTAGCAAGGCTGATGCCCACAGAGAAGCAGACTCCCGGCAGCCAAAACTGCAGAGGGTCCACTGCTTAGCTCAACTATCGGGAAATACCTCTGCAGGAAGGCCGGCAGCCTGCAGATGGTGGCAGCAGGCACGACAACTGTCCACTGTGTTGCAGAAGACCAGCACCTTCTTCTTGCCTCGGAGGTCTGGATGGATCTTGAGTTGTTCGAGGAGCAGCAAGAAGCGGTCTGCGCCGAGCACTTGCATCATCTCGTGCCGCAACTGACGCTGGGGGGGGAAGGAGGGGCCCCCCGAGACTGAGAGCACCCTCTGCGGCGCTAGCTGCAACAAGGCACGAAGGCTCTCTTCGACCCCACTATCAGGTGTCGCGGTGCAGGTCAGCAGCACTCGAAGCCGTCCCCTTGCTTCTCCCTGCAGTTGGGGGTGCTGAGGAGATCCTAGGCGCACGAATCCAGAGCGCGTCAGCAGCCTCTGGAGATCCTCTTTGAAGCCGCCAGACCACAGAACATCCGCCTCGTCCAAGACACAGAACTGCACATTCGCGAGGCTGGGAAGCCTTCCCACCGCTGCTCTGCAGGCGCCGCCACCTCTCCGTCCTCTCGTCCCCGGTTCTCCCTCCTCGCCAGGAGAGCGGCGCGTCAGCCGCAAGAGACGATCGGGCGTGCCAATCAGGATATCCGGAGGACGCTGCAGCAAGGACCGACGCTGCGCTCCCACCCCGACTCCTCCCGTGGCGCAACTGACTGACAGCCTGATGCTCTTCGCGAGAGCTGCAGCCGCAGAAGCCACTTGAGAGGCGAGCGGCCTCGAAGGGCAAACAACGAGCGCACGTGGGCCCTGTGGGGAAAAAAACTCCCCGTGCTGCATGCCCAAGTCGTGCTGCATGCCCAAGTCGTGCTGCATGCCCAAGTCGTGCTGCATGCCCAAGCCGTGCTGCATGCCCAAGTCGTGCTGCATGCCCAAGCCGTGCTGCATGCCCAAGTCTTCCCCTGCATCCGCCGCTGCAGGGGCCCCGTCGAGGTCCATCAGACTCCTGAAGGGGCCCTCCCCCGACACGCCGCGGTGAGCTGCAGCAGCCGCTGTTTCCTGCTCCTTTAGCACCTGCATGAGCGGCAGCAGGTAAGCCAGCGTTTTGCCGCTTCCTGTCTGGGAGCGCACAGCCACCAAGCGGTCCACCGCAAGTCCGTTGAATCCGCGACTTTGAACCCTCCCTCTCCTCGCCGCTTCGGATAAGGCTCGCAGAATTTGAGGGATTGCCACTCGCTGTGTCGGCGTCGGCTTGGAGGAAGCTCCCTCCAAGACTGCACCGACTGCCTCGCTCACGGAGCGGCTCAAACCCAGTGCGGCGAAGCGACTAGGCGGACCAGGATGGTCATCTGGCGGTCGTCGACTCGCAGGAGCAGAGTTTCCAGGAGTTGCTTGCGAGGAGCTCTGAGGCGCCGCTGGTGGCTCCGGAGACGCAAGAGGAGTGGCAAGGATCGCCTCCTTGAATTCCTCGGGAGAGCCATGCTCGCTGTGCGCCGTTGCTGTTTCAGGCAGTGGCGAGGAGCCCACGTCTGCTCCTCCAGCGTTCGTGGAGACAAGAACTGCTGGGGACGAGGCTTTGGCAGTCGGCTGTGCAGGATGTGACTTCGAGGAGTCAGTGGAGGCGTTCTCCCCCTGAGCTGCGCCTTCGACTTGCAGCCCTTCTGCAGTCGTGTCGCGACGCGCTGGTGCTGCTGCGCCTCCAGCAGGCAAAGCCTCGGTCTGGACGGAGTGAACGGGAGACTCCCTTCTCTCGAGGCTGTGCTGCTGCGGCGATTGCCTGTGAGGCTGCTCTTGTCGGGGGGGAGTCTCTAGCCCAGCGGGAGGGAGACGGTGGTCTCTTCGGAAGGCGCTCGAGTCGCTTTTGAGATCACCTGCATCTTCCCGAGACGGCTGAACCTTGCAGTCCAGCAGAGGGGGCCCAGCCGAATCGCCGTGCTCACAGCGCCTGAGCGTAGCTCTAATGCCATCGCTCCTTGCCTTCTGAAGGGCCTGGGTGTAGCGCAGCTTCACCTCTTCGTCGCTCAGGGCTGCTACTTCGGCTTCCGTAAGGGGAGGCTCCCCTGGAGCGGCATTCTCAGGCTGCTGAAGCAACCGTCTCCACGCTGCAAAGGCTGCGTCGGAGTGGCGGATGCGGCCGTTCGGTGCTTCCGCGGCTGCACCTCGAGGGTCACTTTGTGCCTCATCGCCAGCAGGTGAGGCACTTTTCGAGGGAAGAGTGAGGGCTAGAAGCTGGCAGACCTCTGGCTCTTTCGGGCAGTATGTCTCAGCCTCGGCTACTGCGAGAAGCGTCAACAGCAATTCTCTGCGAGCACCTGCAGAGAGAGGCATCGCCTTCTCCTGTACCAAACGCCTCATGGCCTCTGCCTCTGCGGCTAAAGCTCGTCTTTCGACCCGAGTTTCCTCCAAGAACCGCTCCAGAAGCTGCGTGTCGCTGGCGCTTTGCTGCTCCTGCTGCTGCTCCTGCTGCTGAGGCTGTTGCAGGGAACGCTTTGGAGGCAGGAGCGACTCCAGAATAGGCCCCATAATTAACAGGAGATCCCACACATCTTCATCCGTGAGTCCAGACAGCTGCTGCTGTAGTTCTGGAAACAGGGGGCGTGTCTCTTCTTCTGCTGCCCCTAAATCCAGGAGCTGCTGAGCCTCAACCACGGCAGCAGCAGCAGCAGCATCGGCTTCAGCAGCAGCTCGCTTAAGGGGAGTCGAAAGTTGCTCTCCGCGTGCTGTGCAGCCCTCAGGGTGATCCGTACTCTCCTGCTGCTGCTGCTGCTGCTGCTGCTTTTCCAGTGTACGTTCACCTGCGGGGGATTCCTCAGCATTATCTGGTCCGCCTGCATCTGCAACTTCCGCAAAGTCGAGGAGCTGCTCAAGGAGCATCCGTAGCTGCTCCGTTGACACGGTTGCAAGATCTGAAGGAAGGCCTGCAGCAAGATGCTTGTACATCTCAGGCAAACGTTGCTGCACGTCTCGAAGCAGTTGCAATAGCCCCTCTCGACTCACTCCCTCCAGTGATGCATCGATTTCTACGCATTCAAGATCGTCTGGGCTTTGAGGAGCCCTCTCGGACAACCTTGAGGGTTCTGCATGCACACCACCACGCTGTACATATGGCGCTTCTCCAGAAGGAGAAGCAGCGCCTGGTGCTGTTGAAGCGCAGTGTGGGGTTACTTCTTTTTTCTCTGGGCAAGTCGGAGAGTGTTCAGTTTCCGCAGGGGTGGCAGAACTCGCACTGTTGAAACTTGCAGCCAGAAAAGCCGATGACGCCGGGAAAGAGGCTTGACTCCTCGAATTACTGCGCCAAGTGTCTTGCAATAAGCCCCTTCGTGGGCCTCTTGTGTGCGGCGTGCTGCATGCTGCACTCAGAGATCGTGTAGAGGCAGCAGCTGCAGGGGAAACGGGAGCGGCGCAGTAGACACGTGTCTGCCTCTCTCGCGTATCCACAAGAAAGCAAGCGGAATATTTGGCGAGCGCCAGAGAGAGGAACAGCAACATGCGGAGGAGGTAGGACCTCATGGCTTGTAGCTATGGAGAGTTTCGCTGGGCTGCATGCTGCTACGTGCTCAGGAAGCAGCTGCCGCAGCAGCAGCTGCTGCTGCAGGGTTGCCTACACGGAAAGCATCACCGAGAAAACTCTAGCGTGGCGCTTGAAAATTCATGCGCCAGTCAGGAATGCAACGGCGCAGCATCGAGTGCAACGAACACCTGAAGACTGATCAGGATCTCCTAATCTGTGAGATTCTGATGCTGTAAACCGCGATCCTAGATCCCTTCCTCCTCAGTAACGGTAAACAACAAGGTGTAGCAGTGATGAACTACAACCGAAGGAACTTTATTCATTAAAACGGGAGGCGTTTGTGTCAGCCCGCATGGTCACGAAAACCGAGGGTACTTCGCTCTCCACACGAACAAAAAAACTTGCAGGCTCCATTAAAATGCAGCATTCGAATCTCGGATCGGTGTACTGAAGCTGTCTGACTAGAGGCATGGGAATGGGAAGGCAGAGGGCCCCTAGCTGGACCCTCACACGTCTTGGGGGCCCCTAGCTGGGCCCTCACACGTCCTGGGGGCCCCCATATTGGTGAACTTTTGCCTGCTCCAAGAAGTCAGTGCTTTTACAATCATGATCTATCATGAATATGCAAACTCCGTGGGAAATATGCAGTGTTCCTTACGTGGTGCGGAGGGCTTTGGGTTGGAACTATTTGTCCTTGAAAACGCATGTGACACCACGGCGATGTAGCTACACCACCGAAGGCATACAATGCTGTCGATCCACTTTCAATGAAATATGGAAACCCCAAAACAAACGTAAATGATAAGAGTGAACGCCACCCCCGTCAGACATCTCAGGCTGACCCCCTTGGGGGAAAGCGCAATGATGTGTAGTGCACTATCGGCATGACAGATAAAACAAAATGCCACTCATTTTGCTCCAAACAACAGATAAGACTGTTCATTAGCGTGGAAATCAATAGAGCTACTTATCTAACCGTAGCTTCATTGTAGCCAGACAAGCGGATCACCCTGACGGCCGACTTGTGAGGGAGAGTGAATCTGGAGGGCTAGAAGCCCATGTTGGGGGGCACCCCGTTGTCATACTGAGGTCTGAGAAACTCTAGAGAAGCCTTTGGAGTTCTTTTGGAGAAGGGAAGAGGGAGAGAGATTTGAGCAGATGAAGTGTCTTTTCCATTGGTACATCATCAGTTGTTGATCCTTTGCCGACGCTTTGGGTCACAGCGTGCAGTGTGTGACACAACTATATTTGTAGGTACCGATAAGTCACAGCGCGTCCTCAGTGTTGATACTAGTGCATAACTAGCAGCAGGTGCAAATGTGAGCAGGAAACCAACTGTAATTGGATTATTTACAAATCTCCAGATGGCCGGTGTAGCATTCGCCATCAAATCTCAATCGGAAGGCCCACAACAAGATAGCCATTCGAAGTTCAAGTTAGATCTAATTGTCTTAAATTTAGAACGCTCTCGTTTTCTTCCCTCAGCCCACTGGGGCCTTACTCAACGGAAGGAGCACCTCTTTTGCAGGCTGCTGCACCTACTATGCGAGCCAAGCGATGTTGCACAACTGCTGACTTCGCACGAAGACGGATATTGCGAGACTGCACATTGAAGCTATATGCTGACCCCAAGGAATATATAGAATACAAGCGTTTTCATATTTCTCTTCACTTGGAGTCTCGATAGGGAGACACTGTTAGACCCCAAACTAATACAAAAGAACTTATTGCGAAGTTATGTACTACCTTTCCAAATGAGATCTTCCCTCCTCCATGCATCAGCCTCCTAGGGTCTAAAGCCCGTATTTCGATCATTCACAGTTCGAAGCGCAAAGCAGCTTCGCGCAGGGGCACGCAGCCGATTCCTGCCGTAATGAATTGACGCAACTTGCCAACAGTCAAACCAAAAGGTCGATCTTAACTCGTTCGTAATTAGTTGCACATAGCGTATTGCCACTTTTCAATAACTCGAAAATGCACAAAACATTGCAATTAAATGCAAGCATCCGTACCTCAACCGGTAAGAGGAATGCGAATGGGGGTAAGACACACTGGCCAACAATGAACGTGGGACCAAACCCACATTACAGTGGCGGCGCAGTGGCTCGTAGCTGTGGGGGGTGGATATGTATGAGCATACTGTCACGATAAAGCAGAAAAGAAATAAAGTTCGTGAAGGACCTCTAAACACATACTAGTTCAGCAGTGCCTCCACACCCCGTAGGGCAATGCCTGCATGCACATACAGCTGAAACATGCGGCAATGTCTATTATCAAACTCCAAGAGAGCCGCAAGGGAAACGTGCAGAGAAACCTAGCTGAGAATATTTGCGCATAAATGTGCTTGTAGAGGGCGCCGTAACAATAATATTCAGGAGCTTTTCAAACAAAAATCCATGGATGAAGGGACCTGCTTTAGACAGAGCAAGTGCCAGGTCGGACACGGATTCAGAAACTTGTGAAAAACCGTCGATGGTCATTAGCACTTTGATCCGCACCTAGTCACAGATTCTCCGGCAGATTGCGAAGCCCAAGTGCTTTTATGTTAGCCAGTACGGCTCGCTTCGCTCATCCCACTTCATTTAAAAGTCTTTTCCAGTGTTTCCTGGGTGCTCAACATTCCTGAAAAACACCAGTTGTGCCGCTTTCTGTGGATCCTTCGCCCCCACAGAGTTGCTTCGCCTGCGCGGCAAAGCCAGAGAACAGTTGGGGTAGCCTGAAAATTCTATACGAAGCCGACACCGATAGCCATATGGCACGTCCAACTATGAATAAAATCGATATTGATTAAAAGAGCATCGTTCTCTGATGGAACAGCAAATTGTCCCCGCCACCTGGCGGCAAACTTTTTCAGCTCGTCACTTTCGAATAGATCTTTTGGGGCCTGCCGCTTCACAGCGACGAATTATCTAGGCTCTAAACACATCGCCCACCGTCGCTTATCCCAATTTCAAGCTTTTCTCGCTTGAGCTTTGCGCAAGCATTCGCATGCACCTACCACCTACTCGCTAGATTTTCCCGCTCAGGAGGGTGCTTCCTGACCCTGAATCAGCATGTGCAGCTCCGAGTGGAACAGGGGCTCTTGAGTGTAGGCCAGGGACACGGAAGACAAGCAATTGGAGCGTGCTGCTGAATTATGAACCCACTTTTCACACGGAAGAAACGAGCAAACACTTGAACTTTTGCCACCACCGAGTCACAGATACTGTAGAATAGTGCCGTTGGGAAAGTCTATTTGCCCATCTGGCTCAGACTGGTTCGCATTGGTCATATTGGCGTACCTGTGCAGGCGGTCACATAGGCCCGTGCAAATGCACTAACAAGCTTCAATTCACACCCCCGTGAAGATACCTGCGGATGCGTAAAGCTTCCGAACATAAGTAGAGAAGAAATGAGCAGCCGCGTGGGCCAAAACATGGTGGAACAAGGACTGAAATGGGCACTTTCAATTAGTCCGTTAATAAGAACGCAAAATGCTATGCTGGGCCTGCACCTCCAGCATTCCGAAAATAAAGCCCATAGTCTGCTTGATCCGAATCCCTTTAAGGACCGGAAGGCTTTGCAAAGGTCCGAGTTGAGGAGGAATTTAGGGTCGCAGCTGCTGACAATTTGGACCTGGGCTTGTGTAGTCCTCCACTCTGGGATGCATCACAGGCCACCGGAAAGCTGGCGGAACACTTTCCCTGCAGAGTGAGCCGCACAATGGTCTAAAAACATTGTCATATGCGTTGCACAAATAGACACTGCATATGACAATCTTTTTCAAGGCCGTTCACCAGAATCCTGACTGCGTCTTGATCTATCGTTTGCCATCCTCAACACGCTAGGGCTTCATCCGTTTTCCATTCTAGAGATGGGTAATAGCAGCTCTTGCATGGGTGGCGAAAGCATACGCTGCACGCAACTTCGATGTGAATCATGAAGTGTCACAGACAATAGCGACTGCGTGGTAAAATAAAGACTTGTTGTGGCGGAGCAAAAGTGCTTCAGCGATCGCGCTGGTGATACCGCTAGTATAGTGCACAGCAAAGTCGTGCTGCAGAAGGTGCCAAGCCTGCGATATCCCAATGGCACAATTGCTCACGTGAAACGCAAGCGCATGTCTGCCTTCACAAGCCACTGCTTTTCCCGCAACAGCTGAAAACACGCCGAAGGTGCTGTAGGTGCTCTTGAACGTTTCGGCCGTAGACTACGATGTGGCCCATGAAGACAAACATCCACCCATCCTTGATTAGCTGATCAAGAACTTGATTAACATAATGCTCTAGCTCCGCCCAGGCATTCACAAGCTTAAACGCATATAGGTGTACTTGAGTTGGAGAGTGTGAGTGTGGCGCTGCCATGTGCTTGTCATCAGGGCGAATGTGGAGTCCAACGAAGGCGCCTATGGAGTCAAAAGACGAGTGGACTCTTTGTGCGTATAGAGTATCTAGTAATCCGCTAATATGAGATACTTGGAGCTTCTAGTTCACAGTACACTCGTTCAGGGGCTCAAAGCTAACGTACATGTGCGGCGTCGTTGCCTAGCTTACGACTACTTGACTTGTCGATTCGGGTAAACTTGAGATGAACCACTGGCAATGCAGCTGTTTGTGAGCTTTTGCGCAGCAAAGTTCTACACCTCCCGGCGTAGCGATCTGTTGGTTGCTTCTCCTGGTTGAGCTTTTTCACTTCTCCCAACGCTTGACTGGTTTGTCTCAGCATATGCCGATGAGTTATGGTTGTAAGCAGGCTTTTTTTCCCGTAGAACTTTGTGTGTGCAGGTGAGTTCCTTTCTATGAATAGAGCCATTGTTGAGTCGCTTCGCCTTTCAATAAACATGTCGCAAGGAGCGGTCGTTTTTCTTTCTGTGGGTAGTACCAAGGGAAGTACATCTCCGACCGGCAGATTGAATCTTCGAAAATTTCCCAGTCTTTACGGCCGTCATACTCTCTGTTCGGTATAGCCTTGTCGTCCGATCCATGCACAGTATATCACCTATAAGATATGTTCGTTTACCAGCTGTGGGGCTACTACATTCACATTAGCTTTCAAGACAGCATCCGCCGCCCCAGCAGCTGTTGTTCCGCCGTCTATTTATACTATCGAAGGGCTTTTTTCGTTCCGAGTGTTGTAACAGAAAAGCAAGTTATTGACCATCAAATAACACAGTCAAAGTCCTACAACTTTTGAAGGAAAACATGACATCTCACTGCATCCACAGCCACTGGCTAAGGTGAATGGACGACAACATTAAACAAAGGGGTCACGAAAATGCCGTATAGCAAGCTGAAACGCCTCATGCACCACTGCCTTGTGGAAACGAGTGTTCTGGGGAGCGACGTTTGTAAGCTATGCTACCTTGTTTTTTTTTCAGTTACATCCTCTCTTGCCCTCTACAAGCAACTACAAGGAAAGTCGGCCGCACGGGACTAACAGTAGTAGACCTTTGGAGTGAACTACCAAGCGGTGTGTCAACAGTAGAACGAGGGTCAGAGACTTGCTCGTAGGTTTACAAGTCGCAGAGCTACACAACTAATTACGAATTTGAGCACATCAAAAGAGGGGGTTATTCGGCCTTGAGAAATGGCCAATAGAGCCTTGCTTTTAAATTAAATGCACAATGCCCCGAATGTGTACCTCCCTAGCACTGCACGCCTCGTATGCTTCACGGCTTTTCGCGGTATGCACTGCCACGATTAGAGGAACTGCGTGAGTTAGGTTTCCACGGGCTCAACTTAAGCCAGATGCGCGCTAATTAAGCACTTATTCAGCGTGGATATGCCGTGTTATGCTAGAAGAATACCGATATGGTTGCTTCCCCCCAGAAGCGTCCTGCTAGTGACTCAGCTGGCAGACACACATGGGAAAGAGTCATAAAGCTCGAGAAGAGGGCTCAAGTAACCATGTTGGGTGGAGCTTTGATGAAAGACTCCTCAAATTTTACAAAGTGGTTCATCAGAACGGGCATTTGATGCGATGTGTATCGTCAAAACCAGACCGCCATGAATGCTCCCTCAGTGCGTGCCTCGTGTTGAGGCAGAGGACGATTAGAACAGGTGTGTGTATATCTTGATGGTTGGCCTATAATTCTGCCTTAAAGCGCGTGTAACGTCTAGTAGTGCCTCATAAAATAGTGGATTCAAGCCGAACAATTACCCTCATGAAAGAGACTCTACTGGCGAGGGGTGGAGTCTAGCATAGCCGAGCAGATTTGCCCCGCGCTGTTGCCAAGCCACGGAGGGTATATGTCTGTCAGGGCCCAAGGAGAGTTCTTTATGGGTTCTGTCTCGTTCATATGACTGCTTCTTTTATTATAAAAGCCTGCTAACACTAATTTTTGAGCTGTTTTGGGAGAGCTCCTCGCTTGAGAATACCACGCGGTATGCAGTGCGTGCCCCCATTGCAGCTGTGGCATCGAACTGTATGCGCCCCAACTTTGCCCGTTTGCCCCCAGATTCGCTTCATTTTGGGCATCTCGTATACTCCTGAAACGTTAAAGAGGACGATCGGAGGTCCTTTGATCTTTGTTGTGCCTCCTGGGCAGTCGCTCGCAAATCCATGCAGTGGCGCCATCAAGGGCCGCAGTTGTATTGGAGCCTCATCCCATTGATTGAATACCAGCAGTTGTCAGATTGTCATAGTCCTTTCCCACGTCAGCAGGTGTAGCTGCTTCCATATCCTGGCTGCTTATTCCTTGGCCTCTCAGTTTTCCTGCATATATGTAGAGGCCCCATCACTGCTCATGATTCTTCGAGGGGAGGGAGGTTGGAGACTCCAAAGAGAAGGCCGTGCCAAATAACTCACAGAGGCTTTGCTGCTCGTGCACGGGGTGTGCACTAGGCTGCCCGTAGAGGAGTCTTGAGGGATAGTTTCGTGGAATCTCTGCCTCTCTCGGTTAACTTCCTAGCTGGCGAGTGATCGAGGCAGAGGGAGCGCTCCCTGTTAGTGCTCAAACGATGGGAGATGGACCTGAGGTTTCTCAAAGGGAAGCCTCATGGCTCCCTCTTTGCTTTTCTATACGGGGAGGGGGCGGCCTCTTTACACAGGCAAGTCATTCCACGGTTTACAGCTGGGATGGTGGGCTGTATTCACGCGATCTCCCTCAAGTGGGGTGGGCTTTCCAATGTTCAGTGGTTCGGTTCTTGCAGATGGGAATGGCTGCTGAAGCCGGTAGTGAAGAGTTGCCATTTGAATGTTTTGGGGCCTGCTTTGTAGCGCAGATGGTGTTTTGGTGTGCTTCGCATCCGAATGAGCCTCTTAGAGTACAGCATGTAGAATGTTGCATCCCCCGTGCATTTCCCCTCATTTGCTTCTTTACTCGGGGTGTGCGCTTTTACGCTGTTTCTCTTTTATAGCTGGCACTACAAATCCCCGCCAAGAGCAACTGGCACGCTGCCCGCGACACCAAGGAACTTTTACGGTAAGGGCTGTAGATACACCGTATTTGTGTGTGTGTATATACATATATGTGTAAGTGTATATGTGTATGTATGCATGGTGTGTTTGCCTTTTTGTGTGTTTTTCCGCGTTTGTGTGTGTTTTTTTCAATCCTGTGTATTTTTGCCGGTGTGGATTTGAAGGAGTTCGAGGCTCACCCCACGCCGACTCGAGGGTTTGGCAAACAGGGGTGGCATGTGCATGTGTTGTGTGCCTTGTGCCTTGTGTCACCTGTGCAGGTCTGAGCACCGCGCATGGCAAACCTATGGGGTGTGTAAGGAGCTGGGATTGATGCAGAGACCATGGCTGCGAGCAGTTGCTCCCGCAGATGGCTCCTCCAGTGGCGCTGTCACTTCGAAAACAAGGGTAGCGAGCTGCTGTTGCAGCACGCGAAGCTACAGTAGCTGTTGCTGCAGCAGCAGCAACAGTTGCTGGAGCGAGCAGAACTCGATTTCCTCTTCCTCGCACGGAGCCGCCTTCCCGCGTCTGCCGCAGTTGGCTGCGGATGCTGCGTCTGCGCATCCCATCGATAGTCGGAGGAGCACCAGCAGCAAGGCAGACAGCACTGCGTCTGCTCCTGGCGTCTTCACCACTGTCAGCAGCAGCAGCGGCGGAGACGGGGAGGCAAACAACTCCGAGGATGAGGAAAGCAGCGTGGCTTCATGCGCTGAAGGAGAAGGCCGCTTGAACGAGGGGCATCGCACCACTGGCAGGCTGGCGTCTGAAGAAGGTCGAGCTGTGCCTGCTGCTGCCTCTTCTCTCTTGCGATTTCCTCGAATCTTTCCAGGCTACCACTTTCCACCACAGCCTTCGGCCGTTCCCACAGCCTTCTTCCGAAGGCCTGCACCGCAAGGCAGCAAAACATCCAATGTTGCGGAGACAGTGCCCCCCCTCGTCGTTCCCCGCTCGAGAATTCAGCTACTGCAATGCATGATTGCCGATACGGCAGCGGTGAGGGAAAGTGGTTCCTGCATCCGTCTATGTATCTATACGTCTATGTATCTACATGTACATCTATATATGTATTTGCATGCGTACAACGCATGTTTGCTCATTTTTATGCGTTTGATCGAGGCCTGTGGCTTCGGTCGTGTTGGGGCTTTTCCAGGAGTGCCGGCTGGCTCGTCTGCATGTTGCTTGCTATTTCCGTGTCTGTCGTCTCAACGCGCGTGAAAAAGCATTGCTTGCGGGGAATGGAAGGCCTAGTTTCTTTTCTGCGTGCAAGCTGTGCACTACCGCATTAGCCGCTGTGCTGTGCTGTGGCTTGCGGTGTACGTACAGTCGACGATTCAGAGGTTCATTAGGGGCTACTTTACCCGCCTACGGTACCAGGCGGCCTTGGTGTGGCGTCGGCTGCTGCAGCAGCAGCAGCAGCGGGAGCACAGAGCTGCAACTTGCATACAGAACGCTTGGAGACGTTTGAAGGCTGTGGAGGAGCTTCTCAAGAGACGGACGATCCGGGATCTGGCCTTGCGAAGGGAGAAAGCGGCGATCAAAATTCAAGCTCTTTGGAGGATGCACGCTCAGCATTTCGTTTTCCAGACGGAGCGCTTGGTGAGCAACGCGCAGAAGTCTCTTGAGAAGATTGAACGCAGGGAGCAGGCCTTTTTTCCGCTGCGTGTCTTCTTCTCCTCACTCATGGTTGTGTATTACGCACGTACTGATGCGCCTTTGTGCAGTGTCTGTACATATGCGGGTCTTCTTCTTCGCATGTTCTTTTTTCCTCGCATGTTCGTTCTGTCGGGCTATCTTGGAGTGTCTGTACATCTGCGTGTCTTCTTCTTCGCATGGTCTTCTTTGCCCGTTCTTTCTTCTTCGCATGTTCGTTCTGTCGGGCTATCTTGGAGTGTCTGTACATCTGCTAGTTTTTTCTTCGCATGGTCTTCTTCTTTGCCCGTTCTTTCTTCTTCGCATGTTCGTTCTGTCGGGCTATCTTGGAGTGTCTGTACATGTGGGGGTCTTCTTCTTCGCATGGTCTTCTTTGCATGTTCTTTTTTCCTCGCATGTTCGTTCTGTCGGGCTATCTTGGAGTGTCTGTACATCTGCGTGTCTTCTTCTTCGCATGGTCTTCTTCTTTGCATGTTCTTTCTTCTTCGCATGTTCGTTCTGTCGGGCTATCTTGCAGTGTCTGTACATCTGCGTGTCTTCTTCTTCGCATGGTCTTCTTCTTTGCATGTTCTTTCTTCTTCGCATGTTCGTTCTGTCGGGCTATCTTGGAGTGTCTGTACATCTGCTAGTCTTCTTCTTCGCATGTGCTTTCTGTCTGGCTATTTTTCCGCTCGCATTGCGCGGTTTTTGTGTGTGGAGGCCGTTGCTCTTTGCTCTGCCATAGCATAGTTTTAGCTGCTCTGGAGGCGCTTAGCGGCAAGGGTTTGTTGCTGCTACGCGGAGCAGGTGTCTGTCCCTTCGTATGGTCTTGTGGTTTCTCTGCACAGACGCAGTGCTTATTGGCAGTTCGCCGCTTAGCGGCAATCGAAATTCAAAAGGCGTGGAGAGGCGTCCTAGCGCGAAAGGTGTTAGATGAGGAGTGGGAGGCATGGGTAGTGAAGTGGGTGTGGGACAAACCGACGGCCATTGTTGAGGTAAGGGGTGTGTATATGAGTGTATGTGTGTGTCTTGTGGGGAAAGGGGTCGAGCGTCTGACTTGCAGGCGGCTTTCTTAGCCTTTTTTCTCCTTTTCGATCCCGCTATGGTGCCTTATTTGCTGAACGGATCGTCGATTGCATTCCGCCGCATGAGGGTGGATGCGCTGTTCTTTGTATGGGGGAACGTCTGCACAAATATTGAGTGGAACCAACACAGGGGTTGTCAAAAAAAAACTTTCGTTTGAAAAAAGGGGGGAGGAGGAGCTTATGTACGTACATGCATTGCTGCGTGACGCCTTGGCATCCTGTTTGGGCTTTTTTTGTGTGGCCTCGCTGTCTAGGGGGCTAAGGGAAGAAATTTTATTGTACACGTCGCGAGTCATGCCGTTTGCGTCGTGGTGTGAAGCTTTGTCTGCTCTTGTCTGGCTTCAGGGTGTTTCCTTCTCGCTGGTTTTGTGTGTTTGCTGGGGCAGGTGATTGGCGATTTCTCTTCGCCTCCATGGACAAAACGCCATCTCATGTCGTATTGCCATATCCGCGAGTGCGTCTCCTGCATGCGGGGACTGCGTTCATGTGCCTTTTTCGCTGCAGACTGCATGCTTTGTTGTGCTTCTGCTTTCTGTTTTTGGAGAGGGGAGGCTCTCTGTGGGTGTCTCCATGTGCTGGCGTTTTTGGCGTTGTTGTTGGAGTCAAACACACTTCTCGGATTGACGGCAGTGCAGTGCAGGCCTAACAGCCCACATACTGTTTGTATGTATATTCTCCCTGGGGTGCTGTGTGGACTTATTATTAGTTTTGAACGATTTTTCGATAGGCTGCCCCTTCTGCGCCATGTGCATGCACATTGTGTTTGTTTGTGTTTTTGCGATGCTGCCCCTTCTGCGCCATGTGCATGCACATTGTGTTTGTTTGTGTGCTTCTCACAGGTGCTTTGTGCTGTCGCTTCCACGTCGCCCTGGTCGGCATGAACTCAAGTTCATTGTAAATGGCCGCTACGTGTGCGATGGCAGTCAGACTGTAATTGCGGTGAGGCACCTTGCTGTTCTTACCGAGGCTGCATCACCTGCATCTCCCAGCTGCATCTCCGTGTGTTTTCTGAGAAGCGTTCTCTGCGGCCGATACGAGGGCTTGCATGGGGTCTGGGGAGGAGGAAGAGCGAAAGCCTCGTCTGCTTGGGCTGCTACTGCTGCCAGCTCTTCGAAGTAGCGGCGAAGGTTTGACTGGCTGCCTTTCGAGGTGTCAGTTGTGGCAGAGGCTGGGTAGAGAGGCAAAAGGGGGGGGCTGCAGTAAGATGCTGTCTTGGGAGTATTGCTGGCTGCTTGCTTTTGTCAGGACGGCAGCGGCCACTTCAACAATTTGATTCGGGTTCGACCCGCTGCGCCTTCACAGCGTATGCTTGTTATGCAGCATCAGCCTTTGTTTCCACCCCTCTGTTTTGCTGCTGCTACTTACTGCTGTTGAACTCGTGGAGAAGTGCAGGGGAGGGCTTAGTATAGAGATCCAGTGTGTGTTTGTGTGTGTCTGTCTGTGTGATGTACGAGTCGATACGCGTATCATTATTATGACACGATTTTCTCGTCTGCATGGCAAAGAAAAGCGGTCTGCAGTGAAAATGAATGTTCTCGCATGTGCGTTTGGCGCTGCAGTTCGACTGATCCGACAGCGGCTGGCTGCCCTAGACCAGAAGCGGCTCTCAATGGAACGTTCTTTGTCTTCCCCAGCCATTGGCATGATGGCGAATCACACGGCTCCTGCTCCTTTGCAGCAGCCAGAAGGAGTCTTGGGGTCGTGTAGCGCTGAGTTTCCCAGATCAGGTAGACGCATGTGCGTCCAGCAAGACTTGCTGCCGCATGAGGACGAGGAGCCAGAGGCAGTGGAAGTGGAGCAGCAGGAGGGAGAGGAGGAGGAAGAGGGAGAAGAGGCGTATCAAGAGCTCCGCGGAGTGGTACTTCGTCTCCCCGAGGACGGACTTCCCGAGGGGCCCCCCCTCTCGGGGGAGGGGGGGCCCCCCCTCTCAGACGCTGCCAGGACGTGGAATCTTGCCTCTGTCAGCGGGCGCTCAGACAGGCAGAGCAGCAGAACGGCCAGCATTCTGTCCAACACCAGCTCCGCGACTGCTCCAGGCGATGGAGGAGGACGGGGGGGTTCTCTCGAGTTGAAGATCGCCAGTCAGACGGCAGGCTACAAGCTGGAGCGGAGCGAGAGAGACTCTCCTCCTGCCTTCATTCGCCCGGAGGAGCATCATTGGGCTTCCAGTCTGCATGACGAGCTTCATTTCTTGGTGAGAAGGGATGAAGTCTTGGCAGACCCCGGTGCGCAGCAAGACGCAGCGGTGGGGGCAGTGGGATGTTCGGACGCTGCGCAAGACGGAGTGGGCTCGCACAGTTTCTGCTCACGAACGTCTTCCAAGAAGCATGCAGAGGCGGCTTCAGACAGAGAGGCCCCCCTCTGTGTGCCTTCGGCGAGGGAGGCAGATGGAAGGTTGGGGTTTCCAACAGTTCCGGCACCATCAGCAGCACTAGCATCTGCACCACAAAAATACCCACCATCCCTACCACAACCCCCATTCTCGGCAGTTCCTCTTTTGGAAACGCAGGTAAACGGACGTCAGCGTCAAGCAGAGCATGCGGGCGAGGCTGTAGATGCTGCCATGGCCGCATCGCCCTCTGGAGCAGCTTTCCTCGCGCGAAGAAGAATCCTTGACATGGGAGTGGCAGACGGTGGAGCTGCTCGTGGTGGTCGGGGGGAGAGTTTGTCGGACGAGAACGCCGGTCGTGCCTCTGCACAGCGACATCAGCAGAAAAAACAACATCAAGGCCAAAAAAGACATCCCCAAGCGGCAAAGGCTCATCAACGCACAGGGAGAGAGGGGCCTCTTGACGAGAACCTCGGCTCGGGGGGGGGGGATCGCTGCTCCGCTGCCAACGCCTTCGTAGCAGCCGAATCAGCCCCCTTCAAGCGAGGAGGAGTGGCAGCAGAAGCGGACACACGCCGCAGAAGTGCAGAGGGCTCTAGAGAGCATTTGGATAGCAAGACGGAAGGCAGTCGGAAGCATAGAGGGCGGGGTGGCCGACAGCGAGGCTCCGACAGTCGCGTCGCCAAGGATCCCTCTGGATTCAACTAGCCATCCAGCTAGCTTTGCGCTTCTTCTGGTAGTCGTATGGATAGACATGCGTGTAGGATTAGCGATAAATCATATAGTGTGTATTGACTGCACTGTCCAAACGTAGCAGTGAGCTCAACCCACTTGTACAGACGCTGGTGCAGTTGCCATCGTAGGGGCAGCAGCATCCAATGCAATTTACCACAGCGTTCGCTCCGTGTGCCTCCAATTAGATGTTCTGGGAGCCACAGAGTTTATCGCGGCAGCCCCTCTGCAGCAATGCATGCCGCAGAGCGGCGCATTTTCGTATTCTTTGCTTTTCCTGGTCAGTTTGGCTATGCGGGTTATATTTGGGAGCTTAGGGAGCTCCAGCACATTATCTCATCCTTCAGCGAGTCAGTGGACGCGTGCGGTTGCTGGCGGATGTGTGCTGCTAGCCAACTGGCTAGTCAGCGCTTTTCTGCCTGCATTGAGGGTGGATGGCTAGTGTAGTTGCTTGCTTGCTGAGCAGCCGGTTCTAGTTGTGGCGCCGTGTACTGGTCAGACATCTACTGCCCTTTAGGAGGGCCCTGGGTTGGAGCGTGCGCCATAGAGCCAGAGAGCAAGCTTTTGGCCAACTGGTTACAGGGATGTTTATGTGTTTCTGCGTTCAAATCGTATTCTACACGAAGGGTGAATGCGTGCTGCTCAGTTGGAGGGAGCTGCTAAACCTTTCCACATAGCGGTTCCAGGGTGTACGTACACCAGGAGCACGCATTTTTGTTCGATCTTTAGGGGGCGAAATCACGCCAGCAGCAGAAGCAGATACAGTACTCACAGCATGCGATGCCTTTTTGATGCGATGAGCTGCGCTGCGTGTAACGCTCCATATAAAGTGTTCGCAGGGAGACACTTATACCCCCATGCCCAGTACAAACTTAATTGAACGCGGAATTTATTCCTAACTCTGTAGTTCCTGCCTGCGTTCATGGCGGCTCGTGACGGAAGGGTGGAGGAACTCAGGGTGCACATAGGTGCACCCTCTATCCTCTCAGATCATTCATAGCTAATTGTACATTGCCTCCAACAAGCACATTCATACATACACACACAACATTGCGTCGTGTTGTATCGAGCTAGCAAAGCTCTCAAAATCAACGAATATACGACCAGGCAGCCAACTAGTCAGTTCTTTGCCAACGCTTGTTAGATGAACATGTAATGGAGCATGAGAGCGCGTGTAGCATAACCCCCCACATTTTCCCCCCTATTTCAAAACAAGCTTATTCATGTTAATTTGCCTACCTATCAGCACTCCCCCGACAAGCTGGAATGCGAAGAACAGTGCGAATGAAAAACAACGAATGCGCGTCCATCAACCGCTATACTGTAATAGAAGGGAAGAAAGGCATCAAACTAGCGAACAACAAAAGCGAGACCAAACCCACACGGCCGTTACAGCGCAGTGGCTCTCTACCGATGGCGCGCTGATGTGTGGGAGCCTCCTGTCACGATAAAGCAGAAGAGAAATAAAGTTTGTAGGGGACTCTTAAACATACTAGTTCAGCAGTGCCTCCACACCCCGTAGGGCAATGCCTGCATGCACATACAGCTGAAACATGCCGCAATGTCTATTATCAAACTCTAAGAGAGCCGCAAGGGAAACGTGCAGAGAAACCTAGCTGAGAATATTCGCGCATAAATGTGCTTGTAGAGGGCACCTTGACAATAATATTCAGGGGCTTTTCAAACAAAAATCCATGGATGAAGGGACCTGCTTTAGACAGAGCAAGTGCCAGGTCGGACACGTATCCAGAAACTTGTGAAAAACCGTCGATGGTCATTAGCACTTTGATCCGCACCTAGTCACACATTCCCCGTCAGATTGCGAAGCCCAAGTGCTTTTATGTCAGCCAGTACGGCTCGCTTCGCTCATCCCACTTCATTTGAAAGTCTTTTCCAGTGTTTCCTGGGTGCTCAACATTCCTTAAAAACACCAGTTGTGCCGCTTTCTGTGGATCATTCGCCCCCACAGGGTTGCTTTGCCTGCGCAGTAAACCCCGCGAACAGCTAGTGCGTTATATAGTGACTAAGGCGCTGCCCAGCTTTCGAGCACTTGACGTGGCACTTCCGGCGGACCTGAGATAAACCGCTAATATAGGAGCTGGTCGTTCACGTCGAGACTTTTGCGAAGCAAATCTCCATGCTTCTCAAGGTAGCGACCTATTGTTTGATTCTCCTACATAAGCTTTGTCAATCATCCAAACGCTCGTTGAGCTGTCTCGGCATGAGCCGATAAGTCAGGGCTTGGATGCAGGCTTGCACTGTAGCAGTGCCTGTGTACAGGCGACTCTCTCTGCATGGATAGAGCCATCATTGCGTCGCCTTACGTTTCAATACACATGCCGCGAGTAGCACTTGTTTCGTCTTATCTAGAACGTAGAAAGCGAGGTACCTGTTTATCCAGCTGATGCAATCTTCCACTATCTGCCCAAAATGGTCGAAGCTACCTCTCAATGTTTCCACAAAACTATTGAACTCCAGCTGCGAATTCGTAACAAAGTCCCCATTGGTAGTCTGTGTGAAAATACTCATTATTACAGAACACCGCAATCTGCATACAATAAAACGTAACAGTTGCGCTATATATATAATACGTCTAACCAGGTGTGAATACTAGGAGTGCTTAGAGGCCACAGCTACGCACACCCTAGCTGTCCCTCACCCCTACTGTCGGGAACTCTGAGGGTCCTGCACAGAAGAAGACGATATTTTTTTTTTTACTCGATGGCTTTCTATTCAGTTTGCGTTGAGTCTGGGGATAAGTGTTTTCCTAGGGAGACCTTAAATGGGGCGTTGCACTTGCTAGCACTGCATGGCTCGATGCAGTTGCTTCTTGCTCAACCACTGGCTGTAAATTCACGGCCTCTCCTGCCCGCGACACCCAGACCTCTAGGCGTTATGGGGAAAGGGACTTGTAAGTTCCTTGAAGTTGCGCCGACTGAGCACTCTGAGTATCCACAGCTGGATGGACACGGAAACTAGGGTACACACAGAGCAATGCGTCTTCCTTTGTCGAGCTAACAGTGCGCTGCAATGAATGCAGCATTCGAACAGACAAACCAAAAAGCCCCTTGTACATCAATTGTTAGCGAATATGAACTATCTAGTAGACAGAGTTGATGTGCACCGTAATCCGCTACATATTGTACCAAGCTCACACTGCTCAGTAGATGGTAAGATGTACGAACAGACAAACGAGAAAACCAGTCCTTTGCCGACTTGGAAATCAAATATAGCCAGTGGACTAGAAAGTGTAGGAATGTAGGTGAGGCCGGAACACCTAGGCATGCAGAACAATGCAGAGCAAGCCAAGGTTGTGCTGCTAAGAAGGATACAGCAAGAAGTTTAGGTTCCGAGTTGTTGGATATTCAGCGAGGAGGTGTATGCCCGGCTGGGGGAGAAAGCGATGCATGGAATGGGGATGCATAACTTGCCTCAAGAGCCATTTTACTAATGGCATTATGAATTCAGGGGGCGTGTACATCCATACGCACATAAAGAGGCAGACAAATCGGCCATTTTCGTCTGTGTGCATGCCAGTCTCCGGCATGTGTTCTTGTGTTTTTTTTTTCAGTTACATGAAAGTTCCAGAAGTTCCCCTAATTCGATGCACACAGAGAGGCTTGGAAAGCGATGACGGCGCACGATGTTGGTTCTGATTATGGTATCTGCTTGAGACGTCCAGTGAGCAGCTCTCCCTTCGGCAAGTGCACGAGTGGCCCCTCAAGCACGACGCCTAGAGAGGAGCAAGCCCACACGCTTGTTTCGCTGAGTGCAATCCGTAGTTTGAGAGTTTAAACGCCCTAAGAATGCGGTTTTTGTAAGCGTATGTGTGCTGCAGTGGTAGGGGCTTTTCTGTTGGGGGGCCTTCCAGGGGGGTTTGCTGAGGGCCCCCCACCGTCACCACCAGTTTCTCGAGCTGCTTCCTCTGCACACGTAGGTTGTGTCTTTGCTTGCGGAATTGGGCATTTAAGGCCTTGAAGCTAAAAAGTGAGAGATTCGCATTGAGACGCAGCACAGAAGGAGGGCTGTCCGTACACCACACCGCAAAATGCAGGCTGCGGAGGCTGTCACCACCCAGGGCCCCTGCACAGCCATGGCGTTCGACGCCTCGCACGAGGTGCTACATGAGCATGCAGATGCGGAAGAAAGCGAGCCGAGTCAAGGCATTTTGCGGCAGCAGCAGGCAGAGGGTTCGCTAAAAGGAGAGTCTACAGCGGCAGCCGATAGGGCTGCGGAGGGAGAGACTGAAGCAGGAGAGGAAGGGAAGGAGGAGGAGGGTTCTGAGAGCGACGCTGACAGCGACTGCGAGGATGCAGCCACAGCCGAGTCCGACAAACGTAAGCCATCCCGATTCTCCGAGCTGTTTCCGATACGTTTCCTCCATGCTGCCTGTCGTCTAGTGTGACGTTGGTGTGTGGCCTCTTCCCTTGCAGTGCTTGGCCTTTGCAATTCGAGCATCCGGGGCACTTATCGGCTAGCCAGCGGTGGTGTGCTGTTGTTTCTCTCAGTTGCCGCTCTGGATGCCGCGGCTGTCTTCGCCTTGGGCAAAGCCGCCTTCAAGCAGCATGAGTTTGCAAAGGCCGCTGACCTCTTCTCGAGGGCTGTAGAGAAGCAGTGAGGCTTTACTGTGTAAAAAGCGGCGAAAAATTCAAGACACAGCCGGAGAACGGGAGGGAGGGAGAGGCCGCCTGGCAATTGTCGTCTAGACATGCCTGAGCTCCTACGATGTCGACCACTGCAGACTACCCAAGCCGCCGTAGTTGCCACCATAGTCTGGTGTTTGCACTATTGTGGATTCGCATGCAGGCTTTCCGATACTGGTTGCTCCGAGTTAGACCCGTGCATGGGCGTGTTTTATCTTTGGTTCGGTGATGCCCTCCTCTCCAAAGAAGAATCAACAGAAGACATGCTTGCACAGCTTCCCCAAGGTAGAGCCACCGCAGACTGCTTAAGAGTGTTCAGGGTTTGAAAAGTGTGTTCAAATGGCTCATGAAGATTTGTGAGATCAGGCCGGCAAATTTTCATTTTTTTGGCCTGCTTTTTGTTTGTAGCGGCCGCAGCACAGCCTGATAGTGCAGGTGTTAGTGGCTCCCAAAGCAGTAGCGCAAGCAGCGGGAGCACAGAGCAGAAGGAGGGTGTAGATACACCCGATGACGAACTGGCTTTCCAAATGTTCGAACTTGCGAAGAAGTGCCTCGCCAACAAGCTCAACTACACGAGTCCTACTGAAGCAGCTGATGGATCAAAGGCAGCGGCAGTGCAGGAAGCGACGCGCGTATTGGACAGAAAAGAAGTTGTCGAAGCCGCAACAGATCTTTCGTTTGCGTGTTTGCGCCTCGGAGACTTGCAGTTGATGAACAGCAGGTTTCAGGATGCAACGCAAGTAGGCTGGGCAGCCTCAAATTCCAGAGGGCGAAAGCTGCAACGTGATCCGTTACCATCTGCCGCAGGCTGCTGCTGCTGTCGCATACTGCCTCCATGGAAAACACAGGATTTTGGGAACTGCATTCACGGCGTGCTAATGATGCGTTTCAGGATTACGGGGAAGCAGTTGCAGTGCGTCGAGCATTCAACTTGGGAGAGGCCGGCTTACTAGCTCCAAGTATTTCGCTTGCGCAGTCTGTCTTCTTCTCTGGAGATACCACTAAGGCACTGACCCTTTTCAAAGTAAGACATTTCCTTGAACCCTCACTCATGGAGCCTTGATGCTTCTTCTGTTACGCTTGAGAGTGGCAGTTCTGAGCGGAGCTGCTGTTTTCATGCGGCTGGCTGAAAAAAAGCGCCGATGGGGTGCTGCGTTGATCGCCCCCCGCCGCTACGCATGAAGCTGTGTACTGACACCTGAACTAGTGGCCGCCTTTGCTATATATTCCCAAAGTGGAGGGAGCGTTGCCGTTATCTTGTTTTTCCTGCAACACGATTGCTTCCTCCCACTCTTCATGGCGCCTCTTCCTGCTGAAGCCGTTGCGCCGGGTGTACGTCCACCTGCTGCTGCAGGAGTGTGAAGCGCTTGCGGTTCGCATACGGGAGGGCCTGCTGCCACTGCCTCAAGGAACCTCGCTCAAGGCAGTTTCGGATACCGCAGAAGACCTTGCGATTCAAATTGCTGACATAGAGCAGCAGCAAGGGCAGCAGCAAAAAAAAGCTCCTGGGAGTCAGTGCGAAGCGAAGAACTTGATACCAAGTACCACATCCTCCTTTGATGCCCCAGTTCTTGCATGCAAAGACCATGTGAGGCGCATTGCCGTTTCTCCCGCAAGGGGTGCCCCTGAAGGCTTACAGGAACTAGAGGGGCACACACCCAAGAAGCGGAGGATCGATCTCAGGGCACTCCCAAGGCAGACGCCACAGCAAATCACTACTACACAAGGAGAGAAGAGCGCGCAAGCGCCTCCTGCAACTGCTGCAGAGCCGGCATCAGCAGCAGCAGCAGCAGCGCCTCTTACAGCTGCATGCACCGATGCGCGTGACGAGAGCAAAGCCAAAGGAAGCGACAGCAGCAGCAGCTAGAGCCTTAGATAGGTTGAAACCACTCATAGAGCTTTTAAAAAAGTCTCTATAAAAGGCCGTTTTTGCAGTCAGTAGCCTATAGGTGTTTAAAGCATGCATGTCTGCGGGGTTCCTCGAGGCAGAGGAATTCATTGAACTTTTGACTCCTTCCTTTCCCTTCAAGTTGAGGCAGGAGAGGGCACGGGTAGCCTACAATGCATAGCAGTTTCACCAAGCGGAGATGGCGCTTCAATATGCCGTTGGCTGTGTGTGGCGAGAGTGAAGCGCCTGGTTGCAGAGACAAGGGAAGGATCGGCACAGATCTGCCGGAGTCATCTTCACCCTGCAGGGGGGGAAAGGGCCCTGCTCCTTGACAGCCCTAAACCCTTCATGTGTACCCTTACAAGGCCTCTAGCACTCACGATGGCAAAATGGTGTGCTTGAAGCAATAAAAAATTATTAGGGCAATGGGGAGTCCCTTTCTTTAGACAGAAAAGCGACCCCACGGTTTCCATGGCTCACAGACCGCCACGCGGGAGTGCTCTGTTGGGCATGATAGATATACATACATACATATATGCAAGCAGCTGCCACGACATGCATGTGCATTCTTATCGAGGTAGAGCCCTTGTATCTGTTTCAAGAAAATACATATCGCCTAAGAGGGCGGTGGCACTTGCCAGCCCTGCGCAATGGGCCCATTGTCCATGATGATTTCCCTGAGGCGAAAACGCAGCTCCAGCCCGCATGCGGGGTTAAGCTCAGTCGACTACCCCATGAGCAGAATACTGCGCAGGTATATACATGGACGGCAATAATCGCTTTCGTTAAGGGAATTATGGGGCGGCTCAGCGAGCTGGCTGGAAAAAAAAAACGTAAAACTTGCCGGTGGCAGGTCCATGTGCTTCTGATGGCTTGCGGAGTGCCAATTGACGCAGCCCTTGGATCTCCTGCGGGTCCAAAAAAGTGGTTCTGAGGGGCCCCCGTCGTACGGGCTCTGATGCCTGCGTATGTAGTGCCATTGAGCGAAACACCGAGGAAGCGATTGAGCGTCTCGGGGTTCCTCGACACCACAGCGGCCGTTAGGTGGTGTGAAATGCTTTCCATGAGGGCAACCAGCGCATCCTCGTCCCCGTCTCCCCACTCCACTACTACCTGAAAGTCGTACGCCCCATCAGCAGCACGCGTCGCAGTGGGCGCGTCGAATCGAACCGGCAGCACAAATGCCGCACATGCAGGCAGACAGGATGTGTCGGGCAGACACACGACGGAGGGGCCAGAACTTGGGCGGTTGCTCAACTCAAAGAGAAAGCAGCACCCCAAAAGCTTAACACACAATCTTGTATTGCACCAGTAGGCTAATATGTACTTCGGCAGATGCGACGGATCAAGTATGCGGCATCCAACACAGCACGGAGATAGTGCACCAAACCCTTTCCCTTCCCAGAGAGAGATGATAGGGAACCTCGTGGAGAAGCGTAGCACTCGATACAGAACAAAAGCATGCGCCCAAATAAATCAATACACATATATAAATATATATATTGTAAATACACATACATGCACATCTATCATGAAGTATCCCTCTTCGTGCGTTGAGAGCCGTCTTCCTACAGGCGAAGGGCCCCGATAAAATACCCTTTCAACATGTCCACATGCGGCATCGCCGTCCGTCTGCCTCCAACCGACAGGGGGCGCTAATCTCTCCGCTAGACAGCCTTTCAGAGACTCCTACGATGGCTGCATTAACGCTGCTCCGACGGGAAATCAGCAGGGGCAAGAGCCACACGGCCCTGTTACTTGTTACATTTACCTGAAGAGGTCCAAAGATCTCCGTCGTGGCTAGCACCCTTGCAGCTGGATCTTTTAGCAGCAACTGCAGGGGCAGCCGCACGGCAGTCGGTTGGTATAGGCCAAAGGCAGGGGGCACTGCAGTGCCAGAAATACTTGAGCCTCCGAACAGCAAGGACGCCCCTTCCAGATTTAGCAGCGCCTGGAAACAAAGCAGCGCGAAGGGTTCCACTTTTCGCGCTTGATAGTGACAGCAATATCCCCCTCCGCTACGATTCTGCAATGCAGACACGTCAAAATTCTGGCCCCCAGGCTCCGAAAAGCTCTGCTTGCGAAACACATTTGCCACCTTTGAGCTTATACTAAACAGCAAAGCCCCTTATCGGACATCGATGTGTCGCTGTATCTCCTCGTTGGTGTGCGAGAGGAGGGGGGAGATGGTGAGATCGTCAACGGAACGCCGCGAGGCCAGAGCCTTAATTCGGTCTAAGAATCCTGCCGACACCCAGTTGCGGTGTATGAGCAGAAGCGACTGCGCTGAGCACTTCTGCCCTGAAGCACACACCAATGCATGCACAGAAAACGCTGCCAAATACTGCCTACCAACCCGCATGCGAAATAACCTCCACCCTATGCCGCCTCCACACCGTCACGTGCACCATGCCCCTAACGGACCAGAGAGCGCATACGCATCCTGATCTGACTGCCAGGCAACATAGTCAACATCCTCCTGCCGAACATCGCCGCAAAGGATCTTCCAGTTGAAGCCAGCATCTTCAATTCGCACGCGGCCTTCCATCAAATGAGACAGCTTCTGCGCCACCTCACAGCTCCCTAAGACGCAGCCAAACCGTCCTTTTGCACACACACACACAGACTGGCAAAAGCCACGGCCAAAGCAGCGCCAAACGCAAGCCGCTTCGACATCATTCGCGTCAAATATCTCACACACTAGCACCACACGCCGCTAAAGCCAGCCACACCCAGAACAGGAGACGTCGCCACAGCGGCAAGCAGACGTTTCTGCCATCGGCAGGAAGCGTAATCGAAGGCGCGGATAGAGCACAGCAGGGCATGCGGAGCAGCGAGAATCCGGAGAAAAGAATCAGCATGAAAAGATCATCATCACCTTACCCGTAAACTGAACTAGTCGCACGGGGCTTTTTTCTAACAGCTGGGAGACAACCGGTCCTCTTGCACTGATCAAGTCCATGTCTTCCAACGGCATTCCACAGTAATGCAGAAATCTGCAACGCAGCGCAACCACCGGCTGCAGATGCTGTAGCAATTAATTGCCTCCTCTATGTGGACGTACAGGCACACATGCTAAAGGAAGCCCTCCACTGCAAGCTGGTTACGATAAGCGCGATTTCTGCGGAGCAAGCATCTTCTGAAGGCTTCTCCCACGGTAACTCTGTGTAAAGGGCTGCTGCTGCTACAATGTGCTGCTGCTGCTCCAAGCAGCTTTCTGTGCTCCAAGCAGCTCATGCCCGTGCTTTCTTTCTCGCAAGGCGGAAGCAGGCAGCCTGTGGAGCCTCCGAAAGAAGCGTAGTTCTCTCCAATTGGCTTTGCGTGTGGGAGGCAGAAGAAGATGGTGCTTCACCTGATGAACTGCTCCAAAGGGAGGCCTTGCCCTGCTTCGGCCTTGACGAGAGGCTTGTTCCCAGCAAACAAAGCTCCCATCATCTGAGCATGCAACAGAATCACCGTCAGCAACCTAAGTTGCGGCAGCCAGGCAGGAGGACTGCGGAGTCAACAACAGCACGCTACGACGACGAAACGACAACAGCGGAGGCTACTGCAGCGGCGGGAAAAGAGGTGTAAGCGCTTGCCTGCATGACTGGAATTTCCAGAGGGAAGTTGAAAGGCGCAATGATAGCGACTGGACCGAAAGGCCACCTGCAACAACAGCAACAGCAACCATGCCGGCACCAACAGCCCTTCCTAGCAGCAAGGAGATTCCCAGTTGCAGCACAGACAGTCCCTTCAGCAGAACGCGAGGCACCGCGCAGGCGCTGTCGCTCGCCATGGCAGCAAGTCCGAAAGGAGAGTCAGTTGGAGACAGACACGCGCAGCACCCCAGCCAATCTGTGGAAAGCATTTTTTCCTCTTCGGCGAGACACCTGACCAGCAGGCGTTACGTGCATTTGCCGCTGCTGCTGTTGATAACGTGCCTGTACGACTGGCTTTGCTGGCCTTGGTGATCTCCCGAGACGAAGGATCCGCGGAAGCAGAAACGGACGTTATCGCCACTGAAATTCTCGAAGAATGCGCGCAGCACCCGCATCTCCCCTTCAGCCTGCGAAGACACCGAGCGGCAAAGACAAGACAAGGGGCCAGTCACCGTCCACGAAGACCACTTTTCCTGCATTTTGCAGCCCACAGCGGCTGGCAGCTGATCTCTTTGGGTTACAAGACAGCGCAGCGCAAAAAGAACCCTCGAACGAGCACGGCGTGCCATCTCAACTGTCTGTACACCTAAATTTGCGTGTATACACGCGGCGGGGGGACGAAGACTGCCAGCAGCGCAGGCCCTTACCTGTGCTTTGCTCTTCGGCATGGTCATCTGAATGCAAGAGACGAAGAAAGAAAAGACTTCCTGGTCGTGCAACAACGCAGCAGCTCTCTGGCAGATTTCTCCGTAAAGAAGATAGCGATTCACTGCCTTTAGCGGATTGTGGAGGCCAGACTTTGAGCAGCGCGAAAGCGAGGCTATAAATGGCTCCAATTCATCAGGCTACACGCAAACAGACACAGAGGCAGAAGCAGCACGAAAGGGGCTGGCTGTTAGCGCGAACAAGGCCAGGGGGGGAGGGAAGAAAAGCTCACGCGGAACCTCCACCATACCAAGAGATGATACCACCAAGAGCCATATGCATAACACACACATATTCACGGAGGCATGGCGCTTTATACGCATGCATGCGCACAGGTGTGCGCACAGGGGACCACGTCAAAAAGTTTAAGCCCCATCCCCATGCCCACATACAGGTGCATGCATGCACTTGCATGCAGTTCTGAATCCCCACATGCTGGAAACGCGAAAAGTGGGAACAAAAGCCAAGGAGAGGAGAGAAGAGAGGGGCACTTGCCCCGCCCAAGAGCGAGGCTCAGGAAAAGGAGTCTTGCCAGCATGAAGCGACTTGTGTGTGCAACAGTGGGGAGGGTGGGGGCTGCTGGAAGGTGACGTAGGGGAAAGGAGTTCATCAAAAACACGATAATGCATGATGGCCATACATACGCATGCCGCACAGCAGCCACGACCATATCACCCACCCAAACCCACAAAAGGAAGCAAAAAAACAAGCACACACTCAGAGGAAACGAAAACAGGTGAGAAAGCAGAGGAGCACAGAAAAAACAAATGTACGTGTACAGAAGGCGGTCTGCGCATAGTGTGTGTGTAAGTGTATATAATATATATATATAATTCATGCACGCACATACACATTAACACTTTTACACATTCATGTATACATACACACATACCTATGCACATCTACATATACATGCATACACACATATAGACATATACATTTGTACACATATATACACCTAGAGACACACATGCCTATACACATGCACACGTCTTCATTACATATCCATATTACGCATATCGACATTTACATATGCAAACATATTACAAAGATACACATTTGCATACATATATAGAGAGGTTGCATGCATATATATATAGGCCTCAATACATACACGTGTACATCTCCACATACATGAGTAGCGAGTTGCGCCAAATAGTGGGGTAGCAAGCCCCATGCAACGGCACGACGAACAGCATGCAAAGCGAGGAAGGGGCACCCTAAGTAGGGGGTGGCACAGAGGCGACTTGAGTTGAATTTTGGCAGAGTCTGATCATCGAGTCTGATAGGGGGACGGGAAGGGAGCGCCCTCCACAAAGGGAGTGGCGAGAGGCTTAGAGGTTTGGTGTGTGTGTGTGTGTTTCGGGTGCTTCTCGCATTGCTAGATACCTGTGTATGCGGCGCGTGAGCCAAGACAGTTCCGTTTAGGGGGTTAATGACGTCGTATGTTTTTCTGGCAGAAGCCCAGCGGCCGCCTACGAGATTCTGGAGAGTGTGAGGGCGCGAACCTGAAGCAGCGCCGTCGAAATCGAGGTTGCTAAATGCCGAAACGGAGCTGTTTTTGCCGCTATGGAAGAGGCGGGAGAAGAGGCAAGAGCTGCCAAGGCCGGACAGACACCCCTCTGGCAAGCGCTGCAATCGGCTTGCTGCCGCCGCATCTGCAGCGAGTTGCTTTGAGGCTACCGGTGTGGCGATCCTGAATGGGGATTTTGAGGCAGATGCAAGTGTCGATACACTGTGCAGAGCAGCGGCAGCAACGCCATCGCTGGAAGGAGGCCTAAGGTGCCGCAGCGCAGCGGCAGCCTGCGAACGGATTAGCGACGTCAGCGCCATCTGCCTCGGTTACTCCACGAGCCCAGATTGTCGTTGTCAATGCATGCAGAAATCAAAGAAGCTGAACACAGAGAAGACTGAAAGGCTTGAGACGCGCGCAGTGCCAGACGGCAGCTCTCACCGTCTCCCTGCGGCTCCAGTGTACGTCCACCCAGCCTCATTGCCGGGGGGCCCCCCTCCCTCCGTCCCCGTATGAGGAAGTGGGAAGTGTCGAGTCTTGGGGTTGAAAGTATTATGTACATAGCAATGCGCGTCTCGAGCATGCATTTTAAAGGCAAATCTTGTCGTATTGTGTCGATTTGGGGGTTTTACGCGACTGTTTCTTCCCACGTATTTCAGGCTTCATGGAAGCAAGAGCGCTCGCGCTGCGGACGGAGGGTGGAAGAGCCATGAGAGATCGACCTCTTGGGCTTCTGCAATGAAATTCAGCACTTCTTCGCTTCTCGGCTGAACGCACAGCCTGAAAATCTTCACCGAGCGATCGGCTGACCACTACAGTTGAACTGGTGCAGACCGCAGCGAGATGTACAACCGCATGCACCAGAAAGCCTTCCCGTGCACTCGCTGCGGGGCCCTTCTGCTGCTGCTGCAGCCCCTCCGAAGGTCTCATAGTGCTGCATGTGCTTCCCTCGCTGCTAGCGTGACAGTGGCGGCAGCCTCGAGCGCAACAAGTCCTCACGACTGTGGTGCAATAACCCTTACCTGCTCGACGCCAACCCCAGCAAGAAGGCGTGATCGCCAGCAGAAAGCCTTGGGATATGCAGCAGCAGAACAAAGCAGTATTATGCCAGCAAGAGCAGGAGCATCAAGAGCAACAGCAGCAAGAGCAACAGCAGCAAGAGCAACAGCATCAGCAGCATCAAGAGCAACAGCAGCATCAAGAGCAGCATCGCACAGCAGCGCCTTTCAGGAATGTTTCTTTCGCCCCTCTTTTCTTGGAGCCTATCAGCCGTTGTTGCAGCTGCAAGTTCCGAGTCTCAGCGGCAGCTGTAGATACAGCTTTAGCACGAGCACTGCAGCAGCCTGCCACAGACAGCCGTCTCCCTGGTTACTTCTTGCGATCCAGCTGCTCCCCCCAACAGCTTCTTCCATCCTCGCTGCTGCCGCTGCCTTGCCGCGAACGCGCTTGCTGGGGGTCCAAGAAGCCGCTGCAGCAACTGTGCCCCCCACTTCTGATCGTTCTACGGTGAATAGGACGGATTCAGACTGGCTTAAACTGCTGCAGCAACAGCAGCAGGCGCTGCGCTGCCGCATGCTCACGGAGCAGCAGCGGCAGACACAACAACGGTCTCAGCAGCGTCAGCTTTCGGGGGGGGGAGAGCACGCTCTTCCCCTGCTGCAGCATTTGCAGCGGGAGTTGCAGAATCGGCAGCTTCGAGAGGACCCCCTCCAGCGAGCGCCTCCAAAGCAGCAACGCTTCGTTGCGCAAGAGACATCCGCCAGTGCTCCATGGGTGTGCCTGAAGCTGTTGCTTTGGGGGCTGTGTGCTGCGTGCACCCGAGTGGCTTTTTCAGGCTGCATGCTGGTGCCTTCTTGGTGTCTGCGTAATTGAAAGCGCCGCGAGAAACCGCATTTACAACCCTGGTGTTCTTTCTGCTGCTGCTGCGGCGTGTAGAGGGTGCACGTCCGAATTCTTTGAGAGGTTTCAAACGGCTTTCACGTGTGTTCTCAGCAAATGTTTTTAGCGATGGCGTGCGCGCGATAACAATTGGCAGGCTTCTCATTCAAGGCTTTGCTGCTGGTGCTGCTTGCGAATTGACTGTCTCCTGCAGCAGGTCGCTCTTGGACAGTTTTGGCGCTCCGCCTACCAAAATGCCTTCTTCTATCCGCCTCTCCGCGTGCCGATCTTCAGTGCCTGCCTGCTGCTCCTGCTGCTGCTGCTGCAGCTGCAGCAGCTGAGGCTTGCGGGTAATTTGGCGGATCCTGATGCGTACAACGACGCAGCAGCAGCAGCAGCAGCAGCTAGTGCCAGCAGCAGCAGCAGCAGCAGCAGCCACGGCGACAAAGCGACACGCGAAAGAAGAGGTAACACCAGCAGTAGCAGCAGCAGCAGTGAGCCAACAGCAGTAGCGACTGCATGCAGCAGCAAGACAGCTGCAGCTGCGGCTGCACTGGCTGCGGAGAACGCGGAAGCCCTCCTCCGCTTTCGCTCGCACTTCAGTGCCGCACCAGAAGACGTGCTGCTCGACTTTGGCGATGTCGACAGAATCAGCAACGGGAAGAAGCCTTACCCCCTGAGTCTCTTGGGGGCCCTCCTGCTGCCCTCTCTGCTGCCAGCAGAGGGGCCCCCTTTGGGGACTGGCCTAAAGCATGCGGCCTTTGGGGCTGCATGCGTTTTTTCAGAGCTGCAGTACGGGGCTTTCGCCGCAGCCGCCCTTGCAGCAGCAGCGGCAGCAGCCAGCACAGCGACAGCGTTGCTGCTGCAGCGGCTTTGTCACGGGGAGCACGCAGAGACGCCAGTGGTAGGCACTGGTGGAGGAGCCTTCATAGCCTTGGCAGCAGCTGCTGCGCTGTCTCGCGAGAAAAACTTTGCAGCGGCAGTCCATGCGACTGCCGCTGCAAAGACACCTGCGCTTCTGCCGCAAGTGCCGCTGGCTGCAGCGCTTCTGCTGGCTCCCTTAGTGGTTGATGTGCTGATCAGGCTAGAAAGCTTCTGCGCCTGTCTTCGTGGGCTCCCAGCACTGCAGCAAGATCAGCAGCAAAGACAGCGGCTGCTGTGGGGGCATGTGCTGCAAGCCGAGGGACTGGCGGCTGCGGCTACGGGAGCGAAGCAGCAGCATCGCATTGCAGATGCAAAACAACTGCATGCGCTGGCACTGCAACACCAGGTAGGACGCAGCGTTTGTTTTTCCGCTCCTGGTATTCAGGGAGTGCTTCGTCTGCTGTGTATTCACGCCTTGCACAGTACCCTTCTAGCAGAGCAGGCTGAAAGACTCTTGGCTCCGCGCCCAGTACTCCTTCCACTACGCTTTTTCTGCGAGAGGCTGTTGTGCTTGGCTGTTGGTGCAGGAAAGTGCAAAGGCGCTGGAGGGGGAAGCAGGCATCGATCTATGCGACTGGGCGGTGCTTGGTGATGCTCTCGTGATGCTGCTTGTGGCAGCAGCAGCAGCTGCCCGCTGTCTTCCCAAGGGCGCAGCTATTGCAGCGGCAACGGCTGCTGCAGCAGCCGTTGCCGCTGCAAATCACAAAAGACTTCTCACCTCATCTGAGGTCGCTGCAGCGTAGCACCCGTGAAAAACTGCTTTCTAGACTAAACTAGCAAAACTGCTTCCTAGACTGAACTAGCAAAACTGCTTCCTAGACTAAACTAGCAAAACTGCTTCCTAGACTAAACTAGCAAAACTGCTTTCTAGACTAAACTAGCAAAACTGCTTCCTAGACTAAACTAGCAAAATTGCTTCCTAGACTAAACTAGCAAAACTGCTTCCTAGACTAAACTAGCAAAACTGCTTTCTAGACTAAACTAGCAAAACTGCTTTCTAGACTAAACTGCAAAACTGCTTCCTAGACTAAACTAGCAAAACTGCTTTCTAGACTAAACTAGCAAAACTGCTTTCTAGACTAAACTAGCAAAACTGCTGCCGAGGAAACTAGCAACAAAAAGATTCCCATTTGAATTTTGCAGGAGCCACGACTGGATCACTATATATATAGAACCACCAGGTGTTGTTTCCTGCTACTGCTACTGCAGGAGTAGCGGCAGCACCAGGCGCGTGTTCCGTAGAGAGAGACACAGAAAAAGAGAAAGGAAGAGATGTGTGTTTGTGTGTGTGTGTGTGTACCAGTGATGTGGGGTTCAACACAAAATATATTTTGCGGAAAATTTCAGATAAGGGCAGCCACTGCCAACTTCTCGAGGCCTCCCCATCCCTCTAAGAGTAAGGGCCCCTCCGCCGCAGAAGCGGGCAGCGCATTGAAGCTATGTGTCAGCTGTCGAAATTCACTGACTGACAGCAACCCCTCCCAATCTGTTGCTGCAGAGGCATCCTTATGAGCGGTTCCAATGCTGCCATCGTTCCTGCTACTGCTGCTGCCGTCGCTGCATCGCGCCACTCTACGGAAAGGGAGGCGATGATTTTCAAAGACGTATCCAAGTGTACGCCCAACCACGACACAGCACCTGGGTGCGCTCTTGCTAGCCATGCCCCTAGAGGCTTCCAGACTTTTCGCCGCTAGTTTTTGCAGGAAGGCAGCGTGTCGCAGCAGCGCTAAGTCTCCACTACTCCTGCTACTGCTTACACTGATACTACTGCTACTGCTGCTATTGCACGAGCAGCCAGGAGTGCCACAGCATTTCTTGGCGCTGCTGCCGCTGCCCCTGCCGCCGCTGCCCCTGCAGTGCGCGTCGCTGAGGTGTATGTACACCAGGAGGAGTCGCTTGCTGCTTTCGGAGAGGGCGCCAGCGAAGGCGACGGCAGTATCAACGAGGTGCTGCATGTCGGTGGAGCTCAACGGAGCATCAGTTCTGCCGCTGTTTCTGCTGCAGGGGGGTGTAGCGGGAGGCCGTAGCCGCAGCAGCTGTAACGAAGGAGCTTCCACCTCCCACGACAGCAAGGGGTGCACAGCTAGCGACAGAACCTGTACCGCTGGCAGCTGCAGCGGCAGATCCCTGCCGTAGCTGCTGGCTCCACACGTCAATTCCAGCACGCGAAGATGTGGGAGAAGGCGCAATGCCCGCAACAACTGCAGCCGCAAAATACATGCAGCCGCAAAACACATGCAGCCGCAAAACACATGCAGCCGCAAAACACAAGTCCTTTTAGGCGTTCAAAAATGGGCAGAACGGGGTGCACTGCAGTGTGGGACTGACGCGCGATACAACAGGGTACTGAATTCACGCTTCTCCTTGCATGCATGAAAAAAAAGGCAGCAGGCAGCTCGACCCGAGGGCACACACAAGGAGACTGTGTACATGCAAGCAGCAGCAGCTGCAGCTGCAGCAGCTGTCCATACAGCTGCTGCTGCTGCCGCTGCTAATATGCGCAGTCGCCTGTGCTCCCCACTTCGACAACCGCAGTCCTTCAGTGGCAACCTACGTCTGCGCTGGTGAGGCTGCAAGCTCCAGCGAAACGAATCTCTTGCAACGGTGCTGCAGCGAACAAAAACGCCGCTCTCGATTCTGGAATGCTGAACTCCCCTCCCCCCTCTCCTGGAACGGCAGCACGCCCTCTGCCCCCCCCGTCTCGCCCCTCTGCTGCTGTAGCTGCAGCTGCTGCTTTGCGGTCGATCGTAGCCTCTCCCGCTGCTGCCGCTGCTGCTGCTGCTGCTGCGGCGGCGGCGCAAAGCAAAGGGCTCTCGAGCAGCGCAGCCGCAATTTCTAGGAGGTGCTCTGCCTCCTGCTGCTGCTGCAACAATCCTCCTAAAGACTCTTCCACGGCTCCTTGCCGCTCCCTCAGCAGGCATCCCAGCGCCTCTGCTGTGCTGAATTCCGACGAACGCAACTTTTCTGATGCTCCTGTTGATGCTGCAGCAGCAGCCGCCAGAGGCCTCCCCAGACTCGCTTCTTCGCCTCTTGACACCGACCATCGCCTTTTGACTTCGCTGCTGCAAGAGCTGCTGCCGCTTCTGTTCGGCTTGTTGTTGCTGCTGCTGCCTGCTGCTGCTGCATGCACTGCACCGTTCGCCAGCACCATCAGCAGCAAGTGCAACACATCCGCCGCTGTTGCGGGTGGAAGGATGCCCAGTGTCAGCTTCTGCAGCTGCGGAAAGGCAAACTGCAGCACCACGCGAGCAACACAACAAGCAACGCAACAAGCAACACCAGCAATATAGAGGCAGTCGTAGCACAACACATTCATTGCCTCACACCAAAAAATGCGTGAGCTTCAGCAACCACACAAACGCAAGGCCGGGCAAACAACACACCCAAAACAAACCAACAACCAAATCAAACAACACACCCAAAACAAACAAACACCCAAAACAAACAAACACCCAAAACAAACAAACAAGCAAATCAAACAAACAACCAAAACAAATAAACACACCCTAAGCAAACCAACAACCAAATCAAACAACACACCCAAAACAAACCAACACCCAAATCAAACAAACAACCAAATCAAACAAACAACCAAAACAAATAAACACACCCTAAACAAACAAACACACCCAAAACAAACCAACAAATAAATCAAACAACACACCCAAAACAAACAACACACCCAAAACAAACCAACAACCAAATCAAACAACACACCCAAAACAAAAAAAGCAAATCAAACAAACAAGCAAATCAAACAAACAACCAAAACAAATAAACACACCCTAAGCAAACCAACAACCAAATCAAACAACACACCCAAAACAAACAAACACCCAAAACAAACCAACAACCAAATCAAACAAACAACCAAAACAAATAAACACACCCAAAACAAACAACACACCCAAAACGAACCAAGAACCAAATCAAACAACACACCCTAAACAAACAAACAAGCAAATCAAACAAACAACCAAAACAAACAAACAACCAAATCAAACAAACAACCAAATCAAACAACACACCCAAAACAAACAACACACCACATCAAACAACACACCCAAATGACACAAATACACCTGCCCCTCCTAGAGAGGCATCATTTCGCGAAGCCTCGCCAGAAGGCACCACAAAAGAGGGGCTTTTAACAGCAGGCATTGGGTGGAATGAGGGTAGACACTGTACCGCTTGCAAAGATTGAATGGCAGCAGGTGACTTCAAGTCGATAAGGGTAAGCGACTTCACTCCCCGAAGCCCTTGCAGCTTCTGCCTGCATGCAAATGACTCTCCCGGGGAGGCAGCAACGGCATCTGTGGCAGCAGCAGCAGCCACTGCAGGATTCTGCTGGTCAGCAGCTGCTTCAGCAGCTACCGTCCCCGCTGTAATGTAGTCGCATGTGCAGCAGCCACACAAACAGCAGCTGCTGCTCCTCTGAAGTCTTGGCAGCAGCAAACACAAGTCTGTGCTTTCGAATGCCAGAGTCAGACGAGACAGACGAGGGCACCGACGGCCTGCAAGACACAAAACTCCCAGTCGCTTTGAGTTATAGAGGGGCACTTTGTCTCTATTCCCTCATAAGTGTTTTGGAGATTGTGTCATGTAAGTGTTTTGGAGATTGTGTCATATAAGTGTTTTGGAGATTGTGTCATGTAAGTGTTTTGGAGGTTGCGTCATATAAGTGTCTTGGAGATTGCGTCATATAAGTGTTTTGGATATTTTGTCATATAAGTGTCTTGGAGATGGTGTCATATAAGTGTCTTGGAGATTGTGTCATGTAAGTGTCTTGGAGATTTTGTCATATAAGTGTTTTGGAGATGGTGTCATGTAAGTGTTTTGGAGATTGTGTCATATAAGTGTTTTGGAGATGGTGTCATATAAGTGTTTTGGAGATTGCGTCATATAAGTGTCTTGGAGATTGCGTCATATTGGTGTTTTGAGAGGGCTACCCCTACAAATACAAATACAAATACAAATACTATAAATACTACTGCAGCACCAGGAGGGTGCTGCTTTCTGCTTAGTATATATATATATATTTATACATATTTTTTTCACACGGTAACAAAAGGCAAAGGATCCGTGATGAGGAGCTTGAAAGAGGCTGTCCACTTACTGGCGGCGCAAAGCCAGCAGTGAATCTGATTTGCCTCTTGTTGATGAAGCCCTTCAACGGAGAGATCCTCCAGCGTCACTCCCAGACAGGAAATCAAGGGAACAGCTCCTGCGGGAGCTCTTAGAACGCGCAAGCGTCGCAGCCGCGATGCCAATTTGCTGCTAAAAGAAGGCAGCAAGAGCAAATCGGCCCCCCCCAGAAGATGCGTGGATCGAGGCGTCAAGGATGCCGTCGCTGTCACCGAATCGGGAGAATTCGCTGAGACTGCGGAGGGTGAAGGCATCGGACTGCGATTACTGGTGCTGTTCGTACAGCTCGTATTGGCTTGCGAAGATGTGCTGCCATGCTGTGTCACACCGCTGTTACTGCTGCTGCGGCTGCTGCTGCTGCTGCTGCTCCTGACAGGTGCACGAGGAGTCTTAGCCGAACAAAAGTCTGCAGTTTCTATGGGGGCATCCCATGCGGCACGCAGACATCCACGACTCACCAAAGATATGCCTGCAAACAACAGCAGTAGCAGGAGGTGCGGTAGTAGTAGCAGTAGGAGCAGTAGCAGGAGGAGCAGTAGCAGGAGCGGTAGGCGCAGTAGGAGTAGCAGTAAGAGCAATAGGAGCAGTAGCAGTAGCAGTAGTCGCAACAGCAGTAGCAGTAGGCGCAACAGCAGTAGCAATAGGAGCAGTAGCAGTAGTAGTAGCAGCAGAAGCAGTACCAGTAACGGCAGCAGAAGCAGTACCAGTAACGGCAGCAGAAGGAGTAGCACACCTATTATGTATGGTGACAAGCCGTAAAAGGCTTCCCACAGATATTTGGCAGCAGCAGCAGCAGCAGCAGCGGCACGCCACACGTAGCCAGTCCTAAAAGTGTAGGCTTGCATGCGTAGAAATACACCTTCCCCCCTTCGCAGCCAGAGACTGCAGTTCTAACGATGTCAACACTCACGCACCCCCAATGCGCTCCTCCAATGACAAGAAAGGGAGGCAAACTGGCAGAACCTGGAGAAATCGTTCGCTGCTGCTGCTGGCATGACTGGTGCTCTTGCAGCTGGCAATGCCACTGCTGCTCTCCCAGCATTCTTCAGTCCTGAGATGGAAAGAAGGAGAATCAACGGCAGACGAACAGGGAGGAGGCAGTCCCCACTCTTGTGCGTATCTGGAGGGAGGGGGAAAGGAGCTTCGCTTGCAGCAGCAGTAGCTGTTGCCTCCGAGTGCTGTGTTGCTGCCAGTGCCATAATTCCTGACGAGCACTGTGCAGCTGTCTCGAGGGGGGTGCCCCCGCTGAGACAAGTCCAGAGCAGTCAGTGCAGCGTTTGCTGTCGCTACAGCCTCTTGAAGAAGCTGCAACTCCTTCTCCCCCGCAACTACCCGATTCGCGCCATCCTGCCGATGCTGGTGACTGGTGCAGCGAGTTCGGATTTCTTGAGCAAGATCGAACAGCGCTCCAGCAAGAAATTCCACATTGCCTCTCGTCACGTCGGTGAGGACTGGTGCTTCTGCTGTGGCTACCGTCTCTGCTACTGTTTCTGGTACAGCTGTTGGTGTTTCTGTTGGTGTTTCTGTTGGTGTTTCTGTTGGTGTTGCTGTTGTTGCTGTTGCTGTTGTTGGTGCTGCTGCTATTGCTGCTGGCTCTGCTGTCTGCTGAGGTGTAATCTGTGTTGCAGAGAGCAATGGCAGTTTGGCGAGCTGCTGCTGCTGCTCCTGTGACTGCGCATTCATTTGCAAGTGGACAGAGCTCCAAAGGCTTCTTCTGCTGCTCCGTCTTGGCACTTCGCTGCAAGTGTGCGCGCCAAGAGGCTGGGCTGTCTCTCGAAGCCTCTATGACCGTTTTGATTCGTCGCACTGTTTCTTGCTGCTGCGGCTGCTTGTAGAACCAGCGATGCCGCCTGTCGCCCCCCCTGCGAGCCTTCTGTTGCTGCGCTCCCAACGGCAGCTGCTCCTGCAGAGGCTCAGTACAAACTCGTGCTGCTTCCGCGACTGCATGCCAACTGTGCGCAGCCGCAGTTCAAGAGACGCGCGGTCCCACTGCCGCTGAAGCTGCTCCTCTGCCACGGCTGCCCGTTAGTGAACCTGGAAGGCTATGGCTCATGGAGATCAGCGGATGACGCTTTTGCTGCTATTTGGCCTTGTGTGCTCCCAGTTACTACCGGTGTACTGTTATAGCGGCTGTCTGAGGAGCTTTGCAGTGCTAAACAGCCTCTGTTGCTGCTGCACTGCTGCTGCTGCTGCACCAGCAACGGCAGTTGGCCACCAGCATACCTGCAGTGTTTGCACTCCAAAATGGTCGAAAGATCTGTAATATTCAAATAGCAAGGAAATTCGCCTTGGATATTAGTTAGTCAGCACTGCACTCGGCAAGCCGAGAGATGCACGGGAGAAATCGTACCAGTTGCAGCAGCAGCTGCTGCTATTGCGGCTGCATAGTTTAGCCTCCCTTTGTGCTTCAATAGGCATATACATATTGCCGCTTCACTAACCTTCACCAGCTGTTACGTGCGTTCAGCACCATATTTTCACTTGAATCGCCTCTTCGTCTCACCGTCTTTGTCTTCATCTCCCTAGTGCAAGTGTCCACACTGCTGCCGCCTCTGTACTCTACGGGCTGTGTGCCTGAAACAGCATCGGCGCCATCGGGACTATTCAGAACTCCTGTATTCGCGGGCTTCCTTTTTCTTCGAGCATATTCTGCAACTTGTTTGCTGAATAGTTACACATTGTTGGCTCTATTGCACCGTGGGCAGCGGTTGCAACTCCCGTAGCAGGAGCGCGAGGAGAAGCATCGTTCTAAGCGGGAAGATTCATGAACGACATCCATCCCTTGAGAGACCCTAGTGATCTGTGCAGCAACGAAAAGCATCAAGAGTGGAGATTTTTGCACACAGAAACTATATGTACGGCAGGTTCTGCTGCAAAGCGAATTAATTGTAGCAACTGCGCATGAGCGGCATCGGTGTTACAGCACCACACGTCGAGTGCCTGGAGCACGTTCAGATTCTAAAGAGCAGCACAGGTTTAGACTGCTACTGAAAGCACCCGCCGTTTAGGGGGGTGCAACCATGGAGGTAGGGCATATTTGAGTGTTTTTGAACATGGGAATCCTGTCGACTTCGCGGATGCTTGCGAACACATATACACATTTTATGTGTATGTACTGTTGGTGTCGTGCACTGCGCGTGCGTTTCTGCTATTTCTGCATCTGTGTAGCCCCAATATATCTGTCGCTGCGGTTGCTGCTGCCATGCTCTCTCTGCGTGTGCACGTGTACAGCCCCTCGCTGTCCGCCGTAGCGGTTACTGGGAAGAGAGCTGCTCTGCATTCCGTCCATGAGTAACTCCAAGGCGCAGTGACCCTTGGCAGTTTCATATTCAAGAGGCTGTAGAGTAGCGCTCGTGCTGAGCTCAGGGGTTGGTGTGCGCGTGCAGTCTGTGGGAGAGAAAAAAGTTTCTTCGCCGTCAGTTGGCGGCACAGCTCTGGCTGTCCAGTGCAGTCCCTTGGCATCCGCAGCTCGCGCTGCAGCAGAAACTGCTGCAGCAGCAGCAACGGCAGCCGCTGGAGAACGCGGCAGGAGTTCCCAGCCGCGCCGCTGTTTGGATCTGTGTGAGCGTCGCTGGCCGATCTGCGAGCCTCAGGGGCTGGTTAGCCAGCTAGCCAAAGTGGCTGTTTGCAAGGATGGATGTCTCCTAGATACTGGTGTGAGAGAGTAAGCGGAGCACGCTTGCTGCACTTTTTAGAGCAGTGGCAGGCTGCGCCTTTGCCCAGAAGGAGTTGCTGCAGCGCGAGTTGCGGTTGCCGTGCGTCTGCAAGCGCAGGGAGGAGTGCACCACTAACTGCCAAAGACTCCTAAAAGGATCTCAGGTCGGTGTTCAGCTTTTTGCCAGTCAGTGAGCTCGCAACCTCCCGAGGTGGCCACTTAGCAGACTCACTAGCGAGCTAGCCACCACTATCTCCCCCTCTACGCTCAGAGCTAGCGGCGTGTTGGTGGGTCACGTAGTGAGTAGGGGCACCCACAAACAGCGATTTTCGTAGTTGCAAACACACACATACACACACCCATACACACATACATATACACACACATACATACACACACACACACACATACACACATACATACACACACACACAGCGGCCAACACAGCCAGCACCTTCAGAATCAGCTATGCAGAAAGCCGCCGGCTATATGTATATATGCCTACAACGCCACAAATCACGTGACAGGGGAGGGGGAATCACCAATGCTGACGCTTGTGCGTAGGCCTCCATTAGCCACGTCAGCCCGCATGAGGCCCTCACCGCCTGCATTGCTGGATGCCGAGGAAGATCCTTGTAAAAGAGTAGTCTTATTTCTGCACTTGTTGCAGAAGGCTTGCGATGGCTGCTGCGCTTCCACAGCGGCAATACGCCCGCCTTGCAGCAGTTCGGAGGGCCTTAGCAACCGCTTACCTTTCTGTTCTAAGCAAGCCCTACCCCCAGTCGCTCAGTCCTGTTGTAGTGGATTTTTTTGATACGACTTGTTCAACAGCCGTTGTTGTCGAGACGGTGACTTGTGGTCTAGACACTCTCAGGGGTAGGTAGGTAGGTGGGGGGAGTGCAGTGCAGCGGACGGGAAAAATTTCAAGTAGACATGACTCTACCTCGAGAAAAGCTAAGTAGCGTATACTCCTCAGATGTTTCGGACTGCCTGTGCAGCCGGATTTGGCTGCAGTTTTTCAAAGCTAGTGGTTGCTGGTATGCGAAGGCACCGATACTGCGGCAACTGAACCGCAAGCACAGCACGCGATAGAAGCAACGCCCTTCACGTGTAATCTCAGGGTCGTGCAGCCTGCCAGGCACACTACTGCTTGCTTCCGCCGTGCAGAAACATGAAGGCAGCAGCAGCAGAAGCCGCCGCAGCTCCGCCACAGGCGCTGCAATGCACAGCGACAAAACACAAGCTGCAGTGTGCCTGCCTAGCAGCTGCGGTGCTGCTGTCGAACCCTCTAAGTGCTCTTTCGCCATGGAAGGCTTCTTTGCACGGGCTATTCGCCTTCGGATCTCTCCGGAGAGATGAGGGGATACATTTGACTCATGTATACGACGATCCAGCTGCACGCAGAAACCAGGAGGACACCCCAAGGGCTGCATGCAAACGCTTGCTCATGCCCATCTCTCCCCAGGCGACAGCAACAACAGCAGTGGCAAGAGAAAGCAGCTGCAGCCTCAAAAAGCAACGGCCCTGCGGCGGGAGAGACGCGTGTCATACGTACAAGAGCCACAGGCAGATGACAGTTGTTGTCACCAAAGAGAACATCAGCCTAAAATCGCAAGGTAGCAACAGATGGAGGGCAGAGAAGGATCAAAAGGTTTCCTGAGCCAAGAACTGCAGAAGGCGAATACAGCAAAAGCCCTCCTGACACAGCAAACAAGCCCCTTCCCGAGCCTGGCGAAATTGCATCGAGATAGTGGGGGCACTCAAAATTCATCAAAATTGACGGGGCACCCCCTCACGACAAGCATACAATCTATTGCAAACAAACTCAAGGCACGCCCTCGTCCTCTGTAACAGACTTGAATAAAATAGCCACGAGGCCACCTTCCTGTACACCCGGGTGGCAAGCGCTCCGTAAGTACATATTTAAGCACAGGCAGAAACGCACGGCAGCACGAAACGAGCAGCAAACTGCATGAAGGCGCCTTACTTGAGCATTTCACCCTTTGAGAGCGTGCTAAGGTTATGAGGTCTTAAGAGAAACGGGGGGAGGATAGCGCACAGTAGAACCCCTAGACCAGCAAAACACAGTGTGCCGATCCACAAGGCTGCAAATGCCATTCTCAAGAGGCCTAGGCAACGAGACAAAGAAAAGGTGATGCGAAAGGGCGGGAAGGAGGCGGCAGAAAGATGACGCAAGCAGGCACTATCTGCACAGCACGGTGGTGTATGTATGGACCGCTGAAGCGCGTGGCGACCCCTTCCAGAAGGTGCACTCGCCAAGCTTGAGAGTGAATCGCTGGACAGCTCCTCTGCACAGGATGGTGGTTTGAGTGGCAGTAAACAAGCACCAGCGGCGCCAGGCTGTGAGTCGATCCCCTGAGCCACAATATTCTAGGTGCTAGTAGGAGGGTGGTTGGTTGGGATTCTGCACTCGATGTACAGCTGGAAGATCCGTGGATGGAGAAGACCACCCCTGCCGCAGGCTGCTACAGCTGCTGTTTTGGATTATGCTAATGCTCTTTTCCCTGTAGTTCCTTGAGCCGCTTCAGCGGACTCAGGTGGTGCAGGATACGACTGCTTCTTCGGTGTCTGCACTGGCAGTTGAGCAGGCTCACCCTGGTGGCTGCACCTAGGACCGCGAAACTATCGAGGGATGGGCAGATACGTTGCCGATATTGCTGCTCCTGCAGCTATGTAGGACCCCTAGAGCCGCAGCAAAAATATCGGACAGGTTTGAATGCTCAGGCATTGCACACCAGCTGGCGCTGCGGATATGCCGCTAATGCCCAAGAACCCGTATCTCGCCGAATCTCTAGAAGCAACTGCCGAGGTTACAGGGCAGTCTAACGCTTTAAACAAGGGAAATATATTCTCTCCTGTTGGCAAAGCAGCAATAGCTGCTGCATCTTCGCTCTACGGTAGCCGCCATGGGCCGTGAAAGCCCCCAGGGCTGTAAGTACACATGGTAGGCATGCCTGTCACCCTTGATGGCACATCCTAGGCGTCAGACTCTTCCAGATGCTGTCTTTTATCCTAAATCCCAGGCTATTACTTTTCACGAGCGACAATCGAGGGCTTTTGATGTGAGGAAACTTCATGAGAACTGCGGTCGCAGCTGGAGCAACAGAGCGTCGGTCGAGGCGGCGCTCATTCCTGAACTTGGCTAAGAAATGTGTTCCCTCCATACTTACCAAAGCTATATGAAAGGCAAAGAATTTCCAGAAGACGCTTCATTTCATCATGGGGGTGCCCGGCTTAACGCCTTTACGTGTGTCACAACTTCCATTCAATGGCTCGCTGCTACTGCCAGTGATGGAGCTGTTTGCATGTTTGCCTCCAATGCTTGCTCTGCTGCAGCTGTTCGTTCATTTTTTCCTGTTACTCCTATTGCTACTGCTGTTACTGAACCACCTTTGTTGCCTCCCCCAGACTTCGGGGGCCTACCTGGGCAGGGCATACTCCTTGTAGAGGGCAATGCTGCATTAGAATGCTTTCTACCACAGTCGTGACAATTAATTAAGAGTTAGTAGAGTATTGACTAGTTGGTTTGCCAGTTCGTATATCTTATTTATTGCAGAGTACCGCTAGCTCGCTACACTAAACAGCAACATTGTGTCTATGGGCATTTAGATGCGATGCACCCTTCACCTCAAAATATATTTCCTCGCGTTCTGTACCTGTAATTTGAAACCAGCTGCCTGCAGGATAATGGCAGAGTCGCCGCTTTCGAGGCTACCAGAAATGCCAAAACAGTCCAAAAAACAGGTGTACATGTAAGCATCAACCGGTAAAGTGAAATTGACGGTAAGAAAGAAGCACACACTGGCCAACAGCCAAAGGGGCACCAAGCCAACCCGTTCGCGGCAGCGCTCGATTCCACTAGCGCACTGAAACGGCGTGAGCCTTCTACTACAAAAAATACAGGAGATGAGTAAAATGTGTGAAGAAAAGCGATACGCACTAGCCCAGAAAGGTCTCTGCCACTCGTGGAGCAATGTCTGCGTGCATATACAGTCGGTGGATGCAGCAGAGTGTGTTTCAAGATCCCCAATAAAGGCCTAATGAAGAATGTAGGGACGAACTACCTGAGTATGCCTTCGGGTAAATTTGAGTGTAGATAACACCTAGACAAAAATATCCCTTAACATTTGAGGTAATGCCCGTGGGTGAAGGTCGCTATTTCAGGCAGAGCGTGCAGTGGGGAAGGAATTTAGCCAAATAGCGTGCGAGATACTTGGTGTTCACACCGATTTGCCATGCTAAGCAAACACAGCCGCCATTTCCCTGCAGCTAACTAAGTTCACAATTGTTTCTCGAAACATACAGTTAATCAGCACTTATCAAACAAACTTGCTCTCCTGAGCTTTGCACATACACTTGATCGCACTAGTCAGTTTTTTACTAAGTCCCTTCGCTGCTAGGGGTGGTGGCTGACACTGGACCACCCGGTCCAGGCCCCATGCAGAGATTCTTCTCTTCCAAGGGCATCCCAGATGGGGGAGGGCAACTAGTAGACGAGTGCACTACTGTATTGCTAACATGTTCAGCATCAGAAATAAAACGAAGCAAGCACTTGGGTTCTGTGAGCATAGAGTCGCAAATACTGCGGAGGCGTGCGATCAGTGGGCTTTGCCTGTCCGTGCACCTCAGGGTTGTTAGTAGCGGAGATTTTATAATTAGCGCGGAGGCGGATGCTAAAGGCAAAGCAAAACGCAATAACAAAATCTTGATATCTACCTGTAATAATACGTCCGACACGAGCTATAAAATAAGAATCAAGCGACGTCCTGGGCCGTGTTAGAGCTGGAGTAAGCAGTGAAAAGGGCATGTTTGCTGGATCTGTAGACAACGACGTAGATGCTATCCTGGCCCGACATCCGCTAGTCAAACATAAAAGTTCATTGTCAGAGGAGCCCGCATCCTCTCAGGAACCACAAGGCTCTGCAAAAGCCTGGCGTAGGAGAACTGCGTCACTCTGGCTGCTGAGAATCTAGCCACAATTGTGCATGGTCTCTACGGTGGGGTGCACCCAAGCCACCAGACGGACTGTGAAGCTTCTTTTTGCAGTGGGATTCCCACTGTCGCCTCAAAGTGCATGGTTGCATGCTTTTTGCACAAAACGACACTGCGGGGCTGTAAGCTGGAATGTCCAACCGGTGGAGTCCGCTCTTGCTTTGAAGCACAGAAAGCCACTCTCGACGTGGCGGCAAGTTATATACACTATGCTCCTTGCATTGCTGTATATAAGTGTTCTGAATGAAGTGCTGAACCTCTTATTTGCCGACTGCATGTGCCACGAACGTGTTGGCTTGGTGCCCCTTTGGCTGTTGGCCAGTGTGTGCTTCTTTCTTACCGTCAATTACACTTTTCCGGTTGATGCTTACATGTACACCTGTTTTTTGGACTGTTTTGGCATTTCTGGTAGCCTCGGAAGCGGCGACTCTGCCACTATCCTGCAGGCACCTGGTTTCAAATTACAGGTACAGAATGCAAGGGAGTATATTTGAGGTGAAGAGTGAAAGAAGTAGCGGGCTAATTTTACACTTGAACACCTTGCGTATGCGCGAAGTGCTATGTGCAAGTAGCGGTGAATGCTCCGAACGTTTAAGGCTTAGCCGAATGCACCTTAGCTGTTTCTCTTTTCTCGTATCGGAGTAGTCCTGAGGAAATGTGGAGGGGCGGAGTGATGAAAAACAATGATGAACTTTTCAGTGGGCTTGTGGTAAGTCGTCAATTATTTAGTGCCTTTCTCCGGTAACCCCAGATAAGGCGATTGAAAAAAGTGCTGGGCACAGGTGCCCCGTCGCCAATGCACCCAGAAGAGAAGCCCTTGTGACTTTAGAGAAGCGTACGCGTAGAAACAGAGAAAGACGCTACCTGCACACCAAGGTGGACGCGTTTTCTGCCCATTGATCGACGCCTCCTGGTCAATACAAGACTAGTCGAATTATGCCTGCAGAGTTTCTGCGCTCTAAAGGCGTTCACACGCGCATGCGTGCAACGCCACAGCTCCTCCTGCAGTCCTAAGCGTATCAGAGGGCTTGCCAGACGGCGGCCCCTCTAAGTTAAGTTCAGCAGCCAGCCAACACGTGCCCTTGTGCAAGAATTCAATGTGCATTGCAACGAAAATGCATGCCAGCAGCCGAAATAGCCCTCTGTTGAAATTGTGCAGGCGCGCAAACAAGCGGGAAAATGTGCCCCTACCCCACCTGCTGCACATGCAGGAGAGCGGCGCATGCACCCGTCCCCACACGTGCCGCTTTCTCTGTCTGCAGCCGAAGAAGTTAGTCTGTTTTCTTGCCGTTTAGCTGCGGCTCTTGCTTCCGCCTCCTGCGGCAGTGCAGTGCCCAACGCACTTTGGAAAGCCCCCATTGGGCGGCGTTTGCAGCATCACTGGCTGCTGCTGCTGCTTCAACAGCGAGGGCATCCCAGTCACAAATGTTGCAGCAAACGAGGAGGCCAACAATAAGGGCCAGGAGGAGGCAGCAGGCAACCCATACAGCGGTTGCCACTTGGCTATACACCCCAGCGTACAGAAACTCCACAGCAGGCCGTCTCAAGGGCAGCACAATCAGCTGCCCGACAATTCTCCTAAGCCAAGTTCCTTCACGCCACCAGTCGTATCCTTCGGCATGCTGCTGCAGGTGCTCCAGGTCCTGCTGCAGCTGCCCTTCAAGGCTTTCAAGCGTCAAACGCCATCTGTCTCTGAGATAGAAAGCTGGCTCCATGAGCGACAAACCCCAGCCCATCTCGCTTTGCTGTTCGCTCTGCTGCCTCTGCTGCTGGAAGAAGGCAAGGGAGGGCTTTTTGTCCACCACGAAGACGGGAGAAAACACAATGACAGCCGGCAATTCTGCGGTTGCATAGACCCCAAAGGATTCCAAAACATCCCCAAAAGAAACGCCATCAAGCAATGCAAAGCAAAACGGCTTTCTGTTCAGTGGCGCTGCCACCACGTTTGCTGCTCTCGCTGCTTCTTCGGGGTCTCCTGCTGCTTCTGCTGACGCAGCTGCTGCCGCTGCCTCAAAAAGAGGCTTGTACGTTACGCTAGTGATCGTAGAATAAAATTGCTGCACCTGGTGCTGTGCCTGCTTCATCATGAGCGCAGCCGCCTGCTGCATCCTGTCCTCCCGCTGCAGCCGCTGCTGCAGCTGTTCAGACACCCCGAATATATCGTATGCGGCAATCATCGCAGGGCTGCTGCTAGAGACCTCTTCCGCACCGACTCCTAGCTCCTGCTGCTCCTCTACAACAACACCCGCTAGTTTATTAGCGTTCGCCGAGGCTGCAGCTGCCGCTGCAGCATTAACAGCGAGGCTCACGAGCAGGCAGCCTCCTCGGCGGTCCGCTGTTGCCTCAGCTAGCCGAAGCGCGAGGAAATTTTCCTCGGAAATGAAGGCTAAAACGGGGTGCTGATAGACCTCTAGAAACTGCTCCACTGCAGCTGCTGTCGCTACAGCAGCGCCCGCAGCTGGTGCACCTGTTGCTGCCGACTCAACAAGGTCACTTGCAACTGCTCCCGCGTGTCTGCAGCCGCCATTCATGACTGGAGCAAAGAAATCGTAAACCTGAGCTCGCAAAAGGGGCATGCAAATGTTTTTGCTGCTGCGGTGGGTGCTGAGGATCTCAACGGCCTCAAGGGCGAGCTTTCTCTCCAGGCTGTTCTTCCATTGTTCACGCAGCCAAATGGTCAATTCCTGCTGCTGCTGCCTCTCCACCGCTGAGTCACTAGACCCGCCAGTGCCTTGCTGCTCATCCGTATCGGCTGCAGCAAGGGGCTGCAGCGCTAAAAGGACGAAGTCTTTGGTTGCGGCGCTGCTGCTGCTGCTACTACTTTCGTCCCTGGTGAACTGGGAGCAAAGCTGCAGATCCGTTGAAAAGAGGAATAGATTTTTTCGAAGAGATGCGCAGGAGCTCCGCACAAACGTGGTCAGTGCAGCATGCCTCTCTGCTGCTGCATCAGATGCAGCAGAAGCAGCGGCAGGAACAGGCACTGCTGCATCGTCAGAGATCATCGACGCGGCTTCTGTCTCTGGCGGTAAACACAGCAGAAAGGAGGGAGCTGAACTGCCTATCTGAGCGTCAAAATGCAAAAGATTAACCGAATCGCGGCTCCAGACCTGCACAACACAGGAGGAACCTCTAAGACTGGTCAGTCTTGCGTCTGCAGGTGTCTCTGCTGCTTTGTGAATGATTTCTGAGGCTGCAGAGAAGGGTGAGGCGTATCGCAGTAGGAACTGTACGAATGCCTTGGGGCGCGGGAAAACTGTTGGACTGAAGGCGGCAACCACAGCAGCTTCCGTTACTGCTGCCGCCTCCTCTGGAGTGTATGTATACACCACATCTACTGATGCGGCAGCAGCGGCAGTGTCAGCAGGCTGCTGCAGAAGCAAAAATGTCGGGAACTCTTTTACACCCAATGCTTCAGAACAGAGAGCAGCCGAGTCACCGTCCGCTTCGCAATCGAATTCTCGAAACGATACGCTGGGTAGAAGCAGCGGTTGCTGTTGTTGAGGGTGTTGGTGGCCCTTCTGCTGCTGAAAGGCATGGCGCTGAGATTCCACAACACGTGAGTATTCGGCTGCAGCCACCCGGAAGGAGGCAGAGACACGGGTCCAGGGGCGAGAATCTTTGCTTGTAAAGGCAACAAACAGCAGAGCGCCTCTAGCTGCTGCAGATGATGCGGGTGTCTCGGTTTCTGCATGTGCGTGCGCTGCTGTTGCTGCATGCAGTGTGACCCTCAGTTCTGAAACTGTCAGCTGGTCCACAACACTCGAAGTAGCCGCAGCAACAGTAGCCGTGAGGAAGCTACAAAGCAGCAGAATGATCTGCATCCTTTTCTTGCAAGTTGTAGGTACACCTGTTGCCGTTGCTGAGGCTTGAATCAGCCAGAACCACGAGCCATATGTGTGTGCGTCGAATCAACCGGGGAAAGTGCAACTGTTTCCTTCGGCCGCATGCATGAGCATGGCAGCAGCTGTTAATTCAAGCAGGGTAGTGCCGCCACTGCTAGTACTGTTGCTCACAATTCTGCCCGTGCTAGCCCTGCTGACCCAGCAGTGGCACTGCATGAGCTACTGCTGCTGATCTTCCGTTTGCCATGAGCGAATACACCCGATTTGTACTTCTTTCATGATACTGTTGTGACTATGGTGATTCTGTTTTCTGCATTGACGTTTTCATTGAGCGCTGCTGTGGGTGTATGTCTGTCTGCTGCAGCTGCCGGTGCTCACGCAAGGGGCATTGCCGCTATTGTTTTTACTGCGAGCCGGCTCACCGAGAAGTTCTCAAGGCATATCCGATCGAACTCATGACAGGAGCACTTGATTTTATGTTGGCGGGCTTTCAAATTGGAGATGCGAGGCCCTGCGCAGGGGGTCTGCAGTGTTTTGGTCGGCTGTGCTCAGCTGGCTGAGGGTGTAGAGGGGGTATTCGATTTTGTCCACCCTGCCCAGCACACGATCCTTTGGTTATTTGCTTTTAAGTGTTCAAAAGAAAGCTGGATGGTGACAGCCGCATGCATCATTGGCTGGCTCGGTGTGCCTGCCGCCGTCCCCCGCATGATGATGTTGCGACTGCACGCTGCAACCAGACCGGTGTTGTTGCTGCTGCTCTTACATCTGCCCCGCCCCTCTTCGCCCTAGACTTTGATACATTTTAGGACGAACCTGTCATTTATATTTTCTTTCACCATTGCGGACACCCCTGCATATTAATCCCCTGAGTGGCCTTCAGAAGCGAACAGCCGAGCTCCCGCACAAGTATCGATGCGTTCTTGTAGCTTATCAAGATGCACACGGACAGAGAGTCTTCTCCTTACTCGGTCTTCCCCTTAACTTCTCACTTGTGTCGATAGAATTACGGGCAAGCGGTGGTGATACTCTGATCAAACTGTCCATGTTAGGGGAAAAACACAGAGCTCTTGCCTTGCCGCTGGTGGGGAAGAAGCTGTTCTGCCGCTGTCACTTGTGCTGGCTTCCGCCCATGTATGCATTTTCGCGTCCGGCACTTCCGTCCCAAGTGCCTTCACCAGTGTTGCTGTATCTTCCAGTAACGGCAGTAACGGCCTTGGATTGCCGGCAGCGCACATGTCGCCCCTACGGCACGGCACTGCCAGTGCCCGAAAGAGTTAGGGGCTGACTTTCGAATTCCCTAGGAGGTCTCACCACAGTGTATATCTATCCTGTGGGAAATGCACTGGTCAGAAAGCTGTCCTCGCCGGATCCTCCAGACGGGCAGGAGGCACGCATTTATTCAATCTACCTCCAAAACACGATGAAACAGGGGCAGGTCCCTCCTCTCTTACGTCGATTGGCGATATCTGGATACCCACAATATTTCATGAGCAGAAAGCAAGTGGCTGAGCAGGGTGAATCTTGTCAGCCTTCGCTTTTTACTCCGTACCACACTGGGCACTGAAGTGCACCAGAAAATGTGTCACTCAGAAACTTTCTAGTACACTAGTGCTGCGTGGTAGAGTCAGTCCAACACGACAAGAAGCAGTGATGATGTGTGGCTGCGCCTTATAATTTGGTTTTACATGCAACCAGGCATGAACTAATGCTCGAAGTGCTTAGAGATTGGGCTTCAACCCGTACCTTAGTTCTCTGCCCCTCGCTCCGAGACTCTAAAGAAGGAATACAGGGGAAGAAGCGAGCTTTTGGTCGGAGGGGGATACGAAAGCTTTCTCTTATCATGATTAGGGATAAGTGTCTCTCTACAAGGATCCTAGAAGGAGCATTACAAAAGCCACCAACTCGCGCTACGGCAGGTTAGGCGAAATGTAGGGTGCTTTCCCTTTTCTAGCACTTCTACCCGAGTGCATGCGCCCATTCTCTTCAGTCCCTTCTAGCCAAAGATGCTTTGAGGCCTTCGCATAACGTCAGTACCTGATGAGCTTCTCCCTGGTCTAAGTCCTAGTTGGGCGATAAAATACATATCGTGCCGTCTCCTGCTGCCTCCAAGGAATTAAAGGGAGGTCCTTCTTCCTGGACACTCTCTACATAGGCATGTGTATATAGTGAATTCGCTGCACGTGCTCATGACCTACCCATACTACAGATTACTTGAGCGAAACATGCAGAATTTAGAGTTTGAAGAAACACGCCAACCAACAAGGACCCCGAGCAAAAATGCCAAGTACGGATACTACCTATAGTCGGGCACAATCGAGAGCACAGGACCCTGTATTGCACGTTGTCCGCATGTATGTTCATATGTATACATATCTACCTGCGAACATTGATCTAGAGATAGACTTATATACATATAGGTACAGATCTACATGCATACGTCTTGGAAACTGCATACAGCAGGTGCCCTGATGCCGTAACCCCGGGCAGTCGCGTGTCTAGACACATCGAGACCGCGCAAAATCGAGATGCACCACATCTAAAACACATCTCAGTATCTTACGCGTTGTCATCACCACTTAATCTGCCAGATTTATGAGCGATTTCCGCAGCTGATGATGCGGAAGTTAGGGCTAAAGCGGGAGGAGCGGGCAGGTAGACCTGCATGGTTTCAAGAAAGTGCTTCCAGCAGCAGTAGGCGTGCATAAATATAAATAAATAAATATATATATATATACGCAGTATTAGCAGCCTCGCAGCAGCAGCAGCAAGTGATGCACTATCTCCAGTTGAGCTTGTAAGAATTGTCGATTCCCTGTACTTTCTGCCGCTTCTTGACGAGATCTTCGTCTCGGCGCTCCTCCCTGACGTGTCGCAACCCCGTAAAGGCACGGTGGTCAATTTCCTTCTTCTTCAAACCCTCCTGAAATCCACCACAGCCCCAAGCCACAAAGCATGCGCTGCCAAGCATAAGCCACGAAAAGCATGTCATACAGGAGCCAGACGCGTACTCAGGCGTGTGGTGATGGCTGCATTTAAGATCAACCACACAATTCCTCAAAGACGAGCGCCGCATGCAGACAGCCCCAGAAGCTGCAAACGACCGACAGCAACACTCCCCAAGAGTGCCTCTGCAGCAAAGCGGCACAGACTTGTGCACCTCACCTGATACTCTCTCCAGCTGCCTACGCGTTCATCCCGCTTCTTCACCCATTCATTCCTCTCCCTGCACTTTTCTTTCTCTTCTTCAATCAGCTTATCCTCCTTCTGAAACAACCCCCCCGCAACACACACACATACACTTTGAAACGCCACGTTATGGGGGCCCTTTATACGGCACCTCTCAGTCGCGCATGCACACCGGCACGCAGTCAAAGCACACCCACCGACTTAGGCACACACACACACACATAGACGCCAATAGAGTCTACAGGCGTAAGCGCTTACGTCATAGAATCTAGGAATGCACATACCTCTCGCTCATACTTCTCATTGGCGGCTTTACACTTGTCTGCGTAGTCCTTCTTCTCCTGGATTTCCTTCAGCAGCGCCTCGCAGCACTCAAAGACAGCGCCACGAAGGGCATCCAGCGTCTCGGGCAGCAGTTCTTGGCCAGCTGTGTCACAAGCAGCTACACTCTTATATCGGCGTTTTGTTGCAGTCCTCCACGGATACACCGCAAAGGTCATGCAGCAAAAAAGCTCACACAGGTGCATATACATATATGCATGCATATATACATATACATATACACATATGAATATACATACGTATATATATATATATGCACACAGCTCTAGACTTGTGCATTCCACGGCTCCCCCTCGTGCCCCTCTGCACAGAATTCACAAAAACAGCAAGCCTTATCAGTCTTCGTCAAAATCCTCGTCATTTCCCCACCGCCACTCCCTGCCCCTCCTCTAATGCCCCCAAAAGGCTGACCAGCTCGCCGTGCCTTGTTTTCTTGCACTCTCTGCTTCAACACGCGCTTCTTTGCTTCCTCAATGACACCCTCGTATCGCTGCCGGACGCCTTCTTCCTGCACCTTCTCGTATGCCTTATTCACGACTGAGCAGACGCGCATGCAAAAAGAAGGGAGCAGCAGCGGACAGCTGCAGAAAGGGGCAAAATGCAGCCGCGAGTGACGCTTTGCGCCAGCAGGCTGATGCAAGGCACTGCAGCAACACGGGCGCTTAGCACCAGCCAAAACAACAGACTCTGTGCAGCAAGAGCACCTCAGATGCAGCGGACCAAGTACCTTGAAACGCTTCCTGTGCAAGTTCATGTTTGCACTTGTCAGGATGAATCAGCAGCGACAGCTGAAGAAATCAGCACAAACCCGGCCTGCGCATATATGCGTTGAGTGGATCGGTGCCATGAAGACTTCTTTCTCATGATGAACGAAACAGAGGGAAAACGCAAGGAAAAAAAGTATTTTCTAGTGCCGAATGTGGCCCCTAGCCAGCCTTCCTCGGGTATACATTTCATGAGTAGCTCCCAGTTCCCATCCTCAAAAGACCACAGCCTGTGTGCCTCGTATATGCCAGATCACTCACCTTGCGATACTGCCTCCTGATATCCTCCTCCGTAGCATCAGGGGTAAGAAGGAGCACTTGAAAGGGCGAAACAAAGACCTGGGAGGTTAGCCGCACGCATTCGGAGGTAGCATCCCCGAAAGCAGCCACCACTACTTTGGCAGTCTTCGCCTGCGCAACTTCGGAAATTGTCTTGCCTTCGAGTGCTGCAGCAGCCGCAGCGCGGCGAGCTGTGCAAACAAGCAAACATACATACATTCATACATGCATTCATACATACATACATTTTATGCATACATTTTATGCATTCATACATACATTCATACATACATGCATGCATACATACATTTTACGCATCTATTCATGCATACATACATTTTATGCGCTGATACAATGATACATACATACATTCATACATACATTTTATGCATACATACATTCATACATACATGCATACATACAGACATGCATACATCCATTCATACGTCCATTCATACATGCCTTCATACATACATACGTTCACACATACATACATGCATGTATTCATACATACATACAGGTGGAAGGCAGAGAAGGGTAAGACGCCATGCCCAGGAGGGCTTTCTCTGCCTGCCGCTTCTCCTCATGGCTGCTTTTGTCTATGCGCGTATCAACGCGTGACGTTCAATCCATTGAAATGACGCTCTTACTTTGGGGGTTCGATGTGGGAATGCGCTCCAGTTCAGTCATGAAAGCGGCAAACGCATCATCCAGGTGACCCTGATCCTGCGTGTCGCTGCTGCCTGCTGCATCTGCTGCAGCTGTTTGCTCTTCTTCCTTCAAAAATTCCTCATACGAAGGAAACTTGAAGCCAGTAACTTCCCCCTCAGCACTGTCATCTGGGGGCAGATCTCGAGCTGCAGCTGCAGCCGCCAAGTCAAAGCCTCGGCACGTCGCGCTCGCGCCATTGCTGCTGCTGCTGCTCATGCCCATCGCCTTAAGATAGCGTTCTGCATAGTTGATTGATTCTTTGGAGCCTCCTTCTGCTGCATCCCCTGCGCAGCAGGAAGGCGCTTTGTCGCTGCTACTGCCGCCGCAGCAGTGCGCAGAGAAAGAACTGCCTTTTGAGTCATTAACCGATGCATCGGGAGCTCCCGATACACCCCGCTGCACCTCTCCTGCAGCCGCCTTTGCGGCTGCCCCTTCCGATGATGCGACCGCAGCTTCCTCTTTCCCTTCCCCCTTTACCACTGCCGCATCCCCTCCTGCAGCCTCTGCCATTTCGGCAGCTGGAACTTCCTCCTTGGCAACTGAGGCAGCGGCTGATGCAGCAGAAGGATTCTCGGCAGTCCCCATGGGCGCCATCTGCCTGCCGTTTCTATCGGCGATTCTCAACGGATTCCTTCAGAAAGCGACTGGTGGCAGTGCCCCCTGCAGCTGTTGCCACCCCCCTTTTGAAGCGGTACATGCACAGTAGACACATGCAGCGGCTGCCGACTGCGCCAGATGGAGGCGCTTCTCTGCCGTTCTTTCGGTGAATGCTGCACCGCCGCTGGTCCAATAATCCGCCCCTGTCTCTGCTGGAATGACTTCTACACTTGTCGACCCCATTCGTAAACAGCAACCTCCCTAAATAGGCCAAGAAAATTCCACCAGACGCGCAGGGGAGAGCCGCGCAGGCTGCAGGGTGCATGCGCCGAGGACGCTACACAGGAGGGATCTTCCGACATCGAGCACCACTGCTGCCCCAGGTGCGCCATTCGCTCCTAACTGTAGCCACTCCAGCGTTCTGTTTATTCAAAATTCCCAATTGGTAGCCGAAGTTTTGCGACTATTCTTCCCCAAACCCGGAGCCACAGCTCCCCCAGGGGCCCCCCCCTAGGGCTTGCAGGGGCCCCTCCGCGCGGTCCAAGGGGCCTTTTCTCCGGATTTTTTGAGCAGAAAACTCTAAAATGGAAGTTTTCACGCGGCTCTCGGGAGCTCCGCCGCTTTTTACTCGTGCACCTGCATGCGCTGCACCACGCAGGTGCCACCCCCTTCCGTGCAACTCCTCCCGCAGGTGTACAGCCATGCAAACATCGGCAGCTCCCGTCACCCACCCCGTATGGCCCCCCTTCGGCAGCCTGCAGACCAAAGGCTGCGAGGATGGCCTCTCGTCCGTCTCGCAACGCCGTCACTATTCTCGTGCTGGAGGCATGAGACATCCACGAGCAAGGTCGGTGTCGGCATAGACCTCCCAGTTGCACGCTGCGTACTGCCGTCAGCGTCTGACTTTCTGGCGTTGCTTGCAGCTGAAAATCCATGCACACGTCGACTCCTGGCCCTTGCTTGAGCTCCTTTTTACCCTACGGAGAAGCCTCCTGCTGCCGATGCTACTTGTGTTCTGTTGCGCACTCCTCGAGAGCCGAACGAACGACGGCCAAACTCCTTGTCTCTCTCTCTCTCTCTCCCGATTTCCCCTTTCTCCCGTCGCTACGCTGGAGTCGCTCCTCAGAACCCTCTTCAGGCCCCTGTTGCCTCAGGGGGATGCTGGCGATTGTATTGCAACCTGTGTGTCGCATGACGCGCTGCCTGCGCTGCAGGAGAGCTTCCACAGATCCGGACGTGCTCAACAGGAAAGGCGTTTGGGCTTTGGAGCGACGCACGTACCGCAGGGGGTTACTGCAGCTGCTCCTTCAACACAAGACACGGGCTGCTGCATTCGCTGCCATTGCATCTGCACTTCCACACTGCAGTAAGGTCCCACCCCTTCTCCCTGCTACTGCCGCCTTTGTGCTGGCTGCTTCGTCAGCGCTGTACAAACTTTTGCTCGACGGCCTGGAGGTGTCTGCGCCTTCTTTGCTGTTCCCTTCAGCCCCCTTCCTCCCCCCTTCTCCGGTGTAGGTACAAGCCCATACGCACCGCAGAATGATCCGGAAGTTTCGCGCGCTGCCCTTCTGCAGACTCCCGCTGCAGATGCCTCCCCTTCGCTTTGTGCTGTCTGCGCTTTCTTGCAGTCCATGTGCTTTCGCTACCGGGGCCGTTCACGCTGTTCGTTCCTGTAGACACCGGATTCGAGTTCTCCCTTTCCCCCAACTCCTTGCGCAAAGTCGCAGCGCGGCTGCAGCTGCTGGCAGCCTCTGACCCTGCAACTGCTGCCTCTCTACAGTGCTATGCGTTTCCCGCCTTCCCACGCCACCTTGAACATCCAGAGATGGAAACGCTGCTGCAGCAGCAGCGGCAGCTCACACCCGCTGCTGCCGCAGCAGCCGCAGAGGCCGCTCGGGAGAAACTTGCGCTGCTGATTAAGGCGCACATCGTCCCTGGAGCGCTCCCGCTAAAGCGCATCCTTACACATGTGAGCGAAGCCTGCGAAAAATGCGCACCACGCAGAACCGCCTGAATCCGCTTGATCGCCTTTGCTGCTGCTGGCTTGTTGCCGCTGTGCCGCTTCTGGGTACACGCGTGGACACACCTCGAGAAGCAAGCAGAGGGGCAGTAAGGCGGATGCTCTGCGGTGAGATGCGCTGCTTTGTCTAGCCTTCTCAGGATCCTGCGGAAGCAGATGCAGCAGCAGCAGACAGCAGCGCTGCTGCTGGCTCTGCTGCCGTCACCGAGCTGCATGCGTTGCTGGGGGGTGCAGGCGCTGGGGCTTTCGCTGTAGGCCCCTCTTTGGGGGGAGACCTCCTGAGAATTCGCAAAGAAGTGTCGCTTGCGACTGCTGCTGCAGCGCTGCGCACTGGCAGCAGCAATATTTCGCCGATCGTGCTGCAGCAGCACCAGAGACAGCAGCAGCCACAGAAGCAGCAGCAGCAGCTTGGACAAGGTTTGTTCAGAGTGTATGTTGAGGGCGCTCGACTGCTTCAGGGGGACTTGCGAGCCGCGAACGGAATCGTGCATTTCATAGATAGGCCAATCATTCCCTCTGCCTTGCTTTTAGAGTCTGCCTAGGGGCAGCGTATTCTTTTTTGGCGCTGTTTGGCGCTTTCTCTCTCTCGGGGTGTCTGCGGTCTGTGTGTATCTCGTCGCGTGCTCCTCCGTTCTGGGTGTAGAGCGCCAGGCGAAGTCGAATTGCAGTCTAGCTGTAGCCCTTAGAACGGAGTCCTCCCACTGGCTGCTAATCAGCTAGCTATGTGTTTGACGAGGGTTAGAGGACCTCCACCTAGGTCGCAACTGAGGCGTCTGACGGCACGGATTGGGATACGTGTGGCTAGTCAGCTTGCTGCCCACAGATAGGCCTAGTCTTTCTTATGCCCCCATAAGAGTAAGGCGCAGATGCCCCAAAAACTGTCTTCGCGAGGGATGTGCACCCGTGAGCTGGTCTGCGATGAGACTTGGTGAATTTGGAAAAAATACACAGCAAAAGAAGACGTCCTCACAGGATAAAGGCATACGGGGCAGGATGCAAATCGCCCTGCGTTTTACAGTCTATCTGCCCTCCGTTGTCTCTCCAATGGGGGCGTTTGCTACTAGAACGGGCTAGACCCTACACCCCCAACAAGGACTGGAGAAGCTGGCGAAGTAGTTTAAGCTCATCAAGTCTGTCTGGGATCGAACTCTTCGGATGGGAAAAAGGAAAGGGCTTAGCGCTGTACTCAGCATTTATGGCATCAACAAAGGTATATGAAATAGGCACAAGTGTGCAGGGCTAGGCCAAAGAGACTGAATTTTCAGGCTGCACCGGCACTAAAGGAGTTGGAGGGGCAGGGAAGGGCAAGGCGGCGAAACGCAGCCAATGACACGAATATGAACAAGCAAGAGTTATTCTGTGGCTCTCCATATCAACTTACAACTCGAAAGGCCAGTCGAAATTCGAAGGGAAACAATTAAGCCCGCGATGGAAAGTCTCTCACTTCTTCCAAAAGGCCACTGGGTTCTCAGCTTCCGGAGTTCAGGAACTCCTGAGAGGCGCAGATAGCGGCCCCATAGCACAGTTTATTGATCATGGGGCAATTGCTGACTTTTCTCTTTGGAGCCCATCGCGGAACTGCGTGCTGAAGTGCCCAACGAGCTGCAGAGAAAGTGCACCGGCTCAGAGCCAGGACGATCAGATTGTGTCGTTCATTCTTACGTACACCCGAAAATCTGTCTAAGAAGAGCAGCTCAAATGGAGTCTAGTCCGTTACAAAGAGTTTAGCGACAAGATGTAAGCTGGGTGGGGGCCGGAGAAGGCAGAGGGACAGAAGGGAACCGTATAGGAAGGGTTCTTTGCTCTTTTACGATTTTCTCCACTAGGAGGAGGTATATCCCTTCCTACCATTAATTTTCTCTAAGGATTGTGCAATCCGCTGCCCGTGTGTAGGCCCCGCTAGGCCTAGCCTCTACGCACCCTCTAGCTCGATACTCGAAGCCGAAACCCTTCACTGAGGAATTTTTCCGCTCAAAGAGTCAGGGTAGATAGTGTCTAGAACGTGCAAGGCGCCTTCATCATGACGCGGCAGATCTGGAGAGAGGCTGCCGGCAGAACAGCTAAGCTCATCCAACAAGGGTCAGGCGATCCCTAAACTACGTATTCTGAGGGTTTAGGGTACCTTTTAGCGCTCCCATTGTAAGAATATGTAATTTTTACGCGGCATTCTGCGGGTTTGTCTCTTATGAATTTTTAATGAGACCCACGACACCCGGGTGTATCGACAGGTCCGAGGCCCTGGACGCGGTGTCGTCCTCGCCTGTGCTGCCTCCTCAGCTTCAGCTTTCGTTCGTCTGCTCCTAATCACAAAAGGCGTCAAGCGTTCAGACCTGTAAAAATATAATCCTTTTGGGGGAAGTCATTTAGAGAATCCAGGGAGAATGGTATACGGAGGACTGAAACATAGCCGTCCATCTCAATCGCTCCTGCATCTACGCTCTTAGCGGCGACCTCGGAAAAACAAGTATCGCCGCTGCCGCACCGGGAGACTCCTGTGGCTGCTGCCGACAGTATGCTCCTTTTGGATGTTTCTGGGCAGTATTTTCCATGTTTTGTCTTAGACTGAATAATTTTGAGCGCTGAGCTCTCGTTGTGCCCCCTTCTAGCGTGTCTGAGCACCAGAGCTATCCATTTTGGTGTATGGGCATCCCGACGGCTCGCTGCCGCTGCTGGTTTCCCCCGGGTTTATACGATGGCAGGGGTCTCTCCTCTTTGGAGCCCTAGTGTTTTGTCTTCCTCTTCCTCCCTGGCCAGACCCTCTTAGTCTGCACCTGAAGGAAGACAGCACTCCCAGTTGCTGCAGGGGCGAGATCGGCTGAGAGGGTGCACCAGTGGTCAAACGGCAAGATGTGTTGCTACTGTTGCGGCTGGATGTCCTTACGGATTCGTGCTGCACTCTTGTTCGGGATTCCTCTTGTGTATGGCTCTGTGTTGCTGGCTCTCGTCGTATGGCTGCCACTCCCCTTCGACACAAGCCCGATCCTTTCTGTGTCCTGTGTTTCCTACGCCTGTCTCAATCTTCTTACGGGATGCGTGGGGGAACTCGGAGTTCTTCGACGGATAGAAGCGGCCCTTAGGGCCACGCTAGTGCTCCTTATTATGGAAAATGTAATCATGCTCTTCCTTTCGGGGTTCCTGTGCGGCTTCGCGGTGTATCGACACATGAAGCCTGGGAAAGTGGACCCCTATGCTCATACTTGGGTCTCTCTTTGGCTTCCTCCTGCGGCAAGAGTGGTTCTGTGCGTCGTCCTTTTCCTGCTTTCTCTGATTTCTCTCTGCTCTCTCTGGGTAGTGGCGGAGTATCAAGCCGAGGTCGATGCGGAGGCCTTCCTGAAGGATGCTCAAACGCTGAAGCAAAGAGAACGGCTGGCTCTTTTGCATGAGTACAAAGAACCTCTTGGCGCAACCATAGAAAAGTCTTCAGGGGCCTCTGAGGAGGAGGTCCAAAACACAGGGGAACCTCAGGGACCTGGTAGAAAGCCACAAAAGGAAGGCGGCTCTGTTACTATAGCAATGCCAGATCACATAGACCCCTAAATAATCTCTGGCTTCCGAGTTTGGGTAGGGGAACCCCTAGACATGTGCAGTAAAGGCTCCACCTTCGGAGGGTCGATTTTTGAAGGCGGGTACTGCCTCTAATGAGCAGTAGTAGCAGCAGCAGCAGCGCCTACGGAATCAGCAACATTCGCCGTAGCACTAGCAAACGCACGACGAATGACGACTAGAAAAGGGCGCAGAAAGGCGGGCCCTGACTATATGTGTGGCATCCCTCGGTTCACTTCGCTGCTCTCTCCGTCACGGCTGCGCGGAAAGAAACGGCTGCGGCTGCCCTTCATGTGAGAGAGGGCAGTAGCTGCAAGCAAGAAAAGTGTTCTTTTGTGCATGGCCTGCTCCATTTGCAGCGGCAGCAGAAACAGCACTTGAGAGTGCTGGCCGTGAGCGCTGATTCACATGGCATGGAGTTCCATGCCAAACTTCCTTTGGGCTGCGCAAGAATCTTGAGGTTCATAGAATCGACAATTGTTTTGTGCTTGAGGTCTGTGCACAACTCGGGGCAGAGCAAACAAATGTAAGTTTTTCAAAGGGAGTATTTTTGTCCAGAAGCGGCATCACAGGCGCTGTTTCTGGAGTAGCAGCATCACTGCCTGTTGTTGCTGCTGCTCTCCTTGCATGCAGCAACAGAAAACAATACCCAAGAGGCTGCAAGGTCCGCAGACCAAAATTCCTTTTTGTGCTTTTTTATAGAAATTAAAAGCCATTTGCCTCTCTCCTAGAGTGCCTCAAAAGGAGTAGCACAGCATCCGAATCCGGCTAAAAGGTGCTACTTATCTAAAATAGAAGGAGCCGTTACAGCTACGTCCGTAGAAACATAGTTCCCATGGCAGCCTGGAGCTGCTGCAATTCCTACAGGGGCGGCAGTTGCTGTTTGCTTGATCTTCTTCGGCTGCTCGCGTCTTTGCTCTGCCTCGGGCCTTCTGTAGTGGCAGCCAAAGGAGCAGCTCATTCGTCTGGATCCTCTTCAGAGTCTTCCACCACCTCTACCTGGATTCTTGTTGTGGTGTTGCTGCCTGCTGTCGTGGCCTTGCCACTGTGGCTATCGGCAGTGCTGCCAGCAGCAGCAGAACAGGGGGAGCCTTGACTCGCTGCCTCCTCTTCTTTTGCTGGAGGACGTGGCGAGTCAACATTAATCCTGCTGCCTCCGTCAGTGCCTCCACTGGCATTGCTGTGACCATTACCTGCCCTTGGCGTCTCTGATAGCTTCCCCTCTTCACAGATGTCCTCTAGGTCTGGAGGGGCGGCTTTATGTGTGCTCCCTTTGGAGGCCCCTATCTCTGTCATTTGTGCCATTTTCTTTTCCCAGGCCAAGAGCTCCTCTGCAACTGCCTGTTTGTCTGCCGCTGTGATGGGGGTGCCCCCAACTGGCTTCCCTGTGAGCTTTTCTATCCTGTCTTTTGCGGCTTTCATAAGCTCTACGTAGTAGCCCCCGTCTTGCTTCAACATCGCTAACATCTTCTTGAGACGCTTCGGGTCGGTGCACTTTTCTATGGCTTCAAAATCGATATCCGTGAGGGATAGGGAAGCCATTTTTAGCTGTCCGTACACTACACCGACAGCGCTACTAGCAGGAGAAGGTGCGCTAGGATAAGCCAGACACTTGAGCTAAAGAAGGCCTCCACGTTATGCTAAGTGAGGGTGTTTTTCATAGCAGTCTTTGCACAAATAGAGCAGCAACAGCAACGGCGAAATCTAGAGGACAGACTTAAGAGGAAGGGTCTGGGGTGACTACGAAGAAGGCAAATACGAAAAGAGACATTGGATGCGTTATAGCAGCCCCCAAGGGGTAACGGGGTGTATGCACATCGCGTCGTGCTCCGGTAGTATGCCACAGAGTGTAACCCCAATCCAAAGTCAAGGTGATAGAAAGCCTAAGCATCTGGTGTGTGCTTGTGCGTCTTCGGGATTTCGTTGAGGCAGATTATAGGTTCCTTCGTGAAGAGGGAAAGGGAGTCCATGGGGTCGTTTGACACGACCACTGCCAACGGGGACGGCGGGGGTTCTCCCTTTGCATATAGTTTCAGTTGCGTGTGCCTGATTTTTCCGTAATTGCTTAGTTTTTGTGCATTTCACTTCTTTAGGAATAAATAAGGAAAGGGAAGCGCTTTGTTTCGCCGGGCTGAGCGTCTCCCTCATGAGACGACACGTGGTCACTTGGTGCCCCCGACCGTCACCCCACTGCAGCTTGTCAATACACCCCAGATCTTTTTTGATCTGCTCCGTCTCATCCTCCAACAGGTGCATTTATTGAATCCTTTATTGCTCTTGTGATAATTTTCTCCGTTACCATACCCCCTACACAGCACGGAGAGGCCCTTTCAAATTCGCCGTAGAGACAGTCGTTGCAGTCGCTTCCCCCGAGGCAACGGCGCTGGCAGGGGCAACGAAGGAGGTAGAGTGCGGCATCGCGTGAGCTGTAGAAAATTTAGATCTAACTATCTCTCCAAATACACCTAGAACCGCAAAAAGAGGGGAGGAGAGCCAAACATTGCAATGTATGAAGAACGGGCACTTGAATGCCTCCCTCATCTGGAGGAACAACGCAGGGGTAAGGGCAAAGGCCCCCTACGACCGATTAGGTGTAACAGAGGAGGCACCTTTCTTCTTCGACCTCTGCTGCAATATCTGCTGCACTGAATTGTTAATGCAACTCGCTAGTGGGATACATAAATACGCTGCGGTGCAACCGTGGCTGTGCGTGGTCCTTCCTGAGTCATGGTTCTTGTGCTTCTAGCAGAGTCACCTCACTTCTCTCTACGCGTCTGCACATCGCAACGCAGCTGTCGCTTTTGTGTGGATCGCTAATCAGGAAACGGGGGGCGGGCTTGCCCCTTACTGCAGCAGCTCAGCATTGTCCTGTTAGTATGCATATTCCTCTTCAATACAGGGGGCCTTGTGTTGGAGGCAGGCTGGCATCTCCTGTCGATTTTCTCGTTTTGCTCGCAAGTGTCTCTAGCAGTTGCGTCCCTCGCTCTCATTGCCTTAGAGGCACCCTCCCTTTCCGAAAGCGGCGGAACAGGTGGCCTCCGCGAAGGCTTAAATGGTATGCCTTTTTCTGGAAACGAGGAAAATAACCCCTTTGGGATCCCTCAGGGAGAAATACAGGAGGGCGACGACCCCATACACACGCCGCGAAGTGCCTCTCTCCTTGAAAGGGGTGTTCTCGCTTGCGTCTTAGGTAAGCAAAGGCATCGAGCTCGTCGCCTAGCTTTAAAGAACTGGTCAGACAGGTAGCGAGAGGCTGTACATGCGGCAAGCGCCTTCGACAGGCCTATTCGTTTAGCACCAAGGGGCAGCACTTGCCAGGCAGGTATACACGGAGAGTTGGCTGTCTACCCACCACGCGACCAGTGGTGTGGCTCCTGTGCCTGTAGGGGTTTTTGGATTATGGCACTTTTGGATAAATCTGCCAAGTGGCATTTGCTCTTTTCTTCTAACCCTAGTGGGCCTCTTTGAGGTGTCGCTACACTTTATTGGTTGGGGGGAACGCGACGCAGTAAAGGCCCTTGCGGGCGGAGCCACCTTCGCCAAAGGTATACTTTTTACGAGTAAGTTGCCTCCTGCTGCCGAACTAGCCTTCTCGGCACACAGGAACTACTAGAGGGTGCCTCGTGAACAAGCCAAACAGCGAGTCGCTAGCTGTACCCATCGAAGATGTCAGGGGAACCCCGGGGGGGGCAGAGGCGCTAGCTAGGCGGCAGACCGCCAGCTGTCGAGCCGCGTTGACAGCTACCCACCATGCACCCATCACAGGCACACAAGATAGTGGCCATATCACTAGCTAAGATGCGTGCAAACCATGACCCTTTCCCCTATCCCTCCCCCTCCCCCCCACAAAAACTCAGATCACTTAACAAGAACTCTTGGAATCTGTCGTATGGGTGCGCAGCACGGGGATGGCAGTATGTACGGTCCAGCGACTTTCGTTCCCCTGAAATTATTTCTCAGGAAGAAAGCATTGGTGCTGGCGATGCTGCGCTTCTTCCACAGCCGCAGCTGCTTCTACCACAGCTGCCCGGTGCAGCGTCTGAGTCCGCCTCAGCACCCATTCGTTACCCAGAATCCCCTCAGCAGCCGCTGCACGAGCCGCTTCTGCAGTTCGGCAGCAAGGCCCTTGAGCGAGCGATCGCTCACTGAAGATCTACACAGTGTGGCTTTCGCAGCGTAGCGCAGCCGTGGCAGCAGGGGTGACCCCGTTGCTGCGACAAGATGTCAAGTACAGCCGACTTTAGAACTCGGCACGCTTCGCTTCAGATTGCACGCACTATTGTTGCTTCTTGCTCTCCCTCCGGAGCGTATGTGCGCATATTCGTGAGGGGGTTTCGCACTGCGCTTTTTTCTGCTTCATGCTCTCGCGCTGCTGCTGCTGCTGCTGCATGATGATTTCTGAAGGCCGCATGGCAGCCAGGCCCCCCAGCTCAGTAACCAGCCACCCCGCCACGCTGCTTGCCAGAATTAGAGGTAGCGTCGCATGTACTGGTCAATCGCAGAGAAGGCCACTGCACAGAGCAGATAAAGCGCCAAAAAACCCCCTAGAACGAAGAAAGGCACACGTGCTCAGGACGGGAGGTGCCTATCTATCTACAGCTCGTCAGCATACATTCATTCGCAAGTTTTGCAGAGGAAACTTCCCCCTCCCCCCCTGTCTGTCAATCTGCCAAGCGTCGTCCAAGCCGCGGCGACACACGCCATCCTCGGCTAGCGACACGCAAAGAAAGCCCGTCAGGCAACAAAGCCGCGTCTTCCTAATAAGGTGGAATAGCCACTATTTTCCTGACAAGGAGTGCAGTCAGAAAGCCATATATGTGGGTAGCTGCAGGAAGGCAGGAGGTGACTACTCACCCGCAGAGGCTGCACCGTAAGCCCCCAAAACTCGCCAGCTGGCTTGCACCTTGTACAGACACCCGGCGAGTCCCCCCGCAACGGGGGCGTGAACTTCCGAATCTCCACGCACCAGAATGAGTAAATTATTGAAGCAGCAATAGAACAAGCCTGAGGGAAGCAAAACAACCACCCATGCGAAAAAAATGAGCGGCGCAGGGAAAAAAACTTCCCAAAATGACGTGTTGAACATGGCATGGCCAGCGAACCGCCGCTGATCCCTGTTTCCCTACAAGAACGGGAAATTTTTTTTCGAATGGGAGCGGTGTTGTCTCTGCTCTCTAAAGTATACGAGAGCGCCTCCGCGGGAGGATATTATACGACTAATGTGTCCACTGTATCCATCATTGCGCCGCATACTCAGGGTGCCTAGTTGGCTGCCCATGGCAGGGGCATATGTGCCGCAGCCATTGAGAATCGCATTGAGACGTAGACGTGCCGAGGGGCCCCCCTTTCTAACGCCCGAGGCGAATCCAAATGAACCCCCCAGAAGGGCCCCTAAACAGCAAAAACAAAAACGCAGCAGCCTGAGCATGAGCAGCATGAGCACGTGCAGCAAGGTCAAGCCAAAATGTGTAGCATGAGCATGAGCAGCATGATCATGAGCAGCATGAACATGAGCAGCATGATCATGAGCAGCATGAACATGAGCAGCATGATCATGTGCAGCATGATCATGAGCAGCATGAACATGAGCAGCATGAACATGAGCAGCAGGAGCATGAGCAGCAAGGTCCAGCAGCATGAGCATGTGCAGCATGAACATGAGCAGCATGAACATGAGCAGGAAGAGCAAGCCAAAATGTGTCTATACACAATGGGCGAAGGGGGGATGTCGTATATATAGTACGAAGGGTCACGTGGGTGTGAGCTGTACAGACACTAGAGGAGAGTGCCGCATGCATACGAGTGCACAGGAAGCAATGGCGACTCGAAGTCGCAGCAAAGACGGAAAAATTTTGGAGGACTGAGAAGCAGAGCGAGAGCGGCACGAAACTCCAGGTCCAAGAAAGCAGCCCAGCGTGGCTTCTTTGATAATGACTCGAGAGAGCTTTTACGGAAGGAGGGAGAAAGAAAGAGGGGAGAAAGAATCACCTGCAGCATAGCCAACCCCTGCACTGTACGTCAGCTTCTCTCCGAACTGCTTCCCATATCCGTAAAGATATAATTCTTCCTTTCCAAACGCTGTACGGGAAGACGGGGGCTCAAAGCCGAGGCCAAAGCTCAGAGTGCTCCCACTGCTGCCATAGTCTTTTGGGATACTGCTGGCTGGTGAGGGAGACGGGAGAGAAAAGCCGCCAGGAGGGGCGAGCGAGCCAATGCCAGCGGCAGCAAAGCTGCTGCTGCTGCTGCTGCTGCTCTCCTCGCTGGAGAGCGACATGCTGGGGCTCAAGCGGGATGGAAATACACGAGCTGTAGCTGCTACTGCTGCTATTGCTGCTGCTGCTGCTGCTATTGCTGCTGCTACTGCTGCTATTGCTGCTGCTACTGCTGCTATTGCTGCTGCTGCGATCGTGAGTAGCAGCCGTTAGCCGCATGCCAGCACTTGGAAGTGCTGCCTTGTCGTGGAGTGTACGCGGGTGCTGTAACGCGCCAGAGTCACCAGTCAAAGTAGGGAGGCCCCTGGACAGCTGCAGCAGCAGCTGCAGCAGCTGCTGCTGCAGCAGCGGTGTCTGGCTGAGTCGGTGAAGGCAAAAGACTCCCCCAGGCGGCTCTCGTTGTTGGGTGCTGTGCCACAGGAGTGTCTCGACGCTGTTTTCACTGCTGCTGCTGCTGCTGCAATGTCGAGGCTCTTTTACTGTGTGGGGCGGTAGCCTCGGGTGAGACTTCCACGGGAGCGACGGCGTCTTCTTCTTTGAGTGCCCCCTGCTGCGCTTGCTGTGCAGAAAACCAGGAAGAAGAGAGCCATGAATGACACGCCTTTGCCTGTGAAGAAAAAAATTCCTCCTCCGGTGCCTTATCGAAGAAAAGGGGCAGCTGCTGCTGCTGCTAGGCTGCTGCTCTGCTGCTGCTGCTGCTGCTGCAGCCCCGACCGCAGCAGCAGCAGCCTAGCAGCAGCAGCAGCAGCAGGCGTCACCACGTCTGGACGCTAATTTAGGAGCTACATAGGGACTGAACAGAAGCAGAACACGATGAAAAAGAACGGTGTGTAGGGCAGTTGAGCGTTAGATCGCCCTCGGGAGAAGTTGGGTGTATGTACGGCTCGGGCAGGACACAACACAGCGCACAGTGTAGCGGCAGCTGCTGCAGCAGGAGCACGCGATCCACAGCTTTTGGTCCCTCTTCGGCGCTAAAGGACACAGAAAGCGCCCTTTTCTTCCTCAAAACCGTGCCTTTTCAAAGCAGCAGAGACAGAGGCAGCAGCAGCAGCAGAGCTAGCGGCCTGGCAGCCGGAGGAGCAGCACGATCAGCAGCCCGTCCATGGATGCCTCTTCTGCTTACAAACCGGCTGGAGAGGGCAGCGAGCCCTCGCCGTCGGCGTGGGAGGGCAGTGGGGGGAGCGCCACCCCCGAGAACGGGGGTGTTTCGAGCAGCGCGAGCGCAGAACGCTCCTTGATGGTAGCAGGAAGCCCTCCTCTAGACGCCGCAGGCAGTGCCAGAAACGCCCCCTTCAACTGCCCGCTGCCAGCGCCGGGGGCCCCCCCCCGTGGGGCTTTGTTGGGATACCCGCCTCTGCAGCAGCAGCAGCAGCAGCTGCAGCTGCAGCAGCTGCAGCAGCAGCAGGGGCCCCCTGGGCTAGGGTACTACCCGGGCCCCTATCAGCAGCAGCTGCAACAGGGGCCCTTGTTGAACTCTGGAGCGCCTTCCTGTCCGCAAGCAATGCGGGTGGAACTGCAGCAGCTCTTGAGTCCGGAGGATCGCCAAACTTTGCAACAAATTGCCGCGAGAGCGAGAGCATCTGCCGTCGCTGCTTCTCTAGGCTTAGGTGTCTTTGCTATGAACGCACTCAAGAAAAGGAGTATGCTGTTGGCACTCACGGCCCTTCGTGGCCTTCTATGGAGATGTCTCGAGAGCAGGGTGCTGTGATTTGCGTAGCAAGCAGCACAAACATCACTATTTCCACATATATGTGCATATGTATGTATGTGCGAAGACACTTGTATGTATGCATGAATATGTGTCTATCTGCATATATGCATATGTATATCTATACATGTGTATACCTACATGTATGTATAAAGAGTACATATATATTCATGTATACTTACATGCATGCATGAATACGTATGAATATGTAGATGCATACGTTTGTATATCTACACACACACACACGTATGTATGCACACGTTTGAAAGGATCCTTTGGGGAGGAAAGTGCAGATCGAGAGAAGAGTGCAGATCGAGAGGAGAGTGCAGATCGAGAGGAGAGTGCAGATCGAGAGGAGAGTGCAGATCGAGAGAAGAGTGCAGATCGAGAGGGGCGGGAAAGCGCAGGGGTATCTTGTGCTGAGAAATCTCTTTGAGCGCCTGCGTGCTTGTGGCGCCTTGTTGTGCGCGGCTCCACATATATGTACACACCCACACTGTTATGCTATGTGCTCTTTTTCGCAGACTGGCGGTATCCCATACTGGGGGCCTCTGTTATTGGACTTACGGTGGGGCCCCCTCTAGGCTTCGCAGGCTACGTAAGCGAGAGCACACTGTGTTTATTGTGCAAGGCCTCTTTGGAGGCGGTGGATCTCTTCCGATTCGGGGGTGCTGCAGGGGCAGGAGCCGCTTCCGCATGCATTGTGCTGCGAATGCATGCGGCCTGCACGCCTACCGCGTGCTGCTCAAAGCCCCACAACCACCCTCTTCAAAGAAGCCGTGTCTGTACTCCTCTGCTCCTGCTGTTTTGCGAGGCCTCGTGCGGCCGCCTGTAGGAGGAGGCCCCCCCTTTGCACTTTTTGGATAGCGGTGTTAAGTTGCTTGTTTTGTGGTTTGCACTCTTGTGTACAGATGCTGTTCAACTATTCCAAAGTCCAGCAAATGGAAGCCAAATTTCGAGAGGCGCAGGCGATGTTTGAGGCCCGTCGGAGAGGCTTTCCTGGAGGCGTATGATGGATGCTGCTGCTGGTGTAGTGGGAGTCGTTCTGCCGTTGTTGTGCTGCTGTTTCGTGATTTTGTGTGCTGCGGTTTGGATGGCTCTCGCCACGGTTGCGTCTTTAGGGGTCTTGCTTTGCGATTGTTGTCGTTGCTGCGCGTGCATGCATGCAGTTTCCCGGCGGATTCGGGGGCCCCCCCTTCGCTGGGGGCCCTTCAGGGGTACCTTTGGGTTGGCGTGCTGATGACTCCGCTGCAGCGGGTGCAAATGCTGCCAGCTGGACTTCACCGGCTGCTCTCGACAGCGCACAGTCCCCGTCGCCTTCAGCTGATGAGCTGCTCAAGGAGTAAATCCAGCGGCAGCGTGTGCTGCTGCGGGGGAAGCGTGGGGAACCTCCTTGTTGCGGGGGAAGGAAGTTGCGGGGGCGTGGTGGCCGCTTGCTCTCAGCAATGCCACCTGCTAAAGAGAATAGCTGAGCTGCACTGGCAGCAGCTGCTGCATCGCGTACTGATTCGCGCACCGAACTATGCATTTGCACATGCGTAGTCGTCGTCACCTTCCCCCTCCAGCGAAGCCACAACAAGCAGCACCGACAGGAAGGCCGCGGAGTGCGAGCCGATATGTGCCTGTACATAATTCTTAAGGTCTAAAAATAAGCGTATATATATACATGTATGGATGGATACAAAAGATGAGTGACAAGGTTTCCTCAAATGTCGCATTTATCTGCCCTATTCGGTCCACCTTTGCTACGGAGAATTCCACGTGCTCGTGCTTAGGGAACGAGCAGGCTGCTCTCGTGGTGACATGCCGTCGGTTCTTAACTAGAAACAGGCCTGAAGTGCAAGGGGGCCTCATGGAGGCCCCTTTGCACTTCAGTAGCGAGCGAGCACCCTAGAGGAGTAGAGCAGCTGCTGGGGGCCAGCTGCAAATGCACACGACCCTTCTTTCCTCCAGGTTTTTTTTCCCTCTCCCCCCTTCGTGCTCCGCTTTTCTCTACGAGCGTAGTGAGGAGCGCCTGGGGGTGGTATGGTCTGTTTATGTGCGTGCCTAAAGCCGCTGCTACAGGGGAGAAAGGGGGGCCCCTCCGTCCCGGTTAGATAGCTAACTAACCCTAGAGAGAGACTTTCCTCGCGGCCGCACGGTGGAAGGCTGCAAAGCGAGAGGGAGAAAGCACATGCCTTCCCTCTCCTCCGTTGCAGATTAGCATCCACACAAGACTTGGGTAGCTATGGCGGGGAGTGCGGCCTGCTGGTCATTCTGCTGTTTGATGGATCGACTTAGAGTTTCCTTGTCTCGCTGGCTGGAAAGCCCGTCAAAGATGTTTTTTCCTGCACGCAAACAGAACGCAAGTTCAAGGAGCGATCCTTGCAACAAGCAGGCAGCAGCGCATCCTGCCGCAGAAACACGTGCGAGGGGAATACTGAGGCAGGCGTCAATAGGGAAGGCCAGTTCCCCGTTTGCACGTGACACCACCTGCACGATTCAAGGCTTTTTCTCGCACCCTTGCTACGAGCACTGCTCAAGCAGACACGAGTTTCTGAGCTAGAATGGCGAGTTCTGCAGTTGGAGAAGAAGATTGAAGGCCGGGGATCGATCCTCGGCCTTTATTCTTGCGGAGGGTGGCTTTGAGCGGTGCACGCAGAACCGAAACAGCGAGGCAAAACAAGGATTTCAGGCTGAGAGACGGTGCGTGTTGCGCATGCCTGTGAACTTCATGATGTGGTAGGCAAAGAAGCACATAGCACGTCGGAGGGGCCCCAGCTCCCGCCATGTTTCGAGAAAGAACTGGGGAGCTCCCGCAGCCTGTTTCTCTTGAAGCTCAGCAAGTTCCCACGCCACTGAGCCGCCTAAAACACCAATAGAGACTTCTAGGTTGCGGCGAGAAGAGAACCTAAATGCAAATTCGCAAACAAAAGCTCTCTTTCACTCTGAACCGTAACGCAATTGCATAGCGCAACACCTCGAAACAGAAGTGGAAAAGGCGAAACCTCCCGCGACACAGGCAGGCGAAGGCACCCCAATCACAACGACCCTAGTAGAGACCGCGAAACTTCCCTTGGCCTCCCTACCCCCTAAGCATTACAGCAACTCAAAAACTGGCTAAGCGCATGCGCATGCGCATTGCAACTGCAGCAGAAGTAGCACAAGCAGCAACTGCAGCAAAAGTAGCACAAGCAGCAACTGCAGCAGAAGTGGCAGAAGCCAGCAACTGCAGCAGAAGTAGTAGCAGCAGCACGAGCAGCAACTGCGGGAGCAGAAGTAGTAGCAGCACGAGCAGCAACTGCAGCAGCAGAAGTAGCAGCAGCCGCACGAGCAGCAACACAGCAGCAGAGGTAGCAGAAGCACGAGCAGCAGTAGAGCGGGGTCTTCTAGAAGCAGCAAAAGAGTGAGCGGAGGGAGAACTCGGAAACCGGCAGAAACACTACAGCGTAAGGCGTATGCAACGCCAAAACAGAGAGCCGCGAAGGAGGAAGGAGCCGTCTTGGAGGAAAGAGAAGGGGTTGTAAACTGTGATCTTCCTGCACAGTGGAGCTTATACCCTGCTATGCGAACCTGTCGAAATTGAAGGATCCAATGCAGGCCCACAGGCAATCTGCCACAAGGTTCTTTGCATGGTAATGCTTATCCCTGGTGAAATGGATCCTTAGCTCCCCCCTCAAGACCTCTGGCGTATTGCCGCCTCTTAAAAAGCGAAGCAGACGATACAGAGGGCGGGAGGACGGCACAGACGCATCTGCGCCGCTTCCTTCACAAGGATCTTCCGTTGTGAAGGAATGCACAAAAGGCTTCTTCGCTTGCTGCTGTTGTTGCTGCTGCTGCTGCTCTGACTGTCCCTCTCGCGGAAGCAGAGGCGGACGGCTGGTGAAGACGGTACGTGACTGCTGCAGTCGAGATAGAGCAGTCCAAGGGGGCAGCAAGCGTGCAAGGCCTCCTGCTGCTGGTGCCGTGTCTTGCTCGTGCTCTTGCTCCTGCTGCATCAGTTGCTGCTGCTGCATCTCTACAGTGGCTGCGGTATTCCTCAAAAGTAGCCAATCCTGCAACGGCCTGGATCTTTCTCTTGCAGCCTGCGAGAAAGTCACACAAAATAAAGTCCACCCCAAGAAGGAGTCCCCACAAAAAGAACCGTCCACAAAAAAAGCAGCTTTCTCCCTGCCGCTCTCTCACCTGCACTTGCGTGTTTATGCACGAAGCCACAGAATCGTGCCTACCCCTCCCCTGTACCCCCTTCCCGGATCTGCATCGCCAGCTCTCCTCCCTCCTTACCAGAAGCTTGTGAGCGAGGTAGGTGGTTGCTGGGAAGTCACACCACACGTCGCTATCGCCCGAGAGAAGCAGCAAAACGTCTGTGTGTCGGCTTCGAATCTGCTGGAGCAAGGCCCTCCGTAAGAATCCTGGAGGCATGAAGTAGGCCGTTCCCAAGTGCAAGGAGCGACTTGCCTGCAGGGTAGATCCCCACAGCAGCAGCAGCAGCAGGAGCAGCATGCAAGCACACCAGTCATCGTACCGCAGAGGCCACGGAGGAAAGAAAGGCAGCAGACCAGCTCGCAGCAGACGCTGCCACGGAGCAAAGAAGGGGCAGCAGGGCATTAAATGTTCAGCCGCAACACTCGACGCAGCCAAAGGGGGCTCACCGTTTGAATGGCCAGTTGCAAAGCCTCCTGAATGCATCGGCGATTCTTTAAGATGTCGCTTTCCAACACCTGAAGCGCAGAGCCTACACCCGCAAGGGGAACACTAGGGGGCCTGTCGAGATGCTGCGTGCGTAATAAAAGTGGCTGCTGCAAAAAGCCAATTCAGCAGGAGGCCCTAAGCGGCAAAAAGAGCAGCAACAACGCCAACAGTGGCATGCGAGGAGGGCATCGCTTGCCTGAACAATGCAGCCCTGCTGATTCGGAGATTTAACGCAGCCGCAGCACCATAGAGGGTCCGCCTGTGCAGCCACGCCACAGCACGCATGCATGCACGCATGCATGCATGCAGCAACACCACACCACGGCACGCATGCATGCATGCATGCACCAATGCGCACGTCTTGAAAGGCAGAATTGAACGAGCGGGGGGCCGTGTTGTCCTGTACGGCAGGCAGGGCGGCACCTAAAGCTTCCAGAGAGAGTAAAACGAAATGTGAGAACGCTCGACACGCACACAAAAACCGCCAGCGAGCGTGTATGCGAAGGGCTGGCTACGCATCCAACGCTATGCCGCGAGCATTTTTCACATGGGAACAATTAAGCACGCAAAAACGGCATGAAGCAGGGGCCTCTGCAAACTTTTCCAGGACGGCCTCTTCGCCTCGGTGAAAGCAAAGCCCTAATACACACCCTCTTGACTGACCTGCTGCAGTTGTTGAAGCGCCTCGGCAGCAAGCGACTCCGCTTGTGCCGCATGCAACGACTGATGAAACACAAGCCCCAAGTCTGTTGCTGCAGGGCCGCACAGCCGCACATGCAAATCCTGAAAATGACCAGTTCCCCCCACAGAGGGGCCTGCACCACAAGACACATACACCCGAAGCCATACGTGACTCGGGATGCTTGCTTAACCTTTTCTCCCCATGAACGCATACAGATGCTACTGGCGCATGCGGGTCGCAGCGGTATGATCGACAGCAACACAGTGCAGCAGCGACACAGCTCGTAGCAGCAACAAGATGCAGCTTACAAGATGCAGCATCATGATGCAGCAACACGATGCAGCTTACAAGATGCAGCTCACAAGATGCAGCAACAAGATGCAGCAACAAGATGCAGTAACAAGATGCAGCAACAAGATGCAGTAACAAGATGCAGCAACAAGATGCAGCAACAGCATGCAGCACCAGCAGCTTCCAGCAACAGCAGGATCACCTCAATCCCCCCCCAAGCAAATCCCCCCTTTTCCCCCCTTCCCACACCCCTTTCCATGGCTAAGTGGCAGCGGACCAGTCGTGTCTACGGAGATATTAAAGGAGCCTACAAAGGCCTCCTTGCCATCCACCACCAGCGTCTTGCGGTGATCTCGCAAAGCAAGGGGCCCCACTTTCGCTGCATGCAGTGACCCTTGGCGCTTTGCTGCCTCTGCCAGGGGGGGTGTCGTTGCCTCTGCTGCTGGAGCATAGAAAGCGGCAGGAAGAGGCGGATTAAATATTGTCACGTGCACTCCAGACTTGACCAATTCGGAGATCCAATTCGACGGAAATCCGAAGCTCCCAACCTGCACAAACACGTGTGCGCCAAACACACACTCTCCAAGGCTTCCTTCGCGGCAGCAGAAGGGTGCAAAAAACTCCCGCAGTAGGACATGCAAAGAGTCATACACGCATCCGCAAGCGCAACAGAAACAGCAACAGCGTCAAATTTTCGCCGATCTCAGACTTTCTGCTTTTTAGCGGCCTAGTGCTTCGAGGAAGGCCTCGTCATCGATTCTCAGTGTGCAGTAAAGGGGCTTCGAGGATCAGAACGGGAAAGGTGTGTATGTACACCGTCAATGAGAAGGATGACCAGGCAGCCCCTTGCAGCTGCTGCTTTTAGCGCTTCCTTCACCGCAGCTGCCGCTTGAGACGCATCGAAAATGTAACTCTCAAGGAATACGAAGCGCTCTGCGGAGGCGATCGAGTCCAGCATAGCACGCAACGTTGCATCCCCTACAGCAAACGCAGCCAACACCCCAAAGCAGCAGCGGCAACAGAATCCTTAAGAAGAATGCGACCAATAGGACTGCACTTCCCGCTTAAAAACGTTCGGCAGGTGAGGCTCCCCAGGCAGAATACACCCTCACTCCCACCCCAAAAGACACAATTCAGCAGCAGCAGAAGTGTCTGCCAGCTACCATTGCTGTAGACTTTGATGAAATTTGCGCATGTCAATTTGCCGTGTGCCTCGACTGAAGACAGAAAGCCGCTCCATCGCTTTTCCTAAAAGATCCATTTTCACACGCAGACTGCCGCCACGCGAAGAGCATATACATACATACCGCATGTATGTATATATACATATATATATACATACACATACACATACACGTAAATAAACATGCGCATACACACACACATATATATATATACATACCTATGCATATACGTACATCCATATGCACGTTCATACATACACATACATACAAATGACCGCATGAACACATGCATGCCAATCGCATCGAAATGCAAAGTGTGGCCGTTTTTGTTGTGTGTTCAGTCCGTGCTTAAGAATTCGTGACCTACCAGGCGCCCATAGTCCATGAACGGGGTAGCGATGCCCTTTGCTTCAGCCTTCTGCTTTTGGAGCATCTCAAGCCTCCGTACAGCCTGGTGCAAGATGCTCTGCATGTCCTCTCTGCTGCATCGCCCTAGTTGTTGCTGTTTTTGTTGCTGCTGGCGCTGCCTCTGATTCGGCTGCTTCGAGCCACTGTACCCCCAAAACCATCGCTTCAGGATTGTGCTGCGGCTCTTGCATGCGGTGTTATCGGCACTAATGCGAGAGCAGGAAACACTCTGGACAGTGGTGGCGGTGGTAGATGCAGTTCCGCAGCTGCTCATGCTGCTCATGCTGCTCATGCTGCTCATGCTGCTGCTGCTGCGACCGCAGACGTAGCATTTCCTGTATACAGCGCCATCTGGGCTGGCTACTTTTGAAGCTGTCGCGGCAGCAGCCGCTGCTGCCGCTGCAGGGGCACTTGGAACGAGTGAATGCAGCAGGACCATGGTGCCTTCCCTGTCGATGCTCTACTCGAGGAGGACGTAAATCCTCATGGCAGAGCATGCAGAGAGACAAAACCTACGCTGCGTGTATTAGAGACCAAGCTCGACCAAATTTGACGCCTGTAATTTGGTAATTTAAGGGTGGCGTGCGGGCAGAGCGAAGGCGGCTGGAGTGCTGAAGGGGCCCACTGCGCCTTAGCTTCCTTGCCTCGCTCTCTCTCTCTCTCACTCTCTCTCTAGATGCAAAAAGCCTTCAAATTCAAGTCAACGGCACGCAAAACACAAACCGTTTCCGATATTTCGCAGACACAGCGCCTCCCAATCACATACGGTGGAAGGACTGGATACCCCGAGAGGGGCCCTAGTACCAACCCTTCTCTCTAGAACGAAACCCCTCTGCGAGCAGTGTGCAACGCAGGAAGCTCGGGGGCAGGATCTATGCCCGACTAAACATAAGATGTCGCCATATCTCCTCAATTTGTGCCGCCAATTCAGCGAAAGAATAAGAAAGAGCGGTGTTTGAAGCGTCAAAACACTTCCACGATTTGGCACTCTTGAGCTGGCTGGTGCTCGTAGTCCAATAATCTCTTGCTTCCAAATCGGTTTGGAGGGATCTACTCTGCCACCTCTTAGCACACTCCCAAAACTACCCCCTATTCCCTTAAAATAGCCCCCTCTTCATCTAACACGCCCCTCGCACGACCCCCGCAACCACGGGGCATCAAGTACAGTAGCTTGCGTTTCTTGCACCCACACGCCGTTTCGAAAATACGGCCTGCAGTCATGCCAAAATTCTCAAAAAACGCGGGAACAAAATGTTACACCAAGGGACGCAACCTTTCTAAACCCCTCAGTGCTGCAAAAAAGCGTGCGGAGGGAAAGCCATCCCTCCGACAACGCGCCTTCGGAGGTCGTTAGACTCTGTCGTTATTCAACGATGCGTAAGTCTTCAAACTTACTCTCGGTACCGTAGATTGCCTGCACGACACAGGCACAGGCACAGCGCTTCTGGACTCTCCTCGAAATTCCAGACACTATCGAGGAGACACTGAGACGTCTACAGATGCTCCAGGGAGGGAATTTTGTACTCTGGCTTTGGTGTAGACCCGTTGCAGGGCCGCACAGTATCGCTGCCGAAGCTGCACACAAACCCAAGCAATTCTCAGAAACCTTGTACATCGTCGAGTACAGCACCCAGCAAATCCCACTGGGAAAATCACTTTTTCAAGCGAAACTCCACATCCAGAGCCCACAGCTAGCTGAAGATCAAGGCTGCCCTCGCAACGCGCCTCTCCCCAGCTGCACATCACACACGCCGAGATATATAAACCCAATTAGCGAACCTCCTCAATGTCCTCCTGAGTTGGATGGGGAATGCGGCGACAGGGAACGGGGTTCCCAATGAGCTCGACAATCTTGACGCGTCTAGGCATCGTCACTTGCAACACGCCGCGCCCTAAAGCAAGGCCAGACGTACATACACCTCAGCCCCCTTCGTCGCTTCTCCCAGCGTCCCACCTCGTATCCTACAATCCGTGCAAACGCGTGAAGCGACTGAAGGGTCACAGGGGTGTTTAGGGGGTGCATGAGCACACCGTAGCAAGGCGGCAACGAAAAGCCAAAGAGCCCCATTGTCTTGCGTGAGATAAAAGTCAGAAAGCAACTCAACATCCCTTCCGTCAGCCTCTCGTACATGTCGTTCTCCCCTAGGGAATAGACCTGAGCACACGGACTCTGTAACACGCACCCCACGTACTTTGAAGAACGCAGGGTGTGCCTCCGTCTTCTCCCCAGGAGGTGCTGCGCCGGGAGTAAGTGCCGGAGCGACTTGAAAAGATTCGAAAGGCCAGTTTTCAAGGGCCTTTTGTGCCTGCTGGCACTTGAGGCGTTCGACGACTTTGTCAGAACGCACGTGGACCCCGAAAGAGAGCTGCTTATTGCGAAGGGGAATTCGCTCAACGGGGGAAAGCGGAGAGGAAGGCAAACTACTGCTAATTCAGGGAGCACTATTACGGGTATCAGCCAAGAGCCCGTCTGAAGGGCAATCTCGAAAAACCCCTTGCGGCGATGAAGCACCAAGTCGTTCAAGCGGGGGCCCCCCAGAAACGCCTCCTTAGCCCCCCCAACCACTACCAAGACCGCACGCCCAGGGCCCCTGTACGCAACATAGGCACCGCGAAGAAACTGGGAAGCATGCATGCGCCACTCCCCAAGGGTATTTTTGCCGCATGGCCGTAGCGTTGAAACGCGAAGAAAGCAGCTCTCAACAGCAGGTTTTTGCCCAGCATCTCGTTCCTAGCCTTAACCGTCGACCTACCCCGACAAGAAAGTCTTGATGCTCTTCCTGCTGCAAGAAATGAAGCCAACTGCCTGCAGCAAGTGGCCCCAGAAGGGGAGTCGCATGTTTATCGAGAGTGTCGTCAGACGGATATTCAACCCTGTGCCAAAGATCACAAACGTGCAACGGGAGAAAACGCCCGTACGCAGCCTTCCACACCCCAAAAACGTGGCAGTAAGCTAAACCTGCAAGAGCAGCAGCAACAACAAACAACAACCAACAACAAACAGCAAAAGCGAACAACAACAACCAACAACAAACAGCAACAGCGAATAACAAACAACCAACAACAACCAGCAACAGCGAATAACAAACAACCAACAACAACCAACAACAAAGCGCAACAGCGAACAACAAACAACAACAACAAACAGCAACAACAAACAGCAAGAGCGAATAACAAACAGCCAACAACAACCAACAACAAAGCGCAACAGCGAACAACAAACAACAACAACAAACAGCAACAACAAACAGCAACAGCAAACAACAACAACCAACAACAAAGCGCAACGGCGAACAACAACAACAAAAGCAGCAGGATAAGGAGCAGGAGGAGGCTACTTATGATGAACGACAGACCTGGCAGCACACGGCGGATGTCTAGCCACTCCCAGTCGCTTCTGACTCCCCAAGCCAGCGTACAGGACATGCTTAGCACGCCATGCTGCATTCGCAAGCACGCCGTATGAACACGTCCACCATGAGTGTATACTGTCTTCTGTTGACGCTGGGGAGCAGCAGTCTTGGTCGTGGCATTTCCCCCTCCCTCTGACTCGTTTTGCTAGATCGAAAAACAGGTTCTAAATGAGAGCGGAGCTGGCAGCAGCTTCCCCTCCCCCCTTTTACCCTTACTGAGATATAAAGCACAGACACTTACGGGGTGGAAGCCGATGAGGTAAGACTTGTCAGCGGGGTACAAGGTGTCGGAGCTTGAGGATTCACCAAGGACAGAAATAGGGAAATACTCGGCAGCCTCACGCCACAGCCGGCACCCACGAACCTGAGGCACCCCATGGAGGAAACAAATAAAAGGCGAACACGACCTGCCCTTGGTCTTGAGAAAGTGGAAAAACGCCAGTGTGAAAGGACTGACTGCTGCGGCTGCAATCGCAAGACGTGAAGCAGCAGCAGCAGCAGCAGTAGCAGCAGCAGCAGTAGCAGCAGCAGCAGTAGCAGCAGTAGCAGCAGCAGCAGTAGCGGCGTTCCATGTGCCTCTGTGTGCCCCTCCCCGTCCTCCGCGCCTCTAATAGCAAGCCCACTTATTCCCGTCAACATGGCAGCCACCTCATTGAGTTGCTTGCGCATGCCTACCCGATCAGAGGGGAGGCTCAAGAGGTTCCCCAGCCCCTCGGATGCAACGCAGCAGACTGCTGCATACACCCCGTAGGCGCCAAGAAAAGCGTCGGTAATGCGCAAGTGCTCGTCTTGCTGCTGCAGCAGCTGCAGAACCCGCAGCACCAGTTGCTGCAGCAAGAAAATATTGAGCAGCCACATGGCAGGCAGCATGAAAGATACGATCCTCAAGGCCAGGTAGGTTCTCGCGCGCGCCAGCAAAGATCTGTCTCTCTTCCAGCGGCCTGGGGAGTCGCGAGTGGCTGTAGTGGAGCTGCTATGTTTTCCCTTTTGGATGACTGCGCGTCTCCTCGTGCCTCTGCTGGCAGTGCTGATGCTGCTGCACGAGTCGTGTTCAGCAGCAGCAGCAGCAGCAGCACTCGGCCCGTCCCTGCTGCTGTTGCTGGTGTACGCTTCCTCCATCTCGTTCCCGCTGTCGTCCTCCTCGTTGTCTATACAGAGGGGTGAGGAAGCTTCATCCCAACACGGCGAGCACCAGATGGTCTTGTGACTGCTACAGCACAGGAAGATGCAGTTTAGCACAAGCAGCGGCAGAGCCAAAGACCACCACAGAAAGTGCACAAAAGCCACTAACACCATTGCTGCTGCGTGAAGTAGGGGGCTGGCTGGCCGCTGTATTGCTGAAGGGGTGCTGCTGCTCCAGTGGTGTTTCCTGCGGTTGCATTTGCTGCTTTTTCGCGCGGCTGGGTGTGCTGCTTGAGAGGCTTTTTTGTTGTTTTGCTGTTTGCTAATTAAATGTGTGCTCCGGGGGGAGGTTGTGCCTGCGCTGCATGCTCGAAAGAAGAATTCTTGGGGAGATGTAGGGGGCTAGTCCTGAGGCTGTTTTGCCTCTGCTGGCTTCGAGGAAGTGTCGTGGAACGATCCGCTGCTGTATGCGGGGGCAGCAACGCCGCTAAGAAATCAGGGACGGTATCACGAGCCAGCAAAGTTCGCTTCCTTTCTCGTGCCTGCACACCTGCTCTGGTTCCTTCTTCTTTTTGCGTTGCAACCTTCCCCTGATGTTCAGGTTGGCTCGGCTGAAGCGGAAGCAGCCCTCGTCGATCTGTTGCACGCAGTTTCAGCAGCGTGCAGAAAGCAAGGGTCTTGGTGCGCTTAAACGGTTTGGCTTGTTGTGCAAAGCAGAGGCTCTAGTAGAGATACACCCTCGGGAGATCGCTTGCTGGTCTTCGCGGAAGAACGGGAAGCGAGGGCTGAAGATTCATGCTTGCGAACGGCCCCCCTTCGGCAGCGAGGTCACACAAACAGCCTGCCCTGCTGTTTTCCCTAAGCCTGCGGAACCTTTCCTTTTAGGTAAGGGTTCGCAAGAATGTGTGTGTTGCAGCCGAATAAGCGCTTGGAAGAAGGCAGAGTTGTTCGTGCAGCCTTCCACGGCAGCAGCAGGCGAAAGCCTTTGACGCGCTTGCAGCCCGTCCTGCCCGGGGATGAGCCTAGTACTATGCCTTGCCTGCCAGCCCTTGAAGTCCACGGTAAATCCCCGTCTCAGCCTATATCTTGTATTTTATTTTGCGAATTGCGTGGCTAAGCAGTGCGCGATTGGCGGAAAGGCGTCCAAAAAGACGCCAAACTGTGGGGCCTCTCGAAAAGAGAGCAGCAGCAGAGGCTCTCCACGGACTGTGAGCCACAAGGATACAGAGGGGAGCGCTCGCACAGTGCAGTTCCTCCCCCCCGGATTATGTTTTGGCCGCAGTTTTCCGTCTAGATTCCCGTGAAAATGTGCGATAAAGGCTGACAGGAAGGCGAGCTGCGGTTCTAGAGGTAGAGTGGTGGAGGGCACTTGCGTAAGCCTGCTGGGATGCGTTCCACCAGCCGCATGCACTTCGCTTGCCCCCGCAGCCTAAAAAATGGTTGTATCCAGGTTTCATGCACTGCACTACCTGACCGGAGGTAACACGCGCCGAAGGACTGCAGTTTTCTTGCAGGGACTGATGGGGAGGACTGGTCCGCACTGCGCCGCTCGCTCCCCCCTAAGATCATCCTTTTACACGAACGATCATCTCCGCCGCGACCTCTCCAAAGCTCCAAGCAAGGCTCTTCCGTGTATGCTGCACATAAACTCCACTCTCCCTGCGGCCCAAGGGCTTGGCGCAGGCCTGAGCGCGAGGCAGCAAACCGATACAGAAAGTGGCGATGCAGGGTGCAATGCCTTTGCTTCACTGGGAGCCTCCGTGCGGTGCCTGCACATTCTCATGCGTGGAGAAATTAGCGCATAGACGCTAAGCACAGGCTGTCTGAGCGTGGAAGAAGCCACAAGCTCGCTCCATGTCTACCCAGAATCGAGCCCAGCCAATCAAGCAGGCCATGTGTCGGGCCAAAAACTAGACACGCGCTTTCTTCTGCAGTCAATATTTTTTGAACAACACTCTTCAGCTTGCTATCAAGCGGGCAATGGATCTGAAGAAGCTTGTTTCCCTGCAGAGACCTGAGGCGGAGCGCTACAGTTCGTGGCACCGCGTTGCGTGATGCAGGTTTCCTCGCGTTTGCACACTGGCTGGCTGTTGATGGAGTGGGATGTCAGATTTCCCTGAAACCAATACCTGGCTTCGGCTGAGCTATCTGGAACTGCAGTAATCTGATTTCTTTATAGCATTCTAAAACCGCACCCACTGGCGAAATAAGTTGATGATGGCGCAACGCCTGTTGGCAAGGCGGCCAGTGGCTGCCCCTCAAAGTGCATTGAGCGCACTAGCTCCACAGCTGGGAGAAACGCATGATTGATCAACTGGCAGAATGTGTATGGATCCGTCGATGGGGCTATGCCTACCAGAAAAAATATGACGGTCGTCAGAATGAGGAAGTGCTCGACGATTTCATTCGCCCGTTGGCGAAGTATCTCGCTGTGTACCCGGAAAATGAAAGGAAAAAAAATGCTTCTAAAGTCATGTGTATTTAATTAAGAAGCACTTTATGGTGGTTCCATAACTGTAAAGAAAGTTGTCAGATTGCACGGCGTGTTACAGAAAAAGCTTTCATACACACTTTGACTCCTCGGTTTATCCCGAGATTAGCTCAAAAGCAAGTTTTGGAAGGGGTGTACAACCCAGAGAAAGCGAATCTATCAATATAGCGAAAAAATATGAAGCTGTAGCTCGCGAAAACCACAACGGAGAAGAATAGCTGCTTTATCAGCGGTTTGCCTGTACGGCCTATCCGAAGCGTTCCGTTAGGTGGTCGCAAGATGGCCAACAACTTAGCGATTTAAGAGCTGTCTGGTGGATATTGGACACATAATTGACGAGTTGAGGTTTCAGGAACAAATGAGCGCAGCTCTTAGATCTTTGGTTGCACAGTAAGTGACAAATCGTGATCCAGAGTCTTTGGATGCCGTGGCTGTGTCGACCAAGGCTGAGCCAGCTGTCTCAGCTTAATGAGAACAGGAATTCGAGAAAGATCTTACCCTCGTTAGCATTACTAGAGATCCCCCAAAGCACCTCTTCCTAATGTGGGAGCTTGTGTCGCATAATCCCTAACTGCAAGCGCATGCAAAAAGTTGAAATTGAACAACAGGACTCGATTCAGCTAAAACAGGATTTTTAAAAAACAAGGAAGGTATTCCATTTGCAAATTAAAGGATCTTCATCCAGGCTGCGACGCAGTGAAAGGGATTGCAGCCTATGGAGCCACAGTTGGGGGCCCGTCAAGGTTTTATGCTGCACTGATACAAGTTTACACATATGGGTCAAGAGCTGCAAGCAGTATTTAAAATGTGGATACGATTCGAAGTGGATGCATTCTTCCAGGTGAAACGCAGAAGTGCGATATGCCTGTTCCTTCGTCAGAGCAGTCCCTAATATTCAGATTTGCTGACGGGCGGTCGAAAGCAAGGACTGGTGAGCATACGGCAGATAAGCGATCTTTCAAGGCCGTCAACATTGTTCGTGACTATTTTGTTGGACCCGTGCACTGTTCCAGGACGTAATTCCAAACACAATGGAAGGCGCATGTAGCGTACCATCGAAGATCTCCACAGGGAGGCATTTAGATTCAGGCTCGATAAGGATTTGACGGAAACTTCCTGAGTGTTCCTCAAAACAGCTCGAATGTTTCCATGCCTGTGCCGCTCAGAGTTCCTGGCATGCGGTGGGTCCGGGACAGACGGGGTTTGTGCAGCTGCATGCTCTAATTGTTCGTAGCATACACAGCTAACTGTACGTGACACCTAGGGCGAATGTACACAATTTTGCGTTTTACGCATTGACATGGCAGCGATCTGCAGTAGGTTTACAAAAATATGCTAGCAGGTTGGCGCACCCATTACTAGTACCTAGTTGAACGTAACGTGTAGTGGCTGGTGAAAAGTGTGGCTTTTTTGCTCTAGGGTGTGTGTGGTTTCCGAACAATGCACCTACGGCTGCTGTAGCTGTTGGTACTGCACGCAGCAAACCCAAGTGCTTGTTGCGGAGCTAGTCCTCGGAACGTTTGCCTTTAATCGTCCTACCTCGAGAGGTCGTCGTGCTGAACTGTGCATCTCACCACGAACCTTGCAGCCCGCGAGATTCACTCACAGACAGCTGACAATGAACAGATCACCAGTAAAAAGGCGTCCAGGAAGGGGACGCGCTCTAGATTTGAAGGCGATAACAAGATAATCATGGTTCGTTAGCACTGCAAATGCAGCAGAGACGGCTTGGGGTGGGTGGTCTAAGGGTCCTCGCGAAAGCATGGCCCCTGTGAGATTCTCCGAATAGCTGCGGGTACCTCTCTAAAAGTTCGATATTAGGAGGATCTCTGACAGCAGCAACAGCAATTTGGACAGGAGGAAACACGAAGAGGCACTCAAGTGCACGCTCAGGTATATACGAAGGCAAGGGGGAACCTCTTTGCCAGGAGGGGAGTGCCTTGCATGGAACTATATTACCACATCAAAATTATATTGTGCTTGCATCCCCCTCCCAGATACCATTCAAGGCGTAAGCGAGAGCTGTACAGTTGAATAGCCCTTGCCTCGCAGTTTTCGGATCCCTGAGCACAGAGCGGGACGTTGGCAGTGGCGTAGTGTCTCGACACCTTGGGGCGGTTGCAGCTTGAACGTCTCTATGCCTGCTACTCTGAAACCCTGCCAAATGTACGTCGAATCCCACAAAATCTTCTCCGCAGCGCCGTCCATGCCCCGATAGTAACCCCTCTAGTGTTGCTCCCTTGCCACTACGCGCTTGCCGCAAGCTTTGTTTTTTCCCTACTCCCAGTACTACACAAAGAGGGACCGTTTTTTTCCGCCGTCCTCCGCAGGCCCTCCCTCCCTCTAGGGTTCGCGTGACAAAAAGCCTCAATGAAGGGCAGCCAGAGAAGGTGCTGCACAGTGGTATTATCCCCGACACAGCGATAGGGGTCTCTGTGCATGGGGAACGGCAGCAAGGGCAACAGCAGCAGTACCAGCAGACAGCCAGTGCTATTTTCTGGACTGTATACGTGTTGGTCTATGGATCGTAAAACGTGTTGTGGATAGAAGACGGCGGTCCCTTGTGGGATTTGTATGCTCGTTGGGTATTGCATCAGCCCGGAGTCTCTGCACATATCCGTGTACTGGATTTCTCGCTAATTCACCTGCCTCTATACCCCATCATTTTGTCCTTCCCTATGAATCACTGTGGGGGCCTCCACGGCCCAGGCAGGGCCCCAGGGGCGCCGCCATAGACCGCCATTGGCACGTGGGCCCTTGGGGGGCCCCCATAGGGCGAGCCCGCAACTGCGACGGGGGGGCCCCCCACGGCCGCTGCCGGTGGCCAACTCGGCGGATAGGCAGCCGCAGCAGCAGCAGGTGCAGCTGCTGCCGCTGCAGCAGGCGGCTGCTGCTGCTGGTAGCCATACGGAGAGCCGTAAGTCGCAGCAGCCCCTGGCTGTACAGCGCAGACACCGTACGGCCCATACGTAGGGGCCCCCGCCAAGACGGGCTGCGGGAGGACACCGCATGCAAAAGCGAGAGGACGCACAATGATGACGTCTTGTGACACACACACGTATGAAGTCAGGTCCAAAAGTGTAGGCAGAGATGGGGGGAGCTCCGAAAGCGCGAGTTAAGACACACCGAGCGACGACGGCTAGAAAAATACAGACAGCATACATTTTTGTCCAGCCGCACGGCGACAGGCGACTAAAGCTTCAACCCCTTAGCAGCATGTGCTCTCACCGGTGCAGTGTAAGGAGAAACATAGCGCAGCGAAGTAGGGCTGTAGCCTCCCCGATAGGGCCCGTAACTTAGGCCTTCAGGAGTTCGAGGGGCCCCTACACGGCGGCTTGTTGGCTCTCTGTTGCTGCAGTCCACAGACACCCAAATTGAGCCTCCCAAGTGCTATCATACCCATATGCATATACATAGAAAATCCGAAAAAAGCCCTTTCACCGCTGGCGCGCGGTGCAAAAAAGAAACAGAGAATCGGAGGCCCTTTGTTTCCCTTTCGCCAGACAGCAAGCAGGCGAGGCCCCACCGACACACGTGAAGAAACCTCCGTGCATCCAAGGTGTCTGCGGTGTTCCTTACAACGTGCGCGAGGCGTTCTGTGCGAAGCAAATCTGGAGTGTCACTCCGTTGAAGTTGTGGCCGTTCAAAGCCTCAAGAGCCTTCGCTGCGTCGCGTACGTCATGGTATTCCACGAATTTCTCCCTTAAAAAACAAAAAAACGCATGAACGAGGACGCAGCACACATAAGGGAGCATGCAGCTCTCGATAACCCCCCCTCCCCCGTTCGAGAAGGTAACAAAGATGCCGCTTCTCCCTCTTTCTCTCTGCTTGATTGAGTGGCATGGCAGTCCACACAGCGGGTGATTAAATGCAGCAGCAACGGGTCAGGAACACGCAACACAGCCGGAGGCAGCATGGTTTGCTTTGCTTTGCACACGCGGCTTTGATCAAATTCACATGGCCACGAAAAAACGGAGATACACGAAACGACAAAGAAGCCTACAGGCCGCCCCCCTCCCCGTACTCCCCCGAGTTCGCGATTGCGGAAGGCCTTAAGAATGCCAATGACGCACGAGTCTCTTTTTCTGTTGACAGACACCTTTTTGATGTCTCCGTAAGACGAGAAGAGGCGTCGGTAGGCGTCCAAGCTGTTGGGATCGCTGAGCGTTGTGGAAGCGGAGACTCCATTGGTAGGACGAATGTAGAGGGTGCCCTAGGGAAAAAACACACACACACACATACGCATACACATACACACGCTACGCCATACAGGGGAGGCAGCGGTGTCTTGCGAGCTTCACAGCCAACAAACGGCTCACGCGCTGGAGGAAGTCAGAGAAAAGCCTCGTTTCAGCTGCATAAAAAGAAGGAGAAGCCTTCCTTCTAGTGGAAAGCCACGAGAAGGGGGCAAAAAGGTCATCGTACGAATAGCTTTCTCGACGCACCATGTTACTGTCCTTATCAGGCCGCTTGATTGCACTGTACTGCACGTCTGCCTTTTTACCCGCGATATCCGTTGCGCGAAGGGCTTCCCGTGCAGCTTCTGCGTGTCTAATATCGAACTGAGAAAAAAGGCCGTCGCCACACAAACACACCCACACGCCTCCCACCCTTCTTCCCCCTTGTTTGGTAAAGAGGTCTTTCGAGGTGGAACGGTCCGAAGCAGGAGCGACTGAATCGGCGCGAATTCCTCAGTCTTAGCCGTGCATGCAGCCCTCAACACACAGCGTTCCCTGAAAACTACTTTGCCGCAGAAGGTGCTCGCTTCAGGAGAGGCCCCACCCAGCACACATTTGCTTACGAATTCTACAAAGGCCATGTGCTTCTCAGGATAGCAAGTAATCTTCCTGATATCCCCGTACTGTTCACAGAGCCCCCGAAGAAGATCTTCTGTTGCCTCCGGCGCCAATCGGCCGAAGAAGAGACAGCGGCTTTGCAACGCGTCAGGTTCCGTCTCTGCAGAATCACATTCTCCGCAGGGAGGCATCGAACCCATGGCGACTCTTAAAAGAGGGGCTCTAAGTGTGCGCAGGATGCTTTAAGTGCTGAGCCAGAGTGCAGAGAAGGGGCAGGGTGGGTTTTGTAGGCAGGTGATCGCGCTACTTGAATGCAGACAGAAAACATGGACGCTTCCCACGGTTCGGTGTACATACGCACCAGGATCGACGACGGCAGAGCTCGAGCGAGCAGCAGCGGCTCCCCATGGCCCCCACTGGTAGTCTGCCGCCGTTCCTGCCCCTGCTGCGGCTGCCGAGGGTGCTGATGCCCCTGTTGCTGCAGCATACGGATACGTAGTGTAAGACGGGTAAGTGCCAATGGCTGCTGCGTATGCTGGATCCGTCATGGTGCTATGGGGGCTGGAGGCCCCTGCTTGTACACCCAAGGGCCTCTCTCTCGTGGGGGCGGTTGCGGTTGCGAGAATCGGAGGAGAGCCCCTCTTTAGGGGAGTGCAGTGTGTGTAACTGGGGTTGGGGTATGGCTACGGATGGTGCGAAGCTGTGCGTATGTCTGCTGCGAGTATCCCGTGGTTCCTAGACAGCATTAAGAGGCAATAGGCGGGTGGCCAACAATCGCTTCGCCCCGAACTGTGTGCCTCAATTCGGTTCAGAATATCGCACGTTCGCGCTGTACGAACGCAAGCACACGGAGGTGCTGGGGGTGCCTTGCCGTCTGTCTCTCTGATTAGGAATGGATTGCAGTATGGGGTTTAAATTCAAATGCATTATTTCTGTAAAATTGGGAGTCTCTGAACAAAAGCAGAAAAAAATGCGCACCTCCAGCAGCCGCAGCCCTCCCTCGGATTTTGCTGCATGTGGCCCCTGCTGCTGCTGGTGACGATGGCGTTGATTCGTTCATGATGATCATGGCGCAGCTACACGATGCCTCTTTTCCTGTACTGCGCCAGTTCGCTGCATTTGAATAGCAGCTTTTTGTCGTTATGTTTAAACCCCTTTTAGGTTGGGTTATGTAAATCGAGCTTTGCGGGAACGTAGGGAGAAGACCGGTGCAAACAACCCTCTGGTAGAGGAAGGACTTTGTGGCAGGCATCCTCACCTCATCCCTTGGCGCTTCCCATCGACCCTCCTGCCGCTGCCGCTGCTGCTGCTTCTGCTGCTGTTGGAAGTGCCGCTTCTGAAGCAAAGGGTGGAAGCGTTGCGGTTCTTTGAAGGGACAGCGGAAATCTGGAAGCGCCTGTTTTCTACTCCCGGCTCCAGCAGGTAGGCACACCCACACCAAAAGCCCCAGACCACATAGATATATACATGTATATATATATATCGTGTATCTCCGGAAACTAGCGAGGTTCCTAAGCTTTTTACAAGCAAATATTTACTGCTTTGGACCCGCAGTTGCCTCTGCTGTTCGCCTTCGATGCCCCACTCCACTACCACGCAACAAATTTCGCGCCGATTGCAGAACTCTAGGCTTTTGTGCGTGTCCTCGTATAGGGCCTCTCGCTTCGTGAACCAACGCGCGTCTTGTCTGTGCTTGCCCCTGAGGAACGTGTGGAGTGCCTTCGAGTGCCTTCCTTTTTTGAAAATATATAAGGCCCAAGGGCGAAGGGCTTCGGAATCTCGGCGTTTTCAGTGAGACAGAGAGAGAGAAGAGGTTTTCGAGAATGTACACCCCGCCGACAGGCCGAGGAAGGCATATGGTGCTGCCTGCGTGGATGACGCGAGGACAGCAGCCTACAACAGGAATGACTGCATGCTCCTCCTCCCAGGGGCAGAGTGTGTTTGCCACTCCTGCGGTCGCAACGCCTCCTCCGTTCCCCGTCGTGGCAGCAGCCCCTGCTGCTGCTGCTGCAGCAGCTGCAGCAGCAGCTGCACCCGCTGCTACAGTCACCGCGTCTTCTCCCCAGCCCGTAGTTGCCTCTCCTGCAGCTCCTGCCAATAGTAGTCCTACACGGGGGAGTGAGACGCAGGGAGCCAGCCCTTCGGGAGGAGGGCCAATGGGGAGATGGATGAAGACGCGATCGCCTCCCCCAAGGAGAAGCAGCAGGGAGAGAGAGAGGGATCGAGAACGGCAGAGGGAACGAGAGAGGGAGCGAGAACGCGAGAGAGAACGAGAACGCGAGAGAGAACGGGAGCGAGAGAGAGAGAGAGCGAGGAGGCGGAGCCGCTCTCCGCCAAGGAGAAGCGTTAGGGAGAAGGAACATGGAAGGGGCAGGGACAGGAGAAGAAGCATCAGTAGTAGCAGCCCGAGTAGTAGGATTTCAGATGATGGGCTTAGTGCCGCAATGCTTGCAGACAGGTAAAAAAGGGGCAAGGCTTCAAAAGAAGAAGAAGAAGAGAGAGAGAGAGAGAGCCTTCCACGGGGGGGCTGTTTGCTGGTGTCGGCTCGCGGGGTGTAGAGCGACAATGTTGCATTGAAAAGACATGCAGAGACGGCAGCCGAGTGGCAGAAAGGCAGCAGCAGCAGCAGGGAGGGCTGTTAAGGATGGGCAGCGGAAAGTGTTGACGGATTTTTCGGAGGAGAAAGGGGGGGGAAAAGAAGAGGCTGGGTGGGAAAGGGACACTTTATCTAAGGCCTGAAGGTTTGGTGTGTGTTTGGGGGGTTTCCTTCGTTTGGCAATCCTACAGAGTGCCGCTGTAAGATCTGTGCGTACAGAGATGTGTTTGGATTTTTTGCGATGTGTGTGTTTCTTTGAGTGCTACAGGCTGGTGGAGGCTAGGCAAATGCCTTCTCGGAAGCGAGAGGAGAACAGGGATGCCTTCATGAGTTGGCTCTGCCCGGAGGTAGGGTGAGGGTGAGGGGGCTACAGAAATCCACTAGCGGCGTGTCTAGTCGCTTGCGCTTCTGGCTTGTTCCATGTGCGTGAAAGCCTGTGGTCTGTGCTGTCTCGCAGGATTTCTATTCCGAGGATCGGCAGGGTACTGCTGCAACTCGGGACGACTTTGTCGACAAGTGCGCGCGTAAACAGGGGCCTTAAGGTTCTTGGGGGGGGTGTTTGCTTGCTTGGCGGGGCTTGCGGTGTCGTTCATGGTACTTTCTCGGGTGGTATGTGCCTCTGTATTGGCGTGCAGTTTGATAGATTTCCCCCATTCTGTCCGCGTTACCAAGCGGCTCGTAGCCGAGGAGAACAAGGTACCTCTTTTTCTGTGATTCCCCAAAAAGCCCCTGTGGAAGGCTTTCCATGGGCCGACCCGTATGACGCTGTGAGGATTTGAAGCTCGTTTGGGGTATCCTACGGTTTCTTGCCATCGTTTTTTTGGTGAAAGAATACACGCAAGGTAATGTGCTGCATTCAGCATGGGACTCAGTGATGTAGCATTCACGATTTTGCGCTTCCTTTTTGCAGGACCACTCCTTCTGCTTAGACTTTGAGGAGATTCAAGAGGGCAAGAATCAGATAAACCTGTATGAGTGCCGCCACGGCAAACTGACGCGCGTATACGCCTTCAGAGGTAAGGGGGCCTTAGCCGGTCTAGAGGCTTTTCTCGAAATACGAGGCGAGCGCTCCTTGCTGGTGCCGCTGTCTTGGCATCTGCAAAGAGGAGTCTTCATGGTTTGGGGTTTGCGTGTACGTATGCATGCATGTGTATACGTAGTAGTGGACCGTCGGCCTACATTTCCACATGTAATTCTTATCCGTCTAAGGCGCCCATACATTTTTTCCGTTTCCATGTTAGCAGCCTTTTGACGGGGGGAAGGGCAGCCGTATTTTGCTGCTCTAGACCTACATGCTGGCAAGTTTGCGTGCCGACGTTGGATTGGGGTGTACAGACAGCGAGGAGCTGACTCGGGAGAAACTCTCTTTCGGGGAGCTGAAGAAAACAAGGATATATCAAAAGGCTTTCAAGTATTTTACGAAGAAGGGTCAGTGTAAACTGTGCACACAGTTGCATGCGGGGGCTCCGCAAGGACAGGGGGGTTTGGTGTTTTGGGGGTTGGAGCGCAGGGTTCGTTCGGTTTTCGCGAGTTTGTAAGAAGTATGTGTTGTTAAGGTTTTGCGAGTTTAGTGGGGCGCGGTGATGCCTATTTGGATTTTTTGCTCGCGTCTCTGTGTGTGTACAGGAGTCCGTGAGGACGCCAAGCTTGTATATCATGACTATCTCAACGACCCGCAAATTCGGGTTGGCTCGAGCCTTGAACGGTGATTTCACTGCCTTTAGAAAGCGGAAACCCCAGGCGCCTAGCCACGGGGTTGCAGAGGGGTGGGTGTGCAGTTTAAATATCCTGCGGTAAAACCAGAAGGGCCTTTAAAGAAAAGGCATGTTGAGAGGCCTCAGGGGTCGCCTGAAGGGCTGCCCTCTGGCGCAACGGTCTCTAAGGATTCCTCAGCACATCATCCTCACGAAAGCCCCCAACGGCCTTTAGAAGGTCGTAAATCGTTTAACATATTCGCGAACACCGTAAATCTAAACCATTTAGATCTCGGTATTAGCAAGTTTCTCCATGTTTCTGGCCTGTTGTTGCCTTTTAATTATCGGTACGAACGCAAAAATGGTGGGGGAGGACCCTCTCCGCCACACGATGCGGCTTGCCTCTGTGGAAGCAGCCGCAAAGGAAACCTTGGAGGGCTCTGCAGCTAGGAGGCTGTGGTGGATCGACGCCTCCCAACAGCCCGCAGTCTCAAAGTAGGGGCTTCTGGGGAGGAGGAAGCCTCGTTCTTGCACTGTCCTACGAGATTCTGCTGCCCACCGTTTCCAAAGCTGCTGAAATCAGGCTCCCTCAGTATCCACCCCTCATACAGGCCCTCCGCAGTGGGTGGCTGCTCTAGAGCAGCCTTCTCTTCCTGAGGCGGAAGAGCCTCTTCGCAAGCTAAAAGCGCCTCCTGCTGGGCAGAGGTTCTCCCCACTTCGTCGGCGGGGTGCAGCGTGTTAGGGGCCCCTGCGACGGTAAGGAGGTACCCACAGCAGCAGCAGCAGCAGCAGCAAACCGTGGCTCCAGCCGCCGCGAGGAGGAAGAGCGTGAGCAGGAGATACGCAAGATAGGGGTGTTGTACAAGGAAAAGCCTGATGCCTTCCGGCTTCGGCTGTACGATCAGCGAAGCCTCCCCCGCAGAAATTGGGGGGTATAGGTAGATCCGGGCGAACTTGAGTTGCGAAACTAGGGGAAGGGGCAGCCCCTCGATCATGGGAATGACTTGTTTCGTTTCTTGACTACATACGGCGGGGACTAGGAGGGAAAATACGAAGGGGCATGGCGAGAACTGGACGGGTCGTGTACTGCGAGCCACGAGAGAGTTCCTATGAGAAAAGGCCAACAAAGACAGCATAAGGGGAGAGACATTACGATGTCGATGAGAGCTGCTATTGTTGAGGGCCCCAGACACGGAGAGCGACAGAATGAGATCTACGGTGAACTCCGGTAGCTTTGTCTCTTCCTCCAGCTGTTGCATCGGCTGCATTTGCTGCAAGTCTTGCATGTGTTGTTGCTGTTGTGAGGGCCAGTGGGAAGAAATGAGGGGCGCAGGAGCAGCGAACATCGCCTCGTCACCGGGTAGCAACTCCCATGAGCGATTGCTGAACGGCACAGTAGCAAAAGCCACGGGCTCCTCCAGCGAGGCGAGAGAATGCCCTGAGAGTCCAAAGAGCTCACGATACGCATGCTGAACACTTGAAGCTGTTGCAGGGGGGGGCAGTGCTGACTCTGACTGCCCTTGCGGCGGCTGCCGAAAGCTGCCCCCCTCAAATGGGGAGATGCTACCCACAGGCCCTACTTCTACGTCGAGGGCCCCCCCCCCATGGGGGGGGGAGGCCCCTACAGTGCCCCTGTGCGCCTGTGAAAGCGCGGCAGTGATTCGCGGGAAGAAATCAAAAAACACGGGGAACTGGTGAAGCGGGGGTGGCGTGGAAGAGACGGAAAGCAAATAGTAGCTGAATGCACCGACGATCGAAAAACACACGAGGGTGCAGCCAAGCACCAGCAAGGCCACGAAGAAGAAGAGGATTGCCCACTTTGAAAAAGAGGCGAGCGAAAGTGCCCCCGAGCGAAGGGCTGAGAAGCAGCCTTCGAGCCTCTCCTGCAGAAGCATCAGTTCTTCCCGAAAAAAGCCAAGCAATCCTGGAGCATCCCACGTTTCGGAACCCCCCCCTCCGTCATGTCTGTTTTCTTTTTTCCTTGGTATCGGCGTTCCCCTTTTGTTTGTCGTCATGAGCAAACGGCGTGATCGATCTAGCGGGGTACAAGGCATTGGACCATCTACCCGCCGGCCTGCTTCCCCTTGATTCACTCTTGTGCTGACACAGCCCTCAAAATAAGACCCTCTTGGAGGCATTGTGGCAGGCGGAAGCCCCCTGAAAGATCTCGGAGTGCTGACGGGAGTAACAAACTGCGCTGAAGTGGCAGGGGGTGGGGAGGGGCCCCCGGCCGTCTGAGAGGCTCCGCATCGGGGGGAATCTGAAAAGTCTGATGAACCTGCAGATTTCATGTGGTGCTCGGCGGCCTGCAGGGAAGTGCATTCTTCGACTCCACCGTTGAGTTCATTCTGTCCTTGCTTTTCTTCCTTGATCGCTTGCATTTGTTTCTCTCCGCTTGCTTCTACTCTCTCTGGAAGGCGCGACGCCCGAGCATGGGGAGCTGCAGGCTGTGCTGTGTACTGCATTCTACCGAGGTCGCGAGCTTCCTAGACAAAGAGGGGAAGAGCGAGGAGCATGCAGGACCGCTGAAAGTCATCGTTGCAATCCCTCCTCTGCGCCCTATTGCAGAACGCAGGCAGCAAAATGCAGAAGCCGCCCAAACGAGAAGGGAGAGGGAGACGACCAAGATATAGGGAGTGCCTCCAGCTGCTTCATACAGCCCTCATGAATCTTACATCATTGTAGAGGCCCATTTGCCTTCGTTCGCACGGCGTATTTGTGTTCCCTCAATCGATCTGCAGGATTCACGGGAAGGGAGCAACATGGGATGCGAGGGCTACCAGCGAAAAACGCACTCCAACCGGACCACAAGCCTAAAGCAAAACAGAAAAGCACTCATGAAACCGTGTGGAAGAGGATCTTCTCATCACAAACAACGCCGGGCTGCGAGGAAAATCACGGGGCCCCCAGGCTCCTCGAGTCGGCGGGAGTGGGAGAGATGGGGTAAGCGAGGTAGAAAGCTCCATTTGGGTGCCGCATTTTTCTTAAAGGCAAACAGAACTGAAAAGCTTTCCTATTCTGCCTTTAGGTAAACCTCCAGTGTCTCCCTTTGCATTCCTTTGTGCCTCGAAGATCGCGCGTGGGGGCTTCTTTAGTGTTGGAGTTTCAGCAGGATTCCTTTGATTGCCGAAAGGAGGAAGTCGGAAGTACAGGCTTTTCTATGTACCCCTTTTTCTTTTAGCTGGGCTAACGGCAACCAGCAGGGGAAAGTTGCAATGCGCGTGAGGGTCATGAACTTGAAGGGCTCCTTCACGACTTTCATGATTTTTCATCTTCTGTCGGTTTGTCGTTAGCTGCTTCTTGCGAAGAGCCCGAGTGGAAGGCTAGAAGAGGGGGACCAGGGGATACAAGCTTGGCTGAATGCTAATCAGTCCACAGTAATAATGCAGTGCACCGTAACGGAACACAGCACGGGTAAAGCAGGCTAGCACAAAGGTTGACACCACACGAGTGAAGGCGTTGAAGTGAAAGGAGAAGATACGAACTGCTACGACAAGATGCGGCTTCAGGCGGACGTCCTGCGTTACATGACGAAGGGGGAGTTTCGTGTGCTGACTGCCGTCGAGATGGGCATGAAGAACCATGAGTTTGTGTCTGCACAGCTCATTGAGCAAATAGCAGGGCTACGAAGACATTCCATTCGGCAAACTCTTAGCTCATTGTTGAAAAACAAGCTGATTTACCACTCGTCCAAGTCGTACGATGGATACAAACTCACCTACTTGGGCTATGACTACCTCGCCCTTCATGCCTTAACGAAGAGGGGTCTTATTAAAGGAGTGGGTGTTAGGATGGGAGTTGGGAAGGAGTCAGATATTCATATCTGTGAAGGCACCGACGGAAAGGTATTGGTTCTCAAACTACACAGGCTGGGTGAGACATCTCGAATGTTCTTGCTCGCAATTCCCTCTGTGATTTGCCTTTTCATTTCCTCTCTTTCTTTTCAGTATGCCTATTTCCGTCTCTTCTCGCCCATGTTGCATCATGTATGTCCTCTTGATCTTGGTGCTGTGCTCTGCCTCACCTGCGAGTCCTTCGGCAGAACAGTTACTGGAGCGTTCAAAGTGTTGGGGAGGGTTGTGCCGCGATTCTGCTCAAGGCACCTCCCGACTGAGGCTAGAATTTATGTCTCAGGGTCTGTGCATCTTGCTGGCAGTCACCCGTGATCGGTGTGCATGCGTCAATGACGCGAGTCTCGAACTGCGTAGCAGCTACATGAAATGTTGTTTCCGTGACGTGTTTGCAGGCCGCATTTCCTTTCGTTCAATCAAGAAGAACAGGGATTATATGCAGCACAGAACGCATTGCAGCTGGCACTACTTAGCCCATTTAGCGGCCGTCAGAGAATTTGCGTATCTCAAGGCCTTGCATGCCCACGGCTTCCCCGTCCCGCAGCCTCAAGACATGAACAGGCATGCGGTGCTCATGGAGTACATTGATGCAATTCCGCTGACACAGGTAACTCGAGGGACGGTGCGGCAAGTGGATTAGTAGCACACGTTCTTAGTATTCATCGTGGGCGTGTCTCTTCCGTTGCTTGGTGGCTGTGGGCATCTCCCCACCATTGTAAAGAGGGGGCTGATCTTTCCGTTCTCGTCATCATTTTAGGCGTGTGTGTAGCAAGACTTGCCAGATCGCTGGTGAAAATCCTTTTCCCTTGCTGCTATCTGTTCTAGCCCGCTTTCGGTCTGTAGCATAAAAGTGCTGTTATTAGTCATCACGTATGTGTGCAATATGTCCTTTTTCTGCCGCCCACAGGTACGCGAACTGGCCTCCCCAATGACGGTTCTGGAGCGCCTAATGAAGCTCATTGTTCGGTTAGCTCACTGTGGTTTGATTCATGGAGACTTCAACGAGTTTAACTTGATGATTAACGAGGAAAACGGGAGCATCACGATGATCGGTGCGTCAGACGTCCCAGGCGTTAAGGAGCTTAGTATCAATAGCTGATCGAGCAAATAGAAGCTTTAGCCGGAGAATATCTGGCTAAATATTCAGGAATCTCATGTCTTCATTTAGAGCATTGCAGGTCCGAAGTGATTGCAATATGGGCCCTGCGTGCGGGCTGTTCGTGAACCTTCTGAGTCATCCATCAATTCGCCGATATTTGGTTTCAGTGATTCTGTTTCTCCTTGATATTTGCAAGGGCGCTTCTGTTATTAATATTGAGTGTTTCTTGAGTGCGATTGCTACGCAGTGATACTTTTTGTTTCCTTATTTCCGTTGACATATCTTCAATATTCAGTTGTATGCGCTCGTTTCACATCCAGGTTTCATGGCCTTGTCGCGTTTCTTGTTGCTTTGCTGTCATGCCGCTAAATACGCTCTGTTGCTCCCTCATGCCATTACGCAACCATTCCCGTGGTGGCTTAGATACAAGACGCTTCTTTATCTGTGTGGCACAGTGTTTTTTGTTCACGCTGTGCAGATCTTCCCCAGATGGTTTCCATCTACCACCCGAACGCGGCCGTGTACTTCGCCCGAGATGTTGAATGTATCAAGAGACTGTTTGAGAGAAAATTTCTTGTAGAGGTTTCCAGTGTACCCAAGTCAGAACACTACATTATCATAAATGCCAATTTGTAGTCCAATGTAGCTCAGCTTAAACTGCCTCAGCCTTTATCGACTTGAAACCTAGCACCTTCACTGCGGCGTCTTTGAGAGTCCATGACTGTAGATGCAATCAACAGGTTTTGTTTCCGAACGATTGCAACTTTCAGTTGAGATGGTGAGTTATTGTCTATTCTTTGCTGTGCTTTGTTTAGATTCGAGGAAGTTGTGGGTGAGCCCGAAAATTTAACTGCTTCCAGTCGTCGATCCGATATTCTATCCAGTGAAGCTACGTCTTCTCATGGAGACGAAGGAGATGAAGTAGTGAGCAAATGCAAAAGGATACTAGTGTCAGATGGTCTAGACGACTGTCAGACGAAACTGCTGGAAGGAGCTTTGGCTGCTCGGCTAGACGCGCAGGGAATCTCTTCTATTTCTGACCAAGGGGATACAGAAGAAGAATGTTCTTCCGTATCCTCTGGACAAGAGGACGAGGCGGAGGAGGAGCAGACAGATGATCAAGGAGAGAAGGAAGGGGGGGGGGAAGGAGAAGCAAAAGAAAAAAGGTCAGAAAATGTGGAAGAGAAAGAAGGCCTGGACTCGGAAAGCGAGGCGAGCAGCGAAGAGGGTGGAACCAGCGGCAGCGGTGCGCGCTGGTCCCTTTCCATATTAATTAAACCTCATTTTGATGCATGCAGCAACCAACTCCCTGTTGGAGACGCCATCCACCTTTATTCCTAAAGGCCTTTGATTTGCACTTTTCTTTCTAAGCTCTTTTTCATACACAATTGGGGCCTCAGGCGGGGCTTAAGCAGCGAAGAGTAGCCATTATTTGCATCCAGTGGCTGTATCGTCTTTTACTTGCCTTCCCGAGTGCTGTGCCGGTCGTAATGCCTTGATTGTGATGGTAAATGGACCCTACATGGCCCCTAGAACTTCTGGACGAGGGGCGTCTTCCGACATAGTGTGATAATTGCAAACGCAGTGCGCTCTGCGTCTGATATTTAGTTCTTCCCGCAGTGACGTAGCAATTTCGAACCTATCCAGCTCTGCGCTTTTGCCATTTCAGAGGTAGACGAACCGCCGAGCCGTCCCTTAGTGCCCGAGGAGCAGCAGGCGCTGATTCACTGCTGGCGTCCAACAGCCCGAAGGTAAGCTATGGAACCGCCGTCAGCTGAACTATCTACAATGTACCTCATTTCGACCCACGCTTTTCGTGGTACGACTGCATAATGACCTTGGAGTTTTAGTCTTGTAGAACAGGGCTCCTAGCAGTTTCTTATTCTCTCTCTTTCAGTCTCTTTGTTTTCATGTTTCTGTCTGTCTCTCCTACGTATGCCTGTTTCTCTGGTTCTGCATTCTGTTCACATTTTTCGAAGACTTAAGAAGAGTACAAGGAGCAATGCAAACAGCCGCCATACACTGTGTTGCATGGGTCCTTCAGCCCCGCCTGTCATTTTGTGTCGTTTTCTCATTCGTGTCTTGTCATTGCTCCCCCCTTTGGACTCATATCTGAGGATTTATGCAGGGGACTTTTAAATTTAGGCAGTTTAGTTTGTGTTTAGAGTTCTCTGGCTTTTTTTCCTTGTAGGCATACACGAGACTCAGTGAGAAAGAGAGTTCAAGCGAAGAACCAGAAGAGGAACGGCAGGGGAAACTTTGGATCGAACAAGAACGCCGAGAGAATCAGGGCCAAGCAAATGGCCAAGTTTGATTGTTAGGCACTTCATCCATTTGTTTTCTTCTTTATAAAGGAATGTTGCTGTGTGCTGCTCTTGTTTGTTTACTGGGCTCTCAACAAACTACCCGCAAGCTGTTCAGTATTGCCAGGAGTTACCCTTCAGGGATCTTAATTGCATTTTCCCATTCCGCCAGTCCGTTCCCATTTTTTCTTGCTCTGTGTTGTGCAACCTATGCGCTCTGCTCTCGGTTGTTCTGCCTTTATTTTAGTGGTTCGTTTCGTGTTTCATCCCCTCACTCAACCTTGCGTTCTACAAGTTCCTTGTATGCCCTTCTATAGCACTCCTCATGGGCTCCTTACAAGGAAGCCCACAGTGTAGCCTTTCCTCTTCTAGGGTCTGCCTAGGTCAGTACAGTTAGCCTTGAACCGGATGCAAAAGTTTAGTAAATCAGTGTCGCTCCAGCAGAACTCCATCCCCCTTGTCGTGCCTTCGCCTCGTAGGGTCTCCCCAACAGGAAAGAGGCCAGATACGGTGCTCCAAAGTTGCTACGCCCTCTGTGGGCACTCCGAGCCTCACACAACACTGCACATAGCATCAAGTGCAAAGGCACATACTATCTGTCACCGACATAAGCTCTCCGTAGGAAGACACGTGACTCTAAACAAACCACAAACTCTATAGAAGATTCTTGCGTGTTGTCCAATAGAACTCCAGCCTCGATCTGCTCGGGCTTTTGTGAGTTCTCAATATGAGGGAAGAGGAACACCTTGAGTGCGAGCTGCTGCACGCTTAAACTACTCCGAGTATCCAAAGTTTGTTGCACGTTGGGCTTAAGCACGGGGACACTAAAGAATCGACTAGTGCGCTTGTCTGGTCAGCGCATCTTGTTTTGTGCAGAGTAGTGTGCACTCAATAGAAGAAGAAACAACGTTCTTATTCGTAGCCGGCTGTACATAGTATAGTGGTACTGCATTGAAGCGTAGTTCGGCCGCTACCTTATTTTTGGTGTAACGGGCAGGCTGCATAGTAGGAAAAAATGTTTAGATAGCCAGACCAAATAGTGACCGATTCCGTAACAATTCTCAGTTGAGTATAACTCATGCAGCAGAAGGTGCCATTACATACGGTGTACACTGTGCTCCTATTTATGGGGAACCAAGTCTGGCATGCAGCAAAAGTATATACTTACCTTGTCAAGCTCAGCATTCCATGTAGGCTTCAGGTGTCTTTTCATGATAACTAGTGTAGCAGACATTGCCTTGACATTTGCTTGGATCGCCGCGCTGTCCCTTCTGAGGAATGATGCATGATGTTTTCTTCAGAAGGTATAAGGACACACGATAACTGCCCTTTAACTAGTGTTTTGCTGTTGTGCCCTTCGGTGGCTTGCGTCGTTGGTGCTGTAGACTGTATGCAGGAATGTGTCAAGTGGCAGAGGTAATACGTCCCTGAGCAATTATGTGGCAGACTAGAGACGCGAACATTAGTTGCTGCTCACGCGATGCTAGCCACGCATGACATTCAGCCCTTAGCTTCCCTATAAGCAATAGCAAATTGAAATTAGGTGCACTGGAACAAATAAAAAACACGTAGTACCCTCAGGCGTACAAAAAAGTATGTCAAGACCAGCTGCTCGCGTCGCCGCTCCCCTTGGGTACAGCGTTGCCTGCGGTGACACGCAAAATCAACAAGAAGAGACGTCCTTTTTTTGCTTTGAGGTGATAAAATTGAATAAATGCGCCATGGGTGGCAAAATACAGAGTCCTGGAGAGGACAGATGAGCTGCTTCCTTTTGAGCAACGATGGCAAGGATTGCTGCACTTCAAAGCGCGCCGCTCCGTCCCCGTCGCTACAAATGCCTTCCCCTCCCGTTTTGCCCTCACTGACTCCTGCCGTTCATCATTCAGTTAAATTCTTGATTTATCCTGTCCAAACGTTCGAAAATCCACCATTAGTCAGCTTTAACTCGCGAAAATGAAGACCGCTTTCTTTGCCGTTGCTCTTGGTGCTTTGGTTGCCCCGATGGCAGCCCAGGAGGACCAGGCCCCCGATATTTCCCCTGAAGGTAAGACTCCCGCTGTTCTATTGAATTTACTCCCTTCTAATTATATACGTCCTGTATGGGCAGTATGTTGCCTATCCCCCCCAGTTTAAGTTTGCTACCTCCGAGGCTGTCATCAGTTGCGTGGGTGAGGGTGGGAGTTTATGGTTTTGGGCATAATCGTGCTGTGCTACGTCGCCGCTCACACCCCGTGGTCTTCTGTCCGACCTCTTGTTCCTATTGTGTATGCACCCGAAACTTCCCTTCCCCGTTTCCCTTCTGGCCCTCCTGAAGCTTTGCGCCTCGTCCTTTGCTGGAACAAGAGGTCTTCCCCCCTTCGCCTCCGTGGTTGTCGCTTCTCTCCGAATGCCGTGCCCTTCCCTTTCTTGTCGGGTATATGTGCGTTTCGCGCGTCTTTTGGTCATCCGCAGACCTCCAGGCCTCGTTCGAGAAGCATTTTTCCAAGTTCGACTGGTCACAGGTTTCCCCCGAGGCGCTCGGAATGCAGTTGAACTTCGACGAAATGAGCGATGAAGAGCTTCGAGCGCTGGCTGAAGTGTTCGTGAAACCTGGCCTCATCGGCCCCGAGGAGGCTCAGGTCTTCATTGATTCGCTCGTAGACCCACGAATGCGCGCCATGCTGCAAGGCCTCAGCGGAAAGTGGAACGAAATAATGGAAAAACTTATCGCGGATCCCCAGTACCATGACTTCCTGCGCAAGTTCGCCGAAGTTGACATGGATGCCCTTACTGAAGCTGTTGGCATCCCTGGCGGTCTCGCCGGCGCTATGGCCTCTCTTTCGGAGACGTCATCAGACAATGCAGCAGAGAACATTGACTAAACGGGCTGTGCAATATCAGCGGCGCAGATTATTGAGTGTTCCCGGCTCAGTACGCACTAAGGCTTAGTGATTGACAAAGAATAGGCACTTACTGCGCAGGACAGGTTATTATATACCCTCGTAGGGGAAGTTTTCTCGAGCGCTAGTGGGTGGGGTAGGTGACGACCATTTCTTTCTTCCGGCCTGCGCGCCCCTTTCACTTTGTTCATTGGCACTTAAAAGGTTTCTTGAAGACCTGCTACATCCGGTTCTTCACTTGTTGCATTAATTTGGGGAGCAGTTCTCGGCTTCATGATCTCGTCTGGCGGCGATTGAGGCGCACACGTACACATCCCCGTGGTGAGGACCTGCTACTCAGCTGTGTTTAGCACTTAGGACAGAGTGGTCGTCGAGCAGTTGCTTTCTAGCATGTGGTGCGAAGAGTGATCGGAGCATGAAGGCTATGGGCTCTCGATGCTCTCTGGACGTCAGTCCTTTATTCCGGCGGAGGAGGAGGGGCGATGCATGCGCATGACAGCTGACCAAACACGGTGCTTTATTTCGCACGTCTCGAAGACCTTTGTCCACGCTCTCTAAATTTTTGTGTCCTGGTGACAGCTTGTGATTAGGGGGCATCAATATACTCTCTTGACATGTATGTAGGGTCTTTCTAGCGCTCTGCAGAGCGGTCAGAAGTTGGGTATTCCTTCTTATCAGCTTCGGCGCTGGTTTCGCGCGGTTACTCTGTAGTGCGTGCACCCCCCCCCCAAATGTTTTGGCGATGCGCGACATCTAGAGAGTTTCTATCTAGGCTCTAGGGGGCCGGTGCTACCCTCTTCGCTGGATTAGTTGGTAGGGACAGCGCGGGTGGGAGGGGTGGGGCTGTGGTTGTGCATGTGCAGTCTCGCGTTCGTGTTTTGGTTGCGGCGTTATCATGCTCCAATGGCACGGTAGAGAGGGCCTAGCCTAGTTTGGAAGGACGTGGTGCCGTAGGAGACGGTTGGGTGTGGAGTGCCTTAGAGGGTGTAATAGAAAGTGCGATTCTGGGCAGGTTCAGTGCTTGTACCTGCTGGGGGCAGGCTCACAACAGCTCCTGCGCTACTGATGGCGCATAGTGCTGCTTGAACTGAAAAGCTGTCCGATCTATTGCTTCCTTCTCACCGGTTGCGCCACACTGAGACTCGCGTTAGGCCTACAATTCACGGTATTTTTTACACTGCAGTGGAGCACCGCGGGGAGTTTGCGCGGTCGAGAGATACAAGTTCGATGCAGAAGTTTATCCTCGCACCACGAAAAGGTGTATGGGTGCCCGCAGTGCCGCCCATTCATGCACAGGCGTGCAAGTGCCGGGTCTGCGAGAACCCCAGAATCATATTCCAAGCAGTCGTTGGACGGCGCCGCTTCTCACGCCAGCGACCTGCGACAAAGAAAACAAAGTTCGGCTAGATGAATGCGGAAGGCAACAATGAATGATGAGCGACGAAAGTGCGGAAGGTTTTTGTCACAGCGGGGTCGGGGCGGGGCAGAGCAGTAACGCAGCGCCGGCAGGTGTACGTAGCGCTTCCCCAAGCAACACTAAGGAAGGATCGCGATGAATGAAAAGGCCGAGCGGACAGAACTCTTGAATAACAATGAGATGCTGTGCGCTCCGGGGTGCGACGCGCACAACACAGAAGCACCCAGAGACACCGTATAATCAGAATGAGCGCTTTGCGTATGCGCACGCACGAACCAAGGGGTGGACCCTTTTAATATCAGTGAAAATAGGATATGCTGCTCTCACACAACAGCTGCTGGTAATGAACGTGCAATGCCACCCGAAGGGAAAATGCATATCCAAAGGGGAGTCTGAAAGCAATCGACAAAATAAACAGCCGAAGCAACGAGACCAATTGCCTCCAGGCGCCCTCTAGTCATCATCGTCTCACTGTATCGTCACCCCCGCCAAAGAACTTCCCAGCAATAAATACTCGCGGGACAGATCGGGCGCCTGTCTTCTCCTCCAAGAAGTCCTGAATCGCGTCGCAGTAGTGACTTTTATCTATTTCCTCCACGTGCTAAGCACATGACGAACACAAACTGTACACCGCAAGGGACTCACCAGACGCAACAATAGAATGCAAACAGAAGCATCAAGGACGGTGAAGAACCACTACACTGTCTATGCACCGTGCCCTGTGTGTGTGTGTGTGTGTCTGCGTGTGGTGCAAGCCAAATTTACCATGTCACTGACGTTTAGGCTCGTGAGGGCTTCAATTGCTATTCGGCAGAAAGGGCAGGGCCTGTGCGCAACAAGCCAGAACACACTTTCGTATCGTCCCGCCGGACATACACACGCCCACATGCGCTTCACTCATGAAAAGGCGATGGCAGCACAGGAAGCTGTTCGCACAGGCCCTATATACACACCATATCAGGATCAATACATGTTTACAATGCTAACTTACGTCTTTGCAAAGACGGTAATCGCGTGGCCTCTGATTAGCTCCTCGGCCCATTGCGGCACGTCCCTAGAGCTCTTTAGCTCCATTCGAGAGCAGGCTGTGTTCCTGGGAGAAAAATAGTGGCGCGAAAGAGAGCTAGATGACAGCTTTATTGTTTTATCCCAGAAAGGAGACACAAGGGTACGTCCTGGAATAGGCAGCTGGGGTGGGTGGCAAGTGCGGGAGGCTGAGAACATGCCTACGATAAGCCTCATCGTTCCAACTGGCACGGAGCCAAATATTAAAAAGATTAGGGTCTTGTTTTTCAAAAGCAATCCCACAAAGCGCTTTCTCCCCCCCTCTGCATTACCGCTACAGCAGCCCCAATGCTGTGTGTGTCAGCATAAACGTGCGATTAAAAATGCAAGATTCCAGCAGCATCCTGCCTTACTTATTATTCAGACAATCCGTTATATGTGTATGTGTCCGCTTGACTAACATGAATGGCCAGAGGAATCGTGGAAGGCAGGATAGGGTGATTCTCGTGCTCATGCAACAATGGTGGGGGGCGAACGGTGCCCCATGCGTGTAGCCCACAGAGCACCGTCACAGAGTAGTTGAGATCTTCGATTGTTCGATGATTATTGTCATTTGTTGAGCAGGATTTCTTGGTGGTGGAGCTACCGCCATGGAAATTTCGAATAAGACTGGGCGCTAGCAGGGCCAGCCAGGTTACAAGTGCCGCGAATGTGTAGCAACGTGTTGCCATAGCCGTCCTGTCTGATTGGACCAAGCTGCCTTGAGATACCCCTGTAGCTTTGGATTTCATGCATTCCATCCTTTGGTAAGCTTACGCAGCTGTTTCGTTAGGAGATGTCTGCAATGAGATACTGCGTTCTCAGTTTCAGTATTTTAGGTGCACGTCTCTGAATTACCACCCTGATACAGCGCGCTGCACCTCAGACTGTCCTGTTCTCCTTCCGCCAAAGTCCGTGTGACCTCAGGTCGAGGAAAGGGGTTTCGGGCCGCCCTCAAATACGTTTGAAAATTCCTCTCCATGCATGCAGTTAGTTTCTCATGTTCGAGACTGTAAAGGGCAAAGCTACACTTGAGCACTCTCTACTACTCTGACTATATAGAGTTCAGAATCGGTAGCAAATAGACTATTTTGTCTGGCTATCCGTATATTTATGTGTTGCAAAAAACATTCTACCAGAATCAATGATGTGTGCGGGTGCTTTTCATGCTATATGCAACTCGTTCTAAATGGTCCAAGTAATTAGCGAATGCAAAAGCTTGGGTTACGGCTGTTCCTCTCCGTCCGGCAAGAAGCCTTATAAACACTGGCAGGGAAATGAGAGAGCTCGTATGAAAAAGCCAACATGCTACCGGGTGAAGTATCTAGTTATTCGGAAGCTAAGGGTATATCCCAATCGAGACCTTTAGTGGGCACTTACGGTTATGGACGAAAACCCAGCACACGTGAAAATTTTCCGTGTGAATTTGGCAAGCTTGGATGTAAACAACCGACAACTGAAGCAGGAAGTTCGGAATTATGTTGCCGCATTAAAAATTAGGCCGCTACCGCCAGCCACAGGCCAACCCGAAGAATATGAAAGGAGAGGCAAAGACGTAGCACAAAGAGTAATCCTACGGGATTTGTGTGTCCTCCCCGCTGACACTATTTTCCTCTAAGGAGTGACGGCTATGAATCGCTCTGCTCCTAACAGTATGGCGCTAATGCGCCGCAACATCTGTATGGCGTTTTCGATAGCTGTGGGCTTATCTAAAGTGTATATACCTGGCAGAGTTTCTGCTGTTCGCCTAAAACCTGCAGCCTGGAGCATCAACCCAAGCGTTCGTTGTGTTTTGCAAATTCTCTCTCCGTCTTTACATCCCTCATTTTATAAACGCTCGAAGAGTCAGCTAGCGAGTTTGAGGGCCGAAGTCCGTTTCAAAACTTCGATGCCGCTTTCTCTGGAAATTCTCCCTTCTTATTTTTTTTTGCCTGAGGAAAGCAAAGCCCTACATTTCATGCGCTGGATGCTCAGTCGATGATGATACCGTGGTTGTTGAGGCTCAGGGTGCTAGCGCTTAAGTTGCACCCTATCAGGCAACTGCTTTTCAGACAACACAGAAGACTGCTGGCGTACAAAAAGCAGCTTATTTGGGGTACCAAAACGCTCCAGATCCCCTCATTTGCAGAGCGTGAATAAGGCGTGAGCCCCTTCGCCCTATGCTCTGAGCAGTGAGATGGCAGACGGTGTATCGGATTCTCAGGCAGCCGCTGCCCGTAACGCCATCTTCTCCAGCTCTTCCAAAGAGAAAGCCTCCCTCTTCTGCTTCTTTGGGGGTCTCTCCCTCCGGTTACTTGGTGCCTTCTCAGGGCCCCCTCTGACGACTTTAGAAGGCAGCTCAGGAGCTTCTTCCGCTGATTCTTCCGAGGCAGAGGCTTCAGAGAAGCTCTCCTCCTCGCTGGTGTCTCCCCCCAAAACGGTGGTCGTGCCTGCAGACGGCACGCAAAAGTTTGGTCGAATAGATGATCAATGATAGGCTCAGTGGCGTGCTGTTACGAGTTACGAGGAATGAGGACAGCCTCTCCGAAGTGCAGGCCTGTTCTGCTGAAGTCTAAAACACGCCCCCATGATCTGCTGACAGTTCCGAGCTAGTTGATTTCTTCGGCCTAGTACACCTTACCGAAGTCCCCTGTAACTAGAAAGCAAATAGAAGCCCACGAGTGTAACACCATTCCTATTCATCTGTTTACCATGCAAGATACAAGCATGCTCGCTGCCACGCCCTTCCAACCCCAACTCCGCCAGCCCTCAGGAAACCTATGCACGCAGTTCTCACCGACTGCATCTCCTTTTCTAGCCTTCCTCTCTTTCTTCCGTTTCTTGAGATGCCGCTCCCGCACTCTTTGCTGATCTCGCTCCTGCATTACGGAGGCACATACATACACACATGCCCTAGCGGCTTTTCATGCATCCTAATTTGGCCCCTTGTGTGAGGCTGACACAAGAGACACCGACAGACGCAAACAGAAAGAAAACACGTGGCACAAACCTCACAACAAAGCCACCCTAAGGAAGCCCTCCTACCACGGACGGTGTAGTGTAAAGACGCGCATCTACATGTATATACACCAGCGGCCCTCAAGAAGAAGGCCCCATTTTTGTGTTACCGGTGCACGCATGTGCAAGGGAGTCGCAGTACCTTGTCGTGTTGCCGCACAAACTCCATTTTGCTGCGCATTTGCTGTAGAAATTCCTCCCGCAAATCACGAGCAACCTCCCTGCTGCTGCTATCTTGTGGTTCGTGAGCCTCCTCGGGGAGCGCCTCTGTCTCAGAAGGATCTTCGTCGCTGAAGAGAATGTGAGAATTCGTGGATGCCGCAGCGAGGCCCTTCACTTTGGCCGTCCCATCTGCCCGGAACTGCAGACGCTCGCGCTGGTAAGCTGCGCATGGCAAAGTCGAAAAAAGGAGAAAGAAGATGCATTGCAGAGACACACACACACACCCAAGTGCCACTCGGCATAAAAAAAGAGCACGGAGGGGGTTGTATGCGGATACTGAGTAGCAAGCCTCCACAACACGCAACTCTCGAGACAGAACGGGAAGGGGGCCAGGCACGAACGCAGATGCAAGTAGCTCAGGGGAGAAGAGCGAAGGCAAGGGACTGACACACAACTTGACGAGACAGCCTCTCAGTCCCAGTTTCATGCACGGACAGATGATAGAAGGGTGCAAGTGTCACGACGACACGACATAAAAAAAAGAGGGTCATAAGCAGAGGAGTCTCTAACTCAAGGAAGCGATAGACTCGCTATACGTACCAGGTTTGCGCAGCAGCATTTCTTGCAGTCGCAGATTTCTCGCCGTAGATGACTCCTCCGTGAGTTGTTCCGAGGTTTTCTCCTTCAATTCTAGAAACTCTTCCACAGCGCCTTGGCCAGCGTCGCTCTCACCTGCTGCAGGTGCTGCGGTGCTGCTGCTGCTGCCCCTGTTAGATGCCCCTTTTTGCTCTGGAGACTTCTTCTGCTCTCGACGTGCCTCTAGCGCTTCGGCTCCCTCCTCTTGTTGCTGCTCCTGCTGTTGCTGCTGTTGTTGCCGCTGCTGCTGCTTTAGCAGCTTCTTGGCGCGAATTTGCTCCTGCGGCACGAAGGCCATGTACAAAGGTCACCTACACTGTGGGAAGACGAAAAGGCGTTTGCATGCCCTGCAACCCCGCTGGTTTCAGCAAAAAGCAAACAAATTTAAGATTGCTGGCAGCAAAATCCCCAGCCTTGCCTCAGCCTACCTTCAGTCTTGCCAACTTGGACATGTTTTTCTTCTTGTGCTCGCTGTTAGCGACGGCCCCTCCGTGCATCGCGGAGTCTTTCGGCGCTTCCTCGTCGTTTTGTCGTTGTTGCTGCTGCTGCTGCTCCTCGCACTGCTGCTGCACTGCAAGGTGCTCAATTGAGGGGGCGATGGAGAGGCCGTAGCACACGGCGAGCTGCTGCAGGTCAAGTGCGTGGATGTCGAATACCTTCTTGTTCGGCATGACAGAGAGACAGCGCAAATACGAGGCAATGGCCTTTTGCGCCAAGGTTTTGAGGGAGGGACTGCAGCAACACACGAAGTAGCGCCAGCGTGTAGAATGGCAGCGGAGACTCGAGACAGCCCTCCCCCCTTAGAAGCACGGAGGCATACGACGCTGCAGTACAGCATGCAGCAACACGCGAAGAGCTGTATCAGCAGCTCCGTCTACCAAGCTACGACATCAGATACACCAGCATACGCATCAACGCTCCCCAGAAGGGCAATATGGAGCAACGCCCTCGCGCTGCTCTGCCAGCCAGCCAGCAGAGGCAGACGGGGGATTTAAAATGTTCAGCGTTTGACAGACTCACTCCGCAGCGAGAAGCGCTTGAAGCTTGGATTCAACTCGGACGGCCTTATTCGGGTTCACGTTGATCCGCTGCAGTGCCATCTGCAGCAACGCGCCTCCACATACGAACAAAGAAGCTGCGAAGCTTCCGGGAGGAGAAAGGGAGGGAAGGAAGGAGGAAGAAAGGGATGGGGGGAGAAAGGAAGAAAGGGATGGAGGGGAAAAGGGAGAAAAGGAGGCTGTGGGTAGGTATTACAGACCGCACAGAGCATGGATGGGAGGGCAAGTGAGCGGTAAACAAAAAGACGCAAGAGTGCAGCAGGTGACAGGCCCTGGGGGGTTGGCCATTCGTAAAGAAGCGCGAAGAAAACAACGGAACGGCTCCAGGGGAGAGTTTCGCAAGAGCTGAAGATCATCGTGCCGCCCACGTGCATGCAGTGTGTGTGGTGTATGGTGAAGGCGCACGGCGCGGTGTCTGTTTACCCCCTTGGCTTGCAGCTCCTCAACAAAGGAAACCTCCGAAGGCAGCAAAAGAAGAATAGCGCGGCCTTTCCTCGTGAACCTAGCGGTCCTTCCAACCCTGTGTATATGCGTATCGACGCTATCTGGGCAATCAAACTGAATCACCAGATCCACCGCTGTAAGCCCCTCGCCGCCTTCCAAGTCATCACTGTTTGTCCCCTGAGAGGCCTCCAGAGAACTCCCCTGATGCACAAAGTCAATGCCTCGAGCCGCAAGGTCGGTGCTGATCAGGCAACACGGAGAACGGCGAGAAACAAAGTCTTGGAAGGTGTCCAGCCGCTTCTGTTGCTTCTGCCTGCCGTGGAGGCACAGCAGAGACAGCCCTGTGGAGGTAGAGCGCACAAAAAGAAGCATAGATACGCGTGCAGCAGGGGGAAGAAGGGGAAGAAGGGGAGCGAAGAGAGGATCTTCTGGGAAGGAAGGACACGCAAGCGAGATCAGGAAAGGAACGAAGGCAAAAGAGGTAGCTCTCGGCGCGACAGAAAAGAAGATTAGCGGCGAGGAAGTGGGGGTTGGCGGAAAGAAGTGGGAAAAGGCAACGGCCGTCAACATTTGCCACACACGCAGAGACGGGCGCAGCATTCAGAGGCAGAGTGTTTGACGTCTCAGAGAAACGAGAAACATCGGGAGAGCAGCAGAAAGGATTGGAGGCGCTGCAGCCTCGCTCGTACCAGGTTTGAGCAGCTTGAAGGCGTCATGCAGAAACTTTGCTTGCTTGCAGGAGGCAACAAAGACGATGATTTTCTTCTTGCACTGCGCTCGAAGAATTGAGAAAAGCGCAGACGTCTTGTGTTTCGGGTTCAAGACCATGTAGCTCTGCTTCAACGGCCCCTTGTGCTGTTGCTGCTGCTGTTTTTGCGGTTCGTCTGTACAAACAGCCTCCGGCTTGTGACTGCACAACAGCTGCCCCAACCGCTGCACTGCGCTATGCAAAGTCGCAGAAAAGAGCAGCGTTTGTCTGCTGGAGGGCAGCGAAGAAACAATCAGCTTCACTGTCTCCTGAAAGCCTAAGTCTACAAGTCTGTCCGCTTCGTCAATTGCTGAAAAAAAACCGCACAGGCATGAAGTTGACAGTGCGCCGAGCGCGTTCAAGTGCTGCCGCAAACACGGCCAGGAAGATTTTTTCTCAAAAAAAAATCACAATAAAAAGGAAAAAATGCCTTGTGGCAGCAGCAGAGCCCGCCCGTGTAAGTGCAGCAACCCACGAAGAGGCTGCAGTCAGAAGGGGGAGAAAAGAAAGCATCCCCTAGAAGGTTGCACGAAGAGCGACACAAATAATACACCGAAAAACGGCCTCAACCAATGCCCTTTCAGAAAGGAAGCGCCGATTTGCAGCAATAGCAGAAGTTTCAGTAGCAGGAGTAGTAGTTTTAGCAGCAGGAGTAGCAGTAGCAGGAGTAGCAGTTTCAGGAGTTTCAGGAGTCGCAGTAGCAGGAGTAGCAGTTTCAGTAGCAGGAGTAGTAGTTTCAGGAGCAGCAGTAGCAGTGCAGGAATAGCACTTTCAGCAGTTTCAGGAGTCGCAGTAGCAGGAGTAGCAGTTTCAGTAGCAGGTGTAGCATTTTCAGTAACAGTAGCCGCACTTCAATAGTAGCACTTTCAGTAGCAGCACTAGCAACAGCAGCAGCAGCAGCAACAGTAGTAGCAGTTTCAGTAGCAACAGTGGTAGCAGTAGCAAAAGTAGCAGCAGTTTCAGTAGTAGCAGTCTCAGTAGCATCATTTTCAGTATAGCAGTTCCAGCAACAGCAGTTTCAGTAGCAGCAGTAGCAGCAGTTTCAGTAACAGCAGTAGTAGCAGTTTCAGTAACAGCAGTTTCAGTAGTAGCAGTCTCAGTAGTAGCAGATTCAGTAGCAGCAGTTTCAGTAGCAGCAGTTTCAGTAGCAGCAGTTTCAGTAGCAGCAGTTTCAGGTGCAGCAGTAGCAGCAGTTTCAGTGGTAGCAGTAGCAACAGTAGTAGCAGATTCAGTAGCAGCAGTTTCAGTAGCAGCACTTTCAGCAGCAGGAGTAGCAACAGTAGCAGCAGTTTCAGTAACAGCAGTAGCAACAGTAGTAGCAGTTTCAGGAACAGCAGCAGCAACAGTAGTAGCAGTTTCAGTTACAGCAGTAGCAACAGTTTCAATAAATGCATTTTCAGCAGCAGCAGTAGTAGCAGTTTCAGTAGTAGCAGTTTCAGTAGTAGCAGATTCAGTACTAGCAGTTTCAGTAGCAGCGTAGCAGCAGTTTCAGTAGTAGCAGTATCAGTAACAGCAGTTTCAGTAGTAGCAGTTTCATTAGCAGCAGTTTCAGTAGCAGCAGTATCAGTAGCAGCAGTAGCAACAGTAGTAGCAGGTTCAGTAGCAGCAGCAACAGCAGTTTCAGTAACACCAGTTTCAGCAGCAGCAGTAGCAGCAGTTTCAGTAGTAGCAGTTTCATTAGCAGCAGTTTCAGTAGCAGCAGTATCAGTAGCAGCAGTAGCAACAGTAGTAGCAGGTTCAGGTGCAGCAGTAGCAGCAGTTTCAGGTGCAGCAGTAGCAACAGTAGTAGCAGGTTCAGTAGCAGCAGTTTCAGTAGCAGCAGCAAGAGCAGTTTCAGTAACACCAGTTTCAGCAGCAGCAAGAGCAGTTTCAGTAACACCAGTTTCAGCAGCAGCAGTAGCAGCAGTTTCAGTAGTAGCAGTTTCAGTAGCAGCAGTTTCAGTAGCAGCAGTAGCAGCAGTTTCAGTAGCAGCAGTTTCAGTAGTAGCAGTTTCAGTAATAGCAATTTCATTAGCAGCAGTTTCAGTAGTAGCAATTTCAGTAGTGCCAGTTCCAGTAGCAGTAGCTTCAGTGACAGCAGTAGTAGCAGTAGCAACAGTAGCAGCAGTTTCAGTAACAGCAGTAGTAGCAGTAGCAACAGTAGTAGTAGTTTCAGTAACAGCAGTAGCAAGAGTAGTACCAGTTTCAGTGAGAGCAGTGTCAGTAGTAGCAGTTCCAGTAGTAGGGGAAGCAGCGGTTTCAGTAGTAGCAGTTTCAGTAGGAGCAGTAGCGGTAGTTTCAGTAGTAGCAGTTCCAGTAGCAGCAGTAGCAACAGTAGCAACAACAGTAGCAGTGTCAGTAACAGCAGTAGCAAGAGTAGCAGCAGTATCAGTAACAGCAGTTTCAGTAGTAGCGGTTTCAGTAGGAGGAGCAGCAGTTTCAGTAGTACCAGTTTCAGTAGTAGCAGTAGCAGCAGGCTCAGTAGTAGCAGTTTCAGTAACAGCAATAGCAACAGTAGTAGCAGTTTCATTAGCACGAGTTTCAATAGTAGCAGTTTCAGTAACACCAGTACCAGTAGCAGCAATTTCAGTAGTAGCAGTAGCAATACTAGCAGCAGTAGTAGCAGTTTCAGTAACAGCAGCTTCAGCAGTAGCAGTTTCAGTAACGGCAGTTTCAGTAACAGCAGTTTTAGTAACAGCAGTCTCAGTAGTAGCAGTTTCAGTAGCAGCAGTAGTAACAGTAGTAGCAGCTTCAGTAACAGCAGTAGCAACAGTAGTAGCAGTAGCAACAGCAGTAGCAGTTTCAGTAAGAGCACTCTCAGTAACAGCAAGAGCAACAGTGGAAGCAGTTTCAGTAACAGCAGTTTCAGTAGCAGCAGTAGCAACAGTAGCAGCACTAGCAACAGCCGTAGCAGTTTCAGTTACAGCAGTTTCAGTAACAGCAAGAGCAACAGTAGAAGCACTTTCAGTAGTAGCAGTTTAAGTAGTAGCAGTTTCAGTAGCAGCAGTAGCACCAGTTTCAGTAGTAGCAGTTTCAGTAGTAGCAGTAGCAAGAGTAGTAGCAGTAGCAACAGTAGTAGCAGTTTCATTAGCAGCACTTTCAGTAGCAGCAGCTTCAGTAACACTAATAGCAATAGTAGTGGCAGTAGCAGCAGTAGTAGCAGTTTCAATAACAGAAGTAGCAACAGTAGTAGCAGTTTCAGTAGTAGCAGTTTCCGTAGTAGCAGTTTCAGTAGTAGCAGTTTCAGTAGTAGCAGTTTCAGTAGTAGCAGTCTCAGTAGTAGGAGTTTCAGTCACAGCAGTTTCGGTAAGAGCAGTTTCAGTAACAGCAGTTTCAGTAGTAGCCGTTTCAGTAACAGCAGTTTCAGTAGTAGCCGTTTCAGTAGCAGCAGTTTCAGTAACAACAGCAGCAACAGCTTCAGTAACAGCAGTACCAACCGTAGCAGGAGTAGCAACACCAGTAGCAGTTCCAGTAACAGCAGTAGCAACAGTAGTAGCAGCTGCAGTAACAGCAGTTTCACTGGTAGCACGTTCAGTAACAGCACCTTCAGTAGCAGCAGTTTCTGTAGTAGCAGTTTCAGCAAGAGCAGTTTCAGTAGTAGCAGGATCAGTAGTAGATGTAGCAGCAGTTTCAGTACTAGCACTTTCAGTAACAGCAGTAACAGTTTCAGTAACAGCAGTTTAAGTAGTAGCAGTTTCAGTAGTAGCAGTTTCAGTAGCACGAGTTTCAGCAACAGCAGTAGCAACAGTCTCAGTAGTAGCAGTTTCAGTAGCACGAGTTTCGGTAGCAGCAGTTTCAGTAACAGCAGTAGCAACACTAGCAGCAGTTTCAGTAATAGCAGATTCAGTTACAGCAGTAGTAGCAGTTTCAGTAACAGCCGTGGCAATAGCAGTACCAGTTTCAGTAGTAGCAGTTTCATTGGTAGCAGTTTCAGTAGCAGCAGTAGCAGTAGGAGGAGTTTCAGTAACAGCAGTGGCAGCAGTTTCAGTAGTAGCAGTTTCAGTAGCAGCAGTTTCAGTAACAGCAGTTTCAGTTACAGCAGCAGCAACACTAGCAGCAGTTTCAGTAACAGCCGTGGGAACAGCTGTAGCAGTTTCAGTAGCAGCAGTTTCAGCAACAGCAGTAGCAACAGTAGCAGCACTTTCAGTAGTAGCAGTTTCAGTAGCAGCACTTTCAGTAGCAGCAGCTTCAGTAGCACCAGTTTCAGCAGCAGCAGTTTCAGCAGCAGCAGTTTCAGCAGCAGCAGTTTCAGTAGTAGCAGTTTCAGCAACAGTAGTAGCAACAGTAGCAGCAGTTTCAGTAACAGCAGTAGCAACAGTAGCAGCAGTTTCAGTACTAGGAGTTTCAGTAACAGCAGTAGCAGCAGTAGCAGCAGTTTCAGTAGTAGCAGTTTCAGTAGCAGCAGTTTCAGTAGTAGCAGTTTCAGTAACAGCAGTAGCAACAGTTTCAGTAGTAGTAGTTTCAGTAGCAGCAGTTTCAGTAACAGCAGTAGCAACACTAGCAGCAGTTTCAGTTGTAGCAGATTCAGTTACAGCAATAGGAGCACTTTCAGTAACAGCCGTGGCAAGAGCAGTACCAGTAACAGCAGTAGCAGTTTCAGTAGTAGCAGTTTCAGTAGTAGCAGTTTCAGTAGCAGCAGTTTCAGTGGCATCAGTTTCAGTTACAGCAGTAGCAACACTAGCACCAGTTTCAGCAGCAGCAGTTTCAGTAGCAGCAGTTTCAGCAGCAGCAGCTTCAGCAGCAGCAGTTTCAGTAGCAGCAGTTTCAGCAACAGCAGTAGCAAGAGTAGCACCAGTTTCAGTGGCAGCAGTAGCAACACTAGCAGCAGTTCCAGTAGCAGCAGTTTCAGTAGCATCAGTTTCAGTAACAGCAGTAGCAACACTAGCACCAGTTTCAGTAGCAGCAGTTTCAGCAACAGCAGTAGCAACACTAGCACCAGTTTCAGTAGCAGCAGTAGCAACAGTAGCAGCAGTTTCAGTGGCAGCAGTAGCAACAGTAGCAGCAGTTTCAGTAGTAGCAGTAGCAACACTGGCAGCAGTTTCAGTAGCAGCATATTCAATAGCAGCAAGAGTGGCAACAGTGGCAGCAAAGACGCATGTACCCAGCATGAGTAGCCTGCTGGCATCCCAAAGAGGAGACTCTTCGATATGCTGTAAGAGGCGTCCAGGTGTAGCAACAATGATATTCAGCTGTCCGATCCGCTGTGCCTCAGCCTCTAAGTCTTTGCCCCCAATCAAACAGCCAATAGACACCTCGTGAAATCTGAATACCACACGACAAGGAGAAGCGTGCCAAGCAGATCTCAAGAGCTCGCCAGAAAATGCCTCCCCCCGGAGACACCCTTTCCCCCCTCTCTCCCCCGCGAAGCTGATCGACGTATGATCAGCACATTCATTCCCACATACGTAAGGTTACAGAGCCACCTTTCTGGGCTAAACAAACGTTCAACTCCGCAGAAAGGAAGATGCGGCGCTTTAACAGCATAATCCTGTGAAGGCCATTGTCAATTTCTCATAGGTTTGCATACATACATGCATATATACATGCATGCATACATGCATACATACATGCACACATACATGCATATACACAAATAGACGTGCCTGAAAAGGCGAAAGAACGCATCAGCAGCCCGTCAAACCCGCAACAGCAGCACAAGTGTCTTTACCTTCCAACATCTTTGAAGACGTCGAAGATTTGGACTGCAAGTTCTCTGGTGGGTGTCAAGACGAGTGCAGCCGTGCCGTCCAAGCTGCAAATCTCTTCCCGGAAAAGGCGCTCTAGGATCTGTTGAGTGGATAGACACCACAAGTCTCAGCAGCGAAAGAAAGCATGCACACTTGGCATGCAGGCCATGCTGCATCTCGGTAGGCGTAGTTTCACATCTCAAAGCGAACTAAAATGAAGCTCCGAAGGGGAGCAGCCAGCAGCCAACAGAATGCAAAACGCCAGCGGCCGAAGGGGGCCCCCCGATCATCGAAGCAGCAACAGCAGCACGCATATATATATATATATATATCTGTACATACCGGCAAGACAAAAGCAAGCGTCTTGCCACTGCCTGTTTTAGCCTGTGCCTTGATGTCTCTGCCAGCTAGCGCATGAGGGATTGCAGCCGCTTGAATCGCAGTGATGCGCGAAAAGCCGCATGCTGCGAGGCCTCGCTTTGTCAGACTCGAGAGAGGAAGGTCGGTAAAGACTTTCTCTGTCAAAATGCCATATTTGGGCTTCATGCTGCCCCCCCTAGTGCTGCCTGGAGCAGCTTCCTCCTGCTGCTTCTCCTGGTGCAACGCAGCCAGCGCTGGAGGTGTCCACTCTCCACCAGGTGGGGGCATCTCGATCAAGATGCGCTGATTGAGCTCGGCGATTTCCAGCCGTTCTTTCTGCCGTAGCTTGAGGGCAGCAGCAGCAGTGCTCGCCTTACTCGCAGGAGGGGCCCCCTTACGCCTGGGGGCCCCTCGACTCCGCTGAGGGGCCCCCCTACCAGTGCGCGCATCGCTGCCTCCTCCATGGCGGCGGGAAGATGCAGTGGCAGCCATCGTGCAGCGGCAGCTGCTCCTGCTGTTGCAGATATAGTGCTGATATTTCAGCTACACTGCTGGTATTGCTGGTGCTGATATATGGCTGCGCCTGCTCCTGCCTGCGAATGCCCCTCGTCTGCATAAATCGCAATCCAGCTGCTGATACGCCGACAGCGCTGCAGTTTCCCCAAGGCTGCAGCAGTAGATCTCGTGGCGATCACGGTGGAAGGCAGTTCAGCGCAGGAGGGGGGGCCCCCGAAGCGAGCTTTGCATGCCCTTCCGAAGTCCAAACAAATCGAATGGCAATGCATTTATACGCCTAAAACAATAAATAAGCGTACTGCCACGCCTTCAAATAGCAACAAAAAATGCAGCTGCAGCTACAGCACCGGGGGGGCCCCACGGTCCACTTGAGCTCACGTGCGACTTTGCGCAGCGTACGTATGACCAGAGGGGCCCCCTCCCCCCCTCCGCCTCTTGCCCCTCCTCTCGCGCTTCGCCTCTCTCGCTGGTGAGAAAGCAGCGGTCTGGGAGGTGTATTTTTGTCATTTTGGGGGAGCGAAGGAGCAGTGGCACTCAAAGAAGCGCCTGGGAAGGGGGCTTCCGAAGATCGAAGAACCCTGGTGCAGCTTCGCGCTCCCGAGCTACAGCGGCGAAAGCAGCACCATTTGTGTTGTCTTGAGAGAGCTGCTTCCCTCCGCCTCCAGCAGAGGCCTCTATTCATTGAATCTGAGAGGCGCATCTGCCGTAAAGGTCGCTCCGAAGTGCAAAGTGGAGTGCCTAGCAGGGCCGTCCAGCAGCTACCCACACGCAGCCGATAGAGGCCTCTTTTTCGCAGTGCACACGTACATAGCATCAAGAGCGGCAACGCATATGCAGCACCAGCAGCCGGAGGTGCTGTTGCCGCGGTTTATCGCGATCTATTTTATCTGGTTTGCCTGCCTGCCCCCCTGGCGCTGGTGATTTGATGGTAGGCATCGCCCCTATCTCGCAGACGAAACAGCGGCTGCGCACAGAGAAAGCGTTCGCATATTGCTTGCAGCGGAGACAAACAGACAACAGCAGATGTTTGGAGGGGGCGGCTGGAAAGGCTTTGGGGAGTACCTTGAGGCCAAATCACGCAAACTTCACCAGCAGCTTCGCGCATCCCTTGCCTCAGGTGTCCATGAAAGCAGCAACACTGGCAGCAGCAACACTAACAGCAGCAGTAGTAGTAGCAGCAACACTGGCAGCAGCAGTAGTAGTAGCAGCAACACTGGCAGCAGCAACACTAGTAGCAGCAACACCAGCAGCTGCCACAGCAGCAGTGGCGTAGGGGCGGGGGGTGAAGTTTCTTGGTGGAATAAGTATACGAATTCGAGGAGTTGTTTGTTTTCCTCGCTGACTTTCTTCGTCGACGGTCTGCAACGACTGGAGGGCTCTGAATTGGTGTCAACGGGCTATCCGAATGCCACTGAAAAGACAGCTTTCGCATGCTCCTCGGAGGCTGTCGTCGGCCATACGCCTCTCCGCGAGGCTGTGATTGAGGCTGTACAGCTGAAGCGGTGTCTGGTAGCTCAAGGGGGGAAAATTTCGCTCGCTTTGGGGAAGGGTGTAACGCATGTTCTCGCGGATAATGTCGCGCTTGGCAATCAGAGGTGGAGGAAGCTTCGGTACGGTTGGTGAATGTATGTTGGTGGTTGTGTGTGGGTTGTTTGTGCTCTCTTTCCCTCCCTTCGTGTTTCTTGTGCGCTTGCGTTCCTTGTGCGAGTGATGAAGAGGAGGGTGATGGTGGTAATGGAATCAGCGAGCAGCTGTCTCCAGGTGTATCCCCGCTGCGTCTGCGCATGCTGCTGCCGCGTCCTCCTCAACTATTGGGGCTTTTCCGTGCATTGGACCGCTAAGTCTAGTGCACTCAGCTAGCTAGCCAGCTAGCGAGTGCATGACAAGCATCAGCAAGAGCGGCTTTACGAGTGCGTGTGGGCGTTGTTTGCAGCGCTGCTCCTATTGCTATGTGTTGCTGCTATGTATGTGTCGCTGTTGCTGTTCGCTTGTGCTGCAGAGACAGAGGGGGCTCAGCGAGGCACTATGTGGTAGTTCGTTGCAGCTGGGTGTTTGCCTCCATCGACGCAGGTTGCCTGCTTCCACCAAGTCACTTTATGCCTCGCAGTCTTCAGTTGACACATCGCAGTCCCTTGTCTAGGCTGCCAACTTCTCGCAAGGAGCTCATCACAGCGCCTTCCTGCAACAAGATTTCAGAAAGCCTTTCTTCTGCTGAAAAAAATCATGCGGCTGCGCAAGAGGCAGCCACTCTCTCGACAGCGGCAGCAACACTGGCCCCCCGCGTCTTTAAGCGGCAGAGAGAGGCTCAAGAGGAGTTGCAGGAAGCACAAGCTGCCGCAGCGACTGCTGCTGCTGCTGCTGCACTCGAAGAAGATGAGGATGAGGGAGATCGGCATCGGCAGGCGGAAGACGATGAAGACTCGCAGCAGCAGCAGCTGCTGCTGCAGGGGCAGATGCTGAGGCTGTCGACTCACAAGAAGAGGCGGCTAAGCGAAACTCTCCATGGCCATCATCACCATCACGCTATCCTTAGTGATTCTCCCGCAAAAACAAGAATAACAACGGCAGCAACAACAACGGATCAAATGCAGGCAGCGGAGACTGGTGTTGCTTCCACCGCAGTTGCACGAGCCGCATGCGTAGTAGCAGCAGACTCTGCTACTACGGCTGCACTGGTTTCAAATGCAGCACCTTTAGCAGCAGCGTTAGCACCACTATCGGCAGCATTAGCATCATCATCCGCATTAGCATCATCATCCGCATTAGCATCATCATCATCATCATCCGCATTAGCATCATCATCATCATCATCTTCATCATCATCTTCATCATCATCATCATCATCATCATCATCATCTTCATCTTCATCTTCATCATCATCATCATCATCATCATCATCATCATCGACAGCACCATTTGCACCCTTAGCATCATCATCGGCAGCGACGCCAACAGGGCGGGAAGGGAAGTGCAGCATTGTCGATTGCAGGCACCCCAATTTTGTTGCTTCCTTCTTCGAGCACTCGCGGCTTCATTTTATTGGATCCTGGCAGAGCCGCTGTGCTTCCATGCTGTCTCGCCTCCTAAGTACCAGCAGCAGCAGCAACGGTGAGCAGCAGCAGCGGCACAAGTCTTTTTTCCAGTACGTGGACGTGTCAGCAACGAGCAACGCGCTGCAGCCTCTGGTGCTGCCGCTAGATTTGACGCTGCCTCACGACAGCGATTTCGTTGCTGCAGCTGCTGCTGCTAGTGCCAGTAATGGTGCTGGTGGGGGGTGGTTTTGCTGTGCGTCTCGGCTGATGAAGGCCTCTCCACTCTCAGTAACAACAGCGCCTTCTAGAGAATGTGTGGCAGGAGCAGCAGCGGGTACAGGGCGCTGGATGCTGCACATCGACTTCGATGCCTTTTTCGTGTCGGTGGCACTTCTTAAGCAGCCTCACCTGAAGGACAAGCCGGTAATTACGAAGAGTTAGTTATTATTCGGGCAGGGATTTTTTCTGTTCTCGCGGCTGCTCTCTGAGCTTCTGTCACTGCAGCGCTAACTCCCAAAAAGAGGCTCCTTCTAGGAAGCAAGCCTCTGCTGTAGCTGCTGCTCTTTAAAAGTGCTGTATTTGCGTGTATATATTTATATATGTGTGTACCTGTGTGTATGTGTATGTGTATGTGCTCAAGCTGGGTGCTGGTGCTGCTGCTTATGCTTTTGAAATATTGCGCATCTGACGATGCTGCTCGTGCTGGTGCCTCTACATGCAGGTAGCAGTATGTCACTCAAGAGGAAGACAAGGTGGAAGGCTTAGCTCGACAGGTTAGGCCGCTGGCTGTTGTTTTCTGTTGGAAGCCGTCGTGCGAAGTGTTGGCTTCGAGGCGTGTTTTTTTGAGCGGTTATATATATATGTATATATAGATCCAGCTTGCTGCTGCTTTTATTTCTCCGTTTGAAAAGTGTCTCTTGGTGACTGTGGAGCGTCCATGTCGCTCAGTTTCTTTGCATCCTTTACCCCCCGTTTGTGTGCATGTGCGCCACTCAGAGCCAGGAGCAGCAAGGGGCAGTCCACCTCGAGGCGGGAGCACCTCAGAGATAGCGAGCTGCAATTACCCTGCTCGGATGCAAGGGGTGAAGAAGGGCATGTGGCTGCGTTCTGCCTTCGCCCTCTGCCCGTCTCTTAAGTTGCTGCCTTACGACTTTGACGGCATCGAGAACGCCAGTGAAGGCCTTTTCAGGGTTGCTCTCTCGCTTTCGCACAGGCTTATCCCGCTTTCCTGTGACGAGGTGCGCGAGAAGACACTAGAGCGTCCATGCGGCGAAGACTGACCAACCTAGCTGCAGTGTCTAAGGCGGGGGCTCTTGTAGGGTGGTTGGGGTGTTGGGGTTGTTGGGGGTGTTGGGGTTGTTGGGGTCGTTGGGGGTGTTGGGGTTGTTGGGGGTGTTGCACATTTGTGGGGAGAGCCTGTGGCGCAGGGATAGGCAGTTTTTTGAGCAAGGCTCTCACGACTGGGCTGTGTTTTTAGAGCATGAGGCGTGAAACTGCTGCTGCATTTATGCCAGCAGCAGCCGCATTGCAGCTGGCCTTCGAAGAGGGATCGCTGCAGGATGCGTGTGTGTCTGTGTCTGTGTGTGTGACTCAGACATTTCTTCAAATTTCTTTCCCACTCGTCCTCCAAACGCAGCATGACGACAATCTGATCCCGCAGGAAAGCAGCGGCTCGAGCGGCAGTCAAGGCAGCACTGCGGAAACGGAGGCGGAGAAGGTGGCTGCTATATGCGTAGCCTTGAGGAGGATCGTTCTGAAGATGACGGGGTGCAGCGTCTCTGTAGGAGCTGGTAGCAACTGCCTGCTGGCGAGGCTTGCAACGGCAGCGGCGAAACCTTCTGGCGTGTCTGATTCAGCGGCAGAAGGACGCCCTCTCTCCTTGTCATCAGAAGAAGCTGTGCTGCGGCGAGAGGGAGTCTGCGTGGTCAAGGCAGGCGCTGCCTCTGCCGCTGCGTTTGTCGGACCGCTGCTGCTGCGGCAGCTTCCTGGCGTAGGACTTAGCATGATTGCCAAAATCAACGCTGCACAGGAGGCGGCAACTCCAAAAGCGGCACCGCTGACGTGCAGAGCCGTGCAAATGAAGGGCAAAGAAATGCTGCATCTGCTGCAACGCGCGCTGGGTAGGGGGGAGCAGGGCACCGTTAGCTGTAGAGGAGTGTTGAAAAGGTTGAAAGATCGTTTTTCCTTCCTTTCGTTTCGCTTTCGGGGAATCTGGATGTCGAACGAGGAGGGAGGGGGGCAGGAAGAAAGATGGCGGTGCCGCAACAGCTTAAAGACAGTGGCTCAAAATTAGAGAGTTTTCTGCTTGCCACTGCGGTACGCTGCACATGCGTATTGTCATGCAGGGCAGCGGAGGGGAACGCAGCTCTGGTGGATGTGTCATGGCGTTGACGTGAGACCTCTACCGCCTTCGCTTCCTGGATGTGATGGCGATATCGCCTCCTTTCCAGGAGCAGCTGCAATACCAACTGGCGGCATCCCTGCAAGTGGATCCTTGAGTTTGTCGGTGAACTGGGGTGTGCGGCTGAAAACGGAAGCTGACCTGTTCAATCTCCTGTACCAGCTGGCTCTAGAAGCGCACAAGCGACTAAAGAAGAGTGGCCTTTACACGACCAAGATATCCGTCAAGGTAGGCAGTGTGTCGCACTTCTTGATCCCGAAGTTATAGAGCTCTCACATCCTAGAACGGAGTCTGTAAGGAAGGAACGGGCAGGAGGGAAGTCCTCGAGCGTCCTAAGGGGCTTTAGAGACTTCCCAAGCCACGTTCGTCGCATGCATGTCGTCGATGCTTGAAGAAGACTCGCAGCTCACACAGGCGCAGAGATGGCACTGGATGCCTCCGAGCACACACGAGATGGTGCCTGGCTGGTGCTGCTGCATCGCTTGGTTCGGGATGGTGGTTTGTTGTGCCGCAGCTGCTCTACAGGCAACCGGGAGCCTCCTTTAAGACGACAAAATTCTTAGGCTGCGGAGTCTGCGACGCTGTTCGTGCGTCGCGAGTTGTTGGCGGAGTCACCAGCAACACGCATAGAAGGGCATGCGTCGTCCCTGGCATTCAAGTGGCAGAAGCGTTGAGTGAGGAGCTCAAAGCACTATGGAGAGACAGTTTAAATGGGTATGTTGTAGCCGTTGTTGTTATTTTTGTACTAGCTGTTGTAGCTGCTGCTGTTGTTGCACTAGCTCCTGTAGCTGTTGTTGTTGTAGGAGCGGCTGCAGTCGGGAGGGCAGTCATGTGTGGCATGCTGCAGTCGGGAGGGCAGTCATGTGTGGCATGCTGCAGTCGGGAGGGCAGTCATGTGTGGCATGCTGCAGTCGGGAGGGCGTCATGTGTGGCATGCTGCCGCTCGTGGCGTGTGCTGCAGTGTATGTCCTTTGGAGGACTATCGCGGAATCACGTTGGTTCTGCAACAGCTGCGAACAGAGCAGCAGGAGGAGACCTTGCGGAAGCAGCAGCAAAGAATGCAGCGCAATCTGCATGGCCAAGTTGCAAAGGGCAGCAACAGTCTTCACAGCAGCAAGCCACGAGCGGCGGAGCCGTGCCTCATTGTCATAGACCCCACGCAGCCGCAAGAACAGCAGCAGCAGCAACAGCAGCAACAACAGCAGCAACAGCAGCAGCAACAGCAGCCAGAGGCTCAGCAGGCAGTGTCAATGCAGAAAGAACAGCAAGAGCTGCACAAAAGCTCGAAGCATCACGGACAGCAGCAACAGCAGGAAGACTGGAAGCCTCGCGTCTTGGGAAATCGGGAGGCGCATGAGGATGCGATAGTCATTCAGTCTCAAGACGCTGCACCTGTTGAACGTGGCTTTGCGTCTGCCAGCAGCCCTGGCAGCAAAGACTGCAGCAGTGCCAGCAATAGCGGCAGCAACAACAGCCACCACAGAAAGGAGCCAAACATTCGCTGGGGTGGGCCGTTGATTGATGTTTCTGGGAGTCATGACGAACCCCGGCAGGAGCATCAGTCCTCAACAGGTGGAGATTTGTCTGCGCCTGCGTCTCTCCTCGCAGTTTCGGCCGTAGCAGCGGGTGCTTCAGCGCTTGCTTCCAAAGCTGGGAAATCGCCACACGCTTTCAGACCGATGCAGGCTGCGCAGACACGCCTCCCACCTTCAGACGCACAACTGCCTCGAGTGCGGCAGCGGGAGGATGTAGATACACCGGACAGCAAAGTAGTGACACCGCTGCTGAGGAACCCTGGGCAGGGTGCCATGGAAGCAGGGCGCAGCGTTAGACAGCCGTGCTCACCAGCAAGCAGGAGCGTCAAACGAAGTGCCAAGGGAAGTCGAATACGCCGATATAAAGGCGGCGTTGCAACTGCCGCTGCGAGGTCACCTGACGTTGTTAGTGCTGCTGGCACCCCTACTCTTGCTCAGAGGAGGCGCTTAAAGGAATGCCCTCCGGGGATAAGAAAAGGCTGTGTCTTGCAAACAACACCAAACGAGCGCGAGCAGACGAAACAGGCGCCATGTAGCTGCGCTGCTGCCACGGAGGGGCTGATGCATCCTGCCGCTGCTGTCCCTACTGCTGCTGACGGTGCTACTGCCCTGCCCGTGACTGTAATCTCGCTACTAACGCAGCACCCATGCAACAGCACACACAGTTGCAGCGTGCCTCTCTCCAGTGCCACATCGCCCGTACAGGGGCAGAATCCACACGCTGAAGAAGGCCCCTGTGCCCTTGGTCACAACAATTGCTGCTGTCGTCTAGAGGCGTGTGTCGCGAAGTGCGTGTCGCTTCTTTCCCCCACCTCGAACCCACCACCACGTCGCCCCTTGGCTCTGCGGATTGCCTTCGCCGCACAACTTGTGCTCAAAATGCTGCTTAGGCACGCTGCTGCAGCAGGCGCTGGCACCGCTAGGCGCTTGGGGGCAACCGCGTCTGTTCGCACTGCAGTAGCGATCCGCATTGCTGCTGCAGGGGCTGGAAGGGGCTCGTGCCTCCTCCCACACGCCTGCGGAGCCACCCATGAGCAACAAGCAGCTGCCTCCGCTGCAGCAGCTCCTCAGGCGACCCCTTTCGAAGGAGTTCTTTCTGAGACCCCCTTCGCAGAGGCGCGTCTCCGCACGAGCGATTCTGAACATGCGGGTAGTGGTGATGCAGCTGCCAGTGGTGGTGATGCAGTTGCCAGTGGTGGTGATGCAACAGAGGGGCCTTCATCTCCTAGCGTGCCCGCATTGCAGGAAGGGGGTATGGGGTTTTCAAAGGGTTTCCCTGCTCTTGAGGAGTCTCTCAAGAGTGAGGCAGAGGGGCTCTACTGGGATTGTGTGACGGAGACTTTGGAGGCCTTTGGCGCAGCCCTACAGGGAGTTGTCGATCACCTTGCTGCAACAGGAGCACTGGAAGAGCGGCAATTGTTGCTGCGGACCCTTTTGAGGACGCTGCAATCTGCTGAGTCACGCACTGCACAGGCAGCAGCCGCAGCTGATGAGGAGAAAGGCCCCCACGAAGACTCATCTCCAGTCTCTCTCGCGTTCTTGCTATTGCAGCTTCTTGCTTGTCCAGCAGGCCGCCTTGTGTGGCCGCTGCTGCTGCGTTGTGCACAGGCTGCAGCGTAATCCCTTTAGTAAGAAGCCATATGTTACTACGACCCACGAACTCATGTAGTGTTTGGCGGTCGAGTTTTTATGAATGTGTATGTGATCAAACAACTTACGCCAACTGGTTTGGCACTGGTGGGCGAGGCATATGTGGCCCCTTCTATTTGTGCTTTATGCTAAGAACTTCCTACTTCACGCGTCCTAGCTGATGCCGCTGCAACGGCTGCACGGGCGTCGCCCTTGTGTTGCATGTAGCTTTTCAAGAAAGAAGCCACATACACAGAAGTAGACGGGAATGGTGAGAGGTATCTGGCGTATGCTACATAGTGCAGAGCCCTCCAAAGCAAGCAGAGCAGCAGACGTCGGCAGGATATGTAGCAGCTGCTGTTACGGTCATTACTGCAGCAGATGATTACAATGCACGCCTTTTTAGGTTCCTCGGAGTGGTTTGATTTCGTGTTCTAAGCAGCAAAGGACGCTGGCACTTGCAAAAAATGACACGAAATCAGATTTTTTTCGGAGCACCGTTGATTTTCTGACGGTCTAAGAATTGTTGGCGCGCATGCGATATCGATGCCGCCGCTTGACACCGCGATTTAAACGTGTACCTTCGGGAGTCTGTTGGCTGCGTTGGCCTTCTCCACCAGAAGGGCCTTGAGACCGGACCTGCAAAATGCGCAGCACCGAGAGCGACACACTTTGGAGGCGCTTGACTCCTCGAATGCATGCAGCGAAGGCACATAGCTGGCGCGATTGGGAATCAGGCAAGGAAACCAGTAGACGTGGAGCCACGACAGCCGTGAGAGGAGCTCACAGAAGCAGCAGGACCGCCTCCTCCGTGGGCATGCCTGTCGCATGCCACCGAATTCTCGCAGCTTTATCCACCAGCAAGACGGTGACAAACTTGTGCCGCTCTTTCCGCTTCAAAGCCTCGGTCTCTAGAGCTCCCCAGCTCCCGCTGTATCCTAGAAATGAGCCAACGAGGCCTCCAGCTAAGGCTTGGCGACCAGCGAGCGAGCAGAGGCTGTCATATTCTTCAGCCACCTGCCGCATGGAGTCCACTTCGGGGTCCTTGGGAGGCACGGGGGGCCCTTCCAACGCACGACTCGCGGAAAGAAGCCGCTGCGGAAAGTTGTGGAACGGCGAAAGGGGGTGGAAAGCTGGAGCCAGACGGCGCATGCTGCGGATAGCCAGAGGCCTCAGCCACGCGGGTGCATGATCAACACAAAGATACGAGACGGATGCCAGGTCTGGAGCCGCTGTTGCTGGCGTGACGCCTATGAAAGCCCGCTGCTGGTGTGTTCTCTTCTGCTCTTGAGAAGGAGAAATACCGGAAGTAGACGCGGCAGCGGCGAAGGGCGGCCCGTAGATGGCCGAGAGGAAGGCGGGATGGCGCTTCAAGTGATCCAGCCAAGCCGCCACATCTGAGAGCTGGGAGTACTGCCCCCCCAAATCGAACAGGAAGAGGAGGGAGACTCTGCCATACAGACGCTCCGCTAGCTGCATGCAGCGCACAGCAGCATACACCAACGTCCGGCAGTGTGCGAAATCACGTAAGGCAGCAAGCACAGCAGCAAACTCGTGGGCTGGAAACACTTTGGGGGGTTGGAGGGGCATGCAGTGCACAGTCGACGAGCAGCAGATGTGTATGTGTGCGTGTGTATGGAAGAGCAGGGAGGTGGGGGAAAAGCGGGCTGGGGGGGAAGCTGGCTGCAACTCACGGCCGTCCTAGGCTGCATGCCTGTACGGCTTTTGAAGAGTCCAGCTCCCATTAAGCCTGCAGCACGGCCTCCATGAGCTAGCGGATCCGGATTCTCCTCGAGATCGAACGGCGTGACAAAAAAGCGAGGAGGAACTTGCGTGGATTCGTTGATGGGCAGCAAACGCGCGGGGTAGTGATGGGCCGCTGTCATTCCATCTACGTACCGCTTGTACACAATGGGGGAGGCAGCAGTACCCTTGGGAGCCCCCTCGAGGTGGCCAAAGGATGCATCTAATTCCGCTGCTGCCCCCGAGAGAGGCCTAGCAACGGTCCGTTTGACGCGTGACCAGAATGCTTGCGCAGTTTCTGCTTGCAGCTGCCGTTGCATCTCTACTTGCGAAATAAGACCGCTAACTCCATGATGGCGCTGTAGTGTCTGGCCTTCCGAAGGCGCAGTGTGGCTTGACTCTTCCGCAGCGATCACTCGACGGGCCCGCTCTGTGATGTCTGCTGGCCACTCAGCACGACCTGGTGCTTGGGTAGCGGAGTTTCTGCCAGTAGCAGCGGCTTCTTCCCCTTCTGTTGCTGCTGAGGGGGATGCATCCTGCCTGTTAAGAGCAGGGCCTCGAATGCGCAGGGTGGAGCTCTGTAGGCAGCGTTGCTGTTGCTTCTTCAGAGGATTGGCCAGCGGCAACGCCACCCTGGAAATCGCGCGCAGACCTGCACTGTAGGCTGCGTGAAATCGAACGCCCATGATGATGCTGCAAAGGCCTTGAATAGAGCCGCAGGCGCAGCCCCACAGAGTCATAGAGAAGGGCCTCCAATGGAAATTCCCCGGGTTCGGGGGAATCCTGCAGCAACTGTTGCAGCGGAGGGGCCTAAGGAATCTGTCGCAGACTGTCTTTGTGGAGCCAGAAAAAAAGCACAATTTACATCGAAAGAGCTATATTCAAGACGAAGGAGCACAATGCAGCAACATAGGAGCTGGTTCTTGCAAGGCCCCATCGGGTGCTTTTGGTGTGGGATTCAAGTCGGCCGTCCTAAGACACTGTGACTGGCAAAACAGCAAACAAGCCAACGCTTATAGCGTATTTGCCTTTGGAAACCAACAGGTAAAGTAACTGCTCATGGGGATACTAGCAAGGAATCCCCGACATCGCGCTGCCGACTACCGTGCAGCGAATCGCTGACATAGCAACGGTTTACAGATGAAAGAAGCACGCACTATTCGATGAGTTGCTTTACAAAGCTGAAGCTCGTCACTCTGAATTACTATCTGTCGACTTTGATAGAGGGTAGTGTTCATCCTCTACGGTGAAATTTCTGGAAACGCTCGCACAGAATAGATGCGGCTTCTTTTAATACATCAGCAGTGCAAATCCTCCAACCCAAACCGCACGCAAGCAGAAAGGATATATGTAGAAATAGAGCCCCCATGCAGGCAGCAGGAAGCTCAAACTTATTCAAACTTTTGTGGGACCAGCTATATCAGAATCGAAACCGTAAAAGCTAGCAAAATGAACCTTGGCGTTCACTTGCCTTCGCTCACCTTTAAGTGCACACTGTAACAGTGTAAGACCCTCAGTGATGGTGCTGAAACTCAGCTTCACAGTTGTGCATTGATCTTTCTTGTAATTCGACTTTGCTTTGAGGGAAAAGAAAGCCCTAATTGCCCCCCCTTATTATCTCTTCACGAAATGCTTGCTTTCCTTCAGCTAAGACTGCTCTCTCCTAAATAGCAGAAACAACATACTGATTCTGTTTTTTGTTGACATATGCTGCTGCTCGTATGTTTCGTGAAAAGGAGCTGTGGCAACGGTAGTGGCAGAAGCAGCCAGGTTAGAGTATTTCGTCTGTACACATCAAAATGCGTATCTCGTTGAGACCTCTTCTGCAAAGAATTCATTAAAACTTCACCACAAGACCGCCTTTCAAAGGGGAACACGGTGGTCTTGCCTGACGCATTCTACCGCCTTTTCCACCATGGTTTTGGCATCGAGCCGGACAACTTACACTCCCTTCCAGTGGCAGCTCAATATACTTCTGCCTGGGATTAAGTAGCGGCGTAAAAGGGGCTTTAGCGCACTTTGAAGACTTCAGATATTGCTAGTGACTTTAACTGGACCCGTCATTTTTGTGAAGCAGTAACCCTGCCCCACTACGATTTCCTTCATGCAATGCATATTGCTGTGGTTAAGAAGGCTCCTAAAATACGAGAAAGAGCACTTGAGCACAAACCCGAAGCGCCTTTTAGGGCCAAATTATACTAATAGCGAAGGAATGATCATTTCACCAATTCAAGACCCACGATTATTTTCCTCAAAAACGCACCGTGCACCATGAGACCCTCTTCCCATGTTCCAGCTGATGTTGAGCAAGCGAGGATAGGCTGTAAAGATAAAATGACTATGTACTGCCTGAATATCTCTAATTTTATGTAGAGAGGCCATATAACGTAGTTCGCGCATGATAAAACATCCTAATAGTGTTTCCTAGCTCCAGGTGCGTGTATACTGACTTCCGGCGCTTCCCTTCCTCAATTGCACATTCAGGAAGCTGTGCTTAGAGAGAACTTCTCAGCTCACGTTGATGTGAATCTAAAGGAAAAGCAATAATATATGATGCCAAGAGAAGGGGACCATCGACTTCACAATTTGTGAACATGTGTTCCCACGTTGCCCCCGCACTGTCATTCTTTTCGCTGTCATCATCCCCTATGCTACAGATTAAATTTCACTGTAACCCGAGTGAGAAAATCATCGTTGCTGGCTAAATTCATTTGCACATGGTGTATTTTTGCAGGCTCAAGAGGTAGCTTCGTGGTTCACGTATCCTATTTCATACTGTAAGTATCTGTCGGCGCACTGATGAAGCATATCTGTAGCACCTTCACCCATGTAGCTTGCGGAACAGAAGTGCTGTACGCATGGCATAGGGCGGTTGTAGCAGCATTTCTCGCTCCATCACGCAATAAAATTAAGTATTGGACATATGAAACGAAGATTTTTCGAGGCGATGACCTCGCATCTGATGATAGCTAAAATAAACATCACAATTCTAGTACAGCATCGGCAAATACTCTAAGCTAGCAAGCGTTGAAAAACTAGGAGCCCTTTACCTTGCATTAATTCAACAAAATATAGTAGTGAAAATCTCGGTTCACTTCGAACACAGGGTAAATACATACGCAGCACCGCGTTAGTCGTGCTGCTGCTGAGGTCACTACATCTACCACTTCGCATAAAACCGCGGGGTCAATGCGCAGTGAAACGAGCCCAGCGGTCTATAGGAAGGGCCTCCCTCACTGATCAGCGTCGAATTCCGACGCTTGGTCGCTTCGGATTACTGCTGTAGAGAGTCTAACTCATACAGCTGAGGGCAGCATCAAATTTCCTATGCTTGCCATCGTTGGTGGGAGTAGGTCTTTTCATCACATAGGGCAAGGGAGCAGCACACGCTTCTTAGCGTGTATCTTGATGTTCACAGGAACAGCTCAGATGTGGGACACACTGACCGCAGAGGCAGGGACCGTCCCAGCTGAAGTAAGATACTTTGCACGACGGCGTCACATAATTGGGACCATGAGTTACCGTTCTGACTACACGCCAAAACGCAGAAGGAAGGCATACTACAACAACGCGCATTATTGCACCTCATGCATGGTCATGGGACCTGCAGCAAGATACCGACCCTTCATGGGGGCAGCAGCTGTCACGTACATTGGAGCTGCAGCTGTCTTGCTGTGAGCAGCCTCAACGTACATAGGTGCGGGGGCCATCTTAGTGTGAGCCTCATGGATCACCATGGGAGCAGGAGCTGCCATCTTAGTGGGAGCCTCATGGATCACCATGGGTGCAGGAGCTGCCATCTTTGTCGGAACGGCCTCAACGAAGACGGCTGTAGGAACAACCGGCGCGGGCTCTACGACGTACGTAGTGCTCTTCTTCTTGCCCAAATTGCGTTCAGCTGCTGTTTCCATGTGCTCAGGCTCTTCATTCATATGAGACTCCTCCTCCGTGGCAGCGAGGTACCGACCCTTCATGGGGGCAGCAGCTGTCACGTACATTGGAGCTGCAGCTGTCTTGCTGTGAGCAGCCTCAACGTACATAGGTGCGGGGGCCATCTTAGTGTGAGCCTCATGGATCACCATGGGAG